CGGAAAGTATGCAGACGTTGGCTCACGCATCTCTTCCGAAAATCTCATTGCAGGCGACTTCTTGACTGAAGTGGTGCCCGCGGAAGCATATGTTATGCGCTGGTGTTTGCATGACTGGAACGACGAACAGGCCCGAAAAATTCTTGAAAATATCCGTAAAAGCATCATCAAAGGTCCGGTAAGCCGGCTGGTGGTGCTGGAATCGGTGCTAGCCGATGGTAGGTGCAGTCGGATGTCTAGAATAGGGGATATCAATGTGATGGTTACTGCTGAACATGGCCAGGAACGTACCGAAAGTGATTGGAGAAGATTAGCTTCTTCATCTGGCTGGGAGGTCGCAAGAATTGCTCCGTTGCCAGGCGCTTGGCCATCGGCTATTGATCTGAGACCTGGGATCACCTGTCAAAGATGAGATGGCCACCAAGTGATGTCCTGGACTTACCAACCTCATTGCTCACAATACTAGCAAAATAGATATCTATTCCTGAACTTTCTTCTCCACGTCCGAATTATTCAAGATGAATTGATAGTATTAAGCTAAGTCAAACTACTTTTGGCTGTAGCATAGTCTCAACTGCTAATACCGCAGGCCTTCGACCAATAGTTATAAACCAAGCGCATTTTGTATGTTCGATATATATTTTCTGAGTCTCACACATATCTAACATATCTATCGCCCAATGCTACCTAAGTCCTATTTATAGCTGTATGATGTAGACTCCCCCGTCTCAGAACTCCTGAATATGGCATCAATCATGCGATATCGAATCACAGCATCATCGAGTGTTACAATCCGAGACCTGTCGTTATCTAGCCACGCTTGGTACTCAGCTCCTTGAGATGCAGTGTTTTCCAGTTTGATCTCCTTCCAGTCCACTGGCCCCTCCCCGGAATCAGTCTCAAACAAGCAAGGCGGAATAGCATGAATCATCAAACTAGGACCTTCCATCTTTAGAGATCCTTTTTCTCCAGTAACAATCCACTGGAATAAATTCGGACTGGTTGGTGGATGCGAGTACATGCATATTGACGTCGGAATGTCTTGGTCTCCCATTTTACCATGGAGGGTGAACGTGTCCGGGGCATCATTGAATTGACCTGTCTTTGGGTTGCCTTGGGCATCTTTGAGAACTGGTTTCGGAAATTGCATACTCGTTTGGGCATTTAAAGTGGTAAACTCGCCAAGAAGGAATACCATGGTGTCGATGAGATGGCCACCAGCAATGGTCACGATGTTTGCACCTGAGAATGGCCTGTTAGTCTGTCGTTCCTTTTGTCACACCGAACTCTGCCCGTTGAAATTGGGGAGGTTACCATTTTCTTTATCATGGGAATGTCTCTTGTCGGCGTGGAACTTTAGGAAAAGGTCATCAGTCACCACCAGGTTGGTAGCCAAGATCCGCCCTAGAGCCCCCGTCTGAATGATTTCTTTCATCTAAAGTCACCTTGACCGTTAGAAAGGGTTATCTAGTACAACAATTCCAATGGTAGAGCCCATAAACTTACCCTCAGAACCTGAGGAGCGAGCCTCGTTTGAAGGCCGACCATGCTCTTGATCTGCTGCTCGCGGGCTCGTTTGGCCAACGCTTCAGCCTCCACCAAGTTGGACGCAAAGGGCCATTCGACGTATATATCCTTGCCTGCATTAATAGCAGCCATCGCTAACTCAGTACGACGAGGGACCTTGACCGAGATAACGACTAAGTCAACGTCGGGATCTCTGGCTAGGTCGTCAACCTTATGGTAACCCTTTTCCCGCGGCAGGCCATGGGCGGCAGCAGCTGCCATGGCCTTTTCTGGCGAGGACATCGACAACGCAACGATTTCATAGTTTTTGCTCAATGAAGTTGTTGTTAGGGGTAGTTTGTGGATGAAATTGGTGCAATGACTGGGATCTGCCGACAGACCAACGATTCCGAGACGGATACGACTTGTCATTGTGAGCGATGTATGTTCCACAAAATTTCTAGAAAAAAACTATGTTGACCAACGGATCTTCTTGAGTAACTAACATGGAATTTGGGTCGTCTATAAAAGTTATCGAACTGCGTTTGGTTTTGGTTGCCGTCGAGTCGCCGGCCAGAATCTTCGGGCACCGAAGAAGCAACGGAGTATCAGCCTCACACCTGAACCTTGCCACGTTTATTTCTTGCGTTGTTTATAGATTCAATCCCCTTTCCTTTTTCTAAATGGAGTATTTTTTGTGTCACTCATCGGATTTTGGGTATAGCAGGCGATCGGTTTTGTCAAAGCCACGGCAGTGCATTTTTTGTTTCCTCCCCATCTCTGGCCTCGAGCACAATGAAAGCAACATCCCAAGGCACCATGTTGCGCCGCCTCCATCGTGCAGTGACTCTTTCCTCTGAGAACAATGAAGCTGTCTCTGTTTGGATAAATGACGATATTCGCCCTCTGCCACCCTCCCGTCGCACTTGGTCGACTTTGACCTTTGTTGGATGGTGGTCGGTTTGGCAGCTCAGTCTCACCAACTGGCAGCTTGGCGCTGCTCTTGTTGCATCTTCGCTCTCCGTATGGCAGACCATGATAGCGGTAATATTGGGAAGAATCATTGCAGCAATCGTGGCTGTGATGATAGGATATATCGGGGCAGAGTGGCACATTGGATTCCCTGTCTATTCAAGGGTCATCTGGGGTATTTTTGTAAGTAGGGTGAGGTTGGCAGTTTCAATGCATGCATTAATCTAACGTGCCGTTCCATTACCCAGGGCGCCATCGTCCCAACCGTGATACGTATCGGGCTCACGATCGTTGGTTTCGCCTTCCAATCATACACTGGTGGCCTTTGTGTGTCGGCCATTCTGGCGGCCATATTTCCTTCATTCAACAACTTGCAAAATACTCTCCCGGAGTCTGCACATGTAACCACGCAGCAAATAATCGGATGGGCGTTATTTAATATTATATCGATCCCAATGCTTTATCGTCGGCCCGAAAGGAGTGAAAAGCTGATGATAGGGATGAATGTAATATCTTTTGCTTCACTGTTGGGAATCATGATATGGTCCTTATCTTACGCCAAGGGAGCTGGGGATTTGATTCACCAAGCTTCAGATCTCCAAGGCAGTTCTGCCCTGGGGTTTGGCATTCTTCAAGGGACTACAACGGTAGTAGGGACGGTTTCGATTGCACTTAGTAGGCAAAATCCTTAAAGTGTATTCCCGCGATTTAGCTGCACAACAAGCTGACTTGATATACAGCTAGCCAGATGGATTTCTCCCGGTTTGCGCGAAAGCCTAGCGATCAAGTTTTCGGCCAATGGTTCACATTCATCATAATTGGGTCTGTCATGCCGCTCTTCGGGTGCCTGACATCATCTGCGACGCAGAAGATATATGGGGAACCTCTGTGGAACCCTCCTACCATCCTAGCAATGTGGTTGCAAAGGGATTATAGCTCAACGTCGCGAGCAGCGGCCTTTTTTGCTGGCCTCGGACTGGTCAGCTCCCAACTGGCCTTAACGGTTGTTGATAACGGTAAATTCTTCCCAAGCCATAAACCTGGTGCTTTCTGACATTATGAATCTAGGGTATTCGGTTGGTATGGATCTCTCTGGGTTACTGCCAAGATATATCAATATCCGTCGCGGATGTTATGTTGGACTTATTCTTGGGATGGCACTCTGCCCCTGGGAGTTGCTTGCTTCTGCAAAAACGTTCGTCAGCGTCATATCCTCATTCTCAATTTTCATGGCCCCCCTTTGCGGAATCCACATCAGCGATTACTGGATTGTTCGACAGCGGCGTCTCAAACTCTCAGATCTCTACCACTCTAGACCCGATGGAATATACTACTATACCTCCGGAGTTAACTGGAGGAGTACCATCCCTTGGTTAGTAGGATGGGTTCCACTGCTTCCAGGATTCATACATAGTATAAATCCTACCATCATGATGCCCATCGGAGTCGATCGCTTGTATGCACTCGGCTTTCCCTATGGGCTTTTAGCATCAATGGCAGTCCATACTGTCATTAATATGGTATTTCCACCACCAGGAATTGGGGATATTGACAAAGATGATATGTTTGGAACGTTTACACCAACAGAAGCGGCAAAACTAGGAGTTAGCTCATCGGGAGAGACCGATGATAGTGATGGGAATTCCGCCCAAGGTTCCGAAAATGGGGCTGAGAAGGTTTAGATAGATAACCCCCATATTTGTGTTTTGTCTGAAACAGACTGTATATATGTTGTCCATAAAAAATAAAACAAAATCTGCAAATAATGCGAAAGTGTAAATTTGCAATAGCTTTAACAGCGTGCCTCTCGTTTTCATTCAGCCAATGTGAGTGCAAGATTGGATGCTCCGTTAACAAGCAACAATTTATTCTGTATATTCACGGTGACCGAAGATTGAGCCGGGAGAGAAGGCGGCTTGAACTAAGCAATAGAAGGGTTAGCAGGATTATGGAAATATTCATACGGAAATCCTTCCGGTCAACAAGTCATGTACTAAGATCGGGACCTGTATCATTGCATTAAACAAAACAAATGCCGAGAAGCTTACTGCAAATCGTGGGTAATAGTAAGGGATTTCAATAAAAAAGATTAACCCGGTAGAGTTCAACCTAGGTGGTGCCCTTGATACCTCATGGATAACGATTTTGGTTGTGTAGACCGCTTTTAGTAAGGAAGCCTCATTTTCTGTTTGACGACATCAAAGAATATCTTTCGGCTATGCGTGACATATTTAAATATTGACGTGTAACGGAAGCAATGGGGCGTAATCATACATAATACTGGCATATAAATGAATAGTAGGGTAAGCTCTTTGTCAAGCCCCCGCCCCCTTGACTACTCATTAACAGGCCCGGTGTGTGAGCCGCGTCAACATCGGCTACCGAGCGACCATTCTGGATAATCCTGCGGAATTAGAACACCACTTTCAGTAAGCAGGTGGCCAAGTTTGCCTATATATGGCGGACAAATGGTACCATCTGTGGCCTGCAGTCAAAACATTCAAGAAATATCATTAATCGTGATGAGCCTATTTCCACAATTGCTGTTGGAGCAGGTGGCAGCAGTCCTGGAGGTTGGCGCTGAAGACCTGGAGCTTGGATCCGGGTTTATCAAGAATGGAGGAAATTCTCTCAATGCTGTTGAACTGGTAACACGTTGCCGGCAGTATGGGGTATCGTTATCCGTGGCCCAGGTTCTTTCGTGCAATAACTTGAACGACCTATTTGAACAATTCAAACCGGGTTCTAAACCTGATTACCATCAAGTGAGAACGCCATGCTTCTCTGACGATAGCGAAGATGATTCACCAGCATCACTGTCTTCCATCGAGTCTTCCCCACGAGCTACGACCCCGGTTCCGGCAGTAGAGATGTTAGCAGAGAAGGAAAAGGACAATACTACCAACACTGCTCTGACAATGCAAGAGCCGACCCTCGATGAACATGCCACGGAAGGTCTTAGTGAAATGCAAGCCTCTCTCCTTCATGGCTCTCTGAAGAACCCTGGGACCAATATAATTTATCACTATGAAACGTTTCTTGCAAGCATGATCCCACAGATGAAGGAAGCATGGAAGTCAGTGATAGAAGTGGAGCCAATTTTTCAGATACCAGCCATGGGCGGTGAATTGGATATTCCGGGTCAGGGCCAGTTTTCCTGGACAGAGGTCACAGTCAATTCAGAATTGGAGTATCAGAAGCATCTGCAAACCATGGGCCTTCCCTCGTCGCTCTCATCCTCATTTAAAGTGGTTCACTTTCCAGGAAGAGACTCCGCATCTAGCAAGAGCACAATAATTTGGGCGGTTCACCATGCACTCATTGATGGTTACTCAGCCATGCTTTTATTCTGCAAAGTCCGCCGCATTGTTGCAGGATTATCTGCCCGCCCAAGCCCTGGCCCATCATTCAAACAGGTTGATAGACAAATTGGACTATGGCGTCAACAGCACAAGGAGGAAGGAGATGCATACTGGAGAAGACAAGCTCCCCAGCTTGAACAATCACAAGGAGACTTGCTGCTTCCGGCGCCTCCAAGTCAAGGAGATACTTCCTGTTCTGTTATAGAGAGCGAAGAGATTCATGTCATAAGTAATATCCCGGGAACACAACTGCAGGGGCTTGTCAGGAACCTGGGCATCACACCAGCCGCATTCTACTATGCAGCATGGGCAGTAGTCCTAAGCTGTTATGCTGACTCGGACAGCGTCATTTTTGGAGCGGTACTGGCGGGAAGAAACCTCCCGCTAGAAGGGGTTGATGAAGTAATAGGTCCGCTGGTCAACACATTACCACTCTGTGTCAAGGTTGACCGAGATTTATCTGCCGAACAGTTCCTGAAGGCTGTGTTTGCCCAGATAATGGAGTTGGCCGAGTACCAATGGACCACACCTGACAATGGCTATACCCGAAACTTCGCAACTGCAATGGCCTTACAAGTACCAGAACCAGAATGTCCAGGGGGAATACTACCAATAGAAGCTCCATACACACGTCAGACGACAGATGTACCGCTTAGCATCAACGTGCAGCCAAATGGCGGAGCAAGATTTGTTTATCACACCTCAAAATATAGCCGGCGGGATATAGGGGGTGTTGGACGTCACTACCAACGCGCAATGCAGCTCCTTTTAATACCACATCGGTCTATAAAAGAGTGTCTGCAAGGACTTCTGGGATGCGCTGATCTCGAGACACTGATGAACTTTGGGAACTGCCACTCCACGCTCACAACCACTATGGCAGTCCAAGATGACCTGGTAACATTATTCGAGTCAGCAGCTTCCAAGAACCCTGATGCAATCGCCATCCAGAAGGGTAGCCTCGAGATGACATATGGGCAGTTTGATGCACAGTCCAGCCGTGTAGCAAGCATATTGAGAGAATATTTATCTCCAGGTGATGTGGTTTGTGCCCATGCAGACCGCTCCTCTAACTGGATAGTTGGGATGATGGGAATCCTAAAGGCAGGGGGTGTCTATTGTGCAGTAGATGGCGGACTTCCGCAGGAAGCTCGAGATATCATATTTTCAGCTTCCGGAGCGAACGTATTCCTTATTCCCTCAGAGACCAACAAGGGGGTCTGTCCGGCAGTCTGCAAAACCCTGCTTGTTACCGATGAATTGGTAACCAGGGACGAGGTTCCTCTACCTCATCGTCGTTCACCTCATCCAGAAGCTAATGCCTATCTATGCTTCACCTCTGGCTCTACTGGAAGGCCTAAGGGAGTCATGTGCAGCCATGAGGGTCTTGTGGCATTCCAACGGGATCTGGAAGTGCGGCTATTCGCACAACCAGGGCACCGCGTCGCTCAGATAATGTCGGTAGCTTTTGACGGCAGCATTCATGAAATATTCTCCACAATTTGTTACGGCGCTACCCTCGTTTTGCAAAGCGGAGGGGACCCTTTTGCACATCTCAGCGATGTCGATTCTGCCATATTGACCCCTTCAATGGCGCGTGTCTTAAACCCTGCGCACTATGATCGATTGAGTTCCGTAAGTGTATCATCAGAGGATCTCCGTATCCGAAACCAAAGTTTTCTAACGAAGGTATTTATCTAGGTTTACCTCGTGGGGGAGCCGGTTCCACAGGCTGTATGTGATCGGTGGTCCCAGGAGAAAGCGCTTTATAACATGTATGGGCCAACTGAGGGCACATGCGGCGCAACCATAAAACGCTTGTATCCTAGTCAAACGGTGACAATTGGGCCACCAAACCCCTCAACACGGTTATATATAATGAATCGGCATCGTGAACTAGTCCCCCCTGGCGTGATTGGCGAGATATACATCGCTGGTGTGCAGGTTGCTCGCCATTATATTGGAATGCCTAAGGAGACTGAGGAACGATTCATTGCTGATCCCATACGCCGCATTGGAGAACGAATGTATAAAACAGGAGATCGAGGATACTGGTCTAGCAATGGCGAGGTTGTTTGCTTAGGCAGAAATGACCGTCAGATTAAACTCCGAGGATTCCGTCTTGACTTGGACGATCTGGAAACTCGGATGGTTCGTGCCTCATCGGAAGTGACAGCTGTGGCTGTGGCTAGGCAGGGCAACCACCTTGTTGCAGCTATTCTTCCATCCACAGCTGATGTGAGTGCTTTTGCAGCGAGAATAGCACAGGTTCTTCCTCCTTATGCAAATCCTCGCAAAATATTTGCCTTGAGAGAATTTCCAACCACAAAGGCAGGCAAGCGGGACTACATAGCCCTGGCGAAGATGAGCCTTCAGGCTGCTACACCCACAGGACGGCCGTTACGAGGGTGCCTGGAGGAGTTAATCGGCGAGGCATTTCGTTACGTGCTCCGACTTGAGCCTCAGGTTTCACTCAACACACATTCCAGCTTTCACGAGCTAGGAGGGCATTCGCTTTTGCAGCTGCAGCTCAAAATTCGCATAAGTCAGGTTCTAGGCCAACAGATCCCGCTCCGCCTAATAGTGCAGCACGATCGCATTGAACAGCTAGCAGAGGCTATCGAGAAAAATGGCCCAGGGCTGCAGCTCCTCAGGCGCGACGAAATGGTTCTTGGGGAATCAAAGCTATCTCCAATGGAGTTAGAATGGTGGCATAAGTGCCAAGTGAACGAGTGTACATCCAGTTTCAATGTCAACTTTATTGCTAAGATGGATAGCAAAGTCGTTAATCGGGTGCGTCTAGCCGATGCTTGCAACGATGTGATGGCTCGCCACCGGATCCTGCGATCGCGTTATATATACTCTCGGGCAACAGGATCCGCGGTACGACAGTATAGCCCACTAGCTCCCCGAGTGCGGCTGGTTAACAGCACTATCAACCCATGGATAGAGATTAATCGGCCATTTGCATTGGCAAGGACAGCTCCCATTAGGGTTGTGATTTCCAGGTCACAATTTATCTTAACCGTTAGCCATATAGTTGCCGATTTGACAACACTTCAGACGTTGCTGAGAGAGATATCTCAAAGATACCATGGGGAGCCTCTCCTTCCGGTCTCAATGACTTATATGACCACCACGACCTGGGGGAGTGTACCTAGTGACTGTGATCTAACTTTCTGGTCAGAAACACTGAGCCAACTTCCACCGACATCCCATTTACTAGGACATGAGGGACGTAGGCGCGGGTATCGTGGAAAGTCCGTCTTCTGCGAAGTGCCTTCAGCGGCATACCAAGGAATGAAGAGCCTCATCAGTCGGTCGTCCATTACAGGTCAGCAGCTGGCAATTGCCGCAGTCGCACTCTGCTTGGAAAGGCCTACTACGGCTCCTGCTGCCATAAATTCAACTGACATGGTCTTGGGTATTCCGTATATTAACAGGAAATCGCGTGATGAGCTAGATGTGGTTGGACTCTTCTTGGAGCCATTACCAATCCGTATCAGATATACGGCGGATGAAAGTACCGACAAGGCAGAGCCATACCTCAAAGCAGTACAACAATCGGTGCAAGAGTCAGTGGGCCATTCAATTCACTGGGATCAGCTGTTAGAGCATCTTCAGGTGCGCACGTCAGCCCCAGATCATCCTCTGTTCGAGACCGTCGTTACGTTCCATGGCCGGGACCATTCGAATGGGCTAGAAATCTCCGCGCCAGGGTTTGAGACATGTTACACCTTTACTGATGGAGCCAAATTCCGACTACTCTGTGAGTTCAGTGCTGTATCAGAGGACAAACTGGTGTTGCGGATGGAGTATGACACGGACTGCTTTTCACTCGATGATATACATCTCTTGCAGACACGAATCCCGCTTGCAATCGCCCTTTTAGTCCAAGGAGTCCCTTATCCAGTGATCCGACAAAGGATAGCCAGTTTGCGTGATGCTCCTGTCGTCAAAGTCCTGCAACCAGACGTGGTGTTTGGGCTTCCGCTCTCCAGCATCTAGTCTGTCCTTCGGTTCGCTTTGAGCCTGGGCATCGGGCTTTTGCCATCGCGGGAAAGAGTTAGTTATTTTCTTTTGGGGCGTTCTATCTGCTTTCTTTTTTTTTTTCGCCTCTTCCTTTGTCTTCTTGGTAGCTTGCTGCAGGTGTCGTGTAGTTATATTTCTTAGGTAGCTCTAATAGAACGTTGACTTGTTGTTTGTTCGTTGTCGTCGCTTTTTCCCCTTTTGGGCCCCAAGGAGCCAAGAAACCAACAACCACGTGACCGCCATTCGGCTAAATTCCGAGTCAGCATCGAGTTTGGCTCGCTTGAATATCTGGAAGCTGAGCAGCCAGGTGGCTAGTTTCGAGCCAGAGAGCCCGCCTTAGAGGAAGCTATCCACCAGATGCATGGCCTTGGGCGCTCCACCGCCATCTGGACAGTAGTATGAGAACGTGTGCTGGTTAGTAGATCCCCGCAGGCGTCCTTCGGCTCTGGCCGCATTGAGACCCAGCAGCATGGATACATCAGTCCGCCTGGGCTTGTTGGGGATCGCTTATATGCAGAGGCTATTTGGCAAAGAAGCGCCACCAGCTCTGCGACCCAAGCTACAATGTGGAGAGAAGCTTGATACCTCTCAGCTGGGCTTGCAACGTGGGAAAATACTGCATGTTTGGCCCATAATCATGCAGTGACATACGGCGCTACAGCCATATCTGGAAGAAAAAGGGGTTGATCTTTGCTATCCTCGCAAAGAACGAAGTAGAAGAGCCAATGGCCAATTCTATGCCTGAAGCTGGTCAAACCTGGTATCTCAGTCTTGTTGTCAAGACAATAGATAAATACCCGGGTCTCCTCTTCCTTTCAACCTGATTGTTTCATACCATCATTCTGAATTATCCTCTTGGAATACCCCTCCCCTTAGTTAACTACTCAGGCCTATCTCTCAAACTTGTGGAAATGCGTTTGATTAACCTTTTACTTCTCGGTGGGTGAGCCCAACAACCGTATTTTAGCCTTCAAAGGCATTACCTTCTGTCATTTGAGAAGCTGCTTATGCTCCTTTACGTACAGCAACGGGGATTTCGACTGCTGCTGCTCACCCTGAGGAGAAAAATCAAAACCATTGTGAGAAGTGGTGCATAGCCAGTTTTGGTCCTCTCAGCGTTGGCTGTATTGCACTCGCCTCCAAGGGTAAAGGACCCTGCTATGAGTGTGGCCCTGCAGCGAGAGAGCCACTTTCCAAGCTGTTGTGCAACAAGGATTGTGTTCCAATTGGTGACCAGCACTGTGGTGGCTGTGGAATCACAGTATGCATGTTTCTATTCCGCAATATGCTCGACTACTTATACCTAACTTTCATCTATAGTGTGGAAATGGAAAATCGTGTCTGGGTGGACGCTGTGTTTGCCCAGCCGGATCAACCATTTGCTCAGGTACATGCAAGAACCTGAGAAGTGATAAAGAAAACTGTGGTGCATGTGGAACAGCGGTAGGCTTTCCAATTTATATCTGATTGCAACCATGTTGCTGATATCCACGTGTATAGTGCGGTAAGGGAAAAATTTGCTTTGGTGGGAAATGCATATGTCCGCCTGGGCAGATCGACTGTTCCGGATCGTGCAAAATCTTGTGGAATGACGAAAATAATTGTGGTGCTTGTGGTGCTTCGGTATGTTTTGCTACAATTTTCTGGGATTTGATGCTAATCTTCTGGACGACAGTGCGGCAGCGGGAAGGCTTGCCATGGAGGCAGATGTGTTTGCCCCGGAGGATCTACGAATTGCTCCGGAAGTTGCAAGAATCTCAGGAAAGATAGTGAAAACTGTGGTGGCTGTGGGAAGGCGGTATCTCTCCTGCTGAATTTGAACATATTAACGTACAGTATCTAACCTCACTGGCTTTCATAGTGCAGTAATGGAAATATCTGCGATGACGGCCGTTGTGTGTGCCCAGCTGGGTCTGTCAATTGCTCTGGCGCCTGCAAAAACCTGAAGAGTGATATTCTTAACTGTGGTGCCTGTGGAAAAGCAGTGCGTATCCTATTTCTATCAGTTAAACCCCTGCTAATAGACTTTAGTGTGGCAATGGCCAAACATGTGCGGACGGGGTGTGCGCGTGTCCTTCTGGATCAACCAGTTGTTCTGGGAACTGCAAGAATCTGCAAACTGATATTGCTAACTGTGGAATGTGTGGGAAAGCTGTAAGTCTAGATAGACATCATTCAATCCTTGAACCATGACCCTTGGCCAGTAACTAATAACCTCAATTATACAGTGTGCCCCAGGACAAACTTGCCAAAATGGCCAGTGTGAATGCCCTCCCGGTTCGACTCTTTGCTCTGGAACTTGCAAAAATTTACTAAATGACAATAACAACTGTGGCACTTGTGGGGTTGTGGTATGTTGTATATTCTTTAAAAACACATACCGTGCTGATTGTCAATAACTAACTAACGCCGTACAGTGTGGAGCTGGGCAAACCTGCCAAAACGGAAACTGTGCATGCCCCCCCGGTACAACCCTTTGTGCTGGGGCATGTAGAAATTTACAAATTGATAACTCCCACTGTGGTGCCTGTGGAATAATTGTACGTCGGCTTTTGTTTCCGTCCCCAGGATCCTGCTTTCTACGGTCCTTTAACTAAATCTTTCGAATATATAGTGTCCTAGCCCAAAGATATGCCAGGGTGGGCAATGTGTCTGTCCTCAAGGAACTACCTTCTGCTCTGGGACATGCACAAATACCCAGACTGATCCCTTTAACTGTGGTAGATGTGGACTGTCGGTATGTCATATATGTCCTGTACTATCTCCACAACCGTGCCACCCTCTACAGTGCTAACAAGGTTGATTTATAGTGCGGTGGTGGCCATCCCTGCCAGGACGGCCGGTGTGTTTGTACGCCATCTGGTGGTCAATGTGATTTGGGCAACCCTGGTGCATGCTGCAGCCAAACATGCACGAATTTCCATCCTCCAGCGCCTCCAGTCTGTCTTTAAGAAGGGTGAATAGGCTCTTGATAGTCCTATATTACTGCAGTTAATTTAAAATTTATGAGTTAATTTCTTCTAATTGGCATCTCACTTGTCACGATGCGAGTAGATAATGAGCACTTAAACGGTGATAATAAATATTTTCAATGCCGGAGTTAGTTATAGTTCTGTCAGCTATGAAGCGCCACTGTTTGTTTCTTAGTTACCCCTGAGCACAAGTAGTTAAATATCCAGAATTTTGAGTTTAGCATTCTTTTAGTTACGACCAAATCCGCAGCTGAAGAAACAAAATATCAAGGCTATTGTAGCAGTTATGAAAATGGCAGACACTGAGTTGAATTTCGTGAATTACTTGAAGAAAGGCTTGATATCATCCTCCAGGGGCAGGATATGCCTGGAGTTGTGAGCTACGTCCTCGACTGCCGCCAAAACGCGGAGAACATTACCGCCAATGACTCCGACCAGGTCATCAACACAGACGCCACGATCCAGCAGTTCCTGGATAAGGTCAGGGTACTTTGAGACATCTTCCAGTCCTCGCATCCCATGAGCCATTCCATCGAAATCGCTTCCTAAGCCGACGTGGCGGTAGCCGATCAGGTTGCCCACGTACTGGATGTGGTCAGCAACGTCAGACAGGGAGGCTTTGTCTGCACTCTCGCAGTTGGTGAACTCGGGATAGAAAGTTATCATTATGATCCCATCGTTCTTCTGAAGGGTCTTGAGGATGTCGTCTGGTACATTGCGCGAGTGCGGGCATACGGAGTAGGCGGACGAGTGCGAGTACATGACCGGTGCCCGAGAGAGAGCCAGCACGGCACGCTGAGTCGCGAAGCTGGTATGTGAGATATCCACGATCATCCCCAGCCGATTCATCTCAGCAACGATTGCTTCTCCGGCAGGTGAGAGGCCATTATGCTGGGGTGCAGAGGGGGCCTCGCTGTCAGCGTAGTGGTTGTGGCATGTATGCGTGAGAGTCGCATATCGCACGCCGAGCCGGTGATACATGCGCAGCACGCTGGCACTGGTGCCGATTTGGTGCAGTCCCTCGATGCCGAGCAGGCTGGAAATCCTTCCTGGAGAGGTACGGAAGTTGTGCACGATGTCGGCTGCCGATGATGCTGGGACCAGATGCGCCGGGAAATGCTCGATCATGCGATGCACCAGGTCGATTTGCTGGAAGCTATCTCTGATTATCTCATGGTAGAGATCTTCGCTATCATTAGCAGCGGTGTATGGAGTTCTCGGACTGCGATATGTTAGACAGTCTCCTCTCCGGGCCATGGGTGGGCTTCAGGGGGTCGTCTTACCATTCGACATAGGCGCTCCAGAATTGGGCACCTAGCCGTCCTTGCTGCAGGCGTGGGAAGTCGACTTGGCCATACAGATCTCCCTCGCTGGTGAAGTTGGCCTGGTAGATGTGATTCTGATAATAGGCCCGAGTCCATATCGGAAAGTCATTGTGGCCATCTAAACAGCCATGTCAGTCAATGTAAACTAGTTAACCAAGTGGTTTACCCAGTTGATTGATGTGTTTAAGGGGCCATGGTGGGTTTGATGCCATACCAGTCAAAGGAGCCTGCGCCAACACCTGCTCCAAGGGACTCAGATGCGATGTGCAGTTTCTCGAATATGTGAATGCTCCAGATCGTAGGAGTACAGACGCCGCCGATAATAAAGCAAACGCGACCAGCGAGGCGTATGTTATCTGTCGCTTCCGGCTTCTACCACCCACCACCAGGCCTGAGCGAAGAGCCAACCGCTCGATATCAACCTTTTCGTCCATTATGGATGTAAGCAGAGTCTTGGTGCTTAACATGCTCAGCTAACTATCGCACGACGGCATATATATGCGAACAATCGCTCTTCCGGTTGCGGTGTTACAAGCCAACATGGCCGTGGACTTACGGTGGCCGATGTCATTGTTACGGCCTCCGGGGAATCAAAACCAGCCTCTCCACGATCGCCTATAGTTGGGAGCAAGGCGCTGTTACTCTGACCACTACTGAGCCATAGTTAATCAAAATCCGCTTTGCAAACATGATGGGTTTCCTTACTACAGACGCTGCCTTGCCAATTCTCGCTGTCGCGGCTGGTGTGATCTTTTTCATCACAACACCACTGACTCAGAATTTTGCAGCTGGAGTCTTGTCCGTGTTTCTGGACGTAAGTATCTTCTAGCATGTTAGGATGTTCAGAGATTCTAATATTCTACGCAGAAATATCTTCGTTGGCGCTACCCCATCCTGTCCACGGACGGCAAACGTCTCCTTCCAACTTGCCCCTACCAATGGCCTAATGGTCAAGGAGATGTCGCCAAGTTCCTCCAAGGTATTGAGAACTGCGATTTGTGGGAAAAGGAGCATGGAGAGATCTATCGAATCTGGTCAGGCATGAAATCGGAAGTGTATGTACTCGCAGGATCGTCTGGCCATATATACTACCTACCTGTTTACTGACTCTAAACAGCGTCCTCACTCAGCCATATCAGCTTCAAGCCGTCTTCAGGGACTCCAATAAACACTCCAAGGCGGAAAACAACAATTCTGGCTATCTTATGAGCGAGCTCCTCGGCCAGTGTGTTGGACTAATTAGCCGTGATCGATGGAAAGCCCTCCGTGCTGTGACGGAAGTCCCGTTCCAGCATGACAAAACTGGTTCTTATGTGGACTTGGTTTTACGCCATACCCAGCAGCACTTTGATGAACTGAGCACCTCTGGTGATTTGAAATATGGACGCATCCAGCCAGCCCAGGACCTGAAGATGCTCCCATTTTGGATTGTGGCTGAGATATTCTACGGGGAATGCGATGCTGCCATGCGAACTGAACTACAGGAACTATGTGTCATCCGTGAGCGTCTATGGAAGAAGATGATACAGGGCGGCCTTGTGCGCTGGAACTGGTCTCGATACTTGCCCACTGCAACAAACAGAGAACTTGCCCAATTCAAGCAGCGCTGGAGGGCTTTCAACCAAAATGCTTATGAGAAAGCATGCAGAGAAAGCAACCGCGGTCTTCCCATTGTATCTATGACTGAAGCTGCTGGCGCCGGTTCCATCTCACTAGAGCAGCTGTACCAGACAATTGATGAAGCCCTCTTTGCCAATTTGGACGTGACAACTGGTGGCATTTCCTGGAATCTCGTCTTCCTCGCTAGCCATCCAGAGATCCAGGAAAGGGTTCGAGCTGAAATACTAGCCACTGAGAACCGCGATGCATACCTTGCTTCGTCGTCGACCTTACTCGCAGCCTGTGTATCTGAATCAGCTCGCCTCAAGCCACTGGCTGCATTCACAGTTGCACAGTCCCCTCCTACAGATCGTACGGTTGGAGGATATTGCATTCCCGCTGGAACGAATATTGTTGTTGACACGTACGCTCTAAATATCCGCAACGAGTTTTGGGGCGAAGACCGCAAGTCATACCGGCCAGACCGCTTCCTCGAGCGCCGTGCTACCGAGCTACGATACCAGTACTGGCGTTTTGGATTTGGTCCACGGCAGTGTATGGGCCGGTATGTGGCAGACCTAGTTATTCGGACCCTTCTAGCACATCTGGCAATCAACTACGAACTTGGCTGGCTAGAGTCATCGACTAAGGATGATGGAAAATGGAAAAGAGACCTAGAGTCTTGGATTACGCTCCCGGATATGCAGCTTAAGTGTGTAAGGCGGGAGAACCTATCCACTTAGAATGTATACAAACACGATGTTTCCGTATGTTTCTATAAGAATTGAATGCAACAACTTGAATATTCCTTATGATGATAAATTCCACTAGCATTCCAAGATCATCTATGAAGTTCTTCTAGTTACATCTTTAATTTCAATGTCCCAAGGTAGGAGCACGCTCCAAGACTCGTTTAATTGCAGGCCTGCTCAGCATCCGCTCTCCCCAGCGTTGAATATGTGGCCAGTCCTTGACGTCTACGCCAAAGAAGCTGAACATCCAAGGCATCGCAAACGGGAAATAGGACAAATCTGCTACAGTTGGGCGGTCTTTCAGAGCGATGTAGTCCTGACCCGGCTCTTTTAGCCTCTTTTCCAAGATATCCCACTGTCGAACGGTATTTGCATGCAGCCTGTGAAAGTCAGCCGCTGAAAGTAGATAAATAGTTGAACTATGCAGACTCACTTCTCAATTGTACGGGGGAGTTCAATTGGATTAGCCCTGGTGGGATATCCTTTCTTGAAGTAAAGCCAGTACTTGGCCGTGGGACTACGACGTTATTAGTTGTCGGAATGATAGAAATAATGATAGCCGTGGTGATAGGAACATACCCTAGGGCAGCAGTCTGATATGCAGTCCATGATAAGATGGCCCCCTTTTCAGCAGCGGTGCGACCAGTCCAGAAACCATCGGTGTCGAAACGATCGGTTAAGTACTGCAGACAAGCAGTGCTTTCAAAGACAATGACTTTCTCCTTGGTGACTGGATCTTCGTCCTTAAGACTGGGAACGTATCTCTCTGGATGGATGCTGTAGAACCATTCATCGCGGGTATCGATGACAGAAAGGACATGCGGGAACTGCAGCTCTTCTGCCAGAATCAGGGGCTTCATATAGTTGATATAAGAAGTTTGGTCGGCTATAGAACGACCCCGGGCATAAGCATAGGCTCAGGGATATAGAAGGAAAGAAATTCACCTTTGATAATGTAGATGATAACCCGGCCATCGTAGTCCATATCACCCATTACGACTTCTCCGTTAGTGGTAGCCATGCTGAATATAATAAGGGATTGTTTAGATAGATACCGAGATTTAGAAGAGTGAAATGAAAAATATCTAGTGAATCCATACACGGTTTTTATACCTGCTCTATATACTAGTTCGACTAATACTGCCCGAGATATCACTATCCCCTCGGCCACCGGAGCCATGCAGTCTATGCCTTCCAGTCGGTCCTTGGCCGGAGATCAATAGCACAAACCCAGGACCGTCGTAGGGGATAGATCTTGGAAATTTCCCATCCCGAAGCTGCAGCAAGTTCCTGCCATTGCTCTTCCGTGCGTTCCTGTCCATTGGCCGTCATCATCATGTTGATATCGCCGTATCTAGAGAGACGTCCGTATTGGCCATCGGACAGGATTGATTCCAAAACAACCAAACGGCTGTCTGGGCCTGGAATCAGAGCAGCACGAATGCAGCGTAGAATGGTAATCACGTCCGGATCCTTCCAGTCGTGAAGAACCCATTTCATGGTATACACTTCAAACGAGGGTACAGACTTGAGGAAATCACCTCCGATGAGGTTCTCGCGGGGAACACGCTCTCTGAGGTCATAGTAGGCACCATCGGAGTTGTGGAAGAGAGTAGTGGCATGCTCAATGGTGCGAGGAAGATCCAGGATCGCCCCCTTCAGGTCAGGATATTCACGGAGCAGGGACACTAGGAATCCACCACCACCACCGCCGACATCTAGCACTGTCCGGGAGCCGAATTCATGCCAGGGGTAATCAGCGAGGATGCCAGGTGCTTGGGCGATAGCACCTCCGCCAAGGGTTCTATGAAGGCGTGGCAACCAGCCTTGTGCCTGGAAGTAGGTGAACATATCATCGGAGGTATTGAAGTTGATTTGGGCTCCCCATTTCTTCTCGTCACGGCGAATGGACTGGGGGATTCCTCGAGCAATGTCATAAAACTCGTTGCCGTAGAGGTCGACCCAGTTGTGCCACTGTGTCCAATGGGTGGTATGGAGGAGGGCTGAGATACGGTTATTGCGGTACCGATGCGACACTGGGTCGTACTCAAAGATATGGTTGTTGTGTAAGACGTGCATGATCTGTTGCAGTCTGTCTGGGTTTGCTTCACTAGCATCTGCCAGCTCGGCTATAGTCAAGCCTTCTTCTCCGGCATTTGCAAGGATATCAACGAGTTTCAGCTCGACGGCAGCACAAAGGCACTTGGTGCTGACGTATCCTACGAAAGGTTAGCACTTGGAAAGAAATATGAATAAATATGAGTGACTTACCCAGGAAGTGGTCGGCAAGGACTAGATGGCCAGGCTCAAGGAGCTGTTTAGTCTCGTGTAGGATGTTGATGGCCTTGCCAGCGAGGGCCTCAACAGCAGAGTCTGGCAGATCTTTGTCTGTGTGGAGGGTTTGAAGCAAGCCCCTTTGGCCATTTTCCAGAAGAGCATTCCGCGTTGCCTCGACCTGGCTGATCAGGGTCTTTAGAGTAGATTCAAGGGAGGATCGCTCAACGGCCGTTATTGCGGGATTGGTGATTGCAACCATGGTTAGTGTGGTATGTGATGCTGATTGTTGATGAGGTCTGATCAAATCAACTGATTAGGAGGCACCGAGTCGGCCAAAATATAGTCTTCCTTTTCCTGCCAGGTGTACGGCTGCTGGATCCCTTCGGCGTTGCACCGGAGACCGAAGCGCCATGGGGCAAAAGGAGAGCGAAGCTGGCCATATAACTGATAAGACTGGTTAAAAGGACCAAGTTCCAAGGCAGGGAAGAAAGGAAGAAGGGCAGGCGTTCTGATATTGGATACCATGGATGAATCGGAGTTACCAGCGGATGTTTTGATCATTGGCGGCGGACCTGCAGGCTCGAATGCAGCATGGGAGCTAGGCAAAGCGCACCACCGAGTGACTCTTTTTGTTGGAAATAAGCCTGTCTCCAGTCCCGGTAGTGAAGTAGGGGAATCCTCACTGCCGGGCGTGCTTAAGAACCGCGAGCTCTTCCACCTATTGCAGCAAGAAACGAGCAAAACACTGCCGGTCACAGTCGAGAGAAAGAGAATAACAGAAGTGAGGCGACTACCCAACGGTCTGTTCGAGGCGGAAGATGCCGGGGGGAATGTCTGGCCCGGCAGACTCCTTATCCTGGCTGACGGTGCAGAAGAAGTCATGCCTGATATTGCTGGGTATCAAACCTGCTGGCAGCAGCAACGAATGTATGCCTCTACCTCTCTCATCATCGTCTTCATGTCGTAATCCACCGTGCTGTTATACTGACCAAACTAGACTGATGCATCCGTCTGAAGGGAAGCACGGCCGGGTCCCTGTCGCCGTCCTGGCCGTGGGCGACCTGGCCGAGCTGACCATGGCCCTCCACGCCGTCTGGCAGATCCGCCAGTATGCCTCTGCTGTACGGATCTACACGCATGGAGACCCCGAGCTGGCCCAGGAGCTGCTGTCTCGAGTGTCCCCCGATGCAGCGATCACCGTCGAATCCGCGTACATCCAGGAGATCCAGCCGGACGCCGACTCACCGCACGGCGTCACCGTCCAGCTCGACGGCGGGAAGAGTGAAAAGGCGCTCCTCTACCACCGCCGGGCCGCACAGCTCAAGGGCAACGACCCCTTTGCCCGCCAGCTGCGGCTCGAGCTGACCGAGTCAGGGGCTATACGCATCTCAGCGCGGGTCCCTTACATGACGAGCATGGACGGGGTATATGCCGGCGGCGACTGCGCATCTCTGGGCCAGCGGACGCTCCTCAAGGCCCTGGCGATGGGTGAGGGAGTCGCAGCGGCCGTAGCAGCCCGTCTGGAGCGCGGGAGGTGGAAGAATCTGGCGTACGAGGAGGAGAGCTGCCCCTGAATGCGATGCTATCAGGATACCGAGCCCATCATAGATAGACATCCAACTCCATAGATAGTAGCTGTTAGCTGCCATGCATAGACCGGCGAGATTTAACTGGCTCTCGACCTTCCATGTCGGCCTTTTTCTTTTTCTCCGTCTTCTTTATTCCCTCTGGTGCTTTTGCTCCCCGCGTCGGCCGCCGGTGGTGAAGTTGAAGCTGGAGCCGCATCGTGAGAGTCATCAACATATAAAAGGCGCCCAACGCCCTTGTAGGCACTCTCCAGCTCTCAGCAACCCACGATAACGACATAGATTCACCATCGTCAGCTTCAGAGTAAACAGCAATGGCCACTCTCTTTGACTGTCTCATCGTCGGCGGCGGCCCAGCCGGCCTCGCAGCTGCTCTGGGCCTCTGCCGCGCCGTCCGCACCGCCGTCGTCTTCGACTCGCAGGCCTACCGCAACAGCCTGACGGAGCATATGCACAACGTCTCGACCTGGGACCACTCGCAGCCCCGGGACTACCGCGCTGCTGCCCGCCGCGAGCTCACCGAGGGCCGCTACAACACCGTCACGCTGGCGGACGTCGCCCTGCGCAAGGTGTGGCAGCTGGACTCGGGCGAGTTCGAGGCCACTGACGCCGCCGGGAAGGTCTGGAGAGGCCGCAAGCTGGTGCTGGCGACGGGCGTCAAGGACGAGATCCCAGACCTGCCTGGATACGCCGACTGCTGGCCCAGATCGATGTACGTGGAGGCCCCCTCCGTTGCGAGATGCTGTTCTGTGCTAACCGGCTGTGGAGCTACCACTGTCTCTTCTGCCACGGCTTCGAAGAGCGAGGCGCCGACTCCGTGGGCGTCCTGGCCATCGGACCGACGGGCAACCCCAAGCCCGCTGAGCATCTCGCGCGGCTGGCACACAACCTGGCGAAGACGGTCACCATCTATACGAACGCGAACGACGAGCTGGCCGAGCAGCTCCGCCCGGCCGTCGAGAAGGACCAGTGGCTCAGCCTGGACAACCGGCCCCTGAAGCAGCTGCACAAGACGGACGGCATCCCCGTCAAGGTCGAGATGCAGGACGGGGCCAACAAGACAGAGGGCTTCCTCGTCCACGCGATGAAGACGACCCCCGTGCTCGGGTTCGAACATAATCTCAACCTGGAGCTGTCTCCCCAGGGCACCGAGTTCAAGACTACGCAGCCCTTCAGCGAGACGACCACCCGCGGCTGCTTTGCTACCGGTGACTGCGGCATGCCCATCAAGGCCGCCAGCATGTCGATGAGCCATGGATCTCTGGCCGCGGTGGGCGTCGTATCCCAGATTGCATTCGACGAGAAGGCATGATAGCCTAGTTATAGAGTAGAATAGCCACACATACAAAATAATGAACCAACAATTCAGTTACGAGGAGTACTTGATGATTGATATCGCATTCTTCAACTGAACTGAATCTTTAACTAACCGCATCCTTAACTAGAGTGTTTAACTAAATTCCCAGCTCATTAGCTATACTGCAGTGCTTTCAGGGGGTGGCTGGTGGATCTTCTTAACTACGAGATATCCAAGTCAAAGACAACAAGATCAAATATCATCACTTATGCTAAAAGAATTCATAATATTATATCTAACACACGACTTCTGCGAATAAATCTACTCGTCGCTGAATATCAAACATCTCACTTCGACACTCTCGCGCAACGGAGCGTCTTCAGGGGTCTCAGGATGCTGAAAGGCGCAGTGAGCGCACACTGAATTCACGTCAGCCGGTGCAAAAGAACAGAAAGAAAAAGAACTCACTGTGTCCGGCAACGTCCTTGCTGTCCCAGATCTTGATCATGGTGATCTCGTCCGTCTGCTGCCTGTCGAGATAGTACCAGTGCTGTCCGGCGTTGTGGCTGATGCTGACCGTCTCGCCGCGCAGCTCGAAGCGGCCGCGATACAGCTTTGTTGGATGGATATCGGCCTTCTGCAGCGTCGTGCAGTCCATCACAGCCAGCGGCCAGTCGAGGACGGGGCCCTTTAGCGGGCGCCAGACACTATTTACCCCTTATATCAGTTTGGCTTACCCCTGAAAAATGCCCGGGGGGGTACACACTTGACGATTCGAGCCCGCCCCTTAAGCAGCTCGTCTGCCTCCTCGGGGAGATGCTGGTAGACTCGCCTGCGAGCACCGAGAGGAGACCTGTAGTAGACTCAATTAATACCATGATAACTGTCTGCGAGGACTGTCCGTCTACTCACTGGTCGCAGTGGACCTGCTTCAAGTCAGCCTGGATCGATGAACGTCTGATATCAGATGGAAACACTTACTGTGCCCGCAGGCTGCTCACGGCCGTTGGGGTTCTTGCCTGCCAAAGAGGCCTCCCGGCGTCGGACGGTATGGTCAAATATGAATACCCTTGATGCTCCGGTGTGGTCTTTGATCAGCTTCTCAACCAGCGGGTAGTAGAGCTTCTGGACGGTCTCCTTGTCGCCTGCGCGGATGGCCTCCAACACCTCTGGCTGGCTGCCCTCTGGGTCCACGGCGAAGGCAAACCCGTGGGTGTCTAGCTGGAAGGAATCTCTCTGTGGCCGGGCATCCGTTACAGTGACACTATACGGCTCTTGGTGGAAGTTGCTGGTCTCAAATCCCTCTGCGGCTGCGGATCGGTAGAAGGTAGGCCCATCCTCTGGCTTGCGAGGAGCGAGGAAGTTCATCTGAGCTGGATACTGGGCCGCCATTGTGTCCGTGGATAATGGAGACCAAAAAAATACTGTCAATGAAGTGGTTAATGGAGTTTATCAGCTCAAGAAACTACGGAATATGTTCATGTTTTTGTATGTCTCCTCGTCGGCTTCGGGGGTTCCTAGCATCTGGTCCTGGGAAGCCGATCGGTGGCCGGTCTTTGATATACGGGTCTATATTACGCCCTCCATGCCGTAGAGCAGGCTGGAAGACACACTACAGCACTGGCTAACTGCAATACAAGCATCTACCACCATGGCCGCTCAAGATACCCCCCTCTATGACTGCCTCATCATCGGCGGAGGCATGGCAGGCCTCTCCGCAGCCCTCAGTCTTGTCCGTACACTGCACACCGCGGTTGTGTTCGATCAAGGCATCCACCGTAACGACCAGGCTCCCCATCTAGCTACGATTCCTACATGGGACAGCCAGGATCCGAAACGCTTCCGCGAACAAACCATACTCAACATCCAGTCCAAATACAACACCGTCGAGTTTGCAGATGTCAAGCTTGAAAAGGTGACAAAGCTCACCGAAGGGCCAAACGAGGGCAAGTTCTGCGTTTGGGACGACAAGCAGCGTTCCTGGCTAGGGAAGAAGGTGATTCTGGCCATGGGGGTGGAAGATCAGCTTCCCAAGATCCCTGGATTTGACGAATGCTGGACCAAGGGAATGTACGTTATTGTTGTCTGTATGCTCAACAATTGCCACTAACATGCAATAGTGTCCACTGCCTGGTTCACCGTGGCTACGAAGAGAGAGGATGTGCAAAGGCCGGCGTCTTTGCCATCGATGGAGATGCCAATCTACATGCTGCCAGACACCTCGCTTTCCAGGCCCGAAATCTGTCCACCAACGTCACCATCTACACAAACGGTAATGCCGAGCTCGCAGATGAGATCCAGTCTGCCCTAGGACCCTGCGGTTTCCAGGCCGAAGCACGCAGTTTCTCCAAACTGGTTCAGAATCAGCCCAAGCGATCTCTAGATATTCACTTTACCGACGGCACCTCAGAAACAGTTGGCATAGTCGTCCACCGACCGCTGACCAAAGTCCGTGGGCCATTTGCAGAGCAGTTGGGCGTCGAAATGACTCCAGAAGGCCATATCAAGACAAATTTTCCGTTCAACGAGACCAGCGTGTCCGGGGTATTTGTCGCCGGTGATGCAGGCTCGCAGTTCAAAATCGGCACCCAGGCCGTTGTCATGGGTGCCTTTGCGGCCGGTGGTGTCCAAATGCAAGTAAACGCTGAGAATTGGTCGAAGCCTGTGAATCCTGCAGCCTGAGATGTGTTATATCCTTCGGCTGTTGCTATGTAGGGCTTCGGCGTCCGAACTAGATCGCAGGCTGTTAATAAATACAAGATACATTAAACCCCCATTTAGTAACTAGATTATTTGTTAAACGTAGTTCATTCATTCTACTCTTCCACAAGAATGCATCTATCCGACCCTCTATCCACGGCTCTCTTGTTCGGGCTGTTTGTCATTGTTGCCGTCTCGCTCAGGGGTAAAAGCACCCATCTTGGATTCACACGCCTGGGCAAATCGCGACTTTGGACATTTTTCAGCTGGCAAAAGTCAACTCGCTTTGATCTTCCTAGATATGCAAAGATAGGATATGAGAAGGTCAGACTGCACTCCATTCATGTCGACTATTAATTCAAATCGCTGACGATGGCCAATAGTTCAATAAAGCGCTGGGAAAGCCCTTTGCTACGACGGTGTTCGGCCATGAATACGTCGTTCTTCCGTCAAAATACCTCGAAGACATCAAACGAGCGAGCCCAAAGAGCCTGAGTTTCTTCCAGGCCCTCAGTGATGTATGTTTTTACCTGCCCAAAGTTTCTGGACTTCCGGACTAAATATGTCCTATTTTAGGGGCTCAATATGGAGGCCTCTGTTGGCCATCTCTACACCAGCACAACGGAGATCGACGTCGTAGTAAAGCATTTGAATCCTCAACTCAGTACGTCTGATCGCTGAGTTAACTGATTATATGGGAGTATGCTAATACATTACAGCGAAATTGACCCCCCTTTTGGCTGAAGAGGCAGGTTTCGCGATAGACAAGGAGATAGGGGTAGTTTCTGGCAAGACTTCCATATCTACCGAACAAACCATTCAAATGCTAACGACGATACAGACTGGAAGAAATTCAATGTTTCTAACATCGTTGCTTCCATTGTCCATCGAACAACGAACCGGATCCTCGTTGGAAAAGAGCTCTGTCGGGATGAAGAGTATCTCTCGATCACAACCGGATTCTCTCGATCACTCTTCCTGCACGGTATCTTCTGGAATTTCATCAACCTGGGACCGCTACGGAAACTCGTCGCCAGGCTCACCATTTGGTTCCATCTCAGGGATCGAGATGCTGCTGCAAAGCTGCTTCTTCCCCATATACATGCCCGTCGTCAGGATAAAGAAGCGTCTTCTAAATATCAAGACGCCCTGCAATGGACACTCGACACGCCACCTTCTTTCCCTGGGGACGATGAGCCTCTGCACCAGGCATATCATATGCTTCACCTTACATTTGCAGCGAGCAGCGCCTCCGGTGTAGGAGTTACGCAGTGTCTGATCAACATTCTCGCATACCGCGAGTATCTCGAGCCTATCCGTCAGGAGATTGCTACTGTCATCGACAGACATGGAGGATGGACCGATAAAGCCCTCTCGCAGATGGCGTTAATGGACAGTTTCATCCGTGAGACCATGAGATTGCATCCTGCTGGCTCTTGTGAGTAATTACCGAATCTTATGGTATCATCGAGCATGCTGACGGCCCGCATAGTGACGGTGGCTCGAACAGTGATGGACGAGCAGTTCAGATTCCACGATGGCCTGACTCTGCCCAGGGGCACGAACATTATTGCACCAGCTCTGGCTGTCCACTATGACCCGGACAACTACGAAGACGCCCACCGATTCGACGGATTCAGGTTTGCCCGATATCGACAGAAACAAGGAGAAAGCCATCGATGGCTGGCATCTACCATCGACCAGAAATTCCTTCAGTAAGTTGTGTAACTGTCCTCGGGTCTGAAGGGTTGATTGTAGGCTGATGTCCTCTCCACAGGTTTGGCTACGGCAACCATGCCTGTCCAGGGCGATTCTACGCCGTCCGCAAGATCAAGCTGGTTCTCGGAAAGCTCCTGATGGGCTATGATTTCGACTGGGCGCAGCCTCGTCCCGCTGGAGACCGTCCGGAGGATTTTGCAATTGAGGCCCAGATGATGGCGGCCCCGGAGACCGAGATCTTGATCCGCAGCAGAACTTAGTATAGAAATTAGCATCAACTTAATGGCTATTTATGCAAAAAAGAATTGTTGTAGTTTATTTTCAAAAACTTGCTGCCAAATGGAAGAGCTTGAAACAAGGGGAACTTAGTTAAAAGGGGCTAATTTTGAGTATCAACGAAGGATGCAGTCTAAATAACTATCCAAATCATTTAACTGGAAACAAGCCTCGACTAGGCAAAACGTCACTAAATCCTCCATAACTAACCCACTTTCTGGAGATCTAGTTAATCAATACCAAACAGTTATGGAACCGGGATCATGCGGACTAGAGGAGCCGCCAGCGTAAAGGGCAGCGGAGACACCTCTCCCATCTTCAAACGGACCATGGCATCGCCCGCAAAGGGGAGCGAGAACCAGAGAGCGCAGACAACCCAGACATAGCCCACGGCCGGCGCCCATAGTGGCGTCTGCAGGCCGAGACGCTTCTTCCACAGCCAGATGACGAAGTCCTCAGCTGTGATCATCGCCGCCTGACAAGGGAAGAAGAGGAAGATGCCAATAACGATCTCGCCGGGTGTGATGTTTGCCGGTCGAGGCATCAACAACTGTGAAAGAGCATGCATCACACCCGAGATGGTGAAGGCCAGCCAAAGCTGGGTATAGGAGGATGCGTTTGTGCCCCGGTGGATGCCTACAGCATCGACAAAGGCGCCGGTGATCGTGCTAAGAGACTTTTGGCTTGTCAGCTGTCTGTTCGGCCATGAAGAGGACGCTGAAAAGACGAACCCTGCGTAGCATTTGATGCCAGAATATACCCCAGAAGTTTCTCACAGTGGTGGCTTCTTTCAATTTACCAAACAGTGGTGGCCAGTCCTGTTATGTTAAGTTATCGTCAGCATCAGTGTTTATTTATCCGCCTCCCATATAACGGGCTGAGACTCACTGATGGTCGACTGATACCCAACGCTACGGCCACAATGGAGACAACAAGATATTGCATGTTGATAAAGTAGTATGGCCCCAGTCCAAAAGTCAAGGCCTTCAGGAAGCTCCATCCCAATCGATGGTCGCTGACAGTGATATACTTGGAGTCCAGAGTTCCCACAACGCCAGCAGCATTGCTGAAGAAAAGACGGCGACCCATCTGTGAAACCAGGTCCGCCATCAATATAACCAAGGCGAACTCAGTAAGACGCCATATCAGGAATCGTACACGGCTCATACGGTCCAAACCTGCAACCGGAGGAACATTTTTGACCTGGTAGCTCCATCTGATACCCCTGAGATTCAGCAGAATGGTCACTGCCCATTTTATCTTCCTCCAACCCAGAGCTGGCCATGCAATAGCTTCTCTAGTGGCACGGTCTATTCTCCATAGATCATTTTCGGGTCCTCCTGGGGATGCAAAAACGGTCTTTTCCAAAGCCGAGAGCCAGTGAGGCCACGCCAGGGCGAAGAGGTTGGCAAGTCCTGGGTTGTTGGTAAATCGATTGCATTGGGCTACCACTGCCAGCGTGAGAATTACCGTCGCAGCTACTATTCGGCGTCCGGGGAGCTGACGAGGGCCGGCGAGAATCAGTAACTGCGCTGCTAGGAGTAGCAGATGTGGAATGATCGAGCCGTTTGCCGGGTGCAGATCTTTATTGCTAAGGGCTCCCATCGTGGGCAAAGGGTATCCTTGCAGATAGATGTACGGAGAATATCAAGCGAAACATACTGAATGTTATGATTTATATATCTAATGACATCGTATAAGGGGCTCTCCGGCCGGCTACCGAACTAATTACGTTCCTGTTGGCCGATGACAGTCTCCATGCGCTTAATGGCTTCCTCCAACCTGGATCTCTCCAGCGCAAATGTCATCCTGCACCATCCTTTCTCTTCTTCATTAACATGGTACGCCTTGCCACTGCTAACGACGACGCCAGCTAGCTTTAACTGACCGATCATAAAGCTTTCTTCCTCCCAAGATTGTGCGTTTGGCACCAGTCGTGCAAACACATAAGGCGCTGAATTCACAGGAATGTAGCGAATACCCTTTCTCTTAAAGAAGTCTGTGATGGTAGTATATGCCTCCTTCAGGCGTTGGGAGTTCAACTGTAGAAGATCTGGCAGCTTCGGTGATGTGAGAAGTGCTGTTGAAGCGACTGCAGCAAGGCTGCTTGTCTCTGTGTTGGAAGCTAGAGCGAGGGCAACATGCATCTCCTTATTCGCCTGGGTTACGCTGCACCCCTATCCAGCTGTTAGACCAACGGCCACAATCAAAGGAAGTGGGAAACGGAGTACTAACCACCCGGAATCCATTTGAACCAAAGTCCTTACTGGTACTCCAGAAGGTGTGCACTCGCGAAAGATCGCAGCCGAGCCTGGCTACATCGATTTGCAGTGCAGACACAAAAGGCGCAGCGTCTGGGATCTCAGGATTCTCAAATGACGAGAGCGCATAGACCTCGTCTGAAATGTAATGAATACCTTTGCCATGACAGAATTTGATGCAGTCCTCCAGTACAGACTTTGGATAACACTGGCCGAAGGGGTTATGAGGGTTAGTGAGCAAAAGGCCTCGAATCGGGATTTTGGACTCGCTGTACGCCTTTTCAAGGGCTGGGATCAGTTGAGCAGTGAGGGTATCTTCACTCTTCTCGACATGAACCATTACCGGCACTGCAGACGACCGAGCAGTGAAAAGCCAGTCGAATCCATCTATCAAAGCTGTTAGGACGGTTTTCTCTTCTTACCTCTCCCCCTTTTCTTTTCTCCCAGGAGGACTTACTCCAAAAGGGGGCGGGTACGAGGACTCCTTCTCCCGGCTCGCAGGTGTTGTAGAGAAAAGTATTCAGACAAGTCGCTGCCCCTGGCGCGGTTGCAACATGGTCAGGCTCAACGGGGATATGAGGATGGAAGTATTTATTGAAGAAAGCTGCCAGAGCCTTGATAAGGTCGGCGTCACCCGCAAATTCGTTGGGATACGAGAGATGCTAGGAAAGGGGTTAGAAACAACCACAACAACCACACGTTGGATACTTTCAGACATCGTACATGAGGCTTCAGTCCATCTCGTATGCCATCTTTGGTTAATTCGATGATCTCGTCTCGCAGCAGCCAGTTCTCGGCAGTGGAGAGATCAATACGGGGAGCAGTGGGCTTCGTTCTTTCGAGCAAAGCAGCACTTATCCCCGGCATGATCTTGTCGACATTAGCCGCACCGCGCTTCGATAGTCCCGCCCCAGCCATTTTATTCGATTATTCACTATTTTGCACTTGTTTATGCTTTTCTCGCAGCCTCAGATATGCTGGTAACATCCCATCATATATCCATTCTTCAGGGGCCGAAGCGGTGGCTCCCCGGAGGCCTCTCGGCTACCGAGCAGCATGCCCCTGAAGCTATCAAAACGGACCCTCCCCTCGAAAATATTTGGAAGTCAAGCTTCTTTACAGGTTTCAAGAATATACACATCTGAAAATGCAAGTGGCCACTCTCACACTGGCGTTGTGCTGGGCCTATCCAGCTTCCATCTATCTATCATACCTCTTTTCTAGGCTCGCCATCGCCCTCTGTCAAAAGAAGGAAGAAGGCGCCGCAACACCATGGTACAAGAAGACCCGTAAAACGGCCTTCACAGCCATATTCTGGCTTCAATTGCTGCAATGTGTCAATCTGGTTTGTTAAAATATACAATCTCAAGTGCTGGATAGAGGTTCTAACGCTTTCCAGGTAATATTCATAGGCATCATTGGCCTTCACCTCAGCAAGGGCTTCAAGTCAGAAGCATGGTGGATTAATAAGGAATACATGGTACCCAACCTAGCTCCTACTGCTTCCTTTTGATAATCTAACATTATTAGGCATCGAATATCGCGGTCGTAATGTTCCTTGTTGCTGGGCTACTACCAGACCCCGATGAGCCGTTCTCTCCGTCCCTATCTCACGCCCATGCATGGATACTTGCCGCAGTCACGGAGGCACTTCAAATTGCCATGTTCTGCTTCCAATTTGGAAAAGATCCTGTTAACTCCGGGATGGAAAGTGTTCAACTAGGTCTTCTCATGCTTAGAATGGGATTCTTTGTCGCCATGGCTGCTATCTATCTCCAACCTATGTATGCGTGGTCCCATATCAAACTTGGTGAGACCGACCCTCTGCTAGGCGAAATTGCTGCGAAGCCAGTACGTGATGCGCAGCATGGAGGATGGCTGGACTACGTTGTCGGCTTTAGCACCCTCTTTCCATACCTCTGGTCAGTGATAGCCAACCCCCCAAACAGCTCTCATTTTTCCTCACCATGCTAATGGAAACACCTATAGGCCATCAGACTCACGGAGATTGCAGCTTCGCGCAGTATTTTGCTTTTTCCTTTTGATTCTTCAACGCATAGTCAATATCTTGGTGCCACGCCAGTTAGGTTTCGTCGTTGCCTCCCTTGGGTCTGGTACAATTCCTTACAAGCAGCTTGCAATCTATCTCATCTTGAGGGGACTACAGGGTCAGCAAGGTGTTATTGGATCCATTAGAGCCCTTCTGTGGATCAGTGTCAGCCAGTCAACATACAGGAGACTCACATCTTCAGCATTCGAACATGTCCTCTCCCTCTCCCTTGAATTCCATCTTGGCAAGCGGATCGGCGAGGTCATGAGTGCACTAAGCAAAGGGAGTGCCTTGAATACATTTTTGGACGGCCTGATATTCCAGCTGTTCCCCATGGTGGCTGACTTGTGGATTGCTGCCTTGTACTTCTTGATTGAATTCGGGGCCTTTTATGCTTTGATTGTCATCTCCGTTACCTGGTTATATCTATTCGTCACTATCTACATGGCAAAATACCGTGGCCGAGCAAGACGTGAGATGGTAAACCGTGAACGTGAAATGGAAGCTGCAAAGTAAGATATTAATCCTTTTCTACAATCATTGAATTGCAGGATCTAACAAATGCCTGGTAGGACGGATGCTCTAATGTCTTACGAAACGGTTCACCACAATTCAGCAGTTCCCAATGAGCTCAGCCGATTCAATGGACTGATCAAATCCTTCCAGGGCGCTGAGTACTTTGTATTCTTCTCCCTAAACATGCTGAATGCTACCCAGAACCTGCTATTTACAGCAGGGGTTGCCATCGTCTGTCTACTATGTGCTTATCAGATATCCGCTGATATGCAGAAAGTTTCTATGTTTGTTACTTTGATCACATATCTGGCTCAGTTGCAAGCTCCTCTAAACTTCTTTGGAAGCTTTTACACGCAAGTTCAGAACAATCTGATTGATGCAGAACGAATGTTGGCTCTAGTAAGTCTAGTAATGACCGCGAGACAGTACTAATGCTAACTTCAATACAGTTCAAGGAGAAGCCCCTGATTCAGGACGGGAACAATGCTATGCCGCTAAACTACTGCAAAGGTAAAGTAGAATTCAAGAATATCAATTTTGCCTATGATGAACGCCGCCCGGCGCTTCGAGATGTTAGCTTTGTTGTGGAGCCTGGCACTTCAACCGCAATAGTTGGAGAAAGTGGTAGCGGGAAATCCACTATCTTAAAGCTGCTGTTCCGATTTTACGACGTTGCAGGGGGGTCTGTCCAAGTGGACGGCATGGACGTTCGTGATATGACCATTGCAAGTCTACGCAGCCATTTGGGTGTTGTACCACAAGATGCAATCCTCTTCAACGACACTGTGCTCTATAACCTGTTATACGCACGACCAGAAGCTACTATGGAACAGGTATACGAAGCCTGCAGGGCTGCTAGTATCCATGATCGGATAATGAGCTTCCCAGATGGCTATGAGACAAAAGTTGGTGAACGAGGGCTGCGGCTTTCCGGTGGGGAGAAGCAGAGAGTAAGTTATTAACATAAGTATTTACTCAGGACTCGTACCCTGACTGACCTTGGCAGATAACTATTGCAAGGACCTTCCTCAGATCTCCTCAGATATTGCTCCTTGACGAAGCTACGGCTTCACTAGACTCCCAGACGGAGCGTCAGATCCAAGGGGCTCTTGAGAAAATAGCCAAAGGCCGAACAAGCATCACCATTGCGTAAGTCACTGCAACTTTTTACTCGAGATACGGAGTCTAATCTTTTCTACCCCAGTCACCGACTGTCTACGATCACCAAAGCAGATCAGATCATCGTTCTACACCAAGGACGTGTTGTTGAGAAAGGTACCCATACCGAACTGCTGTCTGCAAATGGGATGTATAGCCAAATGTGGGAGAAGCAGACGAAGGCAAAGGTCAAGGCCGACAGTGAGAATGATGGAAATTTGCTGATATCCCCTGAATAATCTCATTCTTTGCCCTGTTTTAATATGTCCAGTTCTATATTTTGTTCTTTTCTTCATTGATGCTTCTTGAAGTATTAAAATGCATGGTGTCTTCTTCTATTTGACTGGATTTCGTATGTACAATCAAGTTCGGAATAGACTTGTATGCGAGAAAGGGGAAAATTATTAAATACTAGTTCCTGTTAACATCACCTAATCCAGGACATGCAGTGGCTTAAAACGTAATGGATGGATCTAATATGTGAAATAGTGCTATCTTCATAAAAGAACACGAGAAGATAGTCATGATGGTTCGTCTGTACAAGGTTTCAAACCTCACTGGGCCTTTGAGGTTGTTGCCTCCGCTGGTTCGTTCGTTGTGGCAGCTCCATTTTCTGCTGTTGTATCTCTTTGCTGGGGAGTCTCTTCTAGTCCAAAGTCGGTCTCCAGAGTGGTACGTAACTCAATATGTTTCTGGACCCCGACAAGGACAAAACCAAGCAACCCAAAGGCCATGCCAACCTGCCATACTGTTCTCAGACTGTCTGTGTAAACCGATTGTACTGCACCCTTTTCGGACCCTAGACCTTCAAAAAATGAAGTTCCTACTAGAGAATATGCGCCGCCGCGGGCGAGCTTGTCACGTAGGGCTGGATCACCGACCTTACCCAGGAAGCGATCGACTTGACCATTGAAAACAACAGCTGGGATAGCAACACCCCAGACGAAACCAAAGCTTCGAAGAAAAGCATAGGCAGAAGTTGCTGTGGCATTGTCTGATTCCGGAAGAGCGCCTTGTATTGCAGGGAGAATACTAGTTAGCAGGAAGCCATTGCCAATACCTACGAGGCACTGTAGGGTGACCCATTCAGCGCGAGAGGTGCGAACAGACCAGGTACTGAAGAGCCCCATGCAAATGGAGATGATGGCAAATCCAGCCCAATGTAAGGGGCGATAGGCTCCTGTTTTGGATATGATGACACCCCCTAGGATGGCGGATGGTATAAGAAACCCAGTGAAGGGTATGACAGAAACTCCCGACATAGTGGTGGATTGGCTCATAACGGACTGGAAGAAGAAGGCTAGAAAATAGACTATCCACTGCATCAACATCGCTCCAAGAAAGGAGAGGACGTATGCACCCATCGAGGTCCTGTTCCGGAATAAACGAGGGGGCATGGTGGGTTCCAGGCAGTAAGGGGATGCTTCAAAGATATGGAATAGAGCCCATCCAACAGCTCCTAGGATAAGGGGGACGAGAACATGGTAGGAGGACCATGGATAAATGGCACCACCAATGACTAGGGCGTACATAATAGCACAGATAGCGACAATGAAGATGGCATTTCCAATCCAATCGACGCGAGCTAAAGCTCGTTTCCATGTTGCTTCTCGTTGGTGCTGGACTCTGAGGCAGAGAACAAGTGATAACAGGGCCAAGGCCGAAAATGGAAGGTTAATGTAGAAAACCCATCTCCAACTAGCATGCTCGACTAGGACGCCCCCTATCAACGGTCCCAAGGATGTTCCCAGTGCGCAGGTAGAGAGTGCGATACCGACATACTGAGCTCGCTGGCGGAGGGGAACAAGGTCGCTTACGATAACATCTAGGAGAAGCAGAATGCCGCCAGCACCGAGCCCCTGGATTGTTCTCCCGGCAATCATCATGGCTGTCGAGGTCGCGCCACCACAGAGGCCGCTGCCCAGCGCGAAGAGGCAGACCATGGCTATCATGGGGTTTCGACGGCCGATAATGTTCGAGACCTGCCCAGTAAGAGGCTGGACAACGGCCGACGCCAGCGTATACGAGTTCGCGATCCAGACATAGTTTTCTTCGCCGTGGAGCTCGCGGGTGATTGTTGGCAGGGCAGTAGTGATAGCTGTTATGTCCAGGGATGCAACGAAGGATGCAAAGCAGAGCGAGACAAATACCAGCCAGAACCGGGTCCCGCGAGTAGTTGGCGGCTTCTCTTCACGCTGGCCGTCGTCGGCGGACCGCGTCTCTTCCATTCTTGCTCTTGTGTAGGTGTCTGATATAAAAGGGGAGAGGACTTGCGGAGAAGAGTGCGGTTGGAAGAAGGAGAAGCAGAGAGATGAAAGAAAACCAGCAAACGGTGGAAAACTACGAAAAGCTACAACAAAGGTCGCACGCGGCCGCGCCTGGATACCCTACCTTCATTTCGATACAATCCAATTGTGATAAGGCCACCCCCGGTGACCGAAGGACAGGCTAGCTATCAATCAACAAGCTCCCACGGTCTCCGAAGGTTACGCAGCCGCCCTCTTCCTTTTTGAATAGAAATAGCGCCGTGAGAGGGAAGGAAGAAAAATAGAGGACTGCAGGGTAACAGACAACGAATCGACGTAATAAATCTGTCAGCATTTAGCATTTCATTGTTTGGTTGTTTTGCCCCTGTCCTTTGGTTGGTTGAGTCGTGGAAATTCCCCTTTGCGGCGATGTTTGTATCACCCTCGCCGCTGCCCAAGGCCGAGGCCGAGAAGGAGCGGCTGGTCTGGTACTTGGCTTATGGATCGAACCTTTCGGCCAAAACCTTCCGTGAAGATCGCGGCATGACACCGCGGGCGGCTGTTGCCGTTAAGGTCGCTGGCTGGCGGCTGGCCATGTCCAGTGCAGGATTCCCATACCGGGAGCCGTGCTATGCCTCCATCACCAAGTACAAGCCAGCGACGGAGAAGGCAGTGGAGAACGGCGTCGACGACGACGAGGTCCTCTGCGGAACGGCCTACTTAATAACGTGGGCGCAATGGATCGAGATCATCGGTTCAGAAGGGGGCGGAATTGCCTACGACGAGGCTCTGGTGGCCGCGCAGCCAGTCCATCCAGCCCACCGCCAACGCTGGGGGGATCAAATACGTGTCTTGACGCTGGTCAGTACCATGGAACGGTGGCCGGAAGCTCGACCCACAGAACGATATCTTGTGAGTCTCATAATTTCTTTCTTCCCTCCCTCCTTTTCTCTCCGTCTCGAAGTCCTGGCGATCAACACAAAATAAGCTAACATTCCTGCCTCCCCGCTCTCGATCCTTCAAGGGTCTTATTCTTGATGGGGCCCAGGCCGCGAACTTTCCACCATCCTACATTGAGCGTATTCGCCAAAAGTATCCCTGCTATCAGCCGCCGTTCACAGTGTGGGAGTGCATGGGGGCAGCTATCTTCCTGGCCTTCTGGACTCCAGTCATGTCTCTGCTCAGCACTCTCACCCACTCCACTGCACGCACCGGGCCGGGCAAAGACGGCCACGTTCCTCCTGCAGTGCGGGCCCTGGTCCGCTTCGCCATGCTGGCTATGTGGTGGCTCCATGATACAATATGGGCAGGCATCTGGGGACGAGGAGACGGCTTAGATCAGTGAAGAGATGAAGCAAGACAAGTCTATTTTCATTTTTCCACCATACTTTCAGCGTATTGCAGCCTGCTCGCAGCGTATTCTCGTAAATGCTTGATGCCCGGTCGATCACTGAACCGGTGATCATGTAGGCGGTAAACGTTTTGAATCGGCCTACAGCCCTGCTCCTGGACCAAGGTTAAACATGCATCCTCATGTATCTCACAGTGTAGCCTGCGTATCACGCTAGTCAACTAGTTAGCAGCAGAAGCAACGCCGTCTCCAAGAACCAAAGAGAGATGAAGTTGAAGTTGAAGTTTGAAGCCGTAAAAAAGAAATTCAGGATCGACGTTTAGCCTGCTTAGTCACCGATTTCCTATTTGGGGAATCTTGACGACTGCCTTCAGCTTCTGCATATTTCTCGCTTAACACGCAGCAAAACAAACGGCCAGCAGGGGACGGCCAGGGACGCCAGGACAGCGAGAGGATGCGAGGGTGAGCGGCCGGCGGGCGTGCAGCGTGGCTCGATGCGTGTTATGGATGCCCCTCGTTCTCTATACTGCTTTTTTTTTTCTTTTATTTTTTTTTTTTGGCTGATGCCTCGCTGGCCATCCTGATCTACCGGGAAAGGGGGTTGCTCAACATGCTGGCCATTAATTATGACTACTCAGGCTCTGGCTGTGTGATGGGCCCCTTAGACAGGTCCATTATTGTCCTGGAGGGCATTGCTTGGCTGCCATGATGCATCCCGAGACGCAGCATGACTGACCTCGGAGGATTGCGTCTCCATCTTTGGCAGGGCTGAACCAAATGACGGTGCTTTATTTTTGGCTGGGGGAAGATATCTCCAGCCGCAGGCTGAGAATTCCTCCCTTCGTCCTTATCGGTGTCTTCGAGCGGACGAGAAAACGGGTTCACGACCTCGGCCTGCAGTCCTATAAGAATTACCAAGGGTCCTCCCCCCGTAGGCGAAGAAGCTATCAGAAGCTATCATCACTTGTCTAGGAGAAAAGAAACACTCTACGCCACGCAGCCATATCTCCCATCATAAGGAATATGTCTTCTACCGCCACCACCACGACCGAGCGGTTCGTTAGCCCATTCTATCCTGAGCTCGTTCATCTCCTTTTTGCTGACCTTGCCCTTGCAGGCCAGACTCATCAGGAAAGCCCGTGCGATGGCGGTCGGCCTGTAACCAATGCCATGCAGCAAAGGTAAACAACTTTTAAATCCATAGTATTTGATATCTAGTCCCCATCATTCGTTTTGATATACTGATAAGATTGCCCAGGTGCGATGCAGCGGCGAAAGAACCGGCTGCACTCGCTGTAGCAACCTGCAGTATGAGTGTGTCTATGCAGTATCCAGGGTCGGGAAGGTACCAGGAATCCGAGCTCGAGCAAATAAGCCATCTCGGGCGAACTCGGCGGAGAAAACTGTCCAAACCCCGCGATCTGAATCTGCAATGGTGCTGCCACAAGACGCCGAAGGCGACACAGACGCGCAGACCACCACCCAAACCACGGCCACCGAGCCTGACGAGCCCAATTCTCGTCCCGAATTTGGTGACAAACCAAACGCGGCTGACGCTGGTCAATTCTTTGACGCAAACACCCCCAAGTCCCCTGTAGGGATGTATGCGGACTGGACCAATCCTTCTACCGACAAGTCCCTCAATCCGTTTGATTCCGCAGAGCTTTTCATTTTACCCAGTCAATTGATGTCTTCCGAACATGACCCTAGTCGGTCGTCCCGGTGCCACAGCCAGGCCGCTGGGGACTCTCACACTCAAAGTCCCGTGCACACCACCCCTTATATAGACGCCGGAATGCTTCCCCTAGACCTACCAGATCTCCCAGACTTAGATCTACCCGACTTAGATCTCCACATTCATGATTTTCATCCGATGGATCTCCCCATCTGTTCATTGGAGACTCCTGCTCCTACCCCAGCAACACCATCCACTAAGAAGAGGCGTTCCGTCCACCTTGATCCTTCAAGGTCTTACCCGAGCCGTTCCGCGTTCCAGTATACCGAAAATGTACCTGTGACGGAATGTGACAGCGAGTTTACAAGTGGACGACTTCGTCAACAACAATACAACTATCGAAGCTGGACTATCCTAAGTTGTAACCGAATAGTGGAGTTTCTAGAACATCACATTCAGAGAGGTGTTATCGCGCTGGACGTGGTCATGCATACCAACAAAGTCACCCTTGCAGAAATTTCACGGCTCCTAAGCCAAGGTGCACACAAGGAACGATCCAACTGCGCCATGCTACTTCTCATTGCCATAGAACAAATCGTCACTCTTTTTGAACGCAGTGTGGGGCAGGACCCCTCGGACAGCGATCGTGCTAGCGTCATAGGCAGTATGGGAGGTCTCACAAATATTGGAGCCTGCAAATCCCTATCTCGCGGCAACAGCGGTGGAAACGTGCTGCCTAATCTCCGGTTCGGGTCGTTTCAAATCAGCCAGGATGAACAACTGGAACTTCGGTCTTATTTACTTCAACGTGAGCTACAGCGGTGTCTACAAGTTCTCACCACTCTTCGGGATTCCATTACCCTAGAACCCAACCCCTGCACAAAGCTAGAAGAGCGTGTGGGCAAGCTATCTTCCACCCTCTAATACCATAATAATCCAAAGAAAAGTGTATTTTGAATTTCCTTCATCCCGTGTACATAGAACAATCAGTTTCTCGAGGATTTTACACTAACAAAGAGAACGCCTAAGGCCTCAGTGGCCGGATCTTAACGTTCAAGTCGCCTTTATCCCACATCATCCATACCTTCTGCCGGGAATGCCAGTCTCTTGACTCCTCCGACAACTCCAACTCGAAATTCCAAAGCAGACGTGTGAGAACAAGTCTCATTTCTGCATATGCCAAACTGCAGCAAATCCATTAGCATTGTCGTCTCCGATTGGTCCGTAACTAGGCCCCGGTCACCGTTGGGGAACACTTACTTCTTTCCGAGACAGTTGCGTGGCCCATAGGAGAACGGCTGGTACGCCTTCTTGCAGTCATTTTTGTAACGCTCATCACCTAGCCATCGTTCTGGCACGAACTTTGTCGGATCTGTGAAGTTCTTCGCAGAAGTCATGGCCGCTAGCTGATTGATACCAACAATATAACCCCCCGGGACGTACCGGCCGCAGACTGTGGCACCGCCTGGGGGTGTTGTGCGAGGAAATGTGCAAGGAACAGGAGGGTACACCCTCATTGATTCCTGTAGTACTGCATTCAGGTACTCCAGCCCTTGGGTTGATCGCATAGTTATATCAGATTCATGCTGGAAAGTGGACTCTATTTCCTTTCTAAGCTTCTGCATAACTGCTGGGCTTTTGAGCAGATAGAAGAGTGTGCCTTGTTTATGCATATCATGTTAGCCCACATCGCTTCTTCCTTTTCTGGGCCTGGACTCTACATACCAGACAGCGCCGATGCAGTGGTCTCGCTACCGGCCATGATCAAGATCTGTGCATTTGCCTCGATCTCATCTTGGGTCATCCCTTTCTCCTCGGTAGCGCGGAGGATATATGTCACTGTCAAAGCTGTCAGCGTCGAGGTTCTTATCATATGTAAATCATGGACTTACTAAAGTCAGGTCTGGTAGTTTCTCTACCAAGACGTTCGCGTGCTTTCTTTTGACAAAACATGAACTGGTCCTGTAGATGCTGGCTTTGTTGGAACATACCAGCGATAGCCATCATCATGGGGAAGAGACCAGGAACACGACGGATAATCTGCATGTCCATTACAGACTTAATGGCTGTAAAGATGAGTTCTATCCATGGATGCATGATACCGCTGCGGAGACAACCGAATGGTTCGCCAAATGCGAGGTCTCCAAGGATATCAAACGAAGTGAAGTTGAACCAGCGGACCATATCCACCGTCCCCTTTTTACCCCCTTTTTTACCGATGCTTCGCCCTCGGAGTTCTTCAATTAACTGGCCGACGTACCCGGTAATGATTTCCTGCTGGGCACTGAGAGCTTTGTCTGACATCGGATGAGATAAAAGCCTTCGAAATCGCCGGTGGACTAGGGCAACTTGTCAGCTTCTCTATTTCTACATGGTCAATCTATATGTGTAGACTATACCATCGTCCTTTGCAACAATCTACACAACAAGATATCAGCTCCAGTCATGATGCACAAGCATAAATCAGCTACTTACTATTGAATCTACTCCATTTGGAGCGGGTGGAAAGAACGTTAGATCTTTTTCAAAGCTCTCCGTCCTCGTCCCAGTTCGATGTCCTAAATCAAAAATAAAGCCGTCAGCGGGAATCTATAAACTGTAGGAGAAAGTATATCCTCTTATCCTACCACAAATGTCCTCCCAGGCTTCCGCAGTATTATAAGACAACTCGTCCGGCGCGATTCTCACGCATGGGCCGTATTTGTCATGCCATTCTTTTGTCTTGTGCGGAAGCCGGCCAATCTTGAGATAGTAGGAATAGTACCACCTGGAAGCGCGAGCTAGCCACGGCCCCGGATATGATCTCAATGGATGAAAGTAAAGGTTATAAACGGTTTTTGCAACAGCAAACAGAACAAGCTGGATTAGTCGGCGGTCAGTATTCAGCTCGAGGAAGAAGGGGGGAGTTTAAACGTACACTGTAGACAATGGGCAGGAACCCAAATGAGAGAAACATGGCTACAGCGATATGAACAACTGACGATGCTTTACTGCTTGAAAATACTTTCAGCTTCGGAGGAAGTTTTACAGATTATATTTCTATCTACCTCGGCGACTAGGATCGGGATGGGTTGACAGCTCGGTCTCCGAGAGAAACGGGGCCATATCCCATATTATCAGACCCTTCTCCCTTCTGCCTTTCTCCAAACTCCCACGATTCATCGTTGTGTTAGAAATGGATTATTTGCATGCACACAATATTATTCCAGCCTGGCCATACATGGTTGGGCTGGTTGCAATAATATCTGTCTGGTGGTGCGTCAGTCCAAAGACAAATAAGATACCTATCGTTGGCGATGCTAAGAGCCAAAACTTTATGGCTGCATTGGAGGAAGGGTCTCGAAAGGTATTTTATTTTTGATAATCCCTTTTTGATAATCCTTTTACACTAGTTTATACACTTTAACTAACCATTAGCAGTATCCGGAATCGTGTTTTCAAATCCCGACTCGTGATATCCCAACCATCATTGTCCCACGTAAATGCCTCTCTACCATTGCTTATGCCCCTGAGCATAGATTGAGCTTGGGAAGGGAGGTGTATGAACGATTGATGGGCCGTTACACGAAGATGGTAAAGAGTGATCACTTGGCTGAGTTTGTACGCGGAGGGCTATCCAAACAGCTTGGAGCGAATATTTCCCTACTCCAAGAAGATGCCATATGGACTATCTCGTCACAGATCGGCAATTGTCCAGGTGCAAAATCCCTCCATCATAACAATACTCAAGGGTATCAATGTCATGAATTGATAGCTAACTGATATCCCAGAATGGAAACCACTTCAGCTTTTCTCTGCCATGGTCAAACTGGTCCCATTACATATTGGGCGCACCTTTATCAACTCACCTCTTTCTAGGGAGCAAGAATGGGTAAGAGGGATATCTACTCTGAAAATAGATGGTGCTTTCACTAATCTTGTTAGATCGACTTGACACTGGAGTATGCTATCTCAACTGTAACGATTGCCGCCAAAATGTCAAACACCCACTGGATGCTACGTCCGTTCAAGGCCCTTTTCCTCCCTGAGATTGGGAAGATGAGCCAGCAATTTAAGCAGGCCAGCAAGCTATTGTCCCCAGTATTAAACGCCAGGCTTTCAGGAGATGCTCCAGGCACTAAGGATTTGATGCAATGGATAATTGATAACTACCCGGGACAGAGCAACAACTTGGCCCTCCATACAAGGTTGCAACTTGAGGCTGTACAAGCGGCAACATATAATCTAGCGTTTCAGGTGAGTGTTCAGATGGTCCATATTCTAAAACAAGGAGTAAGCTAATAAGATATACACCCAACAGCTCATCCATTTCTTTTTTGACATTCTAGCTCATCCAGAATACATAGAACCATTACGAACTGAGATTCAAACTGTGTTTGATTCCTGTGGAGGGACCTGGACACCAGCAGCTTTGGCAGAGCTCCGTAAATGTGACAGTTTTCTCAAAGAATCTCAAAGATTGAACCCCATCGGCATTGGTAAATACACCCATTTTTATCCCAAGCAAAAGCATGTCACTAATATCAAAACAGTCAGTGTAAGCCGTTTTGCTTTGTCGAAGTTTGACCTGCCTGATGGTACCACGGTTCCAGCAGGCATCTCTGTTTCTGCTCCGGCTATGACTGTCAACACAGATTCGTCCCTATGGGAGTGTCCGACGCAGTTTGATGGCTACCGCTTTGAGAAATTGCGCCAAATCAAGGGCAATGAGTACAAGTACCAGTTTTCTTCTATAAGGTAACTATTCACCGATACGTGCCATGCAGAAAGTCCCTACTAATACCATTACAGTGCATCAGAGTTGAATTGGGGGTACGGGACACATTCATGCCCCGGGCGTCACTTTGCAAGTAATCAAGTGAAGGTCATTATCGCCGAACTACTTATGAAGTACGACTTCCGTTTCGAGGAGAATATACAGGATAATCAGACACCCAAAAGGCCTGCTAATATTTTTGACGGCGTTCGTATCATGCCGAACCCAGAAGCCAGGATAATGATACGGTCTCGGGATGTCAGAGTATAGTAGATACCTTATGTTGAAATACTGTAGCTGAAGAGTTTGTTCAACAGAGAGTAATTACAATATAGATCAAGGATGTTAACTAGTTGTTGATTAGAAAATAGCTTTTGTTGATCAATCATGAATTGCCCTATTATTTTTTGAATCTATCAATTGAAGACCATGCGTCTCATATTGTCGCTAAGCTATGAGAAGTATCCTTGAGAGCAGATACTAGAGGAAGAAGCTGTGAAGACCGGAGACCGGTGCCCCCTTACAGCCTTGTGGGCAATATGTTCGGTACCCGAAGAGAGGGATAGGGGTAAGGGCGATAGGATATATAGAGCAAGTAATCACTCCCAAGTCAATGGCACAAACAAAAGTTTCATTTTCACTGAAGAAGCAAACATGTCTATCCCAGCATCTTGTACTGCTCTGGTAGTTGGAGGTGGCCCAGCCGGATCATACGCTGCCTCAGCGTTGGTTCGAGAGGGAGTTGATGTAGTCCTCCTCGAGGCCGATGTCTTCCCCAGGTAAAGGACCCTCTGGCAAATGCCTAGCTTTAAGGGACAGTGGCTAACGTCGATCTTTCATTTAGATACCATATCGGCGAGAGCATGCTGCCATCTATTCGCCATTTTTTACGATTTATCGACCTAGACTCCAAATTTGATAGTTATGGATTCGTCCAGAAGGTGAGTGCTTTGCAAACAGAACTCTAATCCGTTGTAATAGTTATGGAATTAACACTTTGATAGAACGGGGCTGCCTTCAAGCTGAATTCGAAGCCGGAAGCATGTGAGTACCAATAGATGGCATATCTTGCAAAGACAGGTCTAACTTCAGGGCAAGATACCGACTTCGTTGCGGCTGGTGGTCCCGGAAGCTATGCATGGAACGTAATTCGTTCGGAGGCCGACCACCTCATCTTCAAGCATGCCGGAGAAAATGGAGCCAAAACCTTCGACGGCGTCAAGGTGAATGCTATCAACTTCGAACCGCTCTCCGAAGACAATTCAGACCCTGTGTCAACAGACCTGGGACGACCGGTCTCCGCTACCTGGACGCGCAAGGCGGACAAGTCCTCCGGAGTGATTAAATTCGAGTATCTCGTGGATGCCACTGGCCGATCTGGGCTGGTCAGTACCAAATATATGAAGAACAGGACATATAACCAGGGACTGAAGAATGTAGCCACTTGGGGATACTGGAAAGGGGCAAGTTCATATGGCGTTGGGACTCCTCGAGAGGGGGACCCTTACTTTGAGGCCATTGCAGGTAAGCTACCCTTTTCATCAGCATGCTGCATATTGCATATATTCTTTAGCGACAACAAGTTAACTGTTTTAAATAGATGGAAGCGGCTGGGTCTGGCTGATCCCCCTGCATGATGGCACCACCTCTATAGGTGTTGTGATGAACCAGGCCATGGCCACAACAAAGAAGCGAGAGGCAGGATCGAGCTCACAGCAGTTCTACCTCGATAATGTGAAGCAAATCCCCGGTATATGGCAGCTTCTTGACAATGCAGAGCTGGTGTCTGACTTGAAGTCTGCATCAGACTGGTCCTACAGCGCCTCAAGCTATGCAAGTCCATACCTGCGCATCGCCGGAGACGCAGGTTGTTTCATTGATCCTTTTTTCTCTTCGGGAGTCCATCTGGCCTTTGCAAGCGGCCTTTCTGCAGCTCTTAGTATTCGTGCCGCACAGAGGGGAGACTGTGATGAGAAGGCTGCAGCAGAATGGCATTCGAAGAAGGTTGCGGAGGGATACACCCGCTTCCTTCTAGTGGTGATGAGTGCCCTGAAGCAAATATCTGATCGCGATGAGCCTGTTCTTACAGACTGGGATGAAGAGAGCTTCAATCGTGCATTTGACCTGTTCCGACCAAGTACGTTCGCTTTCATCCCCAAGAGTCTGGTATAGGGTATCAATACTAACAATGAATGATAGTCATCCAGGGAACGGTCGATGTGGACAAAACTCTCACACAGGCCGAGATTGCTCAAACGATCAATTTCTGTGTCAATGCATTCCAGAATGCCGGTAGAGAAGAACAAGATGCGCTGATGAACAAGATCAAGAGCGTCAGTGAGACCAAAAACGGCGAAGAAACGGACGTTGTTAAGAAGCTTGAAGAAAGTCTCTCCGCCGATGAACGACGGACGCTGAACACTATTCAAGCACGACAGATCATTCGATCCGAGGACACGATGAACATCGATAACTTCACTGTCGACGTTATTGATGGAATGGTCCCAAATCTCAAGCGAGGCTCGCTTGGCCTGCTGAGATACGTACCCAAGGTCAAGGCCGGGCAGCAGGAAGACGAGCTCAGAGCTAAGTTGGGGCTGCCAGAGAAACAGGAGTCCATCTTCTCTTATTAGGGGGTGTAAGTAAGACAAGATAGGGCTATTGTTGCAAATTAAGTCAATTTCACTGCGAGTCGTATATATATTAATGCACGGAAATAAAGGGGTCATGAGTATCAGAGCAAATTGGAATCATAACAAGCAAGCAAACAAGTAATTCAGTAAGCAAGAGAAACGCAGAAAGCCAACCGTACACATAGTTATAGCCCATCAGCCACCCTCCACCATCCATCGAATGAAAACACCGTAAATGAAAATATCCGAATGAATGCCATGAAGAGGAGAAAGGTAAAGCATCAAACAAATCAAAGGGGGGCAGAAATAAGAAATAATCAAACACACACCTCTAGGCCCACGATGTAGAAGCAGAAAATGAAATATAAAAAAATACACGTAAGGAGATTGCGTATACCACCCTAATCCGATGCCTGACAGTCAACCAGCTTCTTCAAGGCTTCGACTCCGCTTCGCATGACAGCTGGGTTTTTTGTCTTCGTAAGGCAGTCTCTGAGGACTTCCATGCCGTGTTTCTCGCGTATTGCTTTTCTAGCCTTGCGTCCAATGTCGCCTGTGCCACCTACCATGTTGTGCACACAGACAATGCCGCGGTGAACCAGCCCGTCGTCATCTTCCTGGCATAAATTGAGTATTATATCAACACCTCTGGTGCGTTCGACGATGGCCGAGGCAGCCCCTTCAAAGTCTGTTAGCATTGCTAGGGCGCCGCCAGCAGCACTACGGGTGGGCAAATCATCAACATCTGCTAGAGCGAGAAGAATGTGCATGCGTTGACTGGCGCGGTGGGTGCCATCAGCGAATTTGCCGACACCAGCTTCGCATGACATAAGGTTGCATACTAGCTCGCAGGCTGCACGTTGAATGTACGTATGGTGTGAGAGAAGAAGGTCCTCGATGGTCGACCATGCAGAGCGGATTATCGAAGTGCTGACGCTTTGGTCGGGGTAAGAGGCAAGGTTGGTGAGGGCAAGAAGACTTTCAAAGACTGGAAGGAGATCGCGTGGTTGGTCGGAGGAAATGCTTGTTGTTCCGGGAGGAGTGAGAAGGATGTTGAGGGGTCGGATGGCAGAGGTGATTTGGGGGAATCCAGAGGAAGGGAAGACGTGGGATGGATTTACCGAAATGAGGATGCGGGCAAGAGCATGAGCGCCGTTTGTGATGGTGCTCTGAGTAGTTGGAGTTTTTGTGGCAGTGCTATCCTGGGAAGAGACGGATGATATGAGGAGTTTCACGGCACCTTGTTGGGCGAGTTTGCCTCTTGATTTGGAATCCTTGGATAAGGAGAGAAGTATCTTATTGACGAGGTCCTTTGGAGAGGCCAACTGCGATTTTCCGCATTCTACCAGCAAGGGCATCACTCCAGCATTCACGACAGCACTGCACCTTGCTTTAGTATGATCGTCATCTTCGAGCGGGTTAGCAGTTGCGCGTGGTTTTGATGCATTAGCATATGCTTTCAGTTCGGACATTTTCTTTTGCTCCTCGGACATGTTTGGTCGATAAGCCGTGATATTGTGGATTATCATTAGCCCGCCATAGAGGACAGTAGAGTTGGCAACACGCTCAAGTAGTAGGCTGATCAGGTCTTGGAGAAATTTGGCATCCTGGGCGAGCTGCTCCTTGACTTCAGCCTTGACAGAGGCATACGCCAGGCCCTCGACAACATGTCGCAGATTACCATCCTGACCAGACTTTCCAAGCATGGCCTTGAACTTATCCACAAGTTCCAGGGGGTCGGCATGTTCTTCTTGAACGACTCCGGCCTTGTCTTTGTCTGCGGAACTCGCGTCCTTGGGCGAAACACTAAGCTTTGCCAAAACGACCGCAGCCAAAGCAGTCGTCTCCTCGGCTTCGCTCTTCAAATGTTCGGAAAGCCAGTCGACAAAGTTCTTGGATATAGCCTCTCGACACGAGCTATTAACACAGGCAGCGTTAAATAACTCTAGGATAGCGAGCTCCAGGTTCTTGCACTTTATTTTCCGGGCCAGCAATGGGGTGAGGGATTTGAGGAAACCTTCGGTTAGGAACAGGCTGACTGCAAACTCCGGAAGAATGGGGAAGACGACACTAGCAGCGGAGAAGGCGACGATGTAATCCCCTTTCCGGTGCTTAGCGACCCTAGTCTTGATGAAGTTGGAGCACAGTGCCTGTCCGGCATCGCCGGAAACTTCGAGGTACTTTGCTGTAGCAAGGGTGGCCTGGCTCTTGACATCAGCAGGGAGTCTCCGGTCGAGAGAAGAAACGATAACGTCGAAGCCTTCTTCGTCGACGAGGTGTTTTAGGCTACCAGCGTCCACGACGAGGAGACGGGCAATGCCCTTCAGGGAACGTCCATCATGGTCATGGCCGGACTCCATCAGCTTGGCGATGAAGAGCTGGAAGAGTTCTTCTTCGCAATGTTTCCTAGTCTGCTCTGACTGCCAGAGTCCCCTTTCGAGGACGACCATGTCCAGGCAGACAACAGCACCATCTCCGCGGTCGTAGATCTTGTCAAACAGGCCAGTAACAGAATTCTGTAATTCACCAGCAAAGTAGCTACGAACCCGTATGCTCTGCCGTACAAGGCTCGTGATCAGCTCGTCCTGCGCTGCTGGCAGAGAGGATGCAGGCTCAGCAAGAAGCAACTTGACGCACTCTAGGGCTACCTCCGGTGGTGGCTGGAGCCCTTCCGAGCGAAGATACTTGGTGGCTTCGCCGGCTGCGCTCTCATCCCGCTGCGTCACGAAGCGTCGGCAGAGGTTGAGCAGCGGATGACTGTTCTCCTCGTCCTCCCTTATCTTGCGGAAGACGCTCTTGACATCTTCGCTATCTGGAGCGATGGCAATAGCCTCGCGCAGGTTGCGAGATGCCGCCTATTCGCCATCCATTGTCAGTCCATCAGTAACTTACGACCGGCTTGTCTGGCTGGTGGCAGATATCAAAAGTTGACGCACCTCCTTGTGGCCCGCATCGACGAGCTCGACTGCTTCCCTGGCTAGTGTGCTGGCGCGCTCCAGATCATGTACCGAAACCATGGGGGGTTGTTCTGAGTATTTCTCTTCGTTATTATCGTCTTGATGATCGTCTTGCGATGGTTTGTCTTGTTTATCTTGCTGTTAGGCTGTAGCTGAGATGGCAAACAAGGATCCGCGGGGCTTTTTTTCGCCTGAAGCTATGGCAGGGGGAGCTTCCGGCAGCGAAGAGGCAGTGATAGCACCGTAAAGAAATTCCCCGAAAAGAACGGCGAAGTCGATGGGACGGTCCTTATCAGTGTGTGTGTCCCTCGTCGTCTCTCGTATATGGCTACCGTGCCGAAGTACCTGTTTCTGTTGGCTGTTGAGCGTGGCTTGCGGAGGGTTGGGGGATTCCGGTCAGGTTGGACTGGGAGTAAGACGCAGAAGATAAGAAGGCAGGACGCCTCCTTTTATAGACCAGGCTGCCTAATATTACTCCGTCTCTGGTCTCTGGCCTCGCTCTCGCTTTCACTCGTTATCTTGGGGCAAGATATGTATGATCACTTGTCAAAGAAGCAGCAGAAGATAAGAGATGCTTTATTTTTCTGCTTTCTTTTTTGTCTCCTGCGGTGTTATTACGTCGAGGTGCATGCAGGAGGAATACGCAGGACCAACCGGAAGCCTTTAGCGGCCTTCTTCAGTCTGTCCTCGTCGCCCTCTTTGCTTCTTCTCGCTGTCTTCGGCGTTTTCTATCCTCTTCCTCGTCTTTTCTTCGTCCTTTGCTTGTTTTTCTTGTATATCTTTTGGCCTTTTTGGACGGCGTTGAGATGCTGACTAAGCAGTGACCTTCGACGTTCGTCTTTCGGCGCAAGAAAAGCGACAGACGGCGACGGCGAGGTCGAAGCGCAACATAGCAGACGAGAGAGAAGAGAGAGAAGCGAGAGAGACCCGGAGAGGAGGAGAGTGAGTCAGGATGGCGGATTCAGGCGCCGCAGCGAACGGTCAGTCCACCCCGTCGTCGCAGCTACACCTACACACTGACTGACCTCATAATCCCCAGATCCTTCGCTGCTGACGGTCATCCTGGATACAAACCCGCATGCTTGGGCACAGCTTCAAGAGACGCTCCCGCTCTCCTCTGCCGTGGCGAACCTGCTGGTCTTCATCAACGCCCATCTGGCATGCAACTACGCAAACAAAGTGGCCGTTGTGGCCAGTCACAGCCATCAGGCCGTCTGGCTGTACCCAACTCCCCCGGCCGCCGCTCCTGGTGATGCCGCTACCGACTCGCAAAAGAAACACCTCCGGCCGTCCAATAACGATCGGGACGGAGATACACCCATGACCGACTACGGAGAACCCGTCGTCTCCCCGCAAGCACAGCAGCTGGAACAGCAGCCGAACAAGTACCGTCCTTTCCTCCTGGTTGAGCAGCAGTTGACCCGCAACCTCAATCGGCTTCTCACGCGCACCCGAGCAGAAGAAATATCCCCTTCTTCTGCTTCTTCCTCCTCCTCTTCTACCATGATGGCCGGCGCCCTCTCCCTTGCACTCAGCTATATCAACCGCGAAACCATCGCTTACCTTGATACACATGGAACCGCGGCCGGCTCCGACCCAGCGGCAGGCGGAGCGGGCGGCCTCCCCCCACCCCCGGGCGGCGCCCCTCCCACATCAGATAAGGCTAATGCTGCCGCTGCTACAGATGCTGGTGCTCTCCAGTCTCGTATCCTTATCATCTCCGTCAGTAGTGCTGCAAACTCAGCTCAGCAATACATACCCATTATGAACAGCATCTTTGCCTGTCAGCGTCTCCACATACCTATCGACATCTGCAAGCTAGCCGGTGATGCTGTTTTCCTACAACAGGCCTGTGACGCTACTCGTGGCATATACATGTCTTTAGACTCCCCGCGGGGGTTTTTACAATATCTCATGCTCGCCTTTTTACCTGATCAGCGAGCGAGGCGGAACCTGATACTGCCTACCCGTGTCGACGTTGATTTCCGCGCTGCTTGCTTCTGTCACCGGAAAGTCGTCAATGTCGGGTTTGTGTGTAGTATCTGTCTCAGTATCTTCTGCGAACCACCTGAGGGTGCCAATTGTCTGACTTGTGGCACCCATCTAGCTCTGGGTGACTATGGAGCCAAACCGATCGTTGTTTCACGGAAGAAGAAGCGTAAGAAAGGTTCTGCAAAGACACTCAATGGAGCAGGCAACGGAGTCTCTTCCGGTCCAGCCACCCCGAGTTCAATGGCAACCACCCCGGCTCCCTGATAAGGCGAGCCTTGTTTTTGCCGTTATACCTCTTTTTTCTTTTTATCCCAACCTCCAAGATACTCGAAGAAGCATGATACGACCCCGGTGGTCAATAATATAATATGTATGTATTCCTAGGTCCGTGCATACAGCTCGTTATAGGTAGGTTGCAGCTCGAAGATAAAGACTTATGTCCAGGCTTAGGTAAAATGAAAGGGGACCTGCTTGCATCCATCCCAGCCGAGGTTTAATGGAGTCCCCTTGCCCTCTCCTCTTTACCCCAAGATACTCAACCTTCAATCCAGATAGGGATGCGGAGGTCAAGAATCTACGGCTGAAAGAGTGTTAATTTGGGGAATATAAATACAGAGTATATGGAACTGTATACCGGGGCCAAGGTATAGTCAATACAGGATGGCGTACCTTGTTAATAGCGGTTGTCGTACATGCAAAAGCATCAAATCAAGGTTTCATCAAAACTGCGGCAATGTCGAAGTGCATCTCACAAGCATTAGGCTTATTGTGAAGTAGCCGGGCTAGGTTTAAATCTAAACATTCCCATTTAGCCCTCGAATACCAAGAAACTAGATGAGTGTTAAAGCCTACCTCCTCGGCCTAATAAAGCGGCCGCCTTGGGCTATCTTTCGGTCGCCTGGAGAACGAGACATCGTACAGCATGCCGCCACATCATCCGAGCTCATGCTCGCGACCGCCTTGAATCAGTTGTTAGGATGATTGCCTCATCTTTTAGGAAAGAACCATACTCACAAAGGAATCTGTATTATGCCCGAAGACGAAGATAATACCATCATGCGTTTTCTTGACAGTCATTACACCAATTGCTGCGTGGCAGTGGCTTGATTTGACGGCAGGATGACCTACATTTCATATGCCATGATCATCAGCAAGGCATATCGTAAGGTTTAAAAGCAAATATTGGTGCCACCCTACCCATAAAATCGGTCTGTATCATAGATTTAATGACTTCATCTTCCGTCGTGGGCTCATAGACTCCTGGCTTACCAGGCACTTTCTTCGTGCTAGAGTGAATCCTTTCAGCACAGGTTTGAGCAGCCATGGTTGTGGCCATGTGTTCTCCTGTCCCGCTCGCAACGGCGGCAGTGGATGTACACATTTCATCATCTGGATCCACTGGAATAACTGCAGTCCCTATCCCGACTAGCGCAGCAGGGCCCGTGCGGCCGTTATGCTTCATTCCAATGCCCCCAGAAGATGAACCGGCGGCAATATTGCCATAACAATCTATAGCAATAGCACCTACTGTGTCGGTGATTTCATCTTGGTCTCGGGTTACAGCTAGGTCATGAGCGTTGCCGGCAGCTGATGCATCAGTTATACCCTCGCGAGCCAAATCTTCCACAGAACACACGTGTTTGTCCTTTTGTTTGTCTATGGCATCCTGCTGTGACGAAGGTTCAGGATCTTGGTGGAAAGTGTCGTCGATGAAGTCTGCATCAGCCTCGCCATCACCTTCCATAGAGATATCACTGCGTGAAACACATAGCAAGGGAGATCCACATCTATTAGATCCAATCATGCTTATTGCATCTCTGGAAGGGCATATATTGGTAACGTGAGCTGGACTTCGAGGGACATGAAAAAGCGAGTGTGCACCATAGCATGAATCGTGGGGTGGCGAGTCAATACTTTCAACTGCAGTAGAGGCCTGGCTAACTCGTTGAGATGGCAAGTGTTGAGGGACAAAGCTATCTAGCTCAACATATTTTTCTCGCTTCTGGAGTCTCTGTGAGACCTGATCAAGGTCTCGCTTCCACCTTAGCCACCGGTCTCTGGCTGCTGGAGCTACCAGGATATCCGAGGGAAGTACAGGCATGCCATGTTCATATGCAAAATCAGTGGCACCACCACATACAAGTAAGTTTGGAGGCACACGGTTGAGTGAGAGTGGTTGTGTGGAGGCATCCAGTACCACTCTTGCCAGGGAGATCGGATTCTTTATATCTACAAAACAAGGTCTGTCAGCTACAAATCGGGCCTTACTGTATGTGTATCAGGAAGGACAAACTTTGGACTGCTCCTACTGCACCACTGCGGCCAAGATAGTCAACGATTGTAGCATCACACTCCACAGCGCCGGTAATTGTCAGGTTGCTACCATATCCAGCGTTCGTCACCTCATGGTCCTCGAAGAATTTGATGGCTACTTCCACTGCGTCAACCGCACTTCCGCCAGCCTTCAACATGGCCATACCTAGTGAGGCTGCCCTGTAGCCAAAATAGTTAGCGAGGTATTTTATACTAGGAACTGTAAAAGTTAACTTACTTGCTACACACCCAGAGATGAAGCTCCTCGCTTTGGCGGCTGTGGAAACCAGCGCCTGCATGAACAAATATAGCAGATACACCTGGACCCCCCTGGGGGCCCTTGTCCTGGGGGTTCATCTTGTTTATACTGCCACGAGTGTCGGGGATAGGATGGGCGTGACTCGTACAGATGTTCGAAGTACGGGAGAAGGAGTATAGACACAGCCTGGGGTATATAGAAATCTTAATCAGTGAGAAGAGACGAAAAGAGTCTGTTGTTATGAATCTAGCACTAATGGGTTGCTAGGTGACCTAGATGGCAGACACCTATTTCCACGACCTTAGCACAGTAGAGGGGTACTCAGAAAGCACAATCAAAGCAGCCTCACCAGACTATCAGCTCCTAGGTAAGTGATGGTAGTTAAAGGAGAAAGATAAGGGGTAAGTCTCATCAACCTAGGCTCCAGAAGTGAGAGAATGTGAGAGGAAGCAAGGTAGTAACGAGTGGATGGCTTTATGCATGGAATAAGCGATGTATGTCTATGGCACAGGTGTTTCCACCTCTGGTGCAGTAACTAAGGGAAGATTCCCTCTTGTTATTACCAGAGAGATAGAACCTATGCTGAGAAGAGTAGAAGATGCAGATAGATAAAGTAGCCTTGGTAAGGGAAGGTATCAGGAGAAGTGCTGGTCAGAGGGAGCAGAAAAGAGAGAAAAGAAGCGGATAAGAAACAGCCTGGCTCATTGTTTGCTCATCAGACGCAAATAACGTCTAGAGATGAAGCAGCTGCATCTGTCTGTGTTTCTCTTCTGCTCTCCTCTCAGAGGCTTCTATTCTTTTCTGCTTTCCCCCTTGCGCTTCGGTCAAGAAGGAGGTGGTGACAACAATCCGGTTGTTGCTTCCAGGAGTTCCGGCTGTTCCGGTGGTATCAGGAGTCTCGCAGCGTCATTCCCGGCTTTTCACTGGGTCTCTCGACCTCTTTATCCTCATTCCACGGGCCATAAATCCCGAAATGATGGAGAGACGTCGGCCGTTTTGATGTCTGACGTTGAAAAAAGAGTCGAAGTAGCAAAAAGGCACATGATATCAAGTCTTGGCGCCTTCTCATCCTCCACCTTGCTCAATGGACTCTCTAAGTTAACCTACGACGCTTCCACCCTCCGACACGGACAGGCTGCAGCATAACACCCCACAGCATTAAGGCCACTATCCCGCGGGTCGCCTGCTGTGAAGCTCGGTTTACATAGTCTATATCTGTCCCATCTCGATATTTGATTGAATCTTCCTGCTTTTACTGCTACCTCGACTGTCACGTCACCACGGTAAACATGGCAGCACAAACACCCGCCGTTGTCATGGACAAGTAAGTACTGGGGAGACAGTGTTATAATGCTGATAGTTTTCATCGTAGTGCGCATTGGCTAACTGTTTCCTACCTATAGTGGCACCGGCTACTCTAAGCTTGGTGAGCAGTAGAACCCCATCGGTGTATACCCCTCCCACCAGCTAACTCGTAGCTCTCCTCCCAATTAGGGTTCGCCGGCAATGATTCTCCCTCTTTCGTCTTTCCCACCGCCATAGCTACAAAGTCCGGTGCAGGAGCGGCCCCTGGAACAGGCTCCGGTCGACCACCCGTCGCAAACAAGCCCTCCTTCCTAACAGGCGGCGCGGGGCCGACTTCTTCGCTTGCCTCAAAGCGTGGAACTGAAGATCTGGACTACTTCATTGGAGATGAAGCCCTCGCCGCGAGCTCCGGGCCAGGATATGGCATCCATTATCCCATTAGACATGGGCAGATTGAAAATTGGGATCATATGGAGAGGTTCTGGTCCAACTCCATCTTCAAGTACTTGAGGGTCGAGCCAGAGGATCACTACTTCCTATTAACGGAACCTGTAAACCTCCTACGTCCTCCGCTCATATGTTAATTCCTACTAATTTTCTCAAAACCAGCCATTGAACCCGCCAGAGAACCGAGAAAACACTGCAGAGATCTTCTTCGAGTCGTTTAACTGCGCAGGACTATATATTGCAGTTCAAGCCGTCCTTGCCCTAGCAGCTTCTTGGACATCATCAAAGGTTACAGACAGGTCACTTACGGGTACTGTCATTGATTCCGGTGATGGTGTCACACACGTTATTCCAGTTGCGGAAGGATACGTCATTGGCTCTTCGATAAAGAGTATTCCCATCGCCGGTCGAGATATCACCTACTTCGTACAGAACCTCTTGCGAGACAGGCATGAAGCTGACAGCTCGTTGAAGACTGCGGAGAAGATCAAGGAGGAATACTGCTACGTTTGCCCGGATATTGTCAAAGAATTTGCTCGGTATGATAGGGAGCCAGACCGGTTCCTCAAACATACCGTCACATCTCCCAATGGAAGAACTGTTTCCATAGATGTTGGTTACGAACGATTTTTGGCTCCGGAGATTTTCTTCAACCCCGAGATTTACTCCTCTGATTTCCTAACACCACTACCCACCGTTGTCGATGGTGTTATCCAATCCTCTCCAATTGATGTTCGACGTGGGCTCTACAAGAACATCGTGCTGTCTGGTGGCTCTACTCTATACAAGGATTTTGGTCGCCGACTGCAACGTGATATTAGGCATTTGGTAGATGCTAGAATCCGTGCTTCAGAAGCACGTAGCGGAGGAGCAAGGAGCGGTGGTTTGGAGGTTCAAGTTATTACTCATAAGAGACAACGTCACGGCCCATGGTTTGGTGGAAGTTTGCTTGGACAAACTCCCGAATTCCGCAGCTACTGCCACACTAAGGCGAGTATTTTCTGGTCCCTTTTTCCAAGCTCCAGTTTCTAATTCCTTCCACGTTAGGCCGAATACGACGAAATTGGTCCCTCCATAGTAAGACGATTCGCGCTGCTTGGAGGTCCTGGGGGTGCTTAAGGAACCGGTTCACCTCAAGAAAATAACACAATGCCCCTGACTATAATGTTCTCGCTATGTCGCAATGAATTTATGCATGCGGTGGTGAGTATACTTCTCTAGATCTTCAATGTATCCGTTTACGAGACACGTTCCTTTCCTCTTGTAAATAAATATTCTAAACAGGGGAAATCCAAAACATGGCGGAGTTCTATAAATTCCTATTTAAATGCCCAGTCATATGCTTTGCAGTAGTATACAGACCTAGAACATGGTAGGGTATCACTAAAATTTTCCTATAGTACAAATGCATGTCTATCAACACTTGATGCCCATATTGCAGCCTCATATGATACATGATCATACAAAGCCTTACTCTGCCTTAGTTTCTATAGCCTTGGTTAAAACAGCCACGCTCTCAACATGGCTTGTTTGCGGGAAGAAATCAAATCCACGGATACTCTCAATATCGTATCGGACTCCATTCTTTCCTTCAACTAGAACACCAACATCCCGAGCTTGAGTATGAACATTGCAGCTAACGTATAATACTCTCGTCGGGCCATATGCAAGTAACTGGTTCAAGAAATTGGTATCACATCCCTTTCGTGGGGGATCGATGACAAGTAATGTCTGGTCAGCCGGATATGGAACATCTTTGAATAACGCTGCAGCATCTGCAGCTGCAAAACCCGTGTTGGGAACGTTGCTCAGTTTGGCGTTTTCGCGTGCGCATTTTATACTGGACGCGGCGACATCAATTCCCAGAGATGAGCGAAAGGTACCCGACAGGACGATGGTGAATAACCCAGAGCCACAATATGCGTCTAGTAGGTATTTTAGTTTGGGGTTGGATTTGGCTGCTGCGGCCGACTCTGCTGGAGTAGCATCTGGTTTAGGTTCAGGATGCAAGGCGTTATCTCGAACATAGCCCGTAAACGATGGTAGAATGGAATTATTGTTCTGGAAAAATGTCCCGGCAATATTGTGGAATTGATAATCCTCCACATATTCAACAGATATACCATTTTGATCCGTGATATATGTCTTCTCCTCAACATACTCTGGAAATGTCGTCCGTATCACTTTATCAGTCGAAGGCAGAGCTTCATTCTCCTTATTCCTCTCCACCCTTTTCGTACTTTCCCTAACCAACAGTGTACCACCGTAGGGGTATTGCTGTAAGTTTTCCGCGACCCTCTTTCTCTCATTTTTCAAACCGCTCCTAACAATGTCCGTTCCAAGAGGACAGTCCTCAATATCCATAACCTTACGGCGTCCCTTCATCATGAATCCAATAGGGGGGATCTCCGGAGCATCACTACTATGCTCTTGCCTCCGGTTGCGAGCAGGCTGGGTGAAATGCGGAGTTAACTTGGTTCTGTATCCATATTGCATGGGGGAGCCCATCGTATCTCCAATAGCAGGTATAAGTTCCGGTAATAGCCCAGAGAAATTAGCATATGCCTTCTCTATTATCCGCTTCTTATGTTGCAATTGGTCCTGGTACGGTATCATCTGTAACTGGCATCCGGAGCATTTGCCGAAATATTGGCATTTTATAAGGGAGTCATCACGCTGTTCGGACGGTTTTAAAACCTCCACCAGATCTGTCAAGCTATATGACTTGGGTTTGATCGTTTTGTATATTCTGACCCGGGCTGTCTCTCCGGGAAGCGCAAATGGTACGATGTAAACATGGTCACCGTTTGGCGATAACGCAAGACCTTCTCCGGTTGATGACAACTCAGAAACAGTTACTTCTGTTTCTGGGAATGGGGAATCCTTTTTCCCTTCGTGAACAACAGATACGCTTGTTTCAGCATCTGTGTGCTTTTCGCCATTTTCTTCTGATTTCCGCTTGTTGTTCTCTAGGAGGTTCTTCACGTCCAATTCTACTACTTCATCCGCACCTCCTTCGGCTTTCGACTTCTCCTTTTTTGGTTTCTTTCTCTGTGGTTCTCTTCCTCTCCCCTTATGCTGCTGCGCCTTGCCCTGTCCAGGCATATCGAACCCTCCAACTATCTTTATGGCACGTGGAACTGTTGAGTATTGATGAACGGAAGGGGTAGTCAATTGGGTTGCAGGGGTTCGTAGCGCTCTAAATCTCGAAAACGAGGTAATCCGCACATTTAGCGGCCTCAAAAACATCCCCCTGGAATGGAAATTAAAGCAATGCTGTTGAAGAATTGTCTTGCGCAAAAAGCTCACGGATTTTACTTTGACTTTGATCAACTTCACTTTCAAACTTTCTTTGCCAACCAAAATGTCGAGATTAGTAACCATCACGTGATTTTCTTTTCTTGTTATTAGGTAAGGACTCTATTTCAGAGCCTAAAATTAACAGCGCTCCTTTCTACTCGCAACTAAAGGCATGTCCCTAGTTCTAGCCATCATTTTCGCCTTCGGGTTTGGGTAAAATGGAAACATATAGCTAAAACCAGTGCATATATAACCATAAAGGGTTATTATTAACATTCGAAGTATCTAAATGTAAAAATTCAGTCCTCGCGCTTTGTCTGGCTGAAAAAGGGGCTAGAGACATAGAGCCGTTGAGGATCATTATCTCCATAAGCCGAAGAACCAGAACCGGATTTAGAGGCAAAGAGAGATTCCAATTTCCCCTCTATTATAGAACCATGAGTCAGCTTCCCGACGTTTCTCTCTTCACGATCCGAATATCTAGCATCCGGGACCCCACTGAACGGGATCTGTCCTGGTCCATCAATCCACCGTTTCCCATCACCTTCACAGCGTTTCTTCATTTGGTCGGATGTCAAGTTGATCATATTTCTCCAATAATTTCCCTCTCCGTCTGGGAGAATACCATGGCGCTCGAGTTCCTTCACTGCTCCTGCAAGCCAGTCCTGACAATTGCCCACACCCACTTCTGGGATATTGGTAGAGTCAAGGCCGAATTTCTCGAGAATCTGGCTAACCTCCTGCTTCTCGGGACTTGATAGCTGGGTTAATTCACATCGGCCACGCAACACTGAATCCTCGAGGGGTTGGGTTCGAGGGTCGTAGATGTACTGGTCATCCTGAGGGCAACGGATATGATGCATTTCACAGATGTTGGAGCCAATTTCGTACACAGCAAGGCCGACGTGGCACGGTCTATCGCCGAGGGAGCGATCACCCCGTCCATAGATATTCGCAGATATTCCATGTGTTTTAGACGACATGTTGACTTGGGTATTTTGTGCGTTGCTCGTATGAGGTTTAGTCGGAATATTGCCGAAGACCGTGAAGTGTAGAGATAGGGAGCAAGAAAGAAATGGATTCTTCTGTCTTCACTGAACGAAGGGTAGACTATATATATCAGTACCGGAATTCGGTTGCCTTGCGGCACAGCGTGAATACGCCGCACTCATATCAGCTGAGCGAGGCAACCTAGCTTCACTTAATCCTTGTTGGGCTTTGCAGTAGATTGCATATATTGAAAACAATGGAACAACAATGTCGCTGCCTGGCAAGATTTCTAGTGGATAAACACTGCTTCCTCTGAATAGCCATATCGCATTCTTATGTTGCAAGATACAACTACTGTCCCGGCAGATGCATATAGGTATAGACTGAGCGGTAGGTAGAAGGATCTGCAACCGTCGTTAAAAGCCTCGCTGCTGCCTTTTAGCTTCCATTCGCGCCTGAGCCCGTAAATTACATAAGCGCGCAGTCCTGGATTACTAATCAGGGGGAATAATATTCCGGTATTAGGTAATAAATCTTATTTGAGCTTCAGAAGAAATTCTTTCAGTCTTTGCATTCAATTGAATTGACCACGCGATTGAAGGGACGAACGGCCTCCAATTCTACGGCCGGGCCGCATTTTTCATTGAATTGACGAACGGCCTCGATGCCGTGACTGGCTCTAGAAGCTCAATCCGCCACAATGAGCGTCACACGACCGGCAAGGTGCCTTTTCTGTACATTTTCCAAGCCAAATCTCATTCGCTACCCCCGACGACAATTCCACTCGACTCCTGTACCGTGTACTCCTCGGAAACCGAAGCATGAGAATATTAAAGCCTCAGACGTCGAGGGCTGGCTAAAACAGCATACGCCCGAAAAGTCGAGACCCTATACCGAAGCTGAAAAGGCTCACATGAAGAATGTCTACTCACCAGAACAAATCAAAGCAATTGAGGCCGGAGAGAAAGCTATTCCTGATAAAGATGTGGATGAGCAGTTCAATCTGAGAGATGACCCGTGGGCACTCAAATATGTGGATGACTTTTCCACCATCGAGCCTGTTGTCGACCACCACATCCGTTCTCCGATCACCAACCACGACCCCAACTCCCGCTTGAAAACCCACGATGAATTGGTGGATGATGTTGCCAATTTCATTAAGGATATGCCCGATGAACCTTCAGCGTTAAGCTTACAAAAGTTCTTCGAAAATGTGCGATTGACCACCGGAAAAGCAGAAGCTGAACTCGACCCTCATAGCGCTGCCGTGCCAGACGTGTTTGAACCGGGCGAGAACTTCTCTAACATTGGTCGTCATGAGCCTCCCCCCCTATTCGAGAAGGAGAAAAATTTCGCATCCACGTCTGAACTGACGGATTCGCAAAAGAAATTGATGGCTGTAACCGGATTGAGCGCAAATGCTCTTAAGCAAATACAGACTAAGGTTCTCGTCAGTCATCGAGTTGTCAATCAGACTCGTCTAGGCAAGATTCAAAAGGCCTACGTTCTTGTTGTTGCAGGTAACAAGAATGGTCTGCTTGGAATTGGGGAAGGAAAATCCGAGGAAGCACCCGCCGCCAGAGAGCAAGCAGAATACCGAGCAATTCGCAGTATGCAACCAGTCCCAAGATACGAGAGGCGAACAATATTCGGAGATGTCAAGGGAAAAGTTGCGGGAACAGAATTGATCCTGATGAACCGACCACCAGGTACGTACCTAATAGATCAGTTACTATATTTCTCATTCTTCTCTTTTCTGTCTCTTTGCTAACAACAATTTCAACATCAGGATTTGGCCTTCGCTGCTCCCAGCGGATTTGGGAAATGTGCCGTCTTGCCGGAATCAAGGATCTGGCTGCCCGTGTTTCTCGTTCCAGAAACCCTATGAACACCGCAAAGGCTGCATATAAGGCGCTGATGAGCCAAAAGGACCCGGAAGAGGTTGCTCGGGCCCTAGGAAAGAAGCTTGTCGATGTAAGGAAGGTTTACTACGCCGGAAAGGTGTAAGGAGTCACCATTTGGTCTGATATACCTGATGTATTACTACAGGATAGGATGGAGTGTATTTATATAATCTTAAGAGTATCATGTTCAATTTCATGTTGATATATGTATTTTTTTTCAACCTTTGCCATGTAGCAGACATACCTTCCCTGTCAAACTCCAAACTCCAAAAGCTCCGAGCTCCCATCAGGACAGTCTAAAGCACCGTCCGTTCCTTTGCCAATGCACCAATCTTTCTTCTTTTATGCCCCTATATAGCAGCAACCTAGGTGCATCCTATACCATCCCAGACTATACCACTGTATTATGAAACTCTTAGTTGTCTCCAGGCTGCCCCTCGTCCCCGCCGTTGTAGATCTGCTGTTGGAGAACTATGCTGTACACGCTCGCCTTCAGCAAGGTATAAACGGTAGCGGTCTTCCTTTCCAATGACCGCAGAGCATCGAGAGTATCAGATGAAGGCTGGACCGCGAGATCGTTCAATGAAGTAGAGAGCTATACACACGCTGGTGTCAGCCAAAAGCAGCCCTTCAAAGACTTTACCAGAAGCACGCGTACCTTGTTCATATTCTCAAGCAGCTTCGTGTATTCGTCCAGCACCTCCTGCTCTAGCGGAGTGAGAAGCGGGTTATCGCGTACGAGAGGGTTAGAGAAGCCAGATTCAGGCGTATCGTAGTCCATCTTGCAGTTGCCGGCGGTTGAGGTAATTGTTTTGTCTTCAAGTTGCGGCTCGGCTGAAAAGTGGGAGTTTCGAATTGGTGACTGCACTAACTAGTTAACTAGCTAACTGGTTACCTAGCCCCAAAGTCACTATTCACCTATAACTACCACCTGCAATGCTTCACCTTGGTTAAAGAAATTCCATGCTCCTCAAACATCAACTAACACTAATACGCTCCGACATTTAACTACTTAAGCGCTGCCCTTTGCTGTGCCGGATTTTCAACTCGTGTGCCAAATTGTCCGACAGCAGAGCATACCTAGGCATTGATGATGTCTTTGCACAAGTTTCGAATGGAAAACGAAGCCTTCGATGAAAACAACTAGCAACCTCCCATTCCAGAAAGTCCCGGTCTCTAGTTTCCCCGGAGAAAACATTGAGATAACCAATCTCTTTCAAAGAGGGAATTACAGTTGATGTTGTCCTTCCGAATATTTATAGGACTGGCTTAAGTCGGCATAAGCATATCAAATACCACTCTCAGCTTAAGGGAGGTTGAATATTCGGGATTACCGGGTGGAAGTTCTCAATATTGCAACTCATATATGCTGCACTTGACTTCAGGATACCCAGCTTATACCTGACTATGAGCTCCCGCAGCCAGACTTCTGGCCATCTGGACTACGGCCAACACATTAATGCCATGCATAGGATGCAGATTATGAAATAGCCCCCTCGAAATAGGTAGAATAGTGGCCTACTGGAAGTTCTGCTTTTTTGGGCGTGGTTATGCTTGATCGTAAGGAGCCTGGGCGGGAAGAATACCTCATGCTAACTTTCAATAACTACTTCGTACCAGGTGAGCATCATGGCGGGCTTAACTTGTGACTGTTCCCTGCGCCTGACGGATGATCCGTCCGTTGTAAACCCGGATTCCGCCATCCAGTTGCACATACTCGTGATAAGCATGAACGCAGGCCACTCCAGATGCATATACAGTCGAACATAGAGCCCACGGGCAGCCGTCCAGCAGGAAGTCCGGTTAGCAAATGTAGGCTATGGGTCGGAGCTGGTACCTGTATCCATGGTTGATAGCTTAACCATTAGTACACTAGTTAATGTGATCATCCCCTGCCGCTGCCTGTGTCAACTGCTATCAACCAACCAACATATCACCCTCTCTTTGCTGCCTTGTGATGTCGTGTCGTTCTTCGTCTTCGTCTTCGTCTTCGTCTTCTTCTTCTTCTTCTTCTTCTTCTTCTTCGTCGTCGTCGTCGTCTTCTTCTTCTTCATCGACGTCCAGATAGTGTTATGAGTAAGCAGCCGCGTCACTGGACCAAGCAGCCCAGCCAGCCTCGTCCTCGCCAAAAAAGAAGCGCCTGCTGCAATTTCGTCCGTCGACGTTTGCTTGCTTGCTTGCTTGCTTGCTTGCTTGCCGGCATCCAACCTCTGCTGCACCAAGTGTCTCCTGTTTCGCGCTCTCGCTACCCCCGGCCGGCACCCTCGTTTGCTGCTGACGGGTGACCAGTCGTCTATCCTTGCGCCTCCCAGTCCGTGGCCCGCTTGTTTCACCAGCGGCCACGCCAATGGTGCCGAGTCGCTGCCCCAGCACCGCTCTTTACCCGGCCTCCCTTCGTCCATCCTAGCTCCTCGCTGCGACCGCCCTCGCTCTCCGTTGACCGGACGGAAAAAGAAAAGTAGAGGACACTTGCACTCCTGGCCAATTGTCGACATTCCCGACTCCAGGCTCGTCCGCTTTGCATCATACAACGCTCTTCTTTCGACTGGCCGGTGATCGCGGTTCAAGAGACGGACAGGCATTCATAAGCGCTCCTGCTGGCCCCAATCGCTAGCTGTTCTCTTCCGCAGGATTCGCTACCACGTCGGAAGCAAGAAGAGCCGTCGCTATGACGCAGTTATTCAACTCGTCCGCCCCTGCGAACCCGAATTCAGAGAAACGGAATTTCCCCGGCATATCGTTGACCGGAAAGAAGCAGGAAAAGCACGAAAAGAACGAGAAACATGAGAAGCCCGCGAACGATTCCTCGCATTTCCCGACGAAACTGCGGAATTTCTTTCGAATAAACAGCTCGTCGTCGACCACCAACTCGAACAGCCAGGGGGGTTCAGGGCAGAACTCCCAGCAGAACAAGAACTCCAACCTTGCTGTACCCAAGCAAGAGTCCAAGTTTCAGTCCAGATTCCTCCCTCACATTGGCCGGAACCGGTCAACCACCGTTGCCAGTGAGGGAAACCCGCTGGACGACGATGGCGTCTCGCCAACTGCACATGCAAACCCATACTTTGCGCATCAGGGATATCCGGCCTTGAGACATAGAAATGATGACAGTGTTCCCTCAACCCCCCCAGATACTCCCGGCATACATATAGACGGAGCTCCTGGTGTAGAGCAGCCAACTGCAGCCAACAAAGAGGAGCTTGCAAGGAAACTCAGGAGAGTTGCCTCCGCACCCAATGCGCAGGGCTTGTTTGCAACCGGGAAGTCAGATGAACGTCCCCGGACGGCCGAGCTGGGTAAGGAGCCCTTGGTCGAACAGGCGGGAGATACTGCGAAACTAGGCTTCGTTGAGCAGCCACCATCACAAAATCTCACCGTCCCTGACGCAGACACCCTCGGCCCTATTCCAGCACCTGGTCAAATACGGAGTAATGCTGGGTACAGACGCACCTATAGTTCAAATTCAATAAAAGTGCGCAATGTAGAAGTTGGCCCGGGAAGCTTCGATAAGATCAAATTGATCGGCAAGGGAGACGTTGGCAAGGTATATTTGGTGAGGGAGAAGAAGTCCCAAAGATTGTACGCCATGAAGGGTATGTACCAATCTTCCCGTGTATATTTCGCACGTCTTACTAACGCCTGCTGTAGTGTTGAGTAAAAAGGAGATGATCAAGAGGAACAAGATAAAACGTGCGCTTGCTGAGCAGGAGATTCTTGCTACAAGTAATCACCCGTTTATAGTCACTCTTTATCATTCTTTCCAGTCGGAGGAACATCTCTACCTCTGTATGGAATATTGCAGCGGTGGTGAATTCTTCAGAGGTACGGCTTGGCCTCCCATCCTTGAGCTGGAACCCGACTAACTGAGCCAATAGCCCTTCAAACACGGCCTGGAAAATGCATCTCCGAAGATGATGCTCGGTTTTACGCTGCGGAAGTGACTGCTGCTCTCGAGTATCTTCATCTTATGGGCTTTATCTACCGTGACCTTAAGCCAGAGAGTACGAAGGCCGTCTCTTCCCCTTTTATTCAAGAATTCCTCGCTAACATGTATCCAGATATCCTTCTCCATCAGTCTGGGCATATCATGTTGTCAGATTTTGATCTCTCAAAACAATCCGGCCCAGGGGGTGCGCCGACTATGATCATTGGCCGCAACGGAACTTCCGCCAGCTCGCTACCAACAATTGATACCAAGTCATGTATTGCCGATTTCAGGACAAACTCCTTTGTTGGAACTGAAGAATACATTGCTCCCGAAGTCATCAAAGGAAACGGTCATACCAGCGCTGTAGACTGGTGGACACTAGGCATCCTTATCTATGAGATGCTGTACGGTACAACCCCGTTCAAGGGCAAGAACCGAAATGCAACATTTGCAAACATCCTAAGAGACGAAGTTCCCTTCCCTGAGCATGCTAACGCACAACAGCTTTCCAAGTAAGTGATTCTATATATACTATTACTTTTACCCCCCTTTCACAATTTTCTAACTCCACTTTGCAGTCTCTGTAAAGGACTTATACGCAAGCTTCTTATCAAGGACGAGTGCCGTCGGCTTGGCGCCCGCGCTGGTGCTTCCGATGTCAAAACTCATCCTTTCTTCAGACCCACTCAATGGGCCTTGATCAGACACATGAAGCCTCCCATGATACCACATCAAGGCAGAGCAATCGACACAGTCAACTTCAGAAACGTCAAAGAAAGCGCCAGTGTTGATATCGGCGGCTCCAGCAACTTGACCGGCGTACCAATGGACTCTGGGCTAGCCACACCGTCGGGAGAAGTCGCCGATCCCTTCGAAGACTTCAACAGTGTTACTCTCCACCATGACGGCGACTATCATGAAAACCATCTGGTTGATGATAGTAATGTCCATAAGAGTTGACACGGCAGCATCCCTGCTTATGTGTCCCCGTCCTTTTCTCGACCGTCATACCAATCACCAGGCCCCATCCGGCCAGCCGTGGCCACCAGTTCCCATACATGCTATGAATCATTTCGAATTGCGTTTTATACAAAGGTGTTAGGGGCCTTATTTTGTTCCGCGCCGCATCGGCCCATGCGGGTATATTCTTTCCCTTGTGTGTTTTTGCAAATACACACTCTCTGTCTGATAGCCCCTTTAGTGTTTTGGCCCAGCGCTAACCACAGATATTTACTACTTGTTCATCACTGATGAGATGCATGTCTAAACCCCTAAAAAAATGTCAGCTTGGCTCTTCCATTCTTATCCCTTTTTTCTCTTTCTTACATTTGCTTAATTGCTCTAGCTCATGTGCGTTGTACGTGACATCTCTGGTATTGAAGGGTGCAGCGCGCCGGCGTCTTTATATTGCATTGAGTGTTATCATCATTTTGTTTCTTCCTTTCATCAGCTGGTGTCTCTTTTCTTTTCCTCTCATCACTACTCTCGGATTTTTTTTTTTCTTTTTTTATCGCTCTCTCCTGGTCGAGTTACTTGCGTTGTGTTGTTATATATAGCATAGGCATACCCCAGATGCAGGGTGGCAGGGCGGATGTAAATCGTCAATTATTATTTGAAATATAAAACACCCGTTCATCTAGATCAACAGCAGTTGTCCCCCGACATCAACCTAGACAAAATATCCAGCAGCGCCTTGTAATCAAGCTGTCTTCGCTTTGCTGCCGTCCAGAACGCCCAGGGTCAACAGGCCCACGACCATGACAACCGGCGCATATCCCCAATGATTCCACTCTCCAGCACCGTTCACTGCACAAATAGCACCGTCCGCAAACGCTACGGCGCTCACACCAAGCAAGATCCAACCCAGCGCCTTTCGCTCCCCGGTGAGAGTGGCGGCCCAAATGGCCACGCCCATAAACACATCTCTCGCTCCGTAAACGGCCATCAGGCTGTTGAAAAGGATCTTCTCTGGACCGTCGACGGTGGGTGGAGCAAGCTCGAAGAACGACACGCCGTGTTCGGGGCGCAGGATCGCGTTGATACCGAACCCAACGCACATGGCCGCGAAGAGATTGGCAACGACCAAGACCGGTAATGAGTTGGAGATGGCCATGGTATCAATGTCTCGTTGGTAATTTGGTCTGCTGGTAAGTTAGTTCACAGTCTCATACTGGCCGCCGGTGGGCTCGACATGGTGAATTACCTAGCTAACTGACCCAATGCTTAACAGCTAACTAATAGTTATGAAAAATCGAAGGAAAGAAAGTCGAAAAGAAATAACCAGCTCGTGAGAAGATGATTTGTGATTGTTCTTTCTCCGAGACAGTTACAGCTCTTTATAGGTCGCCAGCAGCCAGGCAGCAACAGCAAGCTACCGGATCCTTCGTGCGCAATCTTCCTCCAGAGCTCACTAGTTGGCAGCAAGATCCCTGGATATATTTAACTAGTTAGCGGCGGCAAAGTCGGGCGCCGGGGTTTCCGTCCATCCATGTCTCGAACAATTTGCTTACGGCCATTGGAAACCAGACGGTCAGTGGTGCTGGTGCATCGCCATCGACTTGTAGCTTTTACCTACATGGATACCATGCAGGGCCATGATGCTGTCTAATATTAGGGCCACTCTACCTCAAGGATGGCCCTTAATCTCTGGGAAGCACGTTGGATACCCAGTTAATTAACTACAGCTCCGCAATATATTGAGGCTCAAAATCGGGCCTTTTCTTCTTTCCTACAATACCAACCATTGATCGCCCGGTCCTCCACTCCAACATCCCCCTTGGTATAATATTTGAAGACCTCGCAGCCCCCAGAGTCCTGAATATGAAAACAAAAGTACCATCAACCTTTAGACCCCATGACTTCACGCTTGGAGATTATGACGTGAATAGTTCGTTAGCGTGAAAGAATAACTAGTTAGTTAGCTAGCCAGCCTGGAGAACACTTTTGTGGAGAACAAAACGGTTGATATCCAAAGAACCCAGATTTATACCAACCTCGAAGGCTATACAAACAACACTAGACACTAGATCAACCTAGGCAAGCATCAGAAGGTTTCCAAGGATCGAAAGGAGTTTTCTCTGGCTTGACGTCATGGCCAAAGTACCGGAAATCTATGGCCTGTCTCCCACCATATTACAATATATCCTGTTCATAACACCTAATATTCGTTCTATCGTCATACAAAAGGTGGCTCCCTCAGGTAACGCGAACGTGCTGCTTCTTCAAGAATATTGATTGAGCTTCCCAATGGAACACCCCGGATCACATATACCAATATGAAAACGCTCGAACGTGTTATAGAAGCTCAGGCTAAGAGGTGTTATAGGGATGACTCCCAGAGCCCGTTCCTAATAGTAACATCGAGGTCTCCTTCCTATCTACATGGTTTTGAGTTCAACATAGGTCGATGTTTCACTGCAAACATACAAGAGACAATTGTCGTTATTGAAACCATGGCGAATCCCTCACTTCACACTGTCAGGACTGAAAGCACATTATGTCGGAACATAGACCACAGGACCATGAGACAAAAAGGCCTAATGCCCCATGTCCACAACGGAACATGAGCCACCTGCGAGTTCTACAGACACAAGAGGATGACTAATCCTGACATTATTATCATTCACGCACAAGGATGGCTTGAGGCAGAAGGATCACGGACCGAGGCTGTGATTACGGTCAAACTTGATCGTCAGACACCAAGAATCACAGTCAAACGATGGGAGCACTATATGCCACCGTTCCGCCCTCGGACGCGACATTACAACCCAATTGGGTCATTCATGGAGACAGTGATCGTGACCCATGAGCTTGGAGTGACGAGGGTCGGCAATTGCTTGACGATACCCTTGGAAAAGTTCTTTGGCAGAGCTAAACGGGGGCCCAACGAGCGAGATATCGTTCTGAGCAAAGATGACCTGGCGGAGATTTGCGAATTGGCATGGCGAGCACAAGGTTTCATATAGTAGAAATCACAACACCAAAAGCGTCCATGTTTTACTATCCAAGCAAGCATTTCGGGAAGGAAATCAGAGGGCACTACTTGGACTTGGACGTTGAGCCAATGGCTGCTTGGAAGCAACTCGAAAGGTAGATGTTCCAAAGATTCTTGAATAAGTAGAACTTTGAATTAGGGTATATTTCAGTTAGGCAAGAAAAGGATAGCCAATTCCCTCCCTTTCTATTATGACGGAGATGGATTTTCGGGTTCAGATGTGGTAGATATATTCCCTCCTGCACCTCGAGCGCGGGTTTCTGGATCATTTAGCGGTCTCTGGCTTAACTCGTGCTGTCTCTTCTTTTCGTCGACCGTCAGATCGCTTGCTGCAGGATTGACTCTGACAAAAAGAACAATAATCAGCAGTGCAACGCTTGCACATGCAGTATTGAACCAGAATACAACACGGTAACTGTGCTTCCTGCCTTGGTCCAGCGTGGCCACCTGGGCAACATCGGCGAAGCCAAGTAGAACCGCGATACTCAGGAATAAGACGGAGTTTATCAGAGCACCGGCTAGACCTTGGCGATGCTTTGGTTGGCTCGTGGTGATGAAGATGTTGGTAATGTTAAATGTGACATCGATGCCTAGTGTGGCCCCAATCATTGCCGGGAAAGCGTAAGCCCAGTAGCTTGCACCATCAGGCATTATTGCGAACAGGAGGCCGGCCATTATCCAGCCTATTCCGGAGATAATAAGTAGAACAGTTCCAGAGACCAGGTGTAGACATATTCCGACCATCATTGGGAAAGCAAAGCCACCTACTACCATCGGAGTACACCAGGCAACGACTTGTAATGATGTAGCGCCCATGATGTGCACCATGCTAGGAAGATTGTTAGTCAGACATGGAAACTATATCATAGTTACATGGAGAGCACTTACTATAGAGTCCCATAGAGTAAGAATACTCCCAAACACCCGTAAAAGAAGAGCAGTGCCAGTACCATTGCCTTCATATAGGGCGCATCAAACAAATCGAACGGTAGCAAGGGCCACTCTGCGACCCATCCCTCCACATAGAAAGCCCCAGCCAAGAATAAACAGCCAAGTATGAAGGAGACGTAGACATAGGGTGTCTTCCATCCTTGAGATGCATGTGCGCTGTCTGTGATCGCAAAGACAAAGAGGGTGAGGCCGACCACAATAAGGGTCGAGCCCAGGTAGTCCATTTTGACTCCCTGCTTGCGTTTCTCGGCCGCATCTGAGGGTATGAAGAAAAATGAGCTGACAGTAGTGATCGCTGCGAGAATGGCGCCGATGCGGAAATACCACTGCCATGCGAGATATTGAGCGGCCAGTCCTGAACAGAAGATACCGATGAAGAATCCAAACACGGCACAGGTTCCGTAGAGACTAAAAACTAGGTTCTTTCGCGGTCCGGGACGGTACACGATTGATAAGAGCATCATTCCGGACGGCAGATAGGCAGCAGGGCCAAGGCCTTGCAGTGCTCGGCATAATATGAGCATGATGCGGTTATTGGAAAAGCTGGCGATGACCGACCAAATGCACAGCCATCCCATGCCTCCGACGTACATATAATAGCCACCCACCATATCTGCCAAACGGCCAGAGATAAGGAGGGTGGAGGACACAACAAGCGGGAAGGCACTGGCCGGCCAGACAGCAGAGGCATCTGGGATATCAAACTCATCCACCAGCCTGGGTATTATGACGTTAAACCCAGAAATGAAATATTCCTTCGTATGTTGTTAGTCCAGTAGTGCATGATTATTGGTCAAGGATGGGATATGACATGGCCGTACCGTCAACACTTGGGACATTACAATAGAAAAGCAAAAGGCAGCCTCGGAAGCCCAGTTTTTAAATACTGGCGGCCGTAGTCTGCCTAGCCGTTCTATATCCGTATCCGGATCAATTGCACCTTCAGCATCATATTCGACAGTAGCTATAGGAACTTGATGCGTGTATGTCGATGATATCCGGCGAAGGGACGTAGAACGCGAACGAGTCCGCTGTCCATGTTCTGTCTCTTCGTTCGTATGTGGGTGTGGCTGTTGTTGCTGGCTCGTACTGGTCTGGGTCTCGTTGGATTGTACATCCAAGCCCGGCTTCTGCCAGAGCCGCCAGCGTCTGCCACCTGAGACGAAACCCATCGGAGCTCCAGCAGAGTAATCTATACTATTTGTCCAGTAGAGCCGTAACTATAGACAAACAGCACAGAGAACGCCAAAAAGAAGATGACTTGTATGAGTCCATGCGAAAAAAGTAAAAGTTCCCCGTCTTTCTCAAGTCATGCCTGGAACAGAACAAACAGACAATATCCGGGCAGTTATAGCAAGGCGTCTGAGACCCTTTGCCGAAGCCAACGAGCCCAGAGACTGTTGCAGCTACGGCCCAAAGGGGTAAGTATACACGGATATAGGGCCTGGCAGGAGACGTCCAGGCTAGAAAGAAATAGAGAACGCAATATATAAATAGCCTGCCTTCTCCGGCTTTTTACTCCTGGGCAAAAAATAGCGTGCAGAAGAAATCCTCTTAATCATCGCTTAAGAGAGGAGGAAAGCTAAGAAACGCGGAAAGGGCCCCCCCAGGCCTGTGCGGCGAACAGGCCCCGTCTTAAAGGCTCTCCAGGAGGCGGCTAGACGGAGAACGTAAACCGCCCCAGGGACGTATCAAAAATACGAAACGTGGCCGGTAAGTGAGCCGACATCAAGTCATCTCCGCCTGACAGTGGGGAGAGGCGGGAAGAAGTAAAAATAAAACAGAGTTGACATCGGCCTTGCGGAAGGCCTGAGAACAAACACCCATAGCCAGCGTAGTACCTTGGGGTGACGCAAGTGGCCAGAGTAGACGCCTGCTCCAGTATGTTCCGGAGTTGCAACCATCTTCTGCTCCCCCAGACAGCCTGTCCATGCACAGCAGTGCCCAGCTACAGAGCACCAGTCGGCCTGCTGCGTTTGATGTGCCTTTGATGGGCGCTGCGACTCGTCTCTGCCGTCGCTTTTTCGTCTATCAAAACGACGAGAAGGAGGCGAAAAGCTCGAGATGCGGTTCGCCTTTCTCGATTTGGAACTCACGTGGCGTGTCTTGGCTGCGGCTCTTCGTTCTTCCGTCTCTGATTACATAATCTTACCTTAATCTCAACCTCCAACACTGAGAAAAAGCGCGCCAGGGATGATGGAGAGAAGCCAGGATCAGGATGCGATGCGGGACGGGCGAGGGCAGAGTAGATCTACGGAGGCGCCGGATGAGGGGGTTCACAGGGGTTCCTACGTACTACATTCCATGGCTATGGTTGGTAGAATCATGGTGGCTCTGTTATTCCGCTCGACTACCCATTAGTTATACTATGTTGGTAGCATGAATCTGCTTCTGTCTTCGCTGCTTCGGCTTCGCGAACTATCAATGCATACATTAAAAACCAGAGAAAGTCATAGCTGGGGAAAGGGGAAAGAAGAAATGATAAACAGAAGAAAGGCGGGATAAGAGATATGCAACTTCGAGGCCTGGAGCCATCGGTTTGGCAAGGGGGGCCGTTGTTCATCACGTCGTCAGTGTCATAAACTAGGAATTGTTCTCAACTTTATAAGGCAAAGCAATGGATCAAGCAAGCAAAGGGAATAAGGAAAAAAAAAAAGGAGACATGCGGTAAATAACAGATTGGTGAACCATGGAGAGACATGAAACAATCCCTCTAGCCAAATGCTCTTCGGTCACCCTCTTTTCGATACTTATCAAGGGCAGCAGAGTCTTCGTCACGGAGCAATTTGAAGAATCGACGCACGTCCATCGGATTAGCATTTGGTCTGGTGCGGAGCAAGTCCATCCATGTATTTTCGGTGCTGGGTGCTGCTGGCTTTGCAGCCTCGATCTTGTTGGGCTCCGTCTGACTGGCTCGTCCGGGGGCATCCCCGCCGCCATCGAATGGCGGTAAATATCCATGGGCGTTGACCTTTTGCTCCATTGTCAGAGTCTCCACTTTTTTTGAGTCGTGTTTTCGACAGTGCTGTTTGCAAGGCGAGAACGAGAGTGGACTCTGTTGCAGCTTGCTCAGCTTTTTGAACTGCGCTGGCTCCTTTGATGACCCCGTGGTAGCGGCAGGCGTTTGATCTGGCTTGGGAGTTTGTGGAGCAGCAGCCTGTCGTGCCTTGGGATCTACGATCTCCAGTCGAGCGCTTGGTCGTCCCCGTGGTACTCCGATCCTACCTGAACCAAATGTCTCGGGGTTGCGGCCTCTGTTCGTGCCTAAGCGAGTTATATGTGCTGTAACCTTGGCTAGTTCCTGGAAAAGAGGCCCCAGGGGCTCGTTGCGCTTCGCAGCCTGCTCAATTTTCTGGTAAATCACACTCAGCTCAGGTGGTGCGCAGGCATTGCGAGTTGGCTCTCCAATCTTCTGCCCAGTTGCTGAGGTGATTATTCTCATATCTTCCTCGTCGTCATCATCTGCGAGTCTTTCCGGGATACCCATGTTATTTACCCCTGGTACTGTCCAGTTGTTTGAGGTGGCACTAGATGCCGGCATATTGGCCAAAAATCCATTATCACAGTATGACTCTGGTGACATGTAAGGAGACTCTGTTGCCTGGACAGGAGACATGAACCCATGGACATCACTCATGCTGAACGAGCTCCCTCCAGTATTGGTTAATCCAGGATTGTAGTATCCTCCTTGGGGTGTCATAACCGGCGTACACGGTGGAGCTGTGATAAAATCGTGGGAACCCGGATTTGAGCATTTTTGGTGCGCCTTTACTGGCATTGCAGAATCGTTGCTGGACCGCAACATCGCCTCAATGTTCTCCTTGAGAACCCTAGCTGCGTCAAGCTTGGTAACCAGTTCCATTCGCTGAATAACGAGGATCTTCTTACTAGAAGGATCAATATCCCATGTGTGCACAGCCATGTAGCGGTCCAGGTTCGACAGCTGTGCAGATATTGTTTCAAATTCCAGGATGGCATTATCCAGCATGTTGCTTAAACCACGAGAATCATTGGGCTGAGAAACTGTCTGTGCTGCATTTAGACCCGGCGCCATATACCCGTTGAAAGAGTTGAAGGCTCCTGGTAGCTGATACATCTGTGCCAGGTTTATCATTCCCAATCCTGGTGGTGTTGGATATGGTATAATATTGCAGGCGGGACCGATAAACTGAGCTTGAGCAGCTCCATGGGCTTGGTCTGGCACTGTCTGGGCGATGCCAGCTGGAGAATAGTATGTTTGAAGGCTGGGGAATGGGAATGCACCTTGGTCTGTCTGTCCCTGTTGCATCGATAATCCGTCCATTCCCACATTTACTAAATTCGGAATGAAATTTATTCCACCTATCTGGCCTGGAGTCGTGGGGTTGCTAGTCACAGGCGCACTTATCACGGGTGTCTGATATCGAGGGGTGGTTTTTGTTGTATTCCCCTTGCTTGCTTGGCTCATTGCCGAATCCCGTCGTCTTCCCTGCTCTGATCTGGTAGTGTGTTCAGCCATGGTTCGAGTACGGTGTCGTCTCATAGTTCCAGTATCCTCCTTTGACTCGTCTCCCTTGCCGGACATAGGGGAATGAGAGACTCCGGGATTCTGGCACAGATTCTGATTGCATGCTGGTTCTGCACCCTTAACTGCAGGCTTAAACTCAGGTGTTGGACTTGCACGCAATGTCATTGGAACTATGCGACCACCTGCAGTGACTCTGTGATGTTTTGGTGAAGCATGTTCCTTTAAGAAACGAGCGAACCCTTCATTTGTTTGAGCTATATTTCCCTCCGGCGCGTTTTTCGGCTGGCGACATGGAAATTGGAAATACGATGACTGCGTTGTGTGATAGCTTGCGTCCGAGTCCATGGACATATCAGTTGATGTCCGGGTATGGTTGACTGGTTTTTCCCGCAATACATAAGACCCAGAACCCAGTGATTTCCGACCTATAAAACACCAACGTTAGGATGCCTACCAGCCTACTGGGTCGAGAGAAGGTCCTTTCACTTACCACTGCCATAAAAGCTGCTCAAGTTCAGGCGCTTTGGAAAATCCGTTTTACCCATGTTTTTTCCGATGCTCAGCAACGTTTCAATATCGTACTTCCTAGGCTTCATCTTGGCCGCGGAGGAAAGTGAAAGATCGCCTTTTCCAGGTTCCAAATCCTCATATACCTTCAGTCGAGGCTTTTCTTTTCCCTCGTTGCCAGAGTTAACGGCTTCTCGGAAGATCGATGATGAGCCTATAGAAGAAACAGAACCAAGTTAAGCTGGCTTGTATAACTCTGAGAGGGACAACCAGTTGCTTACCTGGACTCTGAGCCAGAACCGTAGCCATGACTTCTGTTTCTTACACCACAGTAACAGAAAGATTCCAGGAATAAGACAAGAAGTTGTATCCAATTCCCAGTTTCTTTCGCTCCCTTGGTTGTGACAAGTAGACAGATACTTGTATCTTTAACCGACTACCTGTTGTTTTCCTTATCTCCGCACCGGTTGCTAGCTGAAGTGAGGCTCTGGCCTGGGTGGATAGATGCGTTTGCGGCTTTTGTATACTTCTGATAAGATGATTTTGAGGACGTCAACACGGAGCAAGGATGGCGTCTCTCCGATAGAGTCGATTTTCTAGAGCACTGAATCTGATGAGAGGACGAAAATGCCTTTTCGGCAGCGGACTAGAGGCGAATGAGAATCTCTGTAGCTCTCTTAGGCTGGATGATGGCTTGGAAGAGGAAGTTTTCTTGCCCATAAGAGAGGGCCAACTTTGTGAGGTGGAAGGCAGAAGAGAGCAGCAGAAGAGAACTGGAAGGAAGAATCACTGTGATATAGTAAAGAAAGAAGAAGTGAGACGAAAGTAAAGAGAAGGAATAAGAGAAAAGTACAATAAATGATGAAGATAAGTGATAGGAACTGTTTGTCTTTTTCTTCCCTGGATATATTATTGTTGTCCTTTTAGGTGTGTGTATTTCTGTGCTAATGACTATTCACTATATTCACTGAGTGACAACACAACATTTATCCTTCTATTCTCCTATTCTTTTATTGAGGGACCATTGATAACAAACACAACTGTTATTAATACTATATAATGACCTAACACATTACATGAGGAGGATAATACATAATATGCGATAATCAAAACATACTATACAAGAGTTGTAAGTCGATACAGAAATGAATAAAAGAATAGGAAAAAGTAAAAGATAACTTAATACATGATGACCATATATATCAAAAGAAGAGAATTCAACAAACATAGTACAGGTGGTACAGGTGGTATAGGTGAGATAGGTGATATAGGTGGTATATATGGGTATTGTTGGCTGCTTCTTGCATAGGCAAAGGCTTCTAGTGGCTTCTTGATGCGTTGCGGCAATCTGTTAGACAGTGTCACGAACCTTGACCGGTTGACAGGCAGGGCTCAAGATCATCTCGATATCCTCGTTGTAACTACTTGCATTACTCTCGTTGCTAGGAGCAATGCTTGATGGAGCTGACACCCTGATATCATGAGAGCTTCCTGGGTTGATGATGCTCGCGTTATTTTCAGTGTCAACATGATTCCATCGCAGTTTCTTTCGGTGTCTATGGCCTCTCCACATGCAAAAGAGGCAGGAAAGTGCAAGAGTCAGAAGCCCAAACGAAACTGCACCGAGGCCAATGAGTGCGCCAGTGTCCAGAGGGGGAAGGGTAGTGAAGTCGCATTTCTTGGTAGACTTGTGTTCTGCGTATTGGTAGCAGAAGTTTTCCTGGCCATTGCAGGAGCGGCACCATTCGGAAGTAGATTTCATGTTGAACACCATCTGGTCGACAAATTCTTTGTAGGGCATTGCAGTCTCTTTGTTGTTGGTTTCAAACATTGGGTATGGTTTAAATTGCGACTCGAAGTCAGATGCATCAGTGCCATTGCGGATCAAAAGTCGAACCATTAGCTTTGAGATATCGGTGGGAAATTCTGCAACTCCATCTTCTGCCATACTGAAAAGTTCAAGCATAACAGATGCACCGTGGTTGGGAAGGCCACTCAAGCCCTCACGATATGGTTTTGAGACAACGATTTCCAAGAAGGCCATTAGGGGTTCATACCCACCAAAAATCAGGGATAACTTATTGAAGGACCCTTTGCTTCTCTCGTTCTGTTGAAGTGAACGCATAATGGTGTAAGCTAGGGATCTACCTGCAATAGCAAGTACTCTGTCCTTTGACCAATGAACATCGGCACCGCTAGAGGTTGCGTGTGCCCACTGGTTGGCATACTGACGAGCTGTGTCTACATCGGTGCGAGAAATAATGTCTCTAGCAGTTGAATTGTAGGTGTACTGGTAGTTGAGGTAATCATAAACAGTAGTGGCGTGGTAGATACTGGCCATGTCACGAGAGTAGACGCCGAAAAGTATGCGTGAGTAAATATTCGAGTAGAAGGCTTGGGTGCTATCGAATACGTCATGGAACTCTTTAGAAGCAGCAAAGGCTCGGACTGCGTTGGTGTGCTGGGGACAGTTCTTGTGGCCAGAAATATGTGCAGACATGGGATCTTCCGCCCGGTAAGTCGAAATGACGGGGTACTGGTAACCGTTGAGAGGATAGTCAATCAAGTGACCGTTGGGGTCGGTTGCAGAACTCAAAAGGCCACGAAAGGAGGCGAGTTCCGGAGTTGGGGGGTAAAGGCCTTGCATGAAAGCCTGGGCGGATGACACCACATTAGGCTCTGGCGTGGAGGATATTTCGATTTCATCATTGTTCAAGACGGGGGAAAGCCCGTTAACATTGAAAAAAGACAGGTTGGGGTTCCTATGGGGGGTAATATAGCGCTGACGAAACGCGCGGCCTGCACCTACGAGCTGCTGAGCTCCAACGGGAGTGAGAGCATGGGCCCCAACTGCACCGAGAGGGGCAGTCTCGCCGTGTCTTGTAAAGACGACTGATCCCCAGGTTATCGGTCGACGGTTGTCTTGGGCGAAAGCATGCGTGAAGAAGAAGAGGAAGAAAAAGTAGATGGCGAGCATGGCTTCTGTTAGAGCTTTTGGCAGTTCGTGTGAGAATAAATGTGGGTTGTATTATGTATCAATAGAATTGTATTATAGTCTTGATGTAGCCGTGTGAGAAGGTCGATCAGTATATCAAGAGGATGGGATGCAGTAGTACTAGAAGCAGTAAGAGAGGACCAGTGAGATGGAATGAGTTGGAAGAGAAATATTTTCAAGACTAAGTGAAATAGCAGGAGAACTGGCTTTAAATACTGCTCCCAAGCAGCGTGAGTTCAGTCCAAATCGATGACAACAGCCAGGGCTTGAAGATTCATGGGCGTCATTGTAGGCTTCGATCCGGGGTCATCTATGTCATAGACTGTAAACCAACCATTTCAACCAAGGTTCAAAATAGTCCTTCAACTCCCAGGAAGGTTGATGGCGAGCAACCTTAGATGTCTGGGTATAACATGGTCCTCCATGGTCAAGGATGTGCTAGACACTATATCTCGGCCTACGAGAATATACCGTCCTTTACGATAATAATTCATATCTATGCCTTCTTATCGATATAGATAATAGAGGGTATCAGTTGCAGTAGTTTCCAATGCTGGTCTCACGTCAGTTTCACGATGCAAAATGAATGACGTCTTTGAACGTCAACGACGTCGAGCAGAATGAACGAGAATGGCTAGCGTCACTTGTTTAGTTACATAAGCAAGACGTTGAAGTAAGCAACCAGCTCTAGACAAAAGGGATTAGTTAGGGCAGCTGAACGAGAAGCCCTAAAAACACGCCCAAAGAGGCGCTCGGCCCCAAGCCCTAACAGAGCCCTACTTCCGCGCCCTATCCCTAAACCCTCATTTTTTGCTTGATCCGGGAATCGCAGAAGCCCTGGAGATATCTCGATGCCGGAAGGGCAGCCAGTCAGCATGACCGATCATCTGCAAGCTGGAGATCCCCCCATAGACGATGAGCCGACCGCTGCAAAACCACCTTCGGTCGCAACACCTACTGCTGACTCCAATGGTAAGATTTTTGATCTTCGTTCACTGCCGCTATACTTCGTCCCGCCTTGGACTGGCTGTATAGATAAGATCTAACCAACTGAGCTTGTCACAGAAAAGCCGAAACAGTCACACCCATTGCAAGATGACGATGCATCCTTGGCCCCAGAACCAAAGCGCCGACGGACAGACCCCCCTATCGGTGCCGACGCTGCATGCGATACAACGGCATCGACACCGTTTGAGGGCCATCATCTCGGTCCAAGCGAAACATACTTCCCTGCGAAGAGCGGCGTAACGAACGCAACAGGGCAGAATACTGAGCCTGGGCCATTCAAGGAGGAACTTCGAGAAGCGCGTATATCGGCTGCCCACGCAGGATCGCCGGAAAGCGTAGCGCATGCTATATCTCATCTCCTTGACCAATCAAGGAGAAAGGATGCTAGCAAGCAAGCCGCTTCCGCTGATTCCAATGCAGCTTTGCTTAAAGCAAACTCGAATTTAAAGGCGCAGAGCCTACCCATACTGGATAACTTGGTAAATACAGCCTTCGATCTCTGCTGTACCTGGTACAATGCTAATATTTGGTCATTAGTCTACCCAGATCCTTAGCTTCATTGCCCGCACAAGCTTCCAAGACCTGACGGCGCTCGTCTCTGAACCGCAGTCTGAAAATGCTCAATCCTACTCTACCCTACGCTCTCTATTCGACCACACCAAGAAAGTCTATACCACAAATAAGCCCTTTCTGTCCGCATCAGAGCTAGGGCTTACAGAGGCAAGCCAGGTCGAAGTGATCCGAAAAGCAAACCTAGCTTCTTTTGTCTTCAGTCTGTTCGGAACTCAAGAGATCGGTTTTGCTGAGCTTCATGACAATTTTTTGGATATATTTGTCCCCGAAGGAGGCCGGTTACTGAAAAGCCAAGCTGCCTTGTTCCTTGATTTGAAAACTCAAACTTTCATTGCTTCGATGAACAATCCAGCTCGACCAAAAGTTGAAATACTCTATGAGTTATTCCCAGATAATCTTGGTCTCAGTCTACTGGCACGAAGGCCGGGCACTAGACACCCAGCTCCAAGTGAAACTGATTTCGTCAAACGAGCCAGCTCGCGACGAGACATCCTACTGGGAGAAATCAATAACCCAGACTCAATTCACACCTTGCCAGAAAAATACCTTTGGCAAGACTTTTTGAGGGATATAAGCGTTTATGTTAGTAAAAATATTGATTCCCTCACTACTCAGGTTTGTCTGCCGTTCGTTTTTATCTTCTGATTAGATGAAAATACTCACATTTTCATAGACTAAACGGCTAAACAAAACACGATCACCAACTTCGCCCCAGGAAGAAGAGGCTGAGTCTCCAGCTACTGCTTTGGAAACTCAGTTCTCGGTAGCTCCACCAGCACCCCCAGAGCCTGCTCCTGTAGAACGAAGAATCGGAAGGGTTGATCTTGCTGCCCGAGCTGCCCGTGCTGCGCAGATTGCACTCCAAGGCCAGGGCGTAAGGAGGGCCAGTGCTGTAACTACTCCTCCACTTCAACAGCCACAGCACCAGCAGCAACAGCAGCAACAACAACAAACCTATCAACCGGCACAACCACACACACAATCAGCTGTCTCTCATGCCTCACCACCACCACCCTCAGTCCAGCAGCATACCCCCCAATCCACATCTACATCACCACCACCACCGGCCCCGCCACAAAGCCAGCCTAACGTCCAGTCATCGTATACTAATTATGCCTCCGTGCCTGCTACTGCTTCACCACAGCCACCCCATCTTCCTTTCCTCCAGGGCCAATTCCAGTTCCAACAATATAACCCCCAGACGCCACCCGAACCTTCTCCCGGGAGAAATACTCCTGCGTCCGCAACCTATGGATACATGCCAGGAGTACCGCACTTTTCACAGTCAGAGCCTACTCAGATACTGTATGAGCGCGCTAGGCTTGCAACTACAACGCGGTCATCACCAAGCAGCCGTCGTGCAGGGCTACCCAGTCAGCGGCGACCATGGACCACTGAAGAGGAGAATGCGTTGATGGCTGGGCTAGATCGTGTCAAGGGACCTCATTGGAGCCAGATATTATCCATGTTCGGGCCGGGAGGTACTATCAGCGAGGCCCTGAAGGACCGTAACCAAGTCCAACTCAAGGACAAGGCACGGAATCTCAAGCTCTTCTTCCTGAAGAGCGGAATTGAAGTCCCTTATTATCTCAAGTTTGTCACTGGAGAGCTCAAAACAAGAGCACCGGCGCAGGCAGCAAAGCAGGAGGCCCGAGAACGAGAGCGCCAGCAAGGAGAAGAAGACAAAGCCCATGTCGAAGGAATAGAAGGGATGATGGCCCTTGCCGGAGCCCATACCTCAGCCTCCGTAGAGCCTTCTGTCGGGAGCATAGATTCCCATCCTAACACGCAGCCAGGCACGCCGTCAGTCCTCGCCCAGCAACCGGAGCCTCACAACAACCATAATCATCACCATCACCAAGATGACCAGGACCAGCATGCAGCTGAACGATCAGCCGAACAGGTTCTATATCAAAGTCTTACTCAAGAGAAGGCAGAGGGACTACAGATGGATTCCCAGCGGAATTACGTGGACCCTTCGCTGTAACTCCTCCAGCTTCTCCCACCTGCGTCTTTCTATCTTCCTTACACTCGCACATGCATAACTACAGTCATTCTCCGGAGTAGTTGGGTACGGTTGCTATTTGGCAGGAAAGCGTTGCTCGTCTTCTTCATCATCATTCACGAATATTCTCACGGCGTTTCATTCAACTCATCAGTCACCAAATACCATCACCCTATGCGTGTCTATGATTTCTCTTCAAGTTAGCATTAATCTTCTCCTCCTGAGAGGCTCTTTTCCCCTTCACCTTTCGCTTCTTAGCAGTAACTAGACCTTCATCTCGAGCAGTAGTTAACTAGATACCGAGACCAGTTTCTAATTCTGAGCTCGTATCCCAGAGAAACATCGCTAAATATCAAACCAGCGCCCTAAAAAGAACCATTTCTTCCGGGAAATAACATCTACTGGCGATAGCCCCTTGCTAGGCTGGTCTACGGTGCCGGCAGCTCGTTGACTTTGGTGCAGGAGGCGACTAGCAAGCTCCAGCATCGCCGTTGAAATATTTTTATTTCGCTTCACCTCCCGCCATCTCGCTGTCCCACGTCAAACCGCCTGCCAGCCATCCCGTTTCCATCGTCCGTCTTCATCCTGCTACGGCTTGCTATGTCTCGCATCGCTCCGATAACAACGAAAGACGCCTAACTAGCTGTTTTCACCTTCCGCTGCCCAGAGCAAAACCACCGTCACACGCATCTCAACCGGCAGCTCTCACCGCATCCTTGCCCTTAAGCTCTTATTACCTTCACGATACGTCCACACGCAGCAGAGCAGACACATCGCCATGGCCGAATCAGATTCATCGCAGCCACCACCTCCACAACCGCAGTCGAATCAGGTGGACGTCGCACAGCCATCGTCGCAGGCAGTCGCGCAGCAGCCCGCAAGTTCAGGACCAAAAGCCAGCAGTTCGGCCTCGCCACCGTCCCAGACGCAGCCGCAGATGCAGACATCTCAAGCTCTACCGCAAGACACGGCTGCTCCAGCAAATCAAGACAGCTCCGAGCCGGTGATCAAGCAACAGTCGCCTAGCTCTAACCCATCTGAACCTGCTGTGGCTGCAACTGGAGAAGGAGGGAGTGCATCGTCGTTAGCAAAGGATGTTGATTTAAGTCCTCAGGGGGCCAATATCAAAGACACCAACGCTACCGAAGACATCACCATGGGGGGAACAGAGCCAGAAGCTGGGGAGACTACAGTGCCAGAGGGGGCTGGTGTCACTGCTGGCGGTGCTGCAACCACTTCAACGGCTAATGTTGCCCCAGGCATTCCTGAGCCTGCGCCTGGTCTAACCGGGCTTGAATCGATAGTACCTCCGTCAAAGAAAGATACTAGCCTGAGAGAGTTCCTAAGCCAGATGGATGACTATGCACCTATTGTACGTTTTCTGACTCCCCCCGTTGATCAGACGTTGTACTAACTATGGGCATAGATTCCAGATGCTGTCACTGCTCACTATCTGACCGTTGCAGGTCTCCCGCCACCGGGACCCGGACCGAACAACACACCTCCTCATCTTGCTCGTCTACTAGCTCTTGCAACACAGAAATTCATTGCAGATATTGCAGCGGATTCTTATCAGTACTCCCGAATCCGTAGTTCTAACAGTGCCTCGTCCAATAACCCTATGGGCAGCATAAACGTAACCGCCGGTCTAAGCAGTGCTGCTCAAGGTGGTCAACCAGGAGGTGCCGGAGCTGCTGGAGCTGCCGGCACCGGTGAAGTATCTACCAAAGGAAAATCCGGTGCTGGGGGCCTACACCTGGGAGTTCAACGTGCTGGTTTTGGAGGTGGAGGACAAGGAGGCTCCCAAGGGAAGACCGTCCTGACCATGGAAGACTTAGGCATGGCAGTTGGTGAGTATGGAGTCAGCGTGAAGCGAGGCGAGTTCTACCGGTAAAAATGAAACACCGCATCGCCAGGTTTTCCAAGTGCTTTTTATTCGATATCTTTTTTCCGATCTTTCCACCGCCCAATCCGGATACCCCCGTTCTATTTTCCTGTCTCAACTAGGGCGTAACTACTCAGAGCTTCTTATGGTGAACGGGAATGGCGCATTGCTGATTCATGGGTTGAAAAGGCGCATATTTCAGGTGGGCAAATCAGGCTCAAAGGGAGAGGGGTTGGGTATTTGTTACTACTATATACTCCTTGGGCTATATATCACCTATGAACATTATAGGGATTCTCCAAACAAAATTATAAACGAGAGTACCATCCAGTATAATGGATGGACGCTATCTCTAGCAAATAGTATAGGAAATTGCTGTAGTGAGGTAATATACAATATCTATGATTGATAGTGATACAATGTGGTACAATGAGCAGCCGGGGCTCTAGCATTTCCTTCCATGCTGCACAAACTATCGCACTCCATGCTAAACGCCCAATTGACATCAACGCCTAATAACCAAAAAAGTAAATTAATAAAACAGAAGAATCAAATAGCTATCCCAGCCATGTAGTGGCACAACTGTGATTCCATTTCTAGGAATGTTAGAAACGCCTTCTTGGATTCTTCGAGATTTAATTCTCTTTATTTAGATAAATGACCAGAGCACAACGTTTATTTGTTCTTCGAGTGCTGGTATGTGAAACGTTTTCGTGTGCTAAAAATTTATGGCGTCAGTCACTATATTCTAGGACGGGCGTAACGCGGCACTGATATCCGAAATAGATACCCCACACAGGTGTATAACATACGGCGCAAATTCTCCAAGCTTCCTTCCAACCATCTCCTCAGTGATTAGAATTTCCTGGTATTGTTTCCCGTTGTGAACTGCGAATCTCAACCCAACAAAGTTAGGCAGGATGGTAGCTGCTCTAGCCTGTGTGCGGATGGCTGGTGTTCCTGGAGGAGGAGGAATCGTCTTCGGCAATGGAAGACTGAATTATATCGTTAGATATTTCAATGAAAGACAATGATATCTAGTATCTCAATGCTGATTATAAAAGTAGTTTTAACGTACGGCACGATATTTGGACCTGGGCAAAAGTTGATTAGTTCCATCCACTCTGAGCCGGTAAAAATAGCACAGTGTACTTACCCTTCCAAGCGGATCGCTTCAGCAGTGCACGAGTAGGAAACATGCTTGCTGTCCCTTGAATGGCCGAATCTTCAATCTCCAGTATCAACTTCACAGTTGATCTTCAGGCAGAAAAGAATGAAATCGATGATGATTAGCTAATGATGACTAACAAGGTATAACCAATGACTAAGCGGGCGCAGCTTCTGTCACGTGAAAGATATAAACAAACGAAAGGTGAGGGAGGAACGGCCATATCATCTCATCTATCGAGCGATCATAAATTGACGTCTAATCTATTTTCTTTCATGCTATCATAGTCTCTAGTTGGAAACCTTGGATAGGTCTTCCATGATCTTCGCAACATTCCTCAACCCTCTCAGAAGGTTCTCATCCGGGCCTTGTCCAGGCGTCCAACGGGCATGCGCAAAGTCGATAAGCCGGATATCATGGACTTTAGGGAGCTCTTCTTCATCCTCATCCTCCTCTTCTGCCTCTTCATCCGTGTCCCCTCCATGACCCGTAGTCCGAGTGGATAGGTCTTCAGGCTTGTTGGCTTGCTCACGCTCTACCTCAAGGGCCTTCTCGAACGTTTCGGGATCCCCCTCATAGACTATCAGAACACTGGCGGAGTACATGCGGCTCTCCTCTGACTCCAAAACCGATTGCATCGCTCGTAACTCAGTTGCAATTCTCTTCGCTATAAAAGCAGATCGATCAACCGTTCCGGCCTTAGCGGAGGCGAGGAAGGTCTTGAAACCCTGATGGACGTTATGCTCATCAAAGCCTCGTCCATACCACTTATCGAAACGAAGATAGCCCTCAGACTCGACTACTTTAGCCTTGGACTTGATGGTTTCACTGGCTGTTGAAGCAAGATATTGTGCGGTGACATCAACGTCAGCTCCAGACTGCGTGTCTCCCCCAACCCATGTCTTCATTCCGGCAATGCGGAAGCCTAAGCTCCCGCTTGTCGTCTCAGCCGACACCTGGTCGAGTTTCTTTCTCTTATCAGGAATAGCATCATCGTCCCAGAGCCTTGCACCGAGTTTGACATCCAACACGTTTGGCCGTACGAAGCCATCCGTAATGTTCTCCAGAACGATTGACAGCCCGGTATCAAGCTTCTTACCGCCAGACGGAACCCATGGCTGATCCGGTTTCTTCGCTGGCCTCGTGATGGAGATGCTATCTGTCTCTGTCGCCAATTCCATAGGCAAGGAAGACCTCTCCACGGGTGCCTCTGCTGAAGTAATAACTAGTGGTGCATCTGCATCTGCATTCGATATATCAAGGGCCTCCTTGGGAGCACCAGCGCGCAGTGAACCGATAAACGTAGGCATGTATCGTTGGACCGCCGGGTGATTGGCGCCTGATTCATAGAACAGAATCTCTTTCTCGGTGCAGGGCTTCGCTATGAGAGAGCCCGATTCATCACAGCGGACGCCTTCACTAATACAGGTCATGAACTCGCACTCTCACTCGCCCCTTGTCCGTCATTCAACAGGAGTAACTTACTGTCCGGCAGCGGCATGGTCAAACGCCACAAAGCTATCCTCGTCCAGTTTCTGACTCTTCGATGATGGTGGCATGGTTGAGACCCTAGAATAGGAGCTGGAAGCTGGTCAGAAATTGTTGTATTTCAAGGTACCTATCCCCAACTTCGGCCACTTGACGACACCCAAGCGAGAAGGTGAAGATGTCGTACAGGTTAATCAGCCACAGCAGTGAGCCTCTTTCGCTCGGCAATTGTGCATATAGAACAGCTAAGTGAACAGGTAGAGAGCCTGACTGCTTCGCTGTCAATTTGATGCCTCAAATGCAAGTCATCACGGCCAAGATAGGGCTTAGCGGCAAGCCAGCAACGAATGCGATGTAGTGGATGCTGATTGGTTGGACGGAAACCAAATCTTGTTAGGTAAGAATGTCTATTCGTGACGTCATAGGCTGGGGTCTTGTATAAGATTCGATTTTTTGTTCCCCCTTAGATATACAGGCACTACTGTATATACAGCTCCAGGGACTCTTTCTAATAGCATCATTCGTGCCCTCTGCTTACCCTGATACCCATGAGGGACGTGCTATCTATCAAGTTACTGTGCCTTAGCCTCAGGAATTGTTAGCCGAGCTCTCACAATGTGTATTTCGTTCGAGGTCTGAGCAGAGAACTCCGCGATGCTGGCTCATCCGGCGCTATGTCTACTGGTGACTAGATGTGGAGAAGTCCCGTACTCCAGCCGCTATTAATTATAGCCAATGGCTGGGATGGTCTAACACCGAGGAAGGGGAAAGGTCGTTGGAAGGAAGTGACTGACTGACCTACCTAGATAGAAATACTAGGACGATTTTCCAACAGGAGCTGAGAGAACTGCGGATATCATGGCCCCCTTGCCTGGTTTAAAGTCCTTGACATTATCATGTCATAGAATATAATACCCTGCAATCTTATTCCCTGCTCTGACTATCTTTTTTGAACTAAGTACTTCTTCTCTCGTTATGACAGTGCCTGGTAAACAGCTCATCCCAGCCAGCAAAAGGATTTTTCTTCCAGCTTTTATTATTCCTCTAACCCTCACCTTTTTATAAATAACAAAATCACTATTGGCCATCTGGCTTGTTTGCTTACTTGCATTAACAAGATGCAACTATGCGATGGGCAGACAAAGATCTCGGAAAAGAGCACAAAGAAGGCATAGAAGCTGAAGAATTCACTGACACTGATTCTTGGACTTTCTCTGCTCCTTCTTTTCTTCCTTCTTTTCTTTACATACCAAATCATCCCTTCTCTAGCTTCAATCTTGAGAAATTTTCCAGAAGATAGTCTAGGTGAAAAAAAAGTGAAGTGACTCGCCCAAGGGAGTGAATCATATACTGAGTTGTGAAGGGCTTACTTCATCTTCTTTATTTACCAACAGATCGAACAGCTCCAGGCTCATATTAACCTCTTCCTAACCTCCGACAAGCGCCTCCAAGGACGTTTCAATTTTCAATTTCGAGTCATCTTCATAAGTCTATTTACTCGAATATTTGGCCTCGAGCTCAGTAAAGATGGAAGCAAAACCTGAGCCGGACACGGTTGCTGATAGCACTTCCGTCCTGAGCAATATCCCAATTAACCTACCCCATCGTCCTAAGAAGCTGACTGATGAGGATCGTGGCCAGCTAGAGGCTGAAAAAGAGGATATTGGAGAGAATAATAACGGGAATGTGGAAGCAGCCAGTCAGAACCAGGTCATTGAGGGCGAAAAGACCATCGCGGGGTCTTTGGACAAGGCAATATCGGCTCCCGTGAAGAAGAAGTCCAAGAAGAGATCCAAAGGGAAGAAGGGCAAGGTAGGATGCCACCTTGCTGTTTAACATTTAAATATGGAAGGTATTAACTCTTAAGCAGAAGAAGATCACAGGTTTTGAGGAGTACTATGTCGACCCGCCCATGACTCCCGCTGAGCATGAAGAGGAAAAATCTATCTATGACCCGTAAGCATGATATATCTGGGAGATTCTGCATTGAAGCTAACTGACTAAAACATACAGGTCTAAGCCAGCTATCCAGTGAGTTCAAGGGCCGCATTTGCAGGTGTACGAGCAGCTATCCTGACTTTCATATAGGCGCCTCGAGACAGCAATCCAGAGATACCAAGCTAAAAGGCGTCTCGATCCTGAGAGAAGGCATATTTTCACGAAGTATATGGCTTTTGGCGGCGTCGATGTTGGACCTAAGATGTTTGAAGGAAATGACCAGCGAGACCTCCAGTCCATGGATGCAGAGGCCATCGCTACCGCAACTGCGTCATCTAATATCCCCCACGACCGTGAGAAGTGGAATGTTGACTTTGAAACAGTTGCCAAAGGGTTTTTGTGGGTTTATTAGGTCCCAAGCGGTTGTTAGATTATTTGAAGGCTGACCCTTCTAACTATAACTATAGATCATCTGTTTTCCCCCAAATGTTTGCGGTCGACACTGAGCAGCTTGTTCAACTTGGAACTAATACTATCAAAAACTTCCTCAATTACATCATATATCATGATGTTTGTCCAGAGTATCGAGACGACATTATGGCTGCCCGCAAAATAACTGACCAGGCAGCCGATGAACTGTGGAAGGCTTACCAAGCTGATGCAAACGCTCCGGGTGACTTCAACACTGCTTGCAGTACGCTTTTCGGTGGTTCGTTCTTTGATATGTACACTGAAGAACGAGAATGGGTGGAAAATTCAGACACGATTCCATTTATGACGTTAACCGCGGCGAGAAAGGTTGTTAAGTTTGGAATTGCTGCTACAGGAAGCCTGGAGCAAGTGGTTAAATTCCGAGAACTGGCCATCTCCAACAAACTACGAGCAAAGCTCATTCATGAATATGGATTTGAAGTTACCGCAATCATCCCTCCATCGACTGAAGTGACCGAATTCTACGAACAGAATGCCCCTGATCTCAAACCAATTGGGACAATCCGAGCGACTGCCTGGCGTGACTCCAGTCTGCCAGATGAGGACCTTGCACCAGGTGAAGAACCACCCGCTTATAGACACATGAAGTTTGAGTTCTTTGTGGAGAAAAGCCTTCTCCCATTCTTCTTCGTTGGAATGAAGGTCGATGCAAACGTGTGGGAGCTTAGCTGTGGAGTTCATTACTTTGACAAGTTCATGGCCACCTATTGCTCGTTCCATACTACTTTGCCGAATGAAGGGATCTTGAACTGGAAGGAGCCTCGAGATTTAAGGGGAGACCATATTGTCTGGGGGTCCAAGAGGACCGAAACTGTTGAAGATGAGGACGAAGAGAGTGACATTGAGGATTAAAGAAGCGCGCAGGATCCATACGAACTCTTCGTCGGTCGTTTTCTACTTCGGTCATGGGCATACATTGGCAGGCAAGTGTCAGATAGGTCCTTTAGCAGCATGATTCAACCAGCGGAGTAGATACCTGCAAAGCATATCTAGGTGCTTAGGTAGTTAAATCAGCCCAGTTCCCATCGTATAAATATCCAACCATCTTCAACCAACCTTCGGCTATGTAGCTGATGTGTGGAGATAAATACCGACTAACTCCGCGAGCTTAGTTATCATCTTTCGTCATAAACATTAGAACACGAGAAACGACCAACTTCTCCCAAACGTCAAGCCAAGCGATATATCCAATGTCTACAGGCTCTATCTGCAGTCAATGAAGACAAGTCTACAAAGTATTGCTATATCCGCGGTTGCCAAAAGGCTGTTCATCCCTAGGGTGTATACACATCCATCAGTCAACCCCGCGTTCAATCTCAAGACACAGACAGGGCTCCACGGCTTCGGCTATACCACTTCGGCTCCCAGAAGATTACTATCCATCTACCGCAATATGACTTCTCTTCCAACTTCTCAGAAGGGGGTTTTAGTCTCCAAGATAGGAGGCCCCGATGTCCTTGAGTATAGAACGGACTTGCCCGTCCCTTCTCCCAAGGAGGGGGAAGTCCTTGTCAAAAACAACCTTACTGCCATAAATCTCATCGACACATACTTCAGAAAGGGTGTATATGACTCTACCAAACCTGAGATTCTGGGCAAAGAAGGCGCTGGTACCATTGTTGCGTTAGGTCCCGGCCCGAACCCTTACAACTTCGCTGTTGGTGATCGCGTAGCATGGATCGGAACTGCAGGATATGCAGAATACAGCACCCCACCAGCATACAGAGTAGCAAAGATTCCCCAGGGTGTCTCCGACGAGGATGTGCTAGCCGTGTTACTGACTGGTGCCACTTGCCTTTCCTTCATCCGGGAAGCATACGAAGTCAAGAAAGGTGACTGGATTCTTCTTCATGCTGCGGCTGGCGGAGCAGGTATCATCATGACCCAGTTGCTCAAGCTAGCTGGTGCCAAAGTCATCGGCACTGCGGGGGGGCCTGAAAAGGTTGAACTCGTCAAGGGCCTGGGTGCGGATGTGGTTATTGATTATAAGAGCACGGAGGGTGCTAAGTGGCTGGATAAGGTGATGGAGGTCACCGGTGGCGAGGGTGTGAACGCAGTGTACGATTCAGTGGGCAAGGATACCTGGGAAGACAGTCTCAAGGCTGTCAGGCGGAAAGGATCTGTAGTTTTCTTCGGAAACTCTAGTGGTGTTGTGCCTCCATTCCCAATTTCGTGAGTGTTTCCTCCATATTTTTCGTATGTCCTTGTACAGACGGTCTAACTTGGTCCGTGTAGGATGCTCGCAGGGAAGAATATTAAGATATGCCGCCCTGTTCTCTTCAATTATATCTATACCCGTGAAGAGTTTGACCTATACATGAACGAACTCTTCCACTTGCTTGAGGCAGGGAAGTTAAAAACGAGCATCTATAAGATATACCCGCTTGAGGATATTCAGCAAGCACATAAGGTCAGTCTCCCTCATTCAAAGTCTTTCACAAAACAAGAAAATTGACATCATTTTTCAATCGGCATAGGATATCGAAGGAAGGAAAACAACTGGCAAGTTGCTGCTGAAGCCCTGAGTATCGTATAACGTCATTCTCTGGACCCTTCTACCATATCAATGGCCAACAAGTCATCTTCAGATAGGGTGCATGAAATTTGAATAATTTTCTCACAAGGGTATTCACATTAGACTCCTGTATATCAAATCAGCCACAGTCTTACTCTATGCACCACTATTTTCGAAACAAACACATCGCTATGACATTCCTCTATCTCCGATTTGAGATCTGGTTCCCAGCTCATATACTCGGACCACTAATGTCCGCACAGAACCTATCCTTGCTTTCCCGGCAAACACCCGGATACAGAGTAAGATGGTCAACTTCAGTGGCAATCCAGTAACTCAGGCTTATTCTGGTAGACTCGGCTGCATTTTGTTGGCTACTCGGGGTCACGTTCGGTGGTCGACTCCCACACAGCAAGAGCACCACCAGCTGCACGATATAAAGAAGAAACTCGCCCTGTGGAGGCCTCGCATTCCAGACTGGCTTATCATGGGGCAAGGACCATACAAACTTAGCGCCAACGATTTATGCTTCCTTTTTTCTTCACCAAAATAGAGGCCTTCGGGCAGGAATCCTGCTGTCGGGCGCCCCCCTGTGCACTCCACCAAAGTGCATCTCCAACTTTTCTCCCACACAATCCAGTTGCGGGATGACGTTTTCTTAACTGATGGCACGAATGAAGGGACTCGCCTTAAAGCTGCGGCCTGCAGCATGTAACAGAGTGAAGCCATGGAGAAGAGGAAATGGCTGGAAAACTCTGCCTTACAAGGATGATTGGTGAGCCTCAAGCTGCTGTTCGAGGCGCCTCGCAAAAAAAAAAAAAAAGGCAGAAAGGCAGAGGTCTGCCAAATTCGGGATCACAAAAACAAACCACCGTAAAATGGCGGCGCAGCAAATGATATCAGGGCATTCTCGTAACCAGCAGCTAGCGAGATAGCGAGACTGCCCGGTAAGGCATCGAGTCGCCGCTCGATTTCATACCCGAAGTTCGCTGTTCAACTTCAGTTCTGGCCTTTTCACGCCAGGGCGTCAAGAACAGAATCCGACGCAGGAGCCAGACTTCACCCTATGCAATTCTAAAATCATCCTGTTTCATGTCCGCATATGCTTCTGACATGCGCTGCATGGATGGACATCGACCGTCGACACATGTCGGAGAGCGCCCTGCTGCGTCGAGTTACGTACCCGGCAGGGCTGCATATATCAAAATTCGTTTCGGCCCAATAACGGGTCCTCTTGGAATTACCCCTGATGCCCAACCAAGTTTCCCGCTGCATTCCGCATACCCAGCGCATAACCGACCCTCCTTGACACTCGCTTTATATACCAAACGCCTCCTCCGGGACTTTAGTCTATTTTACAAGTCTCTTTCTGTTATGTAGGACCTCTGATATTTGCTCTCCAGCCCTCTAGTGACCATCGTTGATACTCAGGCCCCCTTCATTACTTCTCTTTTGCATTCATAACAAGAATTACACCCCATGTCAATTCTCTGCTACCGCGACCCTGGTGTGAGTTTGAGTCGCGTGAGCCACCGGATCTTCTCCAGGATTATGTCTAATTCATCAATATTGTAACAGATAAATCCCGTTCCGGAAGTGCCTTGATCTCATCGATACCTGTCCACTTTGGATCTACCCCTATTTGTTTTTTGGTTTTTAGCACACTTGCCATCTTGTTCGTTCTTCTCTGCATCTGCATGAGAAATGTGTGCCGTCGCTACTCCAAAGCACAAGTGGCCACCGGCCCCTCGTGTGGAGGACGAGCGCGTTGCCCGCTCGTACGAAGTGTCGGATTCTTCTCTGTCCTCGTACATTGAAGACGATGACTCCGTCGTATCGAGAGGAACAATCGACCAGTGGCCCGTTATATTACCAGTGGAATCCCCGGGGCCTTGCAACCAGTCAGCCCATCATGATGAAAATATAATGTCCAGAAAGACTGCCGCAGCAGAGGATATGCCAATTCACAGGAAAGCCACGGACAATACACTACATACATCGTCACTTAAACGAAGCCAATCAGAAAGGAGACCTGCTAGTAAGGTCCGATTTTCAGAGCCACCTGGAAGAGATGAACATTCTAGAGTTAGAATGGGCCCTGTCCCATCTAAAGCTAATATGAAGTACTCCCCGGAACCCGAAGCCACTGCCAATGCCACTGGAAAGGATGCCATGTCAAGCCAAAAATCTAACTCCAGCTCGAAATCCCAGCGTAAATCGGTGATTCAGGGCCCTGAGGGGCCTCGATCACAAGGGGCTAACTACTCACTAGGGTATACAAGCCAGCAGAAGGTTTCAGGTCATCCAACAGCAACCTCCAAGAAATACTCTGCTGATGAGCTTGACAACCGAAGCGACTTTTCAGATGTGTGGGAATCAGTTCAGCGATCCGATGTCTCGATTGATGGTGGTGATAGAAGACCGCATCGCCGTCCGCATGCCGGGGAATGGTATAGCGACGACGAAGTGTTTTCATCCCACCGGAGCTCCCACAAGTCGAGATATTCGCCTCCGGCCGCCGACGAATCCGTCAGAAAAGAATCCCAAGACACCAAAACGAGCCGCAAATCAAGGAAAGATGATACCATGGAGCCGGCTCCCCGCCAACGAGGGTCGAGCCGTCGTCGAAAACCGATGGCAACGGAAGAAATGTATAGCTACATCTCTGAGACCAGTTCTGGTAAGGGGAAAAATTCCTCTCGCTCAGAGAGACGCCGTAGCAACAGCTCGTTGCCTCGCTTAGAACGAGCCAATCTCGAATCATGCGCCAATAAATATCAAGATACAACTGACGAGCACTTCTCCGACCCAATGCCGAAGCTACCGGTCACCACAACTGCTCCACCATATGATGGGGCTCTCACTCAACAGCAAGTCTTCGCTCCCGTCACTTTTGTCCCCAGTGGTCAAGACTACAATCCTGAGGGTTGGGAGTACATATCCCCTACCACTTGCTATGAGTGTACCGGGCACGATGCTGGCTGGTCTACAACTCCTTACCTACCTGCAGTAGACATGCCGCTGCAGCCTCCATACATGGGATACCAGGACAATACGATGTCAAGTGCACCAGTACTAAGCTCAACTCTTGCTGGACAAGAGATTACAAGCCGCGGTGCCGTCAAACCTCATAGACAAGTGTCACCACGACGTCGTTGCGAGGAGACTCCTGCATTGGCGCCTTGTCCAAGATCAATTGCCATGGCTGATTACAATGATTGGTCTACCATAGTTGGCTTGACACATATGAACATTTGCCCATCCTGTACCCAACAGATTAAGAAGACTCGCTTCGATAAACTTGTCGTCCCTGCGCCGCCTCAGCCTCTCGGGCTACCAGTTCGATGCTCCATGAGCCAACCATGGGCGCGATTAGCATGGGTTCAGACAATGAAGCTGGGTTTAAATCACCTTGAACTGCTATACCAGCTAACTCGGCCATCGTCAATCTACAAAGGTTGCCCTGGCCGCACTCCTTCCACCCAAACATGGTACCGAGTCATCGATCCGGACACCGGCAGGCTCATGCCCAACTTCAATGCATGTGCATCCTGCTTCCGCAACGTCAGGATCCTCATGCCCTCGCTGCGTGATTCATTCCAGCCAAGTTCGACTTCACAGGAACGAACTTGCGACCTTCGCTGCGGCAGTACTCGCTTCATCCAATATCTCGACCTCCTCGATGTTGCAGCTACCCGCCATCGACATGACCCAGGCCGTAAGCCCGATCTACGAGACTTTATCCGGTACGCCAAACGTAAGAACCGCATCTATGACTGTCCTCGTGATCACCTCATCGTTGGCCCATGGCATGGTATTGACGAATTGCCTGAATTTACTGTCTGCGAGGACTGCTACGATGACGTTGTCTGGCCGTTCGGGAACAGCCCAGTAGCTTCTCTAGTGTCCCCGACCGTCCAAATGACTCCAGACAGGGCGGGCCCAGCATCCCGCCAGGCATCATGCCAGCTATACAGCCCACGAATGAGAATGATGTTCCGTGAAGCCGTCAGGCGTTCAGACTTTGGCTATCTGAGGGCAGCAGTTTTGGCTCGATACCAGGCCGAGAATGCTTTCCGTGAGAACAAGAGGCTACTCATGGAAGATGTTTCATTAGGTTACGATCGTGATGCTGAATTGAGGAAAAATGCAGCTGAATGGAGACGATGGGAATGAGCTCATGATCATTTGAATTTTACATGTACCGGCGCATTTCTCTTGTCATTTTGATCAATTTTTCTTTCTTATACATACGGTCCCTTTTTCCTTCATGCTTTACATTCCCCTTCTATATCTATCTTCGATGCATTTTGGGAGTTTTTCATTTTAGTTCTTTCATTTACGGTGCTATGAGTATATGTTCAACCCAGTTGTACTAGGAATTGTCGTATTTTGTATTTTTCTTGTTTCATTTGGGCGTTTATTTGTACGATGAGATGATATACGATAAAGTGTAGAGAGGAGATGGAATACTATAAGAATTAATCTCGCGAGAGAGAAGAAAGCCTCATCTGTGTTCAATTAATCAAATATCTAGAGTCTAGTATATTATCACATCACGCTTCGCAGAATGATACTGGTTTATCCAACCAATCCGAGGATTTCTCCAGGCCATTTATTTCCCCATATTATGGCTCTCGCGGGTACTCTCCCAGCTACTGGAGATAATAGTCGAAGCTTCCCTTTCTTTGAATCTACACCGGCAACGTAGAGGAACCCCATAATGCTAGCATCCCGGATTTCATTCAAAGGCGCATTTGGAGGAGCATGAGTGATTGCCAACAATGTATTCTCCAGCGCTTGTGGAACAGGGTAATCAGGTGTGGCGACCAGCTTCTTAAGGGGTATCTGTTGGGAAGGGAGGCCTGATGATGACGGACCAGGCCCTAAAGCAGCAGCCGACGCAGGCGCGTCGTCCTCTCCGTCATCATTGCTGCCACCTGGAAGAAATGAGAACTCGCTTGTAGAATTAGTTATATGCTTCATGCCATCGTATTCATCACTGTTAATAGTAATGTTGTAGATAGATAGATTGTCGAAATCAACATGTTGACCGTGAGGGGAGAGAGATATGACTGAGCCAGGAGCAGTAGATGAAAGAGCTGAAGATGCAGTTGATGGAGCGGATGTTCCGAAGAAATATGATCGAACTTGAGATTCACGAGTAGATTTCATAAACGATTCATCACGATCAACGCAACCCCCTGATTTGGAGAGTTTGACTACGGATATCTTCTCGTCTGATACGGGCATTGTAGAGGTTGTAGAAATCGGCTTCCCATCATAGTTCTTGACCATCGTACTATAAAGACGTTCCGACCCAAGAACGAGAATCGTCGAAACTAAAAGAAGGTGAGTTTTCATCATTATATATATCCGGGGATGGAAACATACTCGAGAATTCTGTAACTATATGATTGATGATATCTTCACCGCCACCTTTCCCTTGGCTGATTTCTCCGGGGGTATCAACAATGATTCCAGCTTCCTTTGCTTCCTCATCTTCAGCTAGCCGGCCCGCTACTGTCAGAGCGAGTCTCGAGACAATAGACTTGTAAAGTTCCTCCCCACCACTGAGAGGGCTCTGTAAGCCATAGAAGTACACTAGTGGGAGTTTAACCGGTATGGGCGTTGGCCCAGACAATGGACTACTTCCCCAACCTTGCTCAACATCAATAAGTGTCCGGAAAGCCGTTGCTGTCAATGTACCGGGCACACTCAACATCCCCTCTGACGGATCAAGGTTGACCACAAATGGCTGACGTCCCATCTTCGTTGCGTAACCCGTCAATATCTTTGCCAGGCTCGTTTTGCCGGCATCCTCCGGCCCTAGAATTAGCACACGGGGCCCGCCTCGACCGTTGGCCTTTGCCTCATCTCGTAGTGTTTCCAGTGCGAAGTGTACGTTCGCATAGTCTACCATTGGCGTTTCTTCGGCGGTATATTCCACTTGACATCCCCCACTGCCTGATCCAGCGGGAACAGGGGCACTCCCAATGACTCCTATAGCAACTGGATCTCCTTCTGTCACTTCCAATGTACATCCATGCCAGGTGTATATGGCAGCCTTAGTCCCTGAAAAGGTATACGTTTGCGACGTAGCTAGTTCTGTTCCAAACAGCTCTGCAGTGCCTGATAATAGCTACACTCCGCGTTCAAGACACCGATATTAGTGATATGACTTGTGAAGTTAGCATTGGGGTGCCATACCTTGACTCTAACTGAGTTCCCATACGCAACTTCAAATCTCCATTCTGAGCCTTGAGAAAGGGTATGCTGTACAGGTGCTGCAGGAGCTCTCTGGGATTCGATGGTGGGCTGCGAGAGCTCCAAGCCTGGCAGTGACATGATCCTCGGCTTTTCACAGCATAAATAGTGAGGTGTGAGGACTTACTCGGCCTAATGGGCGGGCAGAGGAAGTGTAGCGTCTTGACGGAGGGGGCTTTGTAGTTGAAATGCGGCGTGAATCGCCGTTTGACCTGGAGATCCAAGTGTTTGAAAGGATGAAAAGCTGCCAAGCTTTCCTCTTATCGATAACTAAGCTCAAGAATAACAAACATTTGGAGGCAAAAAACAGACAGAGATCACAAGGATTCGATGACGATATGAATGATTAAGGATGGGAGAAATGACACATTATTCAGACCGTAATTCACCGTTAATTTAAACTAGTACTAAAATTTGCCATCATAGGTGATTGATATTTACACAAAAGAAAGGAGACAAGGAAAACAGCAATGGCACAGCCAGTCTCTCCATCGGAAAACCGTGGGTGGACATGTAGATAGGAGGCCATATTGAACCGTTGGATAAACGCTGGCTTCCACGGTAATAAGCGCAAGTCTACATGCCAAAACCGATAGTGAAGCTGAGGGAGAAATATACAACGACCAAGACGGGGAAAAAGGAAACAACATGGCCAAATCCATGGACATATCACCTCCATATGTGCGTGTTTCCCTTTTTGGTGAGGTCGTGATATTGTGCCTTGGTGGAATTTTAAGCTCTGTCAATGAGCTAGACATCCGCAGGGTTGGTGTAGACGTGTGTTATAGAGTATTAGTAGGGGTTGAGGCCGGTGAGTCTTAAATAATAGGATGGTAGGGCTCATGGAGAAAAGGGGTACATGCTATGCACACCTTTGACGCCGAAAACTCCAATATTGTGCTAAGCAATGTTTTGAGAGGGAGGGGAGTGGATTAGCGGGTTATATTATAGGATTGATTTTATATGGTTGGTGGAAGTAAGGACGCAGCGTGTAGTAGTGTTATCTAGGGGTGAAGGGCCTAGGAAGTGGGAAGGGGGGATAGAGCTTCGGTTGACAAGACCAGTTGGGGTCTGTTTCTGGGAGACAGCCGGCGTAATAGCGAGTGAATTAGGTACGTACTCAAGTGAGGGAGCTTGGGCTGGAAGGGGAAACGCGAGGCTGTACAGGGAGTAGCGGCGTGTATTCGGGCAAACGGGTGTGGGACCGTGCATGAGGAATACTCAGGAGGGGATGTAAAGGGATACATAGTGAGCAAAGGGGAGGGGGGGATAGGCAGTAGCAAATACAGTAAAAGAAGAATGAAAAATAACAGCTGGAAAAGATAATAACTATCAAGTGCAACACAGTGCCAATTCCAATCTGACTGGAGAGGGATGAAAGAAAAAGAACAAAGATGAAGGAAAGAAAAGGGAGGATCGAAAACCTCCATCAGTGGCCAAGATAGCACTGATGATTAAATATAAAGATATCAAATCAACTAAAAGAAATAAGGTATCGCAGCACTGAAAGATGTTAGCAAGTGTAGGTCCAATGGATGTAGGAAGTATGGACTTACGCCATGGCAAGAGTGGCAGTAACACCGAATAGAGCACGGTTCCGTACTCTCTCGTTTCTGAGCTTGTCTTCAAGTATCTTAGCTCTCTTCAAGGCATGAGGATCTTCAGCCTCCTCCTCATCCTCTTCCACTACTATCTCCTCAGCCTTTCGTTTCCGAGAAGATTTCTTGGCAGCAGGAGATCCAGCCTGTTCTTCGGTCTCCTCATTCTGCTCCTGGAGTTTGGTAGCCTCTTCTACCATTTCCTTGGCTGTTTCCAGCATCTTCTCCGTGTTCTCTGGCATAGGCAAATCGGAGATGCCGGCGGGCATCTGAACAGTGACATTGGTAATGGCACTCTCCGAATCTCCTACAGCATCCACTTTCGACTCGATTTCAACAGTAACGCGTTCTTTGGGTCTCTTGACAAGGGTGGTTTCCTCTTCCGCGTCTTCATCATGGCCATTGGCCTCGGGAGCCTCTTTTTCCTCCTCATCACGCTTCTTGGGAGCCGGGGAAGCGGCAGCAGCGTCTAGACTAGTTTGAAGAGAACTACTGGCATTGGCATTGGACTCCTTCTGCGCCCTTCGCGACTTGCGGGGAATGGCCATCTTCCGGCCTGAAGCGGACTTGGATGGTGAAGCTGACCGTCTACCTCTACCACGGGCGGTAGTCTCTTCAGGTGGGGAGAGGAGCGGTGCGTCAAGCGGCGGCAAGTCAAACTTGGGAGGCTCCGGAATCGCCTCTGCATCCGGTGACGAGCTGTCCCCGCGTTCTAGGATATCTGTGGGATCCAGGAGAGCGCGAACCCATGTCACGATGCCATATTCTCTTGCTAGTTCAAGAGCTGAGGGCAAAATGTTAGTTTTGCTAAATTGACAGGCGGTCAAAAAAAGGGCGGAAAACGGCCACTACACACCTAGCTCTGGCGAAATCCATACGTTTCCTGCGATCTCGTCTTCGCTGGTTTCAGGACGCGTCCGGAGATACTCGCGCTCATCTGCCTCCTCCGAGTGTTTAGCCCATGGGAAGGCGATCTTGAACATTCCCGACGCGCTTATATGGCCATCACGACTCCGGCGCTATATATCAATTAGTACGCTGCCCGGTGTGTGCTCGGTCTAAAACAACGCGCAGGGATCAGGTCTCTCTCTCACCATGAGAAAATAGGAGTCAATGTGGTGCTGCTTGGGCGGGAAGATCTCCGAGCCCTTCAGATCAGCCGGAAGCGGCGCTCTGAGGTGTGCGTACTCGAACGGCCCCAGGTTCGAGGGCATGGTCGCATTCGAGGAGCCGATTTTGGCCGGGGCGACAGCGAGGTTTGTCCTGCCCAGGCGGCGGCGCGCAACGAGTTCCTCATCTACAGAGACAGATTAGAGACGATACGCCTTCACGAGCACACTTCTTGACGTACATTCCGGGCAATTACTGCCTTGGAGGTGTGGGTTGCGGCGCGCGGGAAGTGGTCGCATCTTGGACGGGGCGTGATCGAGTAGTCGCCGTCGACGTGGACAAGTATGGCTTCAAGGGTGGGAATGCGCCCTCAACACTTATCTCTCTACCTCTGGTCGGCGCGACACAAAACGACGGAGCAGCAAGACCTAGGCCCAGCAGGCGAAGCGACGGCGAGACGGAGGCAGAAGCTGTTCTGTTGTGCAAAGAAAAGGCGAAGTCGAGGTCGAAGTCGAGGTCGAGGTCGAGGAAGAAGAAATGCGCGTTTCTCTCGCTCGCAGAAAACGCCAAAAGAGGAAAAAAAGGGAAAAGTTCGGGGGGGGGAGCGGCTTAGTCAGCGAGTCACTCTTTAATTTCTTTTTCTTTTTTTTTCTTTTTTTCTTTTTTTTCTTACTTTTTAATTTATTTATTTTCTTCGTTTTGGGCAGCAAAAGACGAGGAAGACGCAGCAAGAGCAGAAGAGACGCTGACAGGGCAGCCTGTTTCGGCGCCGGGAGGAGAGCGTTGGGCAGGCAGTTTTGCGGAGTGCATGCAGCATACAGCAGGAGAGAAGGGATGGGATTGCACCGCATGAATGGAGATTGTTGCTAGTTATACTCCGTATGGATAGCTATATATACACGCCGGACAGCACAACACGGCAGGGCTGACATGAGAGGAGAGTGGATGGTCAGGCCCTGGTCTGGCTAGACAGGAGGCAGGGTATACTTTTCCCCAATCTCGTGCTTCCCGTCGAATTCCAGAAATTGGATCTTGTCCAGTACTTCGTCGACGTCTTCCAGGGTTCGGATCTATATACAGCTTGTCAGCAGCGGTCTGAAGAGAACGAGGAGAAGCAAGACCTACGTTAACGGCGATGTTCTCTCGCAGGTGGGGTGTGTCTCCATGCTCCAGCTGGATCATGACTGGCGTGCCACAGTTCCCGCAGAATTTATGCGGCCGAGACATGGTGGCACAGCGATACTCGGACATCGAGTCCATGCTGCCGTGGGTGAAGACGACGTCCTCGATCCTTGGGTAGACGAGCAGGTAGCCATGCTTGACGCAGCTCGAGCAGTTGCAGCGGACGGCCTTGCCCTTCTCCAGGGGCGCGATGTTGTTGATCATGAACCGGATGTTGCCGCAGTGACAGTTGCCCTTGTATGTCCTCCGCTCGTCTGTTGAGGGGGCCATGGCCCTGTTGAAATCCTCCGCAGTGAATGGCATTATTATGTAGTTATGCTATCTGCCGGCCGTCTGTCTGGCTTGTTGTTATCTTGACCGTGTTTGGTTGCTAGCGGTGGTCTGTTAGTCTATACAAGCCAGACGAATCGAGGTATTTATACTGCCAAACCACAGCCTGCGAGAAGGATCCGATAGAACAATAAAGCAAGCTCGAGAACTTATTCTTCAGCCTGTTGAACTACCTGACTCACTCTTCGGTCACCTTCTCAGCCCGCTAGTTAGTCTTGTCCGCCGTCGATATGCCGCCGCGAGCTGGCAGGGGGCCCGCTGACGCTGTAGATCTGGGTGTCTGTCAAGCTACAAGGCTGCCCCCCATCCGCCGCTGTACGACCAGTCGAGGCGTGCCTTCACGTCAAGGACAGGCTGTCACAGTCGTAGACATCGTCACCGTCATCGATGAATGCTCGAGAAGCAGTGCATGTCTCCGCGTCTTCGATAGTGAGCTCGATCGATCAATAATAGTAATAATAATAAATGATGATGATAATAATACTTTAATAGTTATGACTTTGTTGTTACCCCACTTAGAAGGAAAATAGAAGACCTTGTAGAAAACCTTCAAAACAGAACAACACCACCGTCGACACGCCCTTTGGACAGCTCGACAGCTTCTTCTCCAGAGTGACTGCTCACCGTTCTCTCCTGCTCAGTTAGACTACTGTGTGTATCCGCCATGGCAGACCACGAAGACGAGTTGGCCACCACCAGAACCGACGGCTTCAAAGTCGGTGAGAAGAAGACCGTTGAGGAGTACCAGAAGCTAGGTCAGTACTCTCCCGGGGAAGCTCAAGACGGCTGTCTTCCTGCTGCTGTACCCCCGTATACAATGCTGCAAAGTCCCTAGTGGGCATGGAAATTACTTATATTCAAGCTACCGCTCTGTATTTACTTTTGTCTATCTTCGAAACCGTTGCTGACCAGCTTGTTCTAGACCAGAACGACGAATCCCTCAACCGATGGAAGGCCTCGCTAGGCCTGGGAAGCGGTACTCCCATTTCCAACCCTAACGACCCTCGCACCTGTATCATCAAGTCGCTTGCTCTCGAGGTCGCTGGACGAGAAGATATCACCATTGACCTCTCGGAACCTGGAGCGGTCGACAGTCTCAAGGACAAACCGTTCACCATCAAGGAAGGCTGCCGATTCCGCATCAAGGCCACGTTCCAGGTGCAGCACGACGTTCTCAGTGGCCTGAAATATGTTCAGGTTGTTAAGAGAAAGGGCATCAGAGTGAGCAAGGACCAGGAGATGCTGGTATGTTTCAGATATCCTCGGGATCAAGGCAAAACAAAACGGGAGAGCTGCGCTGACAATAGTATCTATAGGGAAGCTATGCTCCCAACACCACAGATAAGCCAGTATATGAGAAGAAGTGTAAGTGCCTTGTCTGTAATTGCTTTTCCGCGGTAATCCAGCTAACAACATAACCTCGATAAGTCAACGAGGAGGAGGCTCCCTGTGGTATGCTCTCCCGAGGACGCTATAACGCCGTTTCCAGATTCGTCGATGACGATGATGTCGACCATCTCAAGTTCGAATGGACCTTCGAAATCGCCAAGGACTGGTAGAGGGTTTGCTCTGTAATCCTCTAGTTACCAGCAGCACCCGGACTGTGGCCCTGATCTTGGGATATGACACGCTTTTCACCAGGCGTAATCAAGTCGCGTCTTGGTGTTCACACTACTGTTGCCTCATCAATGATTGATCTTTATTTCAACGACAAGAGATTTTGTTCTCCGTCCAGATAGCGTTAATTTCCTCATTTAAATGATGAAGATGACTACCTCTTTTCTCGCTTCTTCTTTGTGTCTGCCTTTGTACCACTCTGGCTTATAACACTCTGTTGAAGAAAATACCCTCTTAAAAACCTATCAAGACTGAAACTCCTTGGAAGTTCATCTGGCTGGATTGGATGGGGAATCTCTCTTGCTTTTTCTTTCTTTCTGCTCTGCATATTTAATCGAGGATATCATAAGAAATACTCAATCACCGGATTCTGTCCATCTTTCCCCTGCTGGGTCGCCTGGTCTCCGCGATGGACATCATTGTTCTCCGGCGCAGCATCAAAGATGTTGAAGAATCGTTCACCAGTATCACTGACTTCTAGCACACTCGCTAAATTTCCACACCGGTAGCAGTAGTTCGGCGCACTCCATACAGTACTCAATCGGTCATCGTATAGCACCTGGTACCCTTCCTGACACAGCTGGTGTGCGCGCAAGATATGCGACATGCTGTTCACTTCCAAAAACTTCTTGACCACCTGTGCTCCAAAAGTGTAACCTGCACCTCGAGGAGATAAAGAAAATTCATCACGTTCGGTGTCCGGGTCTGACCAGACTAGATCGGCCATGGGCCCCTCATGTGGTATCTCGCGGAACCGGTCGATGATCTTGATCTGGTCAATCGAATGAATGGAAGGAGACAGGCCGCCGTGGACACAGAAGATTTGGTTATTTATAACGACACTCAGAGTAAGAAAATCGAACATGTCGGTGAAATAGTGCCAGACATTGGCGTTGCCGTATTTTCGAGCGCATTCGGTGTAGAAACCGTACGACTGCGTGACACCTCGCGATTCATGGTTTCCTCGGATCAAATGGACTCGTTCGGGGTATCTGAGCTTTAGACAGATAAGCAAGGAGATTGTCTCCACGCTGAACAGTCCTCGATCGACATAGTCCCCTGTAACGGTCAGAGAAAAGCCATCTCCCCTAAACAGACAAATGGTAAGGCCAACTACGTACCAAGAAAGAGGTAATTTGTATTAGGGCAGAATCCTCCAATCTTAAAAATCTCAATCAAGTCGTAAAACTGGCCATGTATGTCGCCGACAACAGTAACTGGAGCAGCAATATGTACGACATTACTCTCTTTCATTAACAGCTCCTTTGCCTTGGAGCATATCGCTTCAATAACCGAATCTGCCAGCAGTTCGCGTTTGTAGATCCGTTCGATGCACTCGTCCAAATCAATACTAGCTATTTATAAAGAAAGAAGCCCAGTCAGACAACGGATCAAATACCAAAAATAAATATGTAGCATAAATATACAAACGGCTATGGTTCAGGTTGGCACTCACTTGGAAGGCCAGGCATGACGCCTAGGAAAAAGAGTGCTGATCGGTAGACGAGGGAGGGGAATCCCCAGTCCTATCTGTATCTTTGTCTTCCGGTGATTGGGGAGGGGAAGGAAGATGCGCGCACTATGTTGACGGAAGGGAGCGATTGACCTGTATCGGTATCTGCTGGGCTGGTTGAAGTAACGAGGGACGGTATGGAGAAAAAGGAACTCGCATGGTTTGATGCAGGGCGTCTGGGGTCTTAGATGCGAGGACCATGCATGGCTTATTTATATAAGACAGCTGATAACAAGAGAGAGCAGGCTTCAGCAGCGCAAAAGTGTCGACTTCTTCTGCTTGCTGCAAAGTTCTTGCTGCTTCTCACGGCCCCGTTTCTGATATCGACGGATGACTAATCGTATTTGCTTAGCTAATTGCGTACTCGGGCGTCGGGTCGATCTCGCCGCGGCCACCAAAACATCTCCCCAGTCCATGTAGATCAGCTCTTGTTTCCAGGAGAGAACCTACCGCTCTATCCAGCACCAGCTCGAGCTCAACAAAGTCTATACATTTCACGGGCCAATTATCCCTGTGCTTCCTACAACACTGGCTCGCTGGCTCGCTGGCTATATCAGATCTGATAAGGCGTTACACGTGACCCCCCTTTTCGGTCCGGCGCGGAACAACAAACAGCCGACGCCATAAATTTCCCTTGGGGTCGCGAACTTTTGCAACTTCCAACTTCAACCTCAACTTCCGTCTTTCTTGCGCGCGCTTAAGGACACAGAGCGAGACCGGGCCGGCTTCTTCTTCTTCTTTTTGGATACTCTTTGTCTCTTCTCATTTTTTATATTATTACAGCCACCAACAACCATTGTCGCTCGATCGAAGCACTTGATACGTCTGGTACACCAGAGCATACCTCACTTTGATCTGATTCGGGAGCACTGCTTGAAACTGGTAACAGAAACCTCCAGTGACTACAGCCGCCCTCCATAAACGAACAATCAATGTGAACCCATGCTGGATGAACCCACTGGAATACCCTTAACTGTAGCACTCGCAGAATATCACTATACCTCAGATATCAGCTGTTTTTAAGCTTAGTGGCAATGCTCCATCTCGCGAAAGGTTATATCAACGTCACCATTCCCAAAGCTTGATACCGAACCAAGCACAAACATTCTGGCGTCTTCTTCATTCATCTTCTTCGTCTTCTCATAATCTCCATTTTCTCCCTATTTTCATGCTCAACTTCTAGCACCAACACAAGATGGTTCCCCAGCAGATGGGCTCACCCGACGAGGGGCTTCAGCGACGGCGTTCAGCACCTGGTTTTGGCAGCAAAGCGCAACGTGGGAGCAGAGGTAGCTATGGCTATCGATCGAAGAAAGGTGGTCCGGGCCATGGGTCTTTTCACCCAATGAACGCTCCATTCCCGCAGGACCAGCCACCGCCTTCATGCTATACCTGTGGATCTTATGACCACATGGTTCAACATTGTCCCGAATATCAACATGAAACATCACCGTGAGTTAGCAGCTATTATTACAAACTTGTGGCTACATATTTTTGGCTAATTTGATGTCCACAGTGGCTTTCATAAACATCCACGTCCAGCAAAACGGCAAAGAACAGCTGAGGGGCCTCGGCATCAATATCGAGACGAGTTTCCACCTAGTCAACGAGGACCACCTCATCGCTCATTCTCTCACGGGTCACATTCATACAACTACTATGACTATCCAGGACCTGCCTCCCCTGAACAAGAGGAGTGGCATCACAGACCGCCGTATGGATACCCACCTTATGAGCCTCACGGTCCTCCACCGATGGCTGGATATGATTATGATTCCCATGGGCCTATGCCACCCTACCACTATAATGATGCCCCTCCCCCAGGTTATCATTCCCGCCGCCCTCCTCGGCGTCGAGAGAGCGATTATCCCGAATATCCCATGGACGGACCACCACCTTCATGGGATGCACCACCACGTGGCAGCCATTCATGGCGAGGGAAAGGTCGTAAAGGCAGAGATGGACATACATCCTCACGTAGGCCAGACAGCCATGTGGAGGGATTTTACGACCTAGACACCACTGACAGTGCACAGAATTGTATGTTTTATTCCCCTCCTTTTCATACACCACACCTATCTAATTACACTTTTACAATATGCAGCCTGGAGATCGCCTCACGCAGTTGGCCGGCCACTTCCATCAGTATTCAGTGATCTTGATGATATCTGCAAACTGCCTCCACATACTTCTTTACCCCCCGGAATGTCAGTCTCAAAATACTTCCTGAATAAGGGAGCTGATGAGTTCAACGAAAATATCCGAAACACAGAGGACTGGCCCTTTATGATGGGAGATCCTATCTTCTCTGAGTTCCCCTCGGACGGGGAGACGATTCCTGTCAAAGACCTTATCAACCGCCAGAAAGATATGATGGCGGCTCATAAATATGTTCCTCCCAAGCCTATCGTCGAAGAGACAACTTATGATAGCGAGCAGGCTGATGAACCGGAGATACCTGATGATGCAAGTTATGCCGGTTCCGAAGAACAAGGACAGGCCAATGGAGCCGAATCACCAGAAGAAAATGGTAGTTATACTGGCTCCGAACAAGGTCGGGACCATGACCGTGAATATAAACGTCATCATAGCCAGGCATGGAACACGGAGGACAATACCAACACCCCAATGTCCACCACGCCTGGAAACAACGATAGTGATGAACGTCCACAAACTCCACAAAGATACTCCAAACCCCAAAGTTTCCATGGGTCATACCACAGAAAGCGCGCAAGAGAAGAGTCCTTGGAACTACCTGACGACGAAATCCAGCGTCAAGTAGATGATGTTGCTCCAAGACTCGAGCGTCGTCATCCACGTGTCGCGGAAGCTTATAGGTACGACATTAATATACCCTAAGTCATTCAAAGTAATACTTACTGATTATATCTTAGTCGGCGCTGGTAAGCCGCTTATCCGCTTACTGATCCGTGTTTCCTACTTGTTATTATCATTCTTATTATTCTTAACCTCCCTCGAGTTTCTTAATCAAAAATAACCCATACCCACGGCCTCTCCCAATTCGGGTCTATTAAAATCCCCAAGGCCTATGGCCTCTGGCATGCACATGATATCAATCACTTAAACCCAGGGAAGACCAGATCGGTATCTTATAGCCTATTCGGATTTAATCTCACTTATTTCACTACGTGTGGCTCGTTAATTATTCCCCCCGGGAGTCTTAATTACCAGTAATTTTTCTCTCTCCCAGCAGAGAAAGTCCGGCCTTCAGAGGCTGCAGGAGAGCTTAATTTTTACCTGCCTCTCTTTTACTTGTTCAGGTTGGTAAATCCCGTCAGTCAGCTCTGACATTGGTTTACGCATCCTTGGATATTACGCTCTACGCGATAATCGATAATTTCATTGCTCTTTCTATCTCTCTTTCTCTCAATTTACATCTGATTATATATATTCCAGCCGTCCCCATATCATACCTACCTACCTGCCATCATCACTCATTCTTCCACAGATGGACAGAATACCTGAATACCTATCTACTTAGTGTTGGTGCACAGAACAAAGTGACCATGCCTCTCCAGTCTTGAAACAGGACCATACGAAGTAGATATCCGGGTAAGAGGCGCAAAAATCACGTAAATACTGCTCTAATAGTCATGGCTATAAGAGTTATATACTACTGCTGCTCTACCCATCAATGGTCGTCTCAGCCAGAAAGTCCGGCTTCCTTGGAGAAGCCGCTCGTTCACTTCTATGATATGGGACCCTGTGCAGGAAGTAGAATCGAGGCCATGAATACACACGGATGCGTCCAAGGCCTGTGTAACTCCTAAGTGAACCAGATAATCCAAAGCAAGCATGCGCCAATGCATGCTTGTGTCTTTAATTGGCTGCCCTTTCAAGGCTGCCAATGCCACACCTTGGTAGAAAAGGGGCTACCTATAATAGGGGTTGATGTCAGCCAGGTTAAGCCTAGGTATTCAAATACACTCGTTCATTAATATTAATATTACGATAAAAACTTTTTCAAATTTTTGATCCTCATGGAATAGATGCTATTGACAGTAATATCCCTCTATAATGCCCGGTAAATGCTTTATTCATTTCAGTAATTTTGCGGATTCAGCTCCTGACTGAGCATGCTGCTGATCCGGCTCTTCCTCTCCTTCCTCCTCTCCAGATTCGTCAGTCTCATATTCAGTTTCTTCTTCCTCCTCCTCTTCAGCTTCTTCATCTGTCTCCTCCTCAGTCTCCTCTTCGTCGTCTTCTTCATATTCTTCCTCTTCCTCTTCCTCTGCCAGCCAATCATCAAGAGACATGTTCTTGGGAACATTGCCGATTCTACCATTAACATTCCCCTTTCCAGATACAACGTTATGTTCCTGGAGAGCCTTATCAAGCCGCTCCCCAGCCGTGGTGTTGGCCTTCTCGCCGTATGCGCCAGATTTGGCGGAGTCATCGTCTCGAAGCTTCGGATCCGGTTCATGGCCCGCTTCCACCCAGTCGGGAAGGTCTTCGTAGCCCCTTAGACCATACATGCCTGCGTCCGGACCTATCACTAGAGTTGACGAGCCGATGAGGAGATTTTTCCTAGTCTCCGAAGGAGTGGAGGTATGGGGGATCGGCTTGGGCGCTAGAAGCAAAAGACTGGCGAGCTGAGTCGAGCTGGGCACAGCGAGCAGAGACTTGTATAGACGAGCTCGGTCACGGAGGTCATATGAGGTGTCATACCGGGCTAGTAGGAGAATGTACCTCCATAGAGTGGTAATAGAGTCCTCTTCCTTTGGCGACGAAACTTGGTCATTTGCATCAAACTCACGATTATCGTCCTGGCCATCATCTGATGAGTTCTTGGGATCACTCGAGGTTGTAGGCGAGTTAAGTAGATGATGTAGGTACACCTTTGCTCCTAGTAACAAAATCTGCTGTTTGGCTGTTTCTGACTCATCTGAAAAGCCCTTTGCTAGCAGACGTAGTACATCCGGCGCAATGTTGTTATGAGGATCGATCCCAGCAAACTCCCCAACTAGCCATATAATACTCGCTCTAGCGCCAGGACTGCTCGTAGTTCCCAGGTGGTTACCAAGCATGACGACGGTACCCTTATGGGCTGCAGTATCCTGCTGAATGAGATGTCTGATAACCGTTACAGCCTCTGAAACTAGAACGTCGTCGGCACTAGTGATCTGGCGGAGGAGAAGCTGAAGGCAGCGCGTAGATGAGCCAGTATGGGCTTCGGCACATCTTCCAATGGCACGAACGCTCTCACGGACTAGATCATGGTCAGATCCGTTGGAGAAGTGTTCCAGCTCACTAAGAATGACGCCCTTGAAGTGATTCCCGCAGTGAGGGAATAACATGGTCAGTATTTCCAGCTTTAAACGCCAGATATGAGGCAAATCAGTAGATCTAACAAGGAAATGCGATGCATATTTCACAAATGGCTTGGGTGATATGAGGGCAACGGAGATGATATTATATAGAGCAACATGCTGCAGGTCCTGCGGGCTGCGGAGCAAGGCAATCAACGAGCCAGTGGCTGACTCCAAGTGCTCTACCGTTCCCAGGTACCGGAAGCAACGAACAACTGCCACGATTACAGCTGAATTCCGGCTCTGGAGTAACGGCTTGCAAGCCTTCAGCAGCAACTCGAGGTCCGGATCAACGATATCAACTTCTTCTTCGCCCAGGTCGTTTTCTTGGGTATCTTCCTCGTTTTCATCTTCATAGAATCCCTTGGGACTGGACTTTTTCACCTTCTGCGTTCTTCTAGGGAAGCATTTCCTGGCGTAAAATACCATAAGCCTGAGAGTGACCAGTTGACTCCACTCATCCATGTCGACCAGCTTCTTTACCAGGCTCCGATAGTGCTTGTGAATAAGTTCGATCTTCTCCGGGCATATTTCCAGAAATGCAGCAACGGCCGGCCCAACGACGAAGTACTGGTTATCTCCGAGTAGAATGGAAAGGTAGTCGATGAGCTGTGGCAGTGTCCCTGGATCAAGCCGGTAGCATTTCGGGATAGCTAGGGCAGCAGCCTTGCGGACATGAGGGCTCATGTCGCCGCACCCTCGTTTTATAGCCAGGGAAACAATCTGGCTGATAACCGGCACTTTCATTCCCGACATTGTCCGCAACGCCAGGGAGCGAACCTGCGGGTTCTGGTCTGTCAGAGACTTTTGGATAGCGTTGATGGACAGCAGGGCGAGGTCCGGTTCCGCCTCTGCATGGTGCAATAGGTATATGTACACCAGCTTCTTGACTTCGATGTTCGGATTTGCAACGTTCTTGACGACGGCGGAGAAGAAAGGCAGACATGGCTCGGCCCTGTACATCAACTAGAAAGAGAGAGAGAGAGAGGGCTTCCTTCAATATTCAAACACGATGTAGCAGTGAGAAGGCCAGTATCCAGCGTACCGAAATGACCTTGCGCAGGCCGTCTAAGATATCTCTATCATTCCTGCTATCCAGCAGCTTCTTGATCTGCGACACCGAGGCGGTGCGGGAGGCATACGAGGACGGTCTCAAGCTCCTGACCGAGCTGGCCGTCTGGGCAGCTTCAAGGGTAAGCTCGCGCGCTGTAAGGAAGGCCATCAGTCAGTTATATGCGTGTGGTTTCTCTCGTCAGTCGGCGGAGCTGGCGGGATTGCAGTTGAACTAGGTAGTTAGTTACCTGTTTCCAGCATCGACGAGATCCGCGATATGGTCTCCATGGCAAGGGAGGCTCCAACAGCTAATCATATGAAGAGAACAGCTTTACTAATAGTCCCCGGCTTTTGACTGCAGGGCGTCGAACGAACGATCGGCTTGGAAGCCCTTGAAAAGCGCCGGTGGAGGATGAGGTCGGTCGTGTTTTGTGTGACTTTTCGTTGGTCGATGGCTTTTTTTGCTTGCCTGCAAACTCCATCCACATGACATAACTAGTTATTTTCCCTGGATCAACGGCGAAAAGCAATACTTCCAGCAAAAACAACGCCTGCACCAGTGGCTGACGATGAAGAAGAACTGAGGAAACGCCTTAGATGAAGGGCAGATACCCCCCGTGAAGGCCTCTGTTGTGCGCAGGCCGGCGCGAGAGCAGCATGAGCATCGCAACGTTCGACTCCGTGGTGGAATTTACACAGCATCTTCTACAAAGCGATGCGTCGACGGTTACTATGATAGTGTGTTCGACGCGAGAGGCCTTTATCGAGGAGCTGTACGCGGATATACAGGCTCAGTCTATAGTTGTACCGCGTGAGCAGCCCAGTTCACCGGCCGAAGAGGTCCCGGAAGAAAGCGAGCATGCAGAGAATTACCGTGGAGAAAACAACGAAGAAGAGCAAGAAGAGAATGAGGAAGAAGACAGTCATGAAGAAGAACGCGAGAACAATCACTGGATGCTCTCGAACACGCTCGAGTTACTATCTCGCTCTGAGAGAATACGGGTTGTGTTTTGCCCGGCCATCGAGCATCTCCGGGCCTATCTAGGCGGCTCTTTCAGGAGGCGTCGGGCACAGGATGGACAGGAACGGAACAAGCTGTGTCAAGGCGATGCTATGCTTGCAGTAGTCAACCTGGTCTCCCTGCATTCATCTACTGTCGAGTTCTCTGCGCAGGGACTGTCGAGGACGGCTGCCCTGGCCGTGGAGGCTGCTGCGAGAGAACAAGTCAGGCTGGTTCTATGTGAATGCAAATCCGCGCTGGACGGAGAAGGTGGAGGAGGCTATGGCTCTGGAATATGGGACGTAGAAGTTCCGCTGTTGAACTGGATTACTGTTGAAGAAGGGCTGCCCGGCGTTAAGACCATACAGGTGAAGCAGGTCATAAGGAAGTGGTTTCGGTTTGATTGATGAAATATATTGGTAGAAGATAGAGATCATAGTCATCAACTGTCATATCATTCATACCTCCAAGTAAAAGAAAAAAAACTCCGGCGATGCTATGGGTATCTTAAATCAAACATAACTGTACAAAAAGCAAGTCGACGCCCCTGATATCCATCCACCGTGGACGTAGTTAGAGGACACTGCAGGCACTTTAGAGACACTTTTCTATCTCTGTCGTGTAGAGCTTGATATGAGACTCCATCTTCAGGTACTCATCGTGCGCTCGATGGATTTCATCTTCGATCGTCTCCTTCAAGTCCGCCATCTACCAAGTTTTGTTAGTCAACGGCCACCATGCAGGGGAGGATGATTGATAGTAGATAAACACTGTATATTTATAGAACAGCCGATAGAGCTAGATATAAATATAGAAATCAAGCAAGCAAAATGACGTACCTTCTTCTCTGTCTGTTCGATGCGGATGCGCCTACGCTCCATCTCGCGCTGCTTCTCAGCCCGCTCCTCGCGCAGCTGCTTCTGCACCGAGTGCAGCTCTTCCATGCGAGCCTGGGCCTGCTCGGCCTTCTCCCTGCTGCTCTTGCGCAGGGCCTCTATGCGTTCCTGCCAGCGGGCCAGCTGCGACTGGAGCAGCTTCTCGGTGTGCGCGACCTCTCTGACAGTGTTGCCTCGCTCGGCGAGGGCCTCTCTGTTCTTGATGCCCTTGGACTCCTGGTCGTCCTCTTTCTGTAACTCTACCAAAATATCTTCTAGCAGCTTGATGGAGCTCTGGACTTCATTATTGACAACGGTAAAGGTGTTCATCGATGTCTGCAGGGCACGCATTCTCCTCTCCATGCCGTCTACTTGGGATTTATCATGAGCGAGATTGTCGGACAGTTCCGTGAGGGCTGATTGTAGGCTTTCGGGGCTCTGGGAGACATAGGGGCGTAGCTTCTCGCACTCCTGGCGACTCTTCAACAGCTTCTCTGTCTTTTCCTCCAGCAGTGTCTGCTTCCTTGCCTTTTCCCCCTTCACCCTCTCAAACGTCTCTGCCACCCGTTCCTGATCCCGCCTCAGCTCCAGCAGCCGGGTCTTCAGCTCGTCGTTCCGGCTCGTCTTTTCCCGCACCACCCCGTCCATTTCCTTCTGCTGTCTCTTCATCTCTTCAAGCCGCTGCTCCAGCTCTTGGTTCTCTGCGTAGAGCGTCTCGATGCGCATCTTGGTGTCCTCTGACTTGTTGAAGTGGGCGTCAATGGCCGAGGTCTGCGACTCTCGGAAGCGGACGAAGTTGATTAGGTAGGAGAATATCTTTGCGATGCGGTCGTACGTCGGCCTGGTGATGTCTGTGAACGTGAAGTCGTGAACTCCACACTGCATGCTGTTAGCTCTCTCTCTCTCTCTCTCTCTGTGCATACACAAGTATCATAAGCAAAGACTACGAACCTGGAGCATCAGCTTTCGCAAGGAGACGAGGAAGCCCATCAGATTGCGCGTATCTGGGGGAAAGATGTCCGCCTGGTCTCCGGCAATGTCTTCTGCAGCGGCGAGCATGGCGGGCTCCACGGTCTCTCGCGTGGTGTTCATAAACAGCTCTGCGAACCACTCGAACACCATCTGGACCTGCTGCGGGTTTGGCTTGAGGAGGTCCGCCATGGTGAAGGGAATGCCGATATCGTTGATGCAGCCCGCAATGACCTTGTCCGGCTATACACCTGTAAGTAACAGCCATCTACAGCCGGCATTGGGGACACTCACGAGGCGCAAGAAGGCGTCTGTCTCGCTCTCCTTCTTCTGCTGGCGGTGCTGCTGCTGCTGCCCGCCGCGGTACTGCGTCGTCCGCGAGTTGTACGCCATGGCTCGTCTCTGCGTGTATATATACAGTGTCTCCCGTCTCTTCCAGTCCAACTCCGCGTCTCGTCTCGACTTCTTCTCGGCTTCTTCGTCTTTCGTGAATGATATAAAAATGTCCAAAACTTCCTTTCGAGCCGCATTTTTTGTTTACATGATAAGCAACTTTCCCGAAGCGGACTAGTGGCTGCAAACTGGCCAAACATGCTCTTTCGGGCAATTCAGACCTTAAGAGTCACCAAAAGTCGAAAAGTCGAAGAAAGACAAGAAGAAGAAAAAGAACAAACAGCGAGAAAGATCGCAGGAAGATCGCAGGAAGATAGCTGGATAGCAGGATATCGGGATATCAGGACGGATTGACGCCGGCGACTGTGAGAGAGACCGCGAGGGATACCCGATAGCAAACGACCGGCTGCAGACAACACCGACTGCGGCCAGAGCTGCCCCGCGGTTTGCTTGACAGCTACAGGATTGCATATAAGAACTACCAGGGACCAGCGACCAGCAGCCAGCAACCAGAGAAAGCCTGAGATACACTAGATTGGCTGCTTCACTACGCGTCAAGATGTCACCGGCCCTGGAGACCCCTTCAAGCGGGGACAAGGAGCCCTTTGAGTGAGTAGAGGACTGTCACTTATACATATACATATATCATCTAATGGCTAGTTACGAGATATGACTATGTACTGACAGAAGACAGCATTGTAGAGACATACCACAAGCTACTACGGACAGACCCAGACCTGACGATGCCTATAGCTGCCATCGAGGCGCTGGTGCTGCTACTGACACACTCACCATCCTCGACCATCTCCGAGACGCTGGACCTGCTCAACAAACACACGGAGCACCTGAAGCGCTCGATCCCGAACCCGATCGGCCTCTCCGCCGGCACCGACCTGTTCCAGCGGTACCTGATATCGACGCTGCAGCGACCCGGCAAGCTGGGACCGGCGGGGGACTTTGACGCGATACGCGCCCACCTGCTCTCGAACGGGCGGCTGTTCATCCAGCGAGCCAAGGAGAGCAGAGACAAGATCGCCGCGTTCGCAACGGGTTTCGTACGAGACGGCAGCACGGTGATGACCAACGGCGGGTCCCGGGCTGTGGGAGCGATGCTGCGCAAGGCGGCGGGCGAAGAGGTGCGGTTCCGGGTGATATATGTGCTGCCGAACGGCCATAGCCATGAAGAAGCCACGACGGCAGCGGGGACGGTGCCCGAGGGGATGGAGACGGTGGCAGTGCTGCGGTCGAAGGGAGTGCCTGTGGCTACGGTGCCGGAGTCAGCTGTGGCGTACTCGATGGGGATGGTGGACACGGTGATAGTGGGTGCGGAAGGGGTGGTTGAGAACGGCGGGATAATATCGCGGATGGGCACGTACCAGATGGGCCTGCTGGCGAAGGCGATGGGCAAGCCCTTCTATGTTGTGGCGGAGAGCCACAAGTTTGTGAGACTGTTCCCGCTTGGCCAGTACGATCTTCCCGTTGATCAGCGGGTTATCGAGTTTACTACTACTACCGAGAGCAGCAGCAGCAGCAGCAGCAGCAGTTCGACTTCGCCGAAGGACCGCCGCCGGACTGCGCCTGATATCGTGGACTACACTCCCCCACACCTGATCACGGCGCTGATCACGGAAGCAGGCGTGCTCACTCCGAGTGCCGTCAGCGAGGAACTCATCAAGATCTGGTTTTGAGTTGACCAGCCGTAACTATTATCCAGCCATGAATTGTGGTTGTTTTAATATGACTTGTGGCCGAGCCTCGATATCAACCATGGCGCCGGGATCAACAGATCAGCGCCGGGAACCTGACAGGCTGCACTCTGTGAACTATCGCGTTACACCGGGAGAAACGTGGAACGGAAGAAGGGAAGCAAGAGAAAGAAGACGCAGGAAGAGGGAACAGCCGGGCTGTATCGTGACACCGAGCAGAGCAGTGGAATCGATAATTCGGCCCTCTTTTTTTTTTTATTTTTCACTTTCCCAGGCACGGCCAGGCCAGGGCCGAATCTATATTTTACTATCTGTATCTTAGCTGCTCTCCTAGCTATGAGAAATGACTTCATCGGCTGCCCATGATCTACCGCTAAAGGGAGACTAGCAAGCCGAGCTAGCAGGGACAGGGGGAGCTCCAGCAAGCCAGCCCAGCCCACCGAGAACCAAGTAATCGCAGTAACAACCGAAGAAAAGCAAGCAAGCAAGCAAGAAACGAGAAGAAAGAAGAAAGAAGACGAAGACGAAGACGAAGACGAAGAAGAAGAAGAAGAAGCAAGATGGAGGACCCTCGAACAGGCCAGCCGTTCCCACCGTCGACCATCCAGCGCGTCCTGTACAGCTGCAGCGCCGTCCACGTCTACGCCCTGCCGCCGCTGACCTCGATGAAGGGCTACCTGGCCGCCAGCTGGACCAGCAACAGCGCCTCCGAGATCTTCGCCGGCCGTCTTCGAGTGCTTGAGAGTGCAGTCCCAGTCAAAGTGCCGCCGGCATCAAGACCAGCTCCGGCCCTTCGAACCCCCAACCGGCCCCTCGCCCTGCCCGAGGAGGAACCAGACCTACAACCAGAGGCNAAAGAAGAAGAAGAAGAAGAAGAAGAAGAAGAAGAACGGCTGCAGGTCGACATCCTGCTGGAGGAAGCCGGGGGAGCCCACGAGCTGTTTGCTGCGGCGCCGTACGTGGATGCCGGCGTGGTCGAGCAGACGCTGGACTCGAGTCGCTTCTTTGCGCTGCGGGTGGAAGGCGAGGGCAAGAAGGCAGTGCTGGGCCTGGGCTTCGAGGAGAGAAGCGAAGCCTTTGACTTCTCCGTCGCCCTGCAGGAGGCGAGGAAGATTCTCTCCTTGTCTACGGCTGCGTCTGCCTCTGCCTCTGCCTCTGCCTCTGCCTCTGCGGCTTCTGGTGATGATGCCGGGAAGGACCTGAGTCTGCGGCCGGGAGAGAGCATCTCGGTCTCAGCACAGCCAAAGACAGAGGCCAGAGAAGAAGAAGAAGAAGAAGAAGAGGAAGAAGAGGAAGAAGAAGAGAAGCAGGAGAAGCAGAAGAAGGCCCTTTTCTCGCTTCCTCCGCCGCCGCCAGCTTCGTCTTCCTCCCGTCGACGGCCTCCTGCGTCCTCGAGTTCTCCTGCAATAATATAGATGTAACAGACAGCGCGATGCCAGTCTTGTAACTCCATAGCCATTAGTTATATGTGTTACTCCGTACAGCAGATCTTATAGGCTCCTCCTTGCGTCTTAATCCTGCCATTAATCCTTCTCTTAATCCTCCTTATATAGTCTTCTTCTTCTTCCTAGGTCTTCGCTGTGATGAAACGGCTGGCCGGCCTGCAGCTCCCAGACAGCCAGCGTTTAAGGCATCACCACAACCGCCATCTCTAGGTAGCATCCCAGGCATTATTGTATATCAGAGATCTTCTTCCTCTCTTTATTATCATTATCATCATCATCTTCTTCTTCTTCTTCTTCTACAGGGCTCTGCTTCTTCATCTTCCGGCCTTATGTTCTTCCGCAGCTTCACCAAAAGCAAAGAAAAAGCCAGGAACACAAAAAAAAACCGCCTTCTTTTCTTCTTTTCTTCTTTTCTTCTTCTACTTCTTCTTCTTCTTCTTCCGCTGCTCAGCCAGACAGGACAGTCTCAGTCTCTCTCTTCCTCTCCCTCATCCTCTCATCCTCTCATCCTCAGCCCTTCTTTCATCTTCTCCCTGAGATGTCTCTCGCCGCTCGCTTCTGACCCGTCCCTGTCTCTCTGTCCGGCTCAGCTCCAGCCTACCACGTCACCGATCAACCGCCCTCCCAAGAAGCCTCTCCCTCTCCCGGCCTGACGCCTGAAGACGCCTGACCTTGAGCCCGACGCCGAGTCGGCCGGGGGCGTCACGGCCTCGCTCAGGCTCCCTTCGTCTCCTTCTTGTCCTCCCTCTCTCGCTGTCCCGTCCTGCCATTGAGAAGTCCTGGACCCGCCGTCGCGTCATGGCTCTCTGGCCCTTTGGCCGTCACAAGAAGCGGGCTCGCAAGGGCGACGACGAGGCCACCACCACGACCACCACGACCGCCACGACCGCTAATACTACTACGGCCACAGCAGCAGTACAGCAGCCGCAGCCGCAGACTCCTCCAGCTCAGACAGAGGCGGCCACGAAGACGGCCACGACTGGCGGACACCATGGACACGGCGGCCTCTCTGCTGGCAAGCTTGTCCGGCGAGACAGCAAGCGTCAGAAGTACAGCGCCGTCCCCCCGGCAGCCGCAGCAGCCGCAGCAACAACAACGATGACACCGACGGCAGCGACAGCGACATCGACATCCTCCCCCGCGACCCCGGCGACCGCTGCCACTGCTGACTCCCCCATGACGCTGCCCGCCGGTCGAGCTCTGCGGCAACCCACTTCTGTCGACACTTTTGCCTCCGTCAATGCTCTCGCCCCGTCCAAGCTCCGCCAGGCTGAGCAACCGCACATCCAAAACGCTGCCATGCCGTCTCACCCTCTCCCGTCTCAGGTCCAGGGTGAAGGCTCCTCCTCCTCCTCTGCCTACCCTGTCCCGACGCTCCACCATGGCAAGAGATATCTCTCCGAGCCCACCTCTATCCTCCGCCGTCGTTCGGAGAGACGCAGACGCATCGATCCCGAGCGCGAACTCGAGATCAAGCGCATGGGCAGTCTTGTCTGGGAACACCCCAAGCGCAGCAGTGCTGCCACAACCACCAACAGCAACAATGTCAACAATAACAACAACAACAACAACAACAACAACACTTCTAACAAGGACAAGCATCTCTCTGACCCGTTCACCCCGTCTTCCAGTGCTGCCAATGCTGCTGCTTCTTCCACTACCTTCGATCAGGCTGAGCCTCCGTCACACACCTTCAAGCTCAGTGCTCTCAATGCCTTGTCTCCCCGGCCATTCCTTCGTTATGCCTCCTCAGATGGGAACCGCAGCTCTCTCCCTGCCACTGCTGACATCTCGCGATCTTCTACCACCAGAGACAAGGCTAAACCACGATGGTTCTCTGCCGACCAGGCCGCTGCTACTGCCGGCAGTAGTAAGAAGATTAACGAGCTGGCTGACACCATGGACGCCGGAGCCCTGCGCCAGCTCATGGACCGTGACAGACGACGCAGACTCGTCAAGCGTCAGATCCTCAGAGAACAGCAGCAGCAGCAGCAACAGCAGCAGCAGGCCTCTGCGGCTGCTCGTCAGGCAGACAAACCCGTTGAACAGAAGGATCCAGTGTCGCAACCAAAAGAACCACAGTCAGAGATAGACACCCAGACACAGTCACAGACCCAGCCGCTTGAGAAAATAGTCAGTGCAGGAACTGCTAGCATTCCTTCTTCGTCTCTAGACCCGATGGACGTTTCCAAGCCTCAGTCACAGCAACAATCTCTCGAACCAGCCCAGTCATGGCTCCAGGACGCCTCAAAGGAAAGCCTGATCAAGGAAGACCGCGTTCAGACCGCCCAACGAAAGATAGAAGAAGAAGCAGAACCAGAAGCAGAATCGGGAGAACATCAAGGCCCAGCTGCCCCATTAGCTACTGTCCTCTCGCGCAATGGACAGCCCATTGAACTCGCTATCCCGGCAGACGAGCGCAGAGATGAGATTCCAGACATCCGCCAGCACCCTGCATTCCGCCAGCCTTCGGTCTCCGAGACGTCTGCCTCTGCTTCTGCATCCGTCTCTGCATCAGCCTCGACCAAACCAAGCACCATGCTCAACGAGACCAAACTAGGCCGGACCTGGACCCAGCTCTTCCGTCGTAGAGGCACCCTTCGTCGCAAACCCAACCGCAACATCCTGTCCAAGAATAGCTCCTCTGAATTCTCCGTCACGTCTCGCACCCATCCGTACGTCAATCCCGGTGCTATTCCTGGATCCGGTGCTGTCACTTCACCTCCCATTGCTATTGCCGCCACTGCTTCCTCCCACCGCGTAGGAACTGATACCCAGTCCATCACATCCAAGTTCACCGAGCACCTCGACGATGGCTCTGCTTCGGGCTCTGCAATCCAGCTGTCGACATCTGCACCAGGAGGACCTCGCATGTACTCTCCCGAGCCTCTGTACAACCTCCACCGCGAAGACTCGTACTCCGTCTCCGTCGCACCCTCGCAGCGCATGAGCGGTGCCGAAAAGTACAGTATCAGTGGTATCTCGGCCGGCGGGGCTGGTACTGGAACTGGAGCAGGAACCTACATGTCCGGCCCAGATACCCGACCCAACAGCACTTTTCTAGCGCAGTCCCTGGCTTCCATCGACTCGGAGGGCAGCTGGCTCTCTGGCCGTCCATCCCGGCGTCTCTCCCAAGCACCACTCAAGAGCCCCGGTTCAACTCGCGAACGCCTGAACGACGATGTCAGCCCCATCATTGACCCGGATCTGGAAGATGACAACGCCATCAGCAGCGACGAGTACTTTGGCGCTCTCCCCGTGCCCAAAGAAGAGGAAGAAGAAGACACGGTTCCAAAACACGGGCTCAACATCACCACCTCAAATGACTCTGCCATCATCAACCCTGCCGTCAACGGCTACAACGACGAACCCGATGCTGCTGAAATCAGTCCCCTTCCCGAAGACGCTGACGATGGCATGGCCCTAGCCAACGCCGATGGTGACCCACCAACCTGGCACTCCAGCGTCGGTAAACAGCCTCGTCTGATCAACCCCGAAAACCGCGCAAAGTCCCGCGAAGGCCTGTTCACCGAGTTCATCGACAGCGAGAACGAAGTCAGCCCCATCGACGAGCCAGAGGGTGTAACTGAGATCCGTCGAGCCCAGAGCGTCGATCTAGGCCGTCATATCCGCCACATCAGCGCCGGCAGCGCAAAACTCGTCACCTTGTCCCGTGCTGAGTCGAGCGGCAAACGACACAGCAACATCTCTCAGAGCAGCTCCGGCGTCTTTCCCACCCGGACCGACGACGATATTTAACCCTTTCGTTTGAACCACACTTTGAACCTCACTCTGACTTGATTTTCTTTCCTTTCCCCCTTTTTTTCGCCTCTTTCATATGTCACGCATGCATGCATCTTTCCCATAGTCCCACATTTCCTTTACTCGTCCAGCCCATTTATTACTCGCAAGCGTGTTTTCTCATACCCCGGTTGTTCAAAAATACACCATGTATCTCTTAATCTTCTTTTTCTTCCCAATTTTCCTTCTTCTTTTCTCTGGATCGGAATGGACTGGCTGGCTGGCGGACTGGACGGACGGACGGAATGGTTTCCCAAAGACGGTCGAGGTCACGTTAAAAAAGAAATGCCCTTTTAATCTCTGCCTTTTTGTTTTCTTCTTCTTCTTCTTCTTCTTCCATCTCTCTCTTTTTTTCATGGCCTTTTTTTCATGACTGCATAACATACCCCCTGAAGTTTTCTTTCTTTCTTTCCCTTTTCTTCCATTTCAACTTCTTCTGCTTAAATCGGTCTGGTCGGTCGGCTCTTTTTTCATCTTCTTTTCCTTTGTCATCATCCACAGCCTCGATATGGCGTTGTCACTGCCCCTGCCCTTCCAACCCCAAGTCTCCTTTTTTCTCTTGCCCGTTTTCTTTTGTTCGGCTCGGTTTCCTGCTTTCTTTCTTCTATCCCATTTGATATCCCCCATGTGCTAGCTAGTTAGCCTTTGTCCCTTTTGTTTTATCTCAACTGGAAAGAAAGGAATTTTTTTTTTTTTCATACCTATACCCTTCACTTTGTTCCAGTTCTTATTATCTCTCTTACCACCCATATCCTGCTATCCTCCCCCACCTCTCCTTATTCCTGACACCTCTCTGCCTGCCTGCCTGCCCGCCTGTCTCTCGTTTTTTCCTTTAGCAGGCAGGCAGGCAGGCAGATATGAGGAGAGGCAGGGGAGGATATGCTCCCAATAGATATCACAATATAAGATACTTTGATAGTTCTTAACTTGTTCAACTTTCTGGGTAGAGAAGAAGGTGGTGAAGTAGAGGAGAAAAGAAGAAGAAGAAGAAGAAGAAGAAGAAGAAGAGAAAAAGAAGAAATCTCCTCTTTTATAGACTGTCCTCTGTGTGAAAGTCGGCGACGCTTTGCATCCTATGACGACTTCTGCTATGGACAGCTTTTGACTGCTGCTACTTCTACTGTCACTAAACTACTTTGGAACCTTTTAGCATAATATCCAAAACATCAAACTATCCAAAGAATCTTAAGGTGGCTCTCTTGTCTTGTCTACTTATTCATCACTGGTTAATACGATTTATTCTAGATATTTAATGCAGTTTGTGGTCACTCTTAAGAGTTGTATAAAATGGATGACATAATCTGCTAGTTATATAATACTAAGTTATCGGGCCGAGCCTCATCACGTGAAAACTTAAATGCAGTTCCTGAAAAGGCAAAAACTACGACTCGCAGTCTTTCTTTACTCTCCAACGACCATCACCTTCGGGCCTTCATTTATGATGGCGTCAACGTGGTGAGAGAGACTGTCAGCAGATAAATGTATGCCATCTGTTGATTAGGCTGTTCGACTATTTACTTGACCTGCTCCAGGAGGTGGAGAGATTGCATGACCTCCGTTCTATATACCCTATGACGCAGTTGAAGTCAACGATTTATACCGACAGAAACAATCTCAAAATTTCTTTCTATAGTACAAGCAGGAGGATGCTGCGCTCAAGATTCACTCCTGAGTAAGTGAAGAAAACGAGGCTCTGACTTTAGGTATTCATGGACCATCTTCACCTATGACGACTACAGACAGCTAGTGCGTCTGTTAATCCGGGAATCCGCCTCCGTTGGTTACACCTGATATCCATGGGTAGTTTGATGCATACGTTGGTGAAATTCCACAGCTAGATGATGATGAATAGTCTGCTGCGTGGTTTGATCTAGGTAGATTCTCTAGTGACGCCTTTGCTGTATAAGAACTCCCACCGTTTGGTACTCGGGTTCGCTCTCCGCGGGCCATTTCTGCGATCATAGAACTACAACCATACTGGTTAGATTGCATTAGCGGAATTTAACGTTAATGAAGATGACATCCAGTGTTGGGTATTATTATCCTTGGATTCCTCCAGATTGAGTATGGAGCAACTTGGGATTGATCCCAATATTGAAACTAGAAAGGATACTGGCAAAGCATGGTTAACAGACAGACATATTGCACTTCTGAGCGAGACACAACTTTCTGGAAGATAAACTGTGAGACTAACAAGTCACGCAATCCGCTTGTTATTAAAGACTCAATATAATACCCGAAAGGCACCGAGGGAAGGCAAGATATTTCCAGAAGCAACGGTTAGGGGTGAATGCAGGATAACTCCGTTCAATCCAAACTAGCAGTCAGCTCATCCCAGTTTAATCTAGCGCGCCGCTGCCTCGTCTCAGACTACGGCAAACAATCAAGAGTAGCTCGAGAGCTGCTCCTCTTGCAGGGCTGGCTGGTTGTATTGAGGGATATCTGGCTCTATGATAAGGCTGGCCTCATCTGCTATGAGATCTTCTCATAGAACCTAATGGCGAACGAATACTAGCATGCACGAGAGCCTTCTAGTCGTGTGTTTATTAAGACAGCCTAGGATAAGAAATGCAAAAGTGATGATGTTAAGAAACGAATGGCAGCCGGCTGGTATAAAGAATAGATTGATAAGCGATGAGCAAGTCTTTCTGCTAATTGCGACGCCTTCATCTCATGATATCTGTCCTGTCGTCATCCGGCCACGCCGTCTCCTCCCAGACCAAATCCCGACTCTTCATAAATAGAGTGATTTGAGATACTTCTACCCGTTGCAAGCTAGCAGGCCCTAGCGACGACAATATGTATGACATTATGCACTTAATAATCAGTTTATAGCATGTAACACTAGCACACCCTCAAGGGCGATCTCCAAGCGCAAGGCCCACAGGGATGAGGAATATTAATTGCTGTTATCAGCTCGCGCAGGGTCTAGGCTGTCGTCTATTACTAATTCAAGCAGCGCCTTAACTAAGCCCAAGCCCGGCAGGCCGCCAGCTAAGGCCCTTTAACTAACGCCGCCCGCCTCCAGTTAAGGCCTTTAACTAAACGGCGCCCCCAAAACAGCGCCCAGCTGCCGCCCAACCACCCGCCGACGCCTGAACTGAAGCCTGCCCTCCTCCCCCCTCCCCCCTTGCCCTGCCCTCGCTCGGCTCCAGCTTTCTTTTTCTTCGGAACTTCTCCTTTTGCCTTTTTTTCCCTTTGACTGCTCAGCTTCTCTGCGCTTCACACCACCTTCGCGGCCTCCCGTCTTAATAATTACCGTCTCAAGGGTCCCTCAGTGGCTCTCTCGCAGCGTCCGTCCATCCACCCATTATTCCCTCCGCCATGCCCGCATCAACGTCATCCCGGCTGCCCCTCCGCCTCGCCCTCGCCCGCCGCTTTAGCCCTCGCCCGGCCTCCTCCTCCTCCTCCTCCTCCTCCTTCTGCTGCTGGCCTTATTTAAGCCGCCCTGCCCTCCTCTCGTCCGCCTCTTCGCTCTCATCCACATCTGCACGACCACCGCTACAGACAACCACAGCTCCAGCTTCTACAAGACTCTTCTCTTCTTCCAGCGCAAGACTCTTCTCTCCCACAACCGCAAACATGGTCGTCCAAGAGATCAAGAGGTACGTGTCTTCTCCTCTTGCCTCTCTCTTCTTTCTATCCTGCTCCTCTCTCTGCCCCTCCCCCGCTATCGTCACCAGTGTATAGCATAACAATATGAGTGATAATGGTACCGATACCGATACTAACTGTTACCTTGCAGCCGTGATGACTACATGAAGGCTATCGCCGGCGGCAAGCTCGTCCTGATTGACTGCTACGCCACCTGGTGCGGTCCCTGCAAGGCCATCGCCCCCGTCGTCGACAGGCTCAGCGAGGAGCACTGCGCGGAAGTTGATTTCTACAAGGTCGATGTCGACGAGTGCTCTGAGGTTGCTGCCGAGCTAGGCGTCAGAGCCATGCCTACTTTCTACTTCTTCAAGGGCGGCGAGAAGCTCGACTCCGTTGCCGGTGCTGCTGAGGGACCCATCGTTGCTGCCCTCGCCCGACTCAAGTAAATAGATACTGCACCATTCCTGCCTGTGTTGCAAGGTACATATACGCATATGAAAGTTGACAGTACTTGGATGCATGGATGGATGTTATGACGATTGTATTTTAAAGTGGACATCAAGGCATAAAGAGAATTAAGAGCCGACTCATTTCTCTTAACATTATTTATTTGCATTATTTATTTGCATCATTCTGTTCCTTGGCCTGCCATTACATGAAAAAGGTGTAGATATTGAAGCTGTGTTATCTCGTTGTTTTATTCATGGTATCATCATGTCCTCGTCCAAGTCATGTAGGTGTGTGTCTATCAAAAAAACGCCATATAAAAATGCATGATTGCCTCCGAAAAACAAAAGAGCCCGCTTAGATGCATTCATCCGTCCAGATAACTCCGTGCTGAGAATATAATAAGGAAAGAACCGGGGGAAAAAAAAAAAAGAAGAGAGAGAAGGGAAGGGAAGAGAAGAGGGTCAAGATCTTGACCGAACCCACAAGAAGAAGAAGAAGTTAATCACCTTCGAACTCGCTATCACTCTCGCCAGCGGTCGATGCTCTTTCGTTCGAAGATGGTGCTTCTTCCGCTTCCGCTTCCGCAGTTTCAGACGAGGCGGGCTCGTCCGCCTTTCCGCCACTGCCACCGTCATCCTCAGCTACGTCTCTCGGCCTGACAGAGATGATTCTGCAGTCTTCATCGTCTGTACTTGTACCTGCATTAGAGATACCGAGAGTCATGTCCTGGAGGATTCGGCGCTTGCGGTCCCGGCCTCGTCGACGGCGGATCAAGGGAAGCTCGTCATCGTGACCATCTTCTTCTTCGTCATCGCTGCGGCCAGCAGATCGCTTGCTGGCTGTGCTGTTGCGTGAAGATGATCGGGATGATGAAGCCCGTAGCAGTGTCCGCGCGGTTGGACGGATCCCCCTGATCAGGCGTCGGCGAGGCGGCTTCGTGGGACTGACTGAAGCTGCGGTGGTGGATGTGGAAGTGGCTGCAGAGCGAGTAGCAGCGTCGGTGGGTTCGGAGACCGGTGCACAAACGGACGCAGGGGTAGAGGCTGGTGTTGTCAGCGTGCTGCTACCACTACCACCTGCAATGAGAGAGGGAGGCTTGGAGGACGAGCAGCAGTCATGCGTAGTAGAGGCAGACGTGGGGCCATCCCGGAGTGACTGCATGGTTCGGATGAAGTCTGCTTCAATGGCAGGCAGGATGGCCCTGAACTTCTCCTCGTCGAGGTCTACGCTTGATTCTCCCTCGAGGTCGGCTGCAAACCGTCGCAGTGCGCACCTGAGAGTGTCGTCGTCGATGTCAGGGAACGCCTCTGCGATTGCCGTGGGGTTCTGGCATGTCTCCCCTTCTTTGGTTTCAACCGTCGAATCATCCGTCGACGCAGATGCCGATCTGGATGAAGCCTCGTCCTGTCTCTCCTCGCTGGATGAGCTGCTGCCCTGGCATCCCAGGGGCCGCGAGAGCTCAGGAACCCCGTCGTGTGGCCCATCAACACTCCGCACTGATGAATAGTGCTGGAAGTTCTATATATATACCGTTAGACTATGCCAGTGAACTAGACACACAATGTATATATATATATATATATATATATTATTATATTAGGGGGCTTACTTACATGATAGGCAATGTGCACCGGCTGGTTCTCCCTGCCTTCCAGGCTACCATGGCTGGTGAAGGGAGTGATGCCCTGGTCTGTATAGACGTAGACATCCCTCTGGTAAGCCTGGCAGAAGGCTTGGATCTCCACCGACCCGCCCCAGAACCCGGTCTCCTTCATCTGCGTGAGCAGCTTCTCGAATTTGGCCCACTGGCCCTCCGAGGTCGCTGCCCGGTCACTGTATGACTGTGATTTGGAACGGGCAGCCGCTGCTCGCCTGGGAGCTCTCCTCTCCCCTCCTACATCCGGCACAAACTGCACAAAGTATGCCGCGTTTGTGCGGATGTGCTCGACCAGCCGTTCCCGGATTTCTCCTTGCCGGCCCTGGTGACCGTAGAGCTGGTCGGAAAGGGAGTAGAAAAGGCAATTGCCTTTTTATTTTTTATTATATGACGGCGGTTAGCTAGATTATCCCAACTACCTCTCAAGGCGATGCAGTGACACTCACCGTCTCCCGGGGTTGGTACGGCGTAGAGCCGCCGCTCCTTCAGGCACTCGATGTGCAGGTCGTCCTCCTGCAGCATCTTTGCTCCCCCAGTCTGCTTCTCGGACCCCTTGCCTCCCGGCTGTGAAGTTAATCTTGCCGGAGACATGATGGGCACGATCCTGTGGTGGGAGATGGAGTCAGCCATGATCGAAGTGGTACCGCCCGTGAGTCAATCATGGGGAAGTAGAGGCAGCAATTGAGGGCATCAGAGTCCCTCAAACGGTAGAAATGCAGCAGCAGGTGCACTCTCGCTGGGAGAGGCGTCTGGTACAGAGAGGTATATGCAAGGGGAACGTAGCAGGAGTGTAGTAGAGGGTGAGTAAAACAATCGGCCAGAAAAGAAAAGACAATGAAGGCAGCAGAAAAAGAAAAGAAGGCCGGCCAAGAGAGGAGCTTGTGAATGGGATGAGAACGGGGCCCTTTGCCGGGGAAGCCCGCAGCTTCCGGCAAAGCAAAGAGAAAGGCGCAGGCAGAGGGTGGTGATCAGCAGCAAGACAGGCCGGATGTCTGCTTGTATAGATACAGCCCGTTGCTCTGTCGTCTCTCGCCTCGACTTGCGCTGAGGCAGCTCGGAAGTTACATGGACTTAAGGATGCCAAGAGGGAAGTGCTTAGGTAAGACGGAGAAGGGATGTCATGTGATGCTGCAGAGCCCCATGGAGCAGGCGCTAGGCTTCTTTGGGACAGACTCACCAAACGACGACAACAACGTTTGATATCAAAAGGCCAGACGGAGTGTATCTGGCGTTGGGTATACAGCACAGTGATGCGAGGGCGTCGCAGGGTGTATATCTGTTTTCAGGAGTCAGTCCCCTGTTCGTGAGCTGGAAGTGGAATGAGAACACTACATACCACTGTGAGGATGGAGGTAATGAGGACAGCTTGATAGTATAATACTATTCGACTAGAATGATACCATGATATGAAGAAGTGAAGTTTTGATGAGAGAGAAGAAGAAGAAGAAGAAGAGGGAGAAGAGGGAGAAGGCCAGGAAGCGAAATATTTATACCCCATCTCCAAGCTGGTAAAGTCGCTCTTTCCTACAGCGAGTCAATGACGCTATTGAGTTCCCAAGGGGAAGCAGTGACCGACGTCAACTAGAGATATCCAGCATTAAGTTTGCGTTTGTATGGCGCTGGAAATATTCGTGCAAAACAAGCTCAAACGCTGACGTCGTTGACTTTTTCCCTTGCGACGAGATACCCCTAGCTTACCGCAAACCATCCGAGTCACGAAAATTGGACCAGGGTCAATGACGTCTATCAATGACATTATACACTACAGCTCCTCCCAGATAATTCTACAACCGGCCAATACTCCAAGATAGTACTGTATACTCTTTTCTATGTTTCGATCCAAGTCGCAGTTTATATCATTAAGGAGATGAAAATATTATATATATATATATATATGCAGGGATGTGTATACGTAGAGGGTATCTTCTCAGCTATTTACCTGCGCCATGCTTATCCAAAAGTGCTCCAATCTCCCTATCCTGTAATATCTCATCATGCTCCTTCCTTAGTAGCTTCGGTACATTCTGCTCAAAGTAAAAAGCCCAAGTACTCTGCGCATTCAGTTCGGTGTTATCACGACTAGATTTCAGCCCGACATGCTGCAGCTGTTGCGGAATAAGAGCATATCTCGTTAGTTTGCTTTCTTCCGCATACTCTTCTATCATAGTATCCGTCTGTCCATGGCCTCTCTTTTGAAGATAGGCAATAAGACCATCGACCTGATCCCGGGGGAACACCATTCCCTGCGTACAACAACCGTATGGAGCTATCTCTGCAACTCCATGGAGAGGGAATAACGAGTATTTTCCGACCATATACGCAAGGGCAATAAAGGCTGGGACACAGATCACGCTTATTGCCAGAGTGGTAGGGAAGTCGATCAGGGAACGATAGGAGCGTAGTCGGCGGACGACGGTCAGACAGGAGAAAGTGAATAGCATGGCAGTTGCAAAGACAAGAGGCATGTTTCTATAGGCAAAGTCAGACGACTCCCACCCCAGAGCTGTTTCTGTGTAGAAGAGGCGAAGGTATATCCAAGGTCGTTTGTTCAACGGCATTCGCTTGATGTCGGCTAATGCTCTTAGCGACTTTGCCATCCAGCCCTCCGCGATGATGATGTCGTCCTCAAATACCACGGTGTACGGGGCGTTGGATTTCTTGCAGGAATTCAAGGCGTATACATAATCGCTAGCTGGTCAGCACCTTCCCGTACAAAACAGAACAAAACAAAACTCACAACACTCCTTTTTCATAAAAATTCCTTTCCTTTTCCAGTTTCTTGAGATGTTCCAACTGACTCGCAGTAACATTGTAGGTCTCTGCGACATCCGCAAGCCGGTCAACCCATATTTGGCCCCAACTCGGATGTCTCTTCGGGTCCGTATCGGCGAAGAGGATGTGAAGATGAAGGGCTCGTCTTTCTCGTGGATCAAGTCCTACGAGAAGAGATCCAATAGACGGGTCGAAATAGTCATCTGCCTCTCTCCGGACAGTCACAAACGCAACACAGAACAACGGATCCGTGCCGCCTTTGATGGAAGCAGGCGGCTCTACACGCGCATTATTCCTAGTAATGAAGTGGTGTGCCTCTCGCTCTCGACTCAGACTATACCCCAAATCATATACACCAGCTCGGTCGTTGAAAAAGGCAGAGTGAGGGTCCCGCCAGAACTGATATCGACAGTACTGGAATATCACCAACCAGATAAGTGCGGCGGCCAGCAGTGTTTTGACAGCCGTCAGCTTAAGTAGTTGGAAGGCAGAGTGCATCGATCCAATGCTTTTCCCCATCTCTGCATTTTTCCTCGAGCCTGAAGAAGAGCAACACGCAGGAATAACTGTTCTGAAAAGCCAGGAGGCAGCAAAAATCCGCGGACAGCAGATATTTTCTCCAACAATTAACCAGCATCTTTCATTACTCTGGTTCCATGGGCTCCATAACGGTTATAATGATACTGCAAGGATGCCCCTGCAGTGTCAATTGCATGCTTGTGTAATAATGAAGGACATATTATTACTTTTTCATTGTCTCCAAAAGGCGCATCGCCCCTTGTGACCTCAGAAACACGGTCGCGAGTATTGTCCCGCCAAAGGTGTGACAAAAGAAATAAAATACCACAAAAGGATTTGGGGTAATTGATTCTCTTGTACTCCGTACTTTGTATTGTGTACTGGATAGGTTACCTTCAGTATTTCCCGGAAGAGCAAATATGGGTCCGGAGAGGAGTTTTGGTGAACTCTGCTATAGTTATATGAAGCCGCCGGAGTTAAAGGGTTCTCTGGCAAGTAACCTAATTTCGATAACTAGAGCCTCTCTGACGTCTATTCACGGGTTAACCGTACGGAGTAGCCAGGGCCTAGACTATCTCACCCCATTACGTTAACCATCAGCTCTGTCTGAACCACAGGAGGTGCTCTAATCCCACAGGCATGGGCAGAATTTTTCACTCCGAATCCAGGAAAGATTCAATGTCTATCGAGGACAATATAAACCCAGGGGCCTTCCTCCAAGGCAATGGACAGCGACGGACGACATCTTCACTCTCGCGTAAATGATGGTCACACTTAGAGAAGGAAGTCAGAGCTTAGCGATATTCCAAGGCAAGACATGAATATAGCATATTGATTGGTCATTTTCGTCCAGCCCGTACCAACGCTATGGGTGCTCTCTGCATGCGATCCGGCGTCCATTGACAGGCAGCCAGGTAACTAGTCCAAGGTATTCCAACAATCAACACCGCTACATCGTGATTAGATGCTTTTAAATCCGTTGGCATAGAGTGTATTTGCATGATCCCTTGTAAATTTACCGGGCATATTCATCTTGAGGTCTTGAATTGGAATGTTCGAGGAAAGAATTGCGCGTGAAATTGCTGGTCGCTCTACGGCTGTTTCAAACGTAACATGGCGCTACCTATTGGGCTAGATGGGGATTAACTATTTATCGAAATCTGCCGCTAGGCCAAAAGGAGTGAGCCCACACTAATGGTAGGCAGAGCTGAAGTTTGACACTATTCATAAAAAAAAAAAAAAAAAAAAAAAAAAAAAAAGATAAAAGACCTTCTACCAAAACACCAACAACCACAACCTGACCGCGTCAAGCATCGGTTCTAGTTCTAGGGTGAAGCTACGATGTTTGTTGATCACTCTCCCTCATGGAATGAAGCATAGGAATTTAGGAATTTCCTCTATTTAAAGGATACGGGTTATCATTTAACCAAACTGGAACCACAGCCATCTCTCGGCAATTGAAGGATCCACCACATGATCCATCGAAGCGAATGCCTCCTGTATTTATGAGATGACAACATACCCATAGAGGATTTATTAAACCATGGAAACTCTCGGAATTTTGATTTTAACAATGAGCCTAGATGCAAGGAAATGTGACTCCTTTCCGAGAGTATTCATTACCTTGATAGCTGGTCAACGATTGCAACAGTTCTACCTGTAGCAGATAGCCGGAATGCCGAAGTTCAACGTATTGATGAAATCCTTGCCTGTCCGTACCAAAGCTCATCCTGGCGTCCACAACATCGTTGAGACCGCTGTTAGCAGCTCTAGAGAGTAAAACCCTTGCGGCTTTTGGATTTCCGGCATACAGTCAAGTAATTCTCCGTCGTTAAATGCATTGGTGGTCCGCTATCGCCCCGGTTTGAACTAGGCTGTAAAGTTTCCAGGTTCCTGGGTCAAATCAACGGATGGTGTATCCGTAGGGTTGACATTTCCGGGGCTAACAACTGCAAGAACCTGCTAAGACCGTAATCAGGGGCGTACATGAGTATCCCCTATCAACGATGAATGTCGAATGCTTAGATGGGAGGTCGCTAGTTGGGGTGTTATTCAAACAAGGCACTAGGTTTTTTTGACAACCAAATGAGGCGTCGCATGAATTGAAACTTCTCTTTTTTTTTTTTTTCGGCCAGCCATTTAACAAAAGATAGTGACTCCAAGTTACACTGGACGAAACAAGGCCACACTGAAGCCAATGTCTAGCTGTGCTGATATCGGCAGTTTCCCCAAACGCGGAGAAGCGGAGCCCCGAAGTTAAGCTCTGGCCTATGATTGACTATTTATAACCGGCTTTACCTCGGGCTTGTCTGATTCTTCGTCTTCTTCGCTTGCTCGTTGTCCCTTCGTCAATCATCAAGAAGCCTTCCTCGCACGTAGCAGTATGGCAGCTAGTAACAAAATCGTTGTTATTGGGTATGTTAGTTCCGGGGTTGAAGTGTTACTCTTTGTTCCTTTGTTCTAACTAATGCACCTTTCGCAGGGGTGGAGTTATCGGGTTAACGACCGCCTACTTGCTCTCCAAGGATAAGTCGAACCAGGTCACTGTTGCTGCAAAGCATATGCCTGGAGACTATGATATTGAATACTGTTCTATGTGGGCTGGCGCCAACTTCCTTCCGTATGTTTAATGGCTCTCTAGATCTGAACGAAGGTTCCATTTACCATGGCATAGCCCAGGCTGCACGGCTAGCTGCATTCTACGTCCGGTAATTATGCTAATCGATGGTCAATTCATGCATTGGTCGTGAAATAGAACTGGTGCTGAGGGTTCTGCGCATGCCCGGTGGGAAACAAACACATGGCCTGTTCTTGAAGACCTGGCTCAAAATCACCCGGAAGCCGGCATACATTTCCAAAGTAAGAATTATCACAATATACCTGAAATATTAGTTATGCTAATTCATAAATACAGAGTCTGTTGTAATAAATCGAAAGAAGGATGCAAATTCTTCTACAGGACTATGGTTCAAAGAGCTACTCCGTCCTGATCCTTGGTACAAGGACATTGTGCCTGGTGTATGGATCTCTTATACCCAAATATCCCACGTTTGAGTTGAAATTACGACCATAATATAGTTAGCTAACAGCCGGCTGCAAAGTTCACGCTTACTCCTGATAGCGATCTTCCAGAAGGAGTAGATAACCAAGCCGAGTTCACTTCAGTTTGCATGAATGCGCCTGTCTACCTTGCATGGTTGGTATCACAGTGCTGCAAGAATGGAGTCGTGTTCAAGCGTGCTACCTTCAAACATATATCTGAAGCCGCCAAAGTGCATTCCTCTGGCCAGAAGCCTGATCTTATTGTCAACTGCACCGGCCTTGGGTCACTGAAGCTAGGCGGAGTCGAGGATACTAAGATGTACCCTGCTCGTGGCCAGGTTGTGGTTGTGCGAAACGACCCAGGTGCCATGTATTCCTTATCTGGATGCGATGATGGGGATGATGAAGCTTGCTACATGATGACGAGGGCCGCAGGTAAGTATTCACCGCACACTGATCAACTGGAGATTAACGGTTTTTGTAGGGGGCGGAACTATCCTAGGCGGGTCCTACCAGGTAAATAGCTGGGACAGCCAGCCAGAACCCAGCCTAGCAGTACGCATCATGAGGCGATGCGTTGCCGTCTGCCCTCAACTTGTTGGCAAGGATGAAAATGGCAAGCAGAGAGGTATCGAGGGTCTTGATATCATTCGCCATGGTGTTGGCCTACGACCTCTTAGACAAGGAGGTACGAGGGTTGAAAAGGACCAAATCGATGGCATTGCTGTGGTGCATAATTACGGCCATGGCGGATTCGGATATCAAACTTCATTTGGATGCTGTGTTGAAGTTGCTGCTTTGGTGAAGGAGGCTTTAGCAGAAAAGAAGACAAAAGCTCGACTTTAGGGTATTTAAGACTTCTACCGTAGAAGTGTCCGCTAACCAGGTCAAACCCTCGATATCAATGTCTCTGACGCCGAGAATCCCATACTTAGATCTCCAGCGAGTTAAAAAGAATATGATTTAGGGACTCGTTCTCAATTAAACAGCCAAATTTGAGTATATTTATACAAAAATCATAAGATTTATTCTGTTCTCAATCAAATGCTCATCACTCTAAGCTATCAACTCATCATTATCCGTGACCTTGTAACTAATACCCCTTTCCTGAAAAGGAAGGAGGTTATAAGCACGTGACAAGGACTACGTAATTTCTTACTAAGCTAATAACAAATGCTTGCGCCTTGATGCTTGCGTTTATTATTGCTTCAACAGCAAACAACAACAAGCTACAAGGTACGTAAGGTGATGTCTTTAAATCTTTCATCAAGGACATCCATCTCTGTGTCATCGGGAATTGCGTTGCTGACCGTGTTAATAGCTAAGCGGAACCCTCCATTATTCGCTAAAGCCTCGCCGACGTCAGCAAGCTAGCTGTCTCGAACTCCCTCGCTGCCTAGGCCACGACATTCCTCTCACGACGACCACGAGCTTTATTTAACAGGCTGATATTCGCTTTTTGTCTTTTGAAACGTATTGCACAACGCCGAAATTTCATACACTTTCCTGCACCCTTTTGTTATTGCGAAGATATCCGACAGAAACGAGGAATTTTACGACAGCTTTCACGACAACTCCGTTCATTCAATTAGTGTATCATATCAACAAGCAAAATGGATCTCTCTAATGCATTGTGAGTACTCCGTATATGATGTGGTAGTACCGCATGCGCCATGCTGGCTCTGCGACTGCATTATTCCTTTCAAAACTCCGGAAACTAACATATCTTGACTCTGTAGCCGTTTGGTCAACTTGGGGGTGGGTGTTATAATGATCTTGGGTGGAATCAGTCAGTTCTTTTCCGGCCCGCTGTTGTAAGTTTACCTTCCGAGCCTGTCAATAATCCATTATTTTGGGCGAGAACTAAATAGCGTTGTTTTAGCCGAAATATCATCATCGGAGTCTATGTCATCCTTTTCGGTCTAGGTATGGTGCTCCTATACTCCGGACTAGTCTATAGTCTGGCTGTGGATGTTACATTATAATAGCTTAGGGGTGTGCTAATGTGGACATTCTATCACAGCCACCGCTGGTATGGAGCTGGTACCGAACGTTCCACCATACATAACCAGGCATGCGTCCTTCATGTTCTCCTTCATCGGACGAGGAATCTGTAAGTTGCATCAACCTTATTACCCACATATATAGCGCCTTTCTAATATCTACTGCAGTCTACGTCTTCGTTGGCTGCATCATCCTCGAGTATAACGTCCTGCGTATCATTGCCGGATCGCTTATCGGAATCGTCGGCCTGGGCTACTGTGTGCTCGAGTACATTCCATCCATAGAACCACCAGCCAACATGCGCGAGGACGGTGGTGATCCAGGCTGGGGCGCTGAGCAAGTTTAACGGTGGTCCTGGCCCCCATCTAATCTTGACACGCACCAGGAATTCGCTCCCGATACTGAGTGTCCCGCTAAGGCCCTTGCTCTTAATTTTGCGAATATCCTATATCAATCCTGACATTATTCCTTTCCCCCTACTTACCTGCAATGTGCAAATGAGAAATGGGGTGGTTAGATTATACCGTTTCTTCTTCACTGGCCCACCCCTTATCGACAACTTTCCGGTCTTCTTGTCTTCCGCTCTGATTATATTTGGGATATACCATTATTATTACAACTTGCTCCCTCTTTGCTGTACTGTAGTATGCTACTTTAAGTATAATGAGTCCACTACTCTCCCTGCCGCTAGCCCCTTTTCTCCTTTTGATTCCCTGCCTGGAGTCAATGCATGCACGACCCTTGCTAGGGCGAACTTCCCCGGCGACAAGGGTAATATCACGTGTTACTAGTCCAAAAAAGGAAATAGCCAATAAAGACTCTCGGAGTTATGCTTACGTTTGTCTCCGGCCAATCAGACAGCGTGTAGATGCCATTACAAACGCCAAGACCCAAAAATAAGAAAGCGCGACGGCCTAGCAAGTGGGGCTGATGAGGTTAAATTTCTTATCAGCAAATCTGATCAGCCGAAAGACGAAGCGGACGAACGACGAGATGGTGACGACGAGGGCGTAAAAGGGCGGGAGAAAAAAGGAGCAACGAGGAGATAGAAGGCCAGATCAGGAAACGTTTTTATCTAGGCGATAACCGGAAGAGAAGGGTCAAAGGGCGGGCGGACGGAGGTTCCAGGCTTGCGGTGGCGTGCTGCGTGCACTGATGATCAAGATAAGATAATCAACGGGGAGAGATAATCAGATTCGCTCGTCCGTGAATAAGAAACGTACGCAGAACCAGCCGCAGCACCACCATGACGAAAGGAGAAAGACGAAGGCGAAAAAGAAAGCATCACACGACCCAGAATCAAGCATCAGCGAGCGCGCTTGCAGCAGATCGTCTCGACCTCGCTTTCAACGGTCCCCTCGCCCCCAGAATCGGTGTATAAGATAGCTGAGGCACTCGAGACCCTGTGGGTAACCTCAGGCAAGCGGAACAAAAGGAAGCGAAAACCTTGGTGAAGATCTGATAAGGACAAGCATTTTTTTCTTCCTTTTTTTCAGTTTCTCCAACTTGGGACTTTTTTTTATCTTGGGAGCCTAGTTTAATCTTCCGTCCTCCTGGCCAATAGTAGGTTGACTATTTCGCTTGTCGTGTCATCCTCTTGTCGCAGTCGTCTTTCTCTGCCTGTCCTGTCGTCTCAGCTCCTTTTTCTCTGTTTGTTCTTTGGTAAGAAGATCTTTCATTCTCCTTATTCTCGTCAGCGCTGGCTTTCGCAGTATAACGACTCCTCATACTCGACCGTCGAAAGCTTCGGCTTAAAGGAGCCTGCAGCCGGCCAGACTTGAGCAAATATTGTTGCTAACTGAAGGACTGAAGGCCACCAGATTACCCTCGCCCTCCTGCTATTGCATATATGTCCAGCGTATAAAACCTTTTCTCTCTCTCTTTCTGCTTGTCGCTTGAAGCATTTTCGCCAGTGGCAAACGTCCTGATCAAAACGACCCCCAAAAGTCCTCCCGATCGCAAACAAACAGTCTCGTCTTTTGACCCCAACGGTTGTTCCGTCGTTTGACTCGGGCTTACTAGCGGATTTTGGGGGTGTTTTCTCACGGAGGAGGATCTCTTTAAGAAGAAAATATACCCGATACGTACAGACGCTGCCGATGCTCACTCTCCGATCTTCATCAGATACCGTGCGCGGATTCCCAGCTACAAAACGCGATATGATACGCCAGCCATCTGCCGAGGACCTTGATGCTGCACACCAGCTGGTTTCTTCTGCGCGAGGCGTAGCGGATCTCCGGCCTGATAGCTTTGACGCCAGCCGGTCGCCTGACGGAGATAAGGCAAGCGTCGATACAGGTGCAGCCATGGACGATACTGCCTCGAGTGATCAGAATCACAGTGAGTCGCAGCAGCAGCAACAACAGCAACAGCAGCAGCACAGTCAAGCCTCGGAGCAGGTATCGGCGCCAGAGAGCTCAAGTCGCTCGAGAGCGTCGCCAAAGGCTTCGCGGAATACAGAGGTCTTCTTGGGACACCAGTGTGTGTAAGTGCTCGCATGTTACAACAACCTACACAGTACGTACGTCTACTAGACAGATATGCTAACATAGCATTCTCTACGCAGCAACTGTGGAACAAAACGAACTCCTTTATGGCGCAGGTCACCGTCTGGTTCAACTATCTGCAACGCTTGCGGCCTATACCTCAAAGCTAGAAACACGGACAGACCTACAAACCGGATCCGTGACTCTGGAGCAAACGCAAACAGTGGCTATGCGAATAGCTCAACCTCAGACCCAAGAGCCTCTCCCGCCGCGAGTGATGCGTCCGCTCAGAACGCATCCGGCTGTGGTTCTACTCCAGCAGGCACCTGTCCCGGTGGCGGGAGCTGTAACGGAACCGGCGGCGCGGTAGGATGCGACGGATGCCCGGCATACAATAACCGTGTATACAAGGCAGCTCCTCGAGCTCCTTCAGCCCGTCAAGCGAGAGCATCTCCATCTGCTCAGACAAGCGAAGAACAGGCCCAGAGCGGACTAGACGCTTTAGACAGCGCATCCCAGGATGCCAGCGGAATGCCAAAGGCTTGTCAGAACTGTGGCACTACCCTCACTCCGCTCTGGAGGAGAGATGACCAGGGGAATACCATATGTAACGCTTGTGGTAAGTCGTATCTTCTCAGTTTATATCTTCTTCGCAGCTTTGCTAATCAGTGATATCCAGGCCTCTACTACCGGCTTCATGGGAGTCATCGGCCTGTTGCCATGAAAAAGACAGTCATCAAAAGACGAAAACGGGTCGTTCCAGCTCTTAGAGATCGTTCTCCAGGAGCTGGGTCTTCCGACAATTCTTCAGTCTCCCCGGAGCTACACTCTGCCAGCCTTGCAACTAGCAATGCCGATACCAATGCCTACCCTCCGTCTGAGAATGGAGGACCCAGCTACGGGGCCGCCCAGTTTCCTCATAGTGCTCCTCCACCTATTGACTTCACAGGCTACTACAGCAAACCGACACAATCTACCTCTTCCCCCGGCCTAAACACCCTGATCAATCACTCCCCCAACACTAAGAAACGGACTCACTCTGAAAGCACCTCTGCCGAATCCGCACCCCCAGCTACTCGTATACAGTCCGACATTTCCGCTTCTGCACACCTTCCTCCCATAAACCCAGCAAGTGCTCGCGCTCTACCAAACTCGGGCCGCCTAAGTTCAATCTCCTCGTTGCTCAACCATACAGATCCCAGTTTTACCGAATCCCACGTCGATGCTGCTCTTGGCTCAAACGCTCCAGCCAGATCCCAGACACAAACACAACCTCAACCTGGCACTCGCTCTTATTCACCGAATCCAGTGAACCCCCCGACTACCCAGCCAGCACATGGCAGCCACTCTATTCCCCCGCCGCCTCTTACGCCCGCAGCTGATGATAAAGTCAAGGCAGCGAGAAGAGCTCAGTTGCAACGGGAGGCAGAGAATATGCGTGAAGCCTTGCGTGCAAAGGAGAGGGAGCTGGCTTCATTAAAGTAGCCCTCAGTCTCTTATCCCCATGTCCCTATCTACCAACCAAGGAATATCAGTCGATGATATGGCTTTTTATACCCTTTCTTTACACTATTGTCACTTTCGCTTGTCAGCGCGTAACCTTCTTACTGGACATTTTATTTCCTACTATCAATTTGTCTTCCTTGCTCTTTTCCTTTCTGTGTTAATCTCCTCTATGATACATGACTTTGCTTCCATGCTAGGTGTTAGGTCGGTATAAGCTCACTGTGATATTCGGATAGGCGGGCTGGTCGGTGGCTGCCTGTATCTTTTCTTCTCCTTACTTGTTTCCTAGCTGTATCTCACTTCCTGATGAACATGCCGAGTCCGGCCAACTCTCCCTTTATTCCCTTTCAATTCAGCCTCACTGCTCTTTGACAAGCTTATTATTTAATTCATGAAGAATTTGTTCGACGCCTAATACACATTTTTTTTTTTTTCGTGTCTTTTCGGATTAGATACATCTTCGTTCAAATAATGGCTGCATCAATAGCAGTACATTGTCACAAGGCAAGTATCAGATCTCATAGCAAATATCGTTTCAACACCCACCACCACAACGATCTCATCCATCCCGTCTCCTTCATTAAGCAGTAAACCAGGGCCAGCGGCCTCGAACGTGTAACCTTTCCCGGGTACTGAAAAAAAGCAAGAGTCTCTCCGCCTCCATGTCAAGTTGAGTCCCAGGAAGGTCCATCACCCACACTAAAATCCACAATCCACCAGAGTGAACAAAACCACGAGAACGACATCCCCGAGCTTCAGCTGCGGGAAACCAGCAGACTTGATGAAAAACCAGCCACCCTATCACGATCATCATCACGAGTAACCCCCTAAATCTCACTAGCCAGCACACACTGCGAGAGCGGTGACTTGGGCGTAGGGCGAATTCTTATCATCTTGGGAGGAGCCCTCTCACCCATTCCTTTCTTGAAGTCATTTCTCGACCAGGATCTCCAGTGAGGATTCAGCAACCCGTTGAACGGCAGCCATGGCTCTGCATAATAAGAATCCGAGTCAGCTGGATCCAGAATCGGCCGTTTCTTACCACGCTTGGCCTTATCGTGGACCCAGGTTCCGTGGCTGGTGTAGAACTTATGGACGTGTCCGGTAATACCCTTGAGGAGACTAGGAGTGTGGGCATACGACAAGACTTCCAGAGGACCGGTGTAAAGGACCGGATCGATGTACTTGATTGCTCGGTGCATGAGGCTGGCGACGCAGGAACTCTCGTGTGGCCAACACTTGGGTCCTTTCAGGAGCACAAACAGAGATACCTCGGGAGGCGTGGAGTTTCGTGCCGGCATGGCATCGCCAAAGAAGTTATAATGATGGACCGCGGATTTCTCGTCCTGCGCCTGGTCTCGAGTGTAAATCTCGTCAAGGGCTTCTTCAGAAAGCTCGGTGTCTTGCCGGTAGCATTCATAGTCTGCTGCGTTATACCATTGAATGCCTTCTTCCTCGTCAGACTCGGAGGATTTGAAGCTGGGGACCTCGGTGTCGATATCATCAGTGTCGATGTCATCGGTCTCGATGGGCTTCTCTGAAGAGTTGTCTCCGATGTTATCGAGTGACTGGCTTGACGCAGGCGTATCTTCATCTTCGTCGCAGATATCAGACTCAGGGGAAGAAGTCGAAGACTCCTCCTCATTCAAATCAGCCATATTTTCATAATCAGATGGCTTTTCATCAACAGCAGAGCCAAGGTCGTCACCAATGGAATCTTGTTGCCCGTTGGCAGTATGACGAGAGCTGCCCTCTGGCTCATCTGAGGTACCATCGTACGATTCCATAGCGCTGGGATAGTCATCCTCAATCACCTTCTGGGGCTTCTTCTTGGGTGATTTTCTTGGTTTCTTCTTACTGTTCTTCTTCGCAGCCTCCTTGACAACAGTGAGCTTTTTAGCCCCCTTGAGATGACGAACGATATAGACATGCAAGCCATCATCCCATTCACAAACAAACGGATGGCTGGCAGAAGGAGGATCACGGCAGGGGACGATGAAGGTAGCTTCACGGAGCTTGAAGTTCTTCTCCGTGTCCCACAACGTACTCTCAATCACATACCAGGGACCAGGCTCCGCTTCAGTGACGAGGTAGAAGTACGCCACGGCATACGGGCCAGACTCTCTCAAGCGCGATGGAGAGCTGATCGTGCAGTGACGAGGCTCAGGGAGTTCTGGGCCGGATGCGAATGCCCATTTCTCAAGGACTTTCTTGGTAAAGGGCCTCCAGTCAATATGGTTTTCGTGAGCCATGGCTGGCTAGCAGTTAGTGAATCCGACTACGGAGACTGAGCTGAACAAGGAGTCTCTGCGGTAATGAGTCCCGAATTTGACAGGCAGTCTGTTTGCTGTCTGTCGTACTGCAGGAGGTTTCAAAAGGAGATGACTCGAGCAGCCGGGATATCAGTCGAGTCAATGGTTGAACAGTCTGGAGAGTGTGTATACGGCACAGTCGATGCAACGAAAATTGGTGAGCTTGAGAGATGACTTGAAGAAACAGCTGGAGAGGCTTGAAGAGATGCCTTTAATATGTGAGATGAAGGTGATGACAGGAGAGAGAGGAGGGAGAAGAGAGGGAGGATGAGAAGAAGAGGAGAAAAAAGGCCATCCATCCTGTTGCGTGTGCCCTTGCCCTCCCTGACTCCCTCTTTAGGGCAAGACTACGACAACATCGTGAAGGCCTTTCTTTTGAGTCTTCTAGCTCTTTCTAAGTGAATGACAGTGCTCGGCGTCCTATAGCTAATGAAAAAGGTAGGCATAACGACATTGGCAGTCAGGTCAGTTGTAGGTGCTGGCAAGTAATAGACACACTCTTAGGACAACAGTATATCTACATTATCAGCAAGCAATAGTGTGGGTATAGATAGGGACATAGGAGTAGCAAGGCTGGGAAAGAGAGCTTCTCCTGCTTTGGGTATTCACAGCGATCCCTTCTATCTGGCCAAAAATACTAGAGAGAGGCATGCTCTTCACATATCCCACTATGTCTCGATCAATCCACTATAGGAGAATATACCTTCACTAATCATCCTTTGTATCCATAGAGTGATATGAGGCTCATGAAAAGGCATAAAGACAGTATGGGGTATATGTACATATTGGGCATGCAGTGTCTTAAAGTAACTCTGCAGTGGAGAGTTACAAGAAAGCTGGATATCTTAGTTTTCCTATACTTCTAGGGAATGTCTTAGCTATAAAAGCACTAGGTATTAGCCCAAGCATCTCCATACAAACATAGAGGCCTCTCTCTCTTCATATAGCATGCATGGCATCTCTCTAGATTTTTCTCCTCCCCCCCTTTTTCTGTGTTATTTAGGTTTTAGTGACGTCACATGACCATGGCTAATATCGGCGCTAAGCCCTAAAGCCGGATGACTAATCCGGCAAAGGGGGAAAACTGCGGGGAGAAAAAGTCACGATCGCAGCTTTGAATGTAAACAACGACGACGACGACGAGATACAGAGGACGAGAAGAAGAAAGGAAGAGAAAAAAAGGGGCCAATCGACGCTCTGGCTACATCCATGCTGTGTCTTCGAACGTTTATCCGAAACCTAGGCGCCCTTGACTCCCGATCGATCGCTCTAAGCAACAGCCGGCCGTCGCTTTCTAGCTCTAGCCCGACATCACTCGCTCAGATCGTCCATCGCACCTACACGAGACGGACAATGGCCACCGCGATGGGCAAACGCCTTGACGGCAAGACGATCCTAGTGACCGGAGCATCGTCTGGCATCGGCAAGGCCACCGCGCTGGAATTCGCGCGAACGTCGCCGAAGAACCTGAAACTCATCCTGACTGCTCGGCGATTCGACTCGCTCAAGCAGGTTGCCGAGCAGATCAAGACGGAGGTAGGGGAGGGTGTCAAGGTGCTTCCGGTGCAGCTTGACGTCAGCAAGAAGGAGAACATCGACAAGTTCATCGTCGAGCTGCCGGAGGAGTTCAAGGAGATCGATATCCTAGTGAACAATGCGTATGTCCTTTGCAACCACCCCCCTTCTTGTGGATGAGCGCGGACGGAGCAATGTGTTTTTTGCTTGAGTACATGCAGTATGGCTACTGAACTGACTGGTTGGGTGTTAGCGGACTTGTCAGAGGAGTAGCAAAGGCCCCTGAGATCGCCACGGAAGATCTGGAGGTGATGTTCAACACCAATGTCCATGGCTTGATCCACATGACTCAGGCTGTGCTACCTATCTTCCAGAAGAGGCCAAACGGTGGACGGGGAGACATCATCAATCTCGGAAGCATTGCTGGCCGAGAGGCGTACCCCGGCGGCAGCATCTACTGCGCTACCAAGGCGGCGGTCCGAAGCTTCACCGACGCTCTCCGGAAGGAACTCATCGCTACTCGCATCAGGGTTATTGAAATTGATCCCGGCCAAGTTGAAACTGTAAGGATCTAACGACTTACTTTTTGGTGATTTGAGATAAAGATGATTTGGACCACGAATATAGAAGCTAACGCAGGAGCGGCGGCGGCGGGCGTTTGCAGGAATTTTCCGTGGTGCGATTTTACGGAGACAAAGCCAAGGCGGATGCTGTTTATGCGTAAGTTCTCTCTGATGAGCTGCATCAAGTTCCGTGACACACTGACTGTTGTTGAATGTGTGTGTGATATCTAGTGGCTGTGATCCTCTCACAGCAGAGGACATCGCGGAGGTAATCGTATTCACTGCTGGGCGGCCGGAGAACGTCGTTATCGCGGATACGTTGATCTACCCACAGCATCAAGTGTTTTAGTTTTTTTTTTTTTTTTTGCTTTCTTTCTCCTTTCAAATCAAAGGAGCCCCCAACCGAGCAAATCTTGTCTTCCGTTTCCGTTCCTTTCCCCCTTCTCCCTTTCCCCCGTTCTGGAGTCAAACGTGAATTTTTGTCTGACACGCGCGCTCCCTCTTAGGGCTCGCCAACGGCTCTATATAGGAGGTCATAAGCCCAAGAAGCAGAACGGGCAGAAGGTCCGAGGGCAGGAAAAAAGAGATGAATCCGAGGACACGGATGAGGACTTGACCATGTAGATATGTATATAGAACGTGTCTTGTCCATTGTCCCTCCGTACTATTGTTACTGTCTATCAAACCCCCTTTTTTTCGAGTCCTTTGCTATGTGCCTCCTGCCAAGCTTGTCCGCTCAGCTTAGCTCCTACGCTAGATTGAGTAGATGTACCTTGCATTGTCCGGCGGGCGTAGAAAAGTCCCATCCAGGCCAAAAAGTGATAGTCTCTTGAGGTGAAAAGAGGTAAAAATAAGAAAGAAGAGGAAGAAGAAGCGAGAAAAAAGCACTTTCTACACGTGAAATGTCGACAGGGCAGGGCATCCATCATGGCTGTTTTTGGGCTGAACATCACCCGCGAGGAGATCCACGCACGCCGACAGGGCAGGGGGGTTGCCAATAAGTGACTTAAGTGGTGTGAGGTTGCTGTGGACTTGGACTGTTCCTTTAAGGCTAGATGGCCAATATAATACGAGAAACGAGAGGGTCAGATCGCAGAGTAGGACACTCCTGTGACATAAGACTCTCAAGATGCAATATCAATCTTGACCGTCTGGAGCCCAAGACCAGGATGAGATGGACGAGTATGCTACTCCGGAGATAAGAGACGGATCCTTCGGCCAGAGACCTGCTGGTCATGACGTCTTGCTCGTGCCAGCGTAGAGCTATCGAAGTCGTAGATGTGTGATCTACTACTCTTGCATACATGGGCAATAACCCGACGAACACGGATGCAACACATGTACTCTCTGTAAGCATACCGATAATATAGTAGTTATGATAGCAGGCAGCGAGAGGTTGCAGTCGACGCCATGAGTAACTATACTGTACATCCGAAACTCCCAGGACCAGGGATTAGATCCGCATGGCACGACAAGCCCTGTCGTTGCAAAAAAGAAGAAAGAAGAAGAAGAAGAAGCAGAAGATGCACAAGGAAATATCCGTAATAATAAATTAAAATATGTATATCGGCCCAGCGAGCCGACGAGAGCAGGGCCAGGGAAGGATAACCTAACTGTTAAGCACATACTCCGTAAGTAGCTAAGTGTCCCCTCTACCGAGATGAGACGTGGGAGTGGGAGGGGAAAGGTCAAGGGCTGCAAGATTTTTGGGCCTGGCAGGTCGAGAGCAAGGGAGAGCTGGTGGCGTGTGAAACCCTGACAGGGCTGACCGGTGAAGTCACAGGAGAAGTACAGAGTAGTACCTTGTACCTGTACTCCGTACCTTGTACCTAACTGGCGGGTGGTAGTCGAGCTTCCTAGCACCGGCTGGCGTAACCAACTCGAGCAAAGCAGTCGTACTTCGAAGTAGCAGGACGACGGAGCCCTGACTCCATCAAGGTCGTTTTGTACGGAGCAGAGCCAGAGTGAGTGGCCATTTCGTAATAAAATAATAATATGTAGAAAAGCATGTGCAAAAAAAAAAAAAAAAAAAAAAAAAAAAAAAAAAAAAAAAAAAAAAGGGCAAATGCACTCCAGCCTCCAGCCCGGTTCGGGTCTCTGGGCAGTCTCCATGTCCTCCCAGAGTTCACGTCTCATGCAGGAACTAGATCACGCACGCACGCAGCGAAGTCTCAGGTCAGCCAGTAGCAGGACGGATACTCCGCCGTATCGAGACGCCATCAGCGAATAGAGGCCTGGCTGTGACCGCCCGGAGCTCGCAGGACAGACCAAGTGGCTGTCCGTTTTGACTCCTGCTGGCTGGCTGGCTGGCTGGCTTGCTTGCTTGTCTTGTCTTGTTGGCCTTGTTGGCCTTGTTGCTACCCAGGCAACCAACCGACTACCTGCATCTGCGCCGTGTGAGAGCTTTCCCCGGGGGAGGCTTATTATCACACATACATAAGTAAGGTGCTTGCACCGAGTAGTCAGGAAAGTAAGTACTTTACATCATCAGTAAGGTACATACTCCGTAGCTTGGGCGAGCCTAGCTGGTTAGCGGGTGGGTGCTCGCAATCTCCGGCGTCAAGCCAGGCCAATCCCTTTTTCCCAAGGCAAAAAGGCGTTAAGTATCAAAAAGTAAAGCCTGGGATGGATGGGACCTGAGGATGGGGAACAGGGCCCCCTTTTTTCTCCCTTCTCTTTCCAGCTTCTGCAACTCCACTGGCTGTCTAGATGGAGAACGTGCCAACGAGGATTCTCTTAGAAGTATACTCCGTATCAGTGTAGTGTGTAGAGTAGAGTAGAGTAGAGTACTCTGTAGAGCAGTCGATTCTGAGCCGGAAGGCTGGCGGGCGGTGGCAGGATGATGCCTGCTGGGGATCTGCGGTGCCTGCGGTGCCTGCGGTGCTGGACGGAGTAGCATGTATACGGGCAGGAAGACGCCTCAACGCGCCGTCGTCTGGCTCGCTGAGACGCCCGCGGCCCTGCTGCAGGGTTATGCCTGGAAGACGACGCTGCTCGAGGCTGCCCATCGCCCGCTGATGCTTGTTGTTGTTGTTGTTGTTGTTGTTGTATCTGCTGCTTGTTGCTTGTTGCTGCCGGCTGTTCGTTCGTGGATGCCGCCGACTGCCTGCATGGTCACTCACTCGCCAGTAGAAGCGACGGCGACGAGGAGGAGGCCTTCCTGCAGGCCATCCAAGTACGGAGTAGCCAGTCGACCTGCATCTATCTCTCTCTATCTCTATGTCTCTCTCTCTCTCGTATCACTCCTGTCGACTGCTGTTGTTATCTCTTATGTCGTCTGTCGTCTGGTGCTGTAGTAGAAATAATAATCAACAACTAAGAATAGCGGTCCCTTTTTTTTTCCTTTTTTTTTTTCCTTTTTTTTACTTCTCTCTCTCTCTTCTTTTTTGCTTTTCTTTGCTTTCCTTTTTTTCCCTTTTTTTTTAATTCCCTTTTTTTTTTTTTATTTCTCTTTCTTCCTTTTCTTCTTCTTCGTCTTTTCTGATAGCAAAAAAAGGGCGAGCGTCAACGTCGTCGAGTCGAGTCGAGAGCAGCAACGAAGAATCCAGCGTCTCGAGCAGCGCCCATCTCTTCTCTTCTCTTCTCTTCTTCTACTACTTCTACTACTTATCATCTTCGTCTTCTACTTCTTCTTCATCTTCTTCATCTTCTACTTCATCTTCGTCTTGTCGCCTCCAGAAAAGGAGTTAAGAAGCTGTCCTTTTGCTTTTTCCTCCTCGCCGTCGCTGCTCAACTGCTGCAACCACCGACTCGAACTCTTGCTGCGATCTCTCGTTTCTTCTTTCTTTTTGGCCCTTCTTCTGACTTGACGTCCTTCTATATCTCTTCTCTTCGTCTCTTCTCTTTTTCTTCGGCCTGTCGAGAATCCGTCTGGAAAAGAGGGAGTCTCCAGCGTTGTCGTTGTCGCCGTCGCCGTCGTCTGCTCAGAAGCCCCCCTTACGCTGCTGCGTCGTCGTCTTTCTTCTTCCTCTTCTTCCCCTTCTTCCTCTTCTTCTTCTCCGGTTGCTACGACTACTCTCAACACATCATGGCCTCACGAGTAAGCCGGCTCCTCTTCTGCTCCCTTACTCCTGCTAACGTCTGCAGTATCTCCGAGAATACAAGCTGGTCGTCGTCGGCGGCGGTGGTGTCGGCAAATCCTGTCTGACCATCCAATTGATCCAGAGCCATTTCGTCGACGAATATGACCCTACAATTGAAGGTGCCTTTCCCTTCCTCTCTTCTTATTCTCCATCGTCTCTGTCTTCGTCTCTGTCTGCGTCTTCTTCGTCTTCTTCGTCTTCTTCCCTTTGTCTCGTACATAGACTCATCCGTCACAGACTCATACAGAAAGCAATGTGTCATCGACGACGAGGTCGCCCTGCTAGACGTGCTCGATACCGCCGGCCAGGAAGAGTACTCGGCCATGAGAGAACAGTACATGCGAACCGGCGAGGGCTTCCTGCTCGTCTACTCCATCACCTCCCGCCAGTCGTTTGAGGAAATCATCACCTTCCAGCAGCAGATACTCCGAGTCAAGGACAAGGACTACTTCCCCATCATCCTCGTAGGCAACAAGTGCGACTTGGAAAAGGAGCGAGAAGTCTCACAAGAGGGTGCGTCTCTTTTCTCTTTGCCTACTCTCTCTCTCTCCTCCCCCTCTGCTTCTTCTACGAACATCACCTAACTAACTCTCGACAGATGGCGAAAAACTAGCACGCAGCTTTGGATGCAAGTTCATCGAGACATCAGCCAAGTCACGCATCAACGTCGACAACGCCTTTTACGATATCGTTCGAGAAATCCGCCGATACAACAAAGAAATGTCATCCTACTCATCTGGCGGCGGTGGATTCGGATCCCGAGGCCCAGAGGGCAAGATGGACGTCGACGACCATGGCGACCAGGCCGGCTGCTGCGCCAAGTGCATTATCATGTAAACGGAATGAAAACAAGATAATAACAAAAAAAAAAAAGAAAAGAAAGAGAGAGAGATGGAGAGGGAGGAAGGGAGGTTGGGGAGGGAAAACATTCCATGGAAAATCCGAGAGACAGGCGGGCAGGCAAACCAGACGACAGACAGAACGAGCAGAGGAAAGAAAGATATTAAACATAACGGACAATGGGAGGTTCGGCCAAGGGAAAAGAGAAAGAAAGAAAGGAAAAAGAGGGTCAATTCGACTGATAAGAGACACGAAGTGACGCGCAAAAAACACAGGTAGAGGATTCTTTCCAGGGGTGTACGATTTTCAAAAAGGAAAAGCAAGCCATTTTAAAACCAAATCATCTTCAATTGCCAACATTTACAGTCAAGAGCAGGGGAATCGGATTCAATGCCCGAGAGCAGTCAAACAGGGGGGGACCCAGCAACAGCCGAATCTCACTCGACCATGCTGTGTTCTGTTCCGCTGTCTTTCGAACGAGTCGCACATATAACCGAGCCTCCTCGGCCCTCCCCCCTTCTCCTCTCACCGTCCGCCGCAAGGATAACCGAGAAAAAGGCACACGAATACGTCCATCTCTCTCGAAAACACAGTCTCTTAACCTTCTCGATCGGTCCAGGATTGCACAGTTGATTGACCATTTTTGATGATACTTTTCATTTTTCATTTCTTTTTGTTCTATCTGGAATTTCATGGATATAATCTTCCTTTTCTATTCCCCCTTTGCCTTTGCACTTTGGTTTATTCCCACCACCCCATATCCCCCTCCCCTTGCTCTTATTTCTTTTGTTATCTGTTGCCTTCTCCCTCATTCATCTCCTTTCTTGCTCCTGGATAGCCTCCCTCGTGTCTCTATTGCGCCCCCTGTGTCCGTCTGTTCGTGCGTTCCATGCCTCCATATACCACTTTATACCACACCACACCACACCATGCCATATACACCATTCCTGTCAGTACTGTCCATCGATCGGTCTGTTATTTTCTAATTCTATTTCTATATTTCCTTGTCTCTTTTTTTTTTTTTATCTCATCTTATTACTACTATTTCATTTCATCTCTCTTATACTCCTTTCTGTTACTTCTCCTTACTTTTTCATACCTCCTTAATCTACCTTACTTATCTAACCTGCTCTACCACGGTGATATACGAGAATGCGCAGGCAGCTCTGTCTCTCTCATCTTCTAAAAAAAAAAAAAGACACTCGAGCTTTAACCGGGAAGATAACTACTTATTTACCGTCTGCCATTCTTAAATTCTTGTCTACATCTTACCTACCCTTACTTTTTCGCTGTGAGTATACTTATCCCCCTCCCGTACCATACCATCTTGCTCTCTTTTCTTTTCTTTTCTTTGCTTTTCTTTTCCTTTGCTGCTCATTTTGTGTCTTACTTCGTGTTTTGATATCCCTATATACAGTCTCTACACTAGTTACGCTCTCATATCTATCTATCATACTTCTGCTCGCTTCCATCTCCGCTCACTGCCAGGCTGCTTTCTTTGTTTCTCTTTCCCTTTTACATATAAAATAGCTGAATGCCTGCACCATTTTCTCTCTCTCTCCCTCTCTTAGCAAGCCAATAAGTGATCTTGTAGATGCGCCACCGGTCTAGACGTCTATCAGATATATATATATATCAAACATAACCCAAAAAGTATGTATACCACATATAACAGTGGTAAGTCTATACCGTCTCCTCCTCTACGTCCTCAGGATCATCCTCGTCCTCCCTCTGTACCCTCCTACCCTCAACATTCTTCTCGACCTCCGGCACAAGGCTTTCCAGGTACTCTCTGTCCGCACCCACCAGGGTAACGGTATTCCTTCGCTTGCCCCAGCGCGGGTAACTGCCTACCTTGACGCCCTTTGGTTCGACCCGCGCCGCAAGATCAGTCAGATATGCCGCTACCGAACTTTCCACCAGCGGGGTAGATATGAGTATCCTATGCATTCCTTTCCCCTCCGGATCAACCAGGCGAGGCAGCAGTATCGGTTTGAGGCCTTCCAGCAACCGTTTGAATAAAGATGGTACGCCGGGAAGAATGTACACGTTCCCATTGACCACGGTTACGGGGACCCAGAGTTCCTCGTCGATGAAGAGAGCCTGGTCTTCGAGAGGAATGGTTTTGTCCGTGGGCAGCTGGACCATGCGCAATCGTGCCGTCAGGGCGTCCGAGGGCGTGTCCCAATTGAAGTTAGGGCCGGCCTGTTGGGGCTTGGAGAGACGGCGCATGCGTTCGAAGGCCTGTTCGTGCAGAACGAGCGGGAGGTTGAAGGCACGAGCTATCGATTGGTACGTTATATCATCGTGTCTGGGGGAAGTTAGTCTTGTCTTGTCTTCCATAAGTGAGGTGGTCTGTAGAGAGAGAGACTAGTTAGTGAGGTCGCGGTGGTGAGACGTACGTTGGCCCGATGCCTCCGCTGGTCACGACAAAGTCGTATTTCTCACTCATGCGCCGGACAGCCTCGATGATCTCGCTCTCTTCGTCTGCGATGACTTCCACTCTCTTCAATTGTATCCCGAGCTTGAAGCAATATTCCGCAAAGTGCGGGGAGTTCGTATCAACCGTCTACGGGCCATCAGTCAGCACAGTTGGGTCAATTGAATTGTCAGACCCAGGAGAAATCGAGACAGACCTTACCGCCTAGCACTTCATCGCCTATGATCAGACACGCCGCCGTGCAGATGGTCTTCCTGAAGTTCTCGCGTGCCGTCGCCGATGAGGCTGCGGACGGCGTGGACGATGATGTCATTGGCGATAGGGACGAGGACGGGAACGCTGCGGCAGAGCTGTGGGCGTAGTTGGGCAGAGGACGGCTGAGATGGCGGATCACCTGGCCGATGCGACTATACATGAGCCTGTCGGTTCGATGTTAGCTGTAGAAGGAGATAGATGTTGGTGTTAATAGTGCTGGCGTAGGGATTGAGGAAGAAGAAAAGAAGGGCGATGAGAGAAGAAAGGAAAAAATAACGAGCGACCAAAAGGCAAAAAAAAACGTCACCCCACATCTTACAACAGTTCTGCGAGCTGGCGGTGTTATTATCCGTTCGACACAACGATCAACAGCTGGCGAACGAAAAGACGATAAACAGCCATGGTATGCAGTGACTTTCGATGCTGAGTGTGCCTGCTCGGGCTAGCTAGCTAACATGGCCAGTCGGACACACGCCTGTACTCGTTCTCCCCCGAGACGACAGAGAAGCTGCGCAAGTTCCGTCTGGGAACGTCGAGGGCCAAAGACCCCCAGGCGATGATATGTAATGACACTGTGCCTGTGCTGAGGACTCGTAGGAGGTCCTGGCGAAGAGAGCGTGGCTGATACAGAGACAGACATGATCGATGCAAAGAGCCAGGAGATCCGGCCGGTCGACGGTGAAGTCTACTCGAAGATGGAAGACCTGGCAGACGACCTTCCCGATTCTTCGCCCCGGTTTATCCTGCTCAGCTATCCCCTGACGATAGTAAGCCTGCGCCATAAACTATCTTATTCTGTTACCGCTGGTGGTATTATTATTATTGGTACTACTGTATGCTGACCTGGGCAGGCTGGCCGTCCCGCCGTCCCCTACGTCCTGCTCTACTACCTGCCCGAGAACTGCAATCCGTCACAGAGAATGAGCTACGCCGGTGCGGTGGAGCTGATGAGGAGCGCGGCGGAGGTGAACCGGGTGATAGAGGTCGAGAACGAGACGGACGTCATCGAGATCGAGAAGAAGCTTCAGTCACAATAACTGTCCCTCCCTGCCTAGTCAGGTGAACTGCTGTATATAACCAGGGAAGACGGTCCAAGACGACGCAAATGACAACAGGAAAGGCTCATGTTAAGCGTCAGCCGTGAACGGAAATAACCAGCCCGACCGACCACTAGTTACTGAGGGTACTCAGGTTATCTCGATGCTCTCGGTGGACTGGCCGGCAGATAGACCGACGAGAGAGTGTCGTACAAACACACCTAGCCCTGTCCATGTCCCTGGGAAGAAGCAAAAAGCTGAATCGTTTCATAAAGTCACTCCCCCGTTGGCAAGAGGATTTAGTTAAAAATCGTTCTTGAATTTCATGTTTTATTTTTTTTTATATAATAGTTAACTATACGTATCGTTACCGCCAACCTGCGACAGCCAGGGTGCCTGCAGGGCAAGACGGACGACGATCGATCGATGGGACCGCTCCCTGTCCATGGAGGGCCGAAAGAAGGAAATGGGCCGGGTATCGCATCTTGACTTGATTATTATCAAAAATAGCCCATCCTCTGTGACGGTGGACTGATCGGCATCAATCGCATCAACGCATCTCCTGCTTCGGCCTTGGCTACCTTGCATGCTGCCGGCGAAAATTGAGGATCTGGTCGGCGATGCTGCGGGCCTTCTTTTTTATGTAGTTAGTTCGAGTATCCGTACAGAAGAAGCAAAGAGGACAGGAAGAGCGGAGCCATCTAGTTAGTTAATTACTATCGTCTATGACGTGAGAGTACGGAGTAAGTAAGTGGCAAGCGAGCGTGTGAGGCTTAACTGAGATCTTTTGGTCGTTGAATATCAGTCCTAATTGCCGTTTCAACTGTGTATCTCAGGCCGATTGCTTGAAGAGTCGCGCTTCAGCAATGATTAGTAGGCGAATTATTTTATTTATTTAGACGCGCCAAGGCGGCTGATTAGTTAAGCTAGTTAGTTAATTACGTCATTCACTCGAAGGCGGCTCTTTATATATCGCCCACTCCGTCCAGTCAAAAATACCGACATCACTGCTCTACATCCTTTCTACGTACACGTTTACAGCTTCGAATCCGAAAAGTCGCCATGGAGGAAACCCAGAAAATAGCCCAGACTTACAGCGTGGGCGATATACGGTCCCGGAGGTCCCTCTGGTATCGGTTGCATGTATATGTCTATGACCTTCGTAACTTCAGGACAGACAGCGCTGCAAGGGATCGGCTCGACAGCATAGTAGACATCACATACCTGGGCAAACCGTATTTTAACGAAGAGGAAGCCGAAATCCTTAAAAATACTATCTCTAATAGTAGTGGGAGTAAGGGTGGGACAGAGACACTTGCTCAGAAAATCGAGTCCACGCTGGATGAACGATTGAATCGCCGTATGAAGAAGCGTGTAGAGAGTGGAGACTTCAGGGTGTGCGCCGCCCATGATCTTGCACCTATCTTTGAAGCCTTTTTTGATATACCCCCGAAGAAGCTAGCCAAGCAGCTCGCCTCGTTGATTAGTTTGCGGGGACTAAGACTTCGAGACGAGGATGACATCTCATATATCCTTGGTCAAACTAAACTCCAAGCTCTTGCAGCGAAATACTCAACGGGCAACAAGAAGAAGAAAGGCAGGTAGTCACTCCTTCTATATGCTTCTTAAGTCAAAAAGAGACGGGATCGATATCTCGACCCCCTACTTCAGCCGGTAAATGGAAAGCAAACAGGGCACGCCGCTGTAGACAGTGTTCAAGGGAGTAACTTGGAACCCTCGACTTCTCTGATACTTCAAGCCGAAGCAATACTTTCTTCTATTGAAGCGACCTCTGAATACCTAGATGTGATCTACGCCTGAAGGCAAGGCGGTTTTGGATTTGGGAGGCTTCTCGCATTGAACCATGCTCCCTATTTTAGCGGCGAAACGGTAACGGCGATTCTCAACGGATTCCAAGGCTGGCTTGGAAAATCTCCTTACCAAGAAACAGGAACGCAGCCAGTCGTACGGAATCTGTGCGTCTCACGATCTGTCGCCGCTAGTTGAAATGGCTTTTCGGTATTCGGTGGTTCTTAGTGCCAAAGATAAAATAAGGTCCTCTCTCTGCCGCCAATGGAGGAGCTCCCCCCTTTTGGCCCAACGGTTTGATAAGGTGGACATGAATGCGAAGAAGCCGCCCAAGCAACGACCGAAGAAGTGGTGCTGTACGGATGAGGACACTACGAAGGATACTCTCGACTAGAATCGTTGTTTTGACATAGCATTCGTTGACTATATTCGAATATCTGTATATTATTATTTATGTACGTGGAACTAACAAGCAGTCCACTTGTATAAACAATCCTTCACTTTACCCGAGAGTTTTGAGTATCTAGAAGGTTAGCAACTATGGGTAGCAAGACCCCGTTATTAGGCAGCCATGTCATAGCTCTCCAAAGTATAAACTAAATAACTTCTCTATCCAAAAAAATTCTCTGTGTCAGATCCGGTGAAACTCCCGTCTACTCCGTGCATAAGGAGAGAGTACCAGAGCCATGGTCAGGGGAGAAGACGGGGATGGATGGAGATGTCAGTAGTGTCTATCAAGCTGCATGGGCCCCATACCCGACCCACAGGCAACTGTGCTCCGAAGTAGCGGTCGGCCGGCAACTGAACTCGTGGCGTCCGCTAAGTTCTCTATCCTCACTTTCTGATAACTCTTGTTTTCCTTACAGTTCCTCTCTGTCTGGCTGTTTAGGTGTGTATCAACTTCTTCTTTTTAGCGTCACGGGACTCCACTTTAAGGTTTAGTGGTAAGTTACGGCCGGGAGGTTGCCAAGGCCGGTCCCGGTGGTTTGGGTTTTACATAAGCAGGCAGCAGTGGGTAGCCAGTGAGAGCGAGAGACAGCGAGAAGGGGCCGCAGCAGAGTCAAAACCCGGGAGAAAAGCGAGAGAAGAGTGCCAGCGCATTGTGGAACATGAGACTGGCAGGGGGGGCAAGGAAGGTCGTGCGACGAGCACCAGCAGAGGGGGTATGGTGGGTGCATAAGTGACGGAGTGAGTGACGGTGCTAGTGAGAGGCAAGTGAGCGAGACGAGCGAGCGGGCGGGAGAACTAGGCAGCGCGCCGCCGAGTCGGGACTGAGGGATCCCTGCGCATGCGCCTTTTCTGCTGGCTGCTTTAAGGGTGGGTTTGGCGCGGCGTGGTTGGCCGGCGGGACGGCTGGGCGTGCTGGGGTGGCCGCCGCTGGTCGCTGAGTCATGCTGAGATAAAAGCAGCGGGTGGGTCGCGATACCGACGGGCCTGTAAAGTGGAGACCGGTACGGTAATCGTAATACAGTAACGGGACGACCAGCCAGTTGGGTTCGAGAGAAAAGATAAAAGTAGATAAAGTGAGATTTTGCAGGCGACGGGAAGAAGACGGCGAGGACGATGGAGGAGACAAGACAGAGCAAGCAAAGGGTGGAATGGGAGACGAGATGGGAGAGAAAGTAAACAGAGCGCGAGGAAGAAGCGAGAGCCGAGTGAGAGCGAGCGAAATGAGCGCTGGACAGAGACTCCATCGTGATATGGCAGCAGCAGCAGCAGGTGCCAAGGGTGCCAGAAGCGAGAGGCGAAACGGTGGAACCGCCCAAGCTAGCGGGCGATGGGACGGAGGAGGAGGAAGACGCAGATGCAGCCAGCAGCAGCAGCAGCCAGAAAGCCAGAGAGCCAGAGAGCACGCAGGGAGTCGAAAGCGTTGATGCTTTTCTTCTTCTGCTGCTGCTTCTGCTTCTTCTTGCATCTCCCTCTCTCCCTGCTCGGTGCAGACTCTCACTCTCTGGCCGGTCTCTCGCAGCAAGGCTCTCTCGCAGTCTCTCGGGTTAAGTCTTGCCCTGCAGTGAGCGACTTTGGCCCTGTTTATTCACGCATCGCTCGAGAACCAGCGAAAAAAAAAAAAGCCGCCCGTACAAAGAGGCTCTTTTCTTCACTCTCCGACACTCCAACCGCCGTCCATCGCCATCACCATCACCACCTCCAGCAGCGAAAAAGGAGAAGCCGCAGCAGCAGAGGACGAAGAGAAGGAGAAAAAGAAAAGCACTCCCTGGCCGTCCTTGTCTTTCTTCACCCCGTACGCTCCCATTCCCAACTCCACGGTTTCGGGGCCTTCCATCGCTCAGCTCGCCCGGCGTTGGAACCACGCTCGATAGCCTCATTGGCTGTGCTCGCTTTTCCTCTGCGCAGTTCTGGGGGGTTGCGTTGGCCGCTGGTGTCTCTCTCTCTCTTATAAAACACCCTTGCTCTCGTCTATCTCGACCATACTCCGTCCTCCTCCTGATTCATTCACCCTGGCTGCTGCTCGCTGACCAACGCACCAGCCGTTGTTACTGCTCTCGTCGGCGGCCATGGCAGACTCCAGGGACCCAGGGAAGCCCGGCGGCGACAAGGAGAAGGAGGATACCCTCTCCAAGTACATCCAGCGCATGAAGACCGTCCTCAAGGGGCCTCGCAGAGCTGTAGACATGGACAGGAGGTCAGTCTCCCTCCTTCTTCTTTCTTATCTATCTGTCTACGTACTTGGTGATACTAATATATATACTGGCTGCAGACCACAGCTGGCTGCTCGTCCTAGAGCCGCTGCTCCCGCAGACGCAGACCTCACCACAGACCCAGCAACAGCATCTCCGGCTCCAGGTCAAGGTCAGGGTCAAGCTCAACCACCGCCAGCTCCTCGTCAGTGGACCTCGATGCAGGAGGAGCGCGCCCGCGCCCTCTTCGCTAAGTATGGCCTCACCCTCGAACCAGGCGAATGGATCACCGGCCCTGCTACTGGCCTCACTTCCTCTCCGGCCGGGCCTACCTCTCACCCTACGACCAACGGCCTCACCAACAACATCTCTGCCGGCAACAGCCTGAACCAGGTCGAACGAGTCGAGAAGCCCATTCGTATGCGTGTTCGTCGCAACTGTCACCGCTGTCTGGCTACATTTGGCGCTGACAAGGTCTGCGTCAAGTGTGAACATACCCGATGCAAGAAGTGCTTCCGCTACCCACCTTCAAAGTCAGAGACAGCTTCATCCGAGCCCAAGAGGGAGCGGACCCAGAAGAAGATCGTTAACGTTGCCAGCAGTAACACCGTTGCGGGTGCCGGTACTACAAACACAGCTGCAACAACCGCTGCCACCACCGCCAACAACAACAACAACAACACTATAACACCAACACCAACTGCGACAACGGGCGCTGCTACTGCCCCTGCTGCTGCCGGTGGTGGTACTGCGAGTGCAGGTGGCACTCGCGACCGTGCAAGGGAGGAGGGACGAAAAACTTGCCCTGAGAAGATTATCTTGACCATTCCCAGCCGGACGGGCGGACAGGACCTTGTGCGCAAGCCTGTTCGCCAGCGTGTGCGGCGAACCTGCCATGTCTGCAATACGTTATTCGAAGGAGCTGCCACCGAGTGTCTGAAATGCCACCATCTCCGGTGCAAGAAATGCCCCAGAGACCCGTATGTCTTTGCCTCTCTTACGGCCTGGCCACCGCTTAGTCTTGCAAACGCTAACAACCTCTTCTAGGGCGAAGATGGACAAGTATCCCGATGGATATCCAGGCGATGCCGAGCCGCCATTCGAGCCACAGGAACGCGTCTGGAGGAAGCCCCGTCGGCGCGTTCGATGGACATGCCATGAGTGCTCTTCCATGTTCACGGGAGGAGAGAAGATATGTCTCCAGTGCCACCACGAGCGGTGCGGCGACTGCATTCGAGATCCGTACGTCTTCTCTTGATTCCTCTTTTTTTAATTTTTTTACCTTTTACTTTTTCACTTTGAGAGCTTCTTTCTAACGATGAAACAGGCCTAAGAAGATCAAGCCAGAACCTGATCCGGAGATTCTTCGGCGGGTCGAGGAGAAGCTGGCGCTCATAGACGTCTCTTCCTAGATCGACTATATCAAAAAAATAAAAAATAAATAAAGCTCTCTTCGCCATCACATACAATGAACGACCTGTTGTGCCATCTCTTGCTTTCCTTACCTCTCTGCTTCTGCTTCTACCCTGACGTTGACCTGCCTAGCTAGCTGCTATATTCGATTTACTACATGACGGTTTTACGACTTTGATGCTTGCCCCTTTTTTTTACCATTATCATTACCTTTTGACTTCTCTTCACTTGCCTCCTTTTTAGTCGCCTTGCATTCCGCCCGACTGGCCTTTGCTTCACACATCCTTAACGATCCCGCAAAAGATTGATAAGCATCCTGTTGTTCCGTGTATTGATGTATACCCTCGCTCATCCTTGATACTAACCACTTACTACTACTACTTCAACTTTACTACTACCTGCTACTTTTACAGCAATACACAGAAAAACAGACAGACTAGACAAGCAACTAAAAAACAAGGAACAGAATTTAATCTCCGTCTATTGCTTCTGCATTTAATATATGCACATCATCTATCTATCGTACGTTTTGCCTCGCTGTAGACTAAATAATAACCACCCCTTTTCCCCTCGCCGATTATAGCAAGTCCATGCCAACGCTCCTTGACTATACCTTCACCCCTGCTTATACTCAGCCCCCCCCCTCAAGTATTAGTACTATGCAACGCATCTGCGTCTGCATGTTCACTCGCCCATCCTCTCAGAGTCTGTTCCAGTATGATGGCCAGAAACAGCCAGAAGCATGTACTTGACTTGGCCGGACCCATGTATATAGTGTGTGCTTTCCCCACAGCCAACCCAGCGACGATAATTCGGCCAGTCATCAACCGCCGCTATGGAGAAAAGCGGCAGGGGGAGGACATGCAGTCGGTAGTTGTTGCGGGAGCAGCGAGAAAGAGAGAATAAGTATAATAATTATTACACCATCCATCCAATCGACCCCCCTGGGCTCGTCCGTCGATGGGCTCCGCTGGCCTTTGCTCCCGCATTGGCGCTTTCTGGTTGGCCATGGGGATAAAAAGTAAGGGATTTGATCCCCCTGACGTTCGTTCCATGCCCAAGGACATCGCCAAACAGAACTGGTTACTTACTTCTCTTCTTGATCTGGTAGGCTGGCGATTCTGGTCCTGATTTTCGTCGGGCGGTAAAAGGGCCCTGTTAGTTACGGCCTGGTTGGCTGGTTCAGTTTAAGCTTCTTCAGGATTTAAGGGTATTTTGCGATCACTCATCCTCCTTGCCTCCCATCTCATCTCGTCTCGATCAGCCGCCGGGCACAGAGAGTGGGGAGGGAGGGAGATGGGGGAGGGGGATACGTAATTAGATCTCTTGGTCCCAGCCAGCGTAGTATCACGGTGGTACTCTATCAAGTTCGGCCGGACCAGGGCCGTCAGTAGTAACACGTGTAGCACTTTCACCAAGACAGAGCGGAGGGATTGATAACTGCCTCCCCACGCGCCTGGATGCAAGCAGCCCATAATGCATCGGTGCTAATATATGTCAAGTATGCCTCATATCCTGCATCAACAGCTAGTTAGTGAGGAAGTTATGAGTTGTGTCCACCTAAAACTCGGGCCTGGCTCCTTCTCTCAGGCAGCTGGCCGACTTGAGAACTCATCCATAATCCACATTGTTCGATGAAACCGAACGATGCATAAAATTAAACGCACCCGGGCTTCGTATCGTCATGCAGAAGAAGACAGGCAGAAACGAAATGGAAGAACAAACTCAGTTCGGTCCCGACTCTGCACCCCCTGTCTTCCGAACATTATTCTGATATAGACCAGGATAGAGCCCTTTATCTCCTGGTTGGGAACGCATCCACCAAGAACGACTACCCCATCCCTGTGTCAATGGCCTCTTCTGGGCTGTTGCTCCGTCACCTTACTTACCGTCCGTGGCACCTCAAGGCAAGACCAGGCGGGATCCGTTACCCCGTTTCGTCCACGCTGCATCTGCGTTCCAGCTCCAGTCCCAAAGTGACGGAACGGGGAGAGAATCTTCTCCCGAGGCATTCCAATTCCCCCATTTTATTTCTTTCGTCAGTGAACCCTTATCGTCGAACCCCATGCTCTTTTTTTTTTTTTTTCTCCTCTTCATGACTTCATTCCATGGTCATGGGAATCCATTGCCTTTCGCCCTTCGCCTCTTGCCTGCATCATACTGTGAATGGCAAATGCAACACCAAAAATCTCGTTGGACCACGAGCTTTTTTATCTTTTCGTTCCTTCTTATCGGTCGAGAAAGAAAGTCTTGTTTACTCCGTACTCTCTTCATTCCCGCCTGACATGACTCGGGTCAGATGGCGTAGAGTTAAACGATTTGCTGAACCCTTGATAGCAAGTAGTGATATCTGCCTTTGATATAGGCAGGTAAGCTGGAAGGCAGATAGAAAAATATATGCGCCGCGCTATGTATAGCTTCGTTTCTGGTGGAGGTTAGTTTGGATACTGAGTTACTAGCCAGAGATTGAACGAACTGCCTGCTCTTGTCAGGCCTCACCTTCACGACCTGGTGGAACCGTGGCGTATATAGGTAAATATATGTACCTCCCCAGAGATGCCTGCTGTGCGGCCCACGGAACGCGATACCGCTGGTTACCTCAGTGTCGGGGAGGGCTTCTGGGGGCTTTTTCTTTTCTTATATTTGGCTTTCCTTCCTTTTTCCCTCTGTTTTCCTTCTTGTTTGCTTCCTTCGCCTCTTACTTTCGTGCTCTGCTGTGCAGTGTGCTTTTGCTTTTGGTGCCCAAAAAGAAGCGAAAAAAACAAAAAGTCGATGTTTATTTACTTTTTTTCTTTCTTTCTTTTTGACTTTGGTTTGGTAATTACGGTAATTGTAACGGTAACTGTATCAGTAGCCGTTTCAGGTACCGGTACGGTACTATAATCACGTGGTAAAGTCTAATTGGAAGGAGAACCAGAAAAGACGCAAGAGCTTAATTAAACCCGATATAAGTATTTCATGCAGGAAGATTAGCTATATTACTACTGAGATTATTTAGCAAAAATACCAATGGAAACCCTCTAGAGGGTGTATTTAAATCCTTCCAGTCCCTCGATGGGCCTCCTTGCTCTCCCCTCTTCGACCTCGTTGTTTCTCTTCCAGAAGATGAGTGTCGTGCATGCCACAGCCACCAAGATGAACAGCTGGAAGGCGGTCGTCACCCAGAGACCAGGTACGTATCTAGGCGCGTCTTGCTGTCTGAACACTGTCGAAGCAATGATACCCCCGAGGGCGCCGAATCCAATCTGCAAGGCACTGCCCACAGCTCGTTTGGACTGGAACCGGATATTGTTTGACTGGTAAGCGAGGATGGCTGGGATATTTCCTTGGCAGCCAGCTGCTCCAAGGAAGAAGCCGAAGTAACGAACGTTGTTGTTTGGGTGATATGCTGTTATCATCAGACCCATGATACAAATGATGGCTTGGACGGCGATGATGGGTGCTCGCATGCGGTACTTGTCGGCCACCCAGGACAGTGCCATCGCTACAACGCAGGCAAATATCGTCGGAGGCGCTGTGAGAAGGCTAGTTATGGCTGGAGAATACCCCATAGCCTTGCCACCCCACACAAGTTAGCATGTGCGAAACAAAGTGTTGGAGAGTATATGATCTTACTTACCCGGATGATAATAGGGGCAAAATATGTCAAAGCATATCTTGTTACCCAGATTAGTCTCCATTTTCAATGTTGTTGAATTCCTTCCCTGTGTATGGGGCACTTACGCTGGAACTGTGGTTGCCAGGAACATCGTCGAACTATACACATATTCATCAGCCTCTGCGTCAACCTCCAAGGAAAAAAGAAAAATCAACCGCGGGATGAATTACAATGTCCACAGCTTCCAGTCTGCCAAATGGATCCTCAGCTTAACAAGAGTGAGCGGATCAGGGACCGAGTCAGCTCTGTCTTTCTCCAGTCGGTGTGAGATGTATTTCGCCTCGTTTGATGAAAGGAATCCTGTCTTTGAGGCCTTGTCGGGAAAATCTATGATAATGAAATAAGCTGCTATCGCGATGGCCTGAGTCATGGCTCCTTCAACGATCTATGTTCCATGATTAATCTTGATGTGCTCTTAGCCGCATGGTGAGACCTGGGGAACCTACAAAGATCCACCTCCATCCATGGAAGCCTGCAACACCCTCCATTTGAATGAGCCCAAAGGACAGGATACTTGAAAAGCCGCTAGCGAGGACCGAGATAAGGTAGAAAATGGCCAGCCTTTCATTCCCAAGGGTCAGTAGCGCCACTGATATCCTGTAAAGGAGAAGAATGTGCATACCTGGTCTGGACTTCATATCTCACATACCAACATGAGACAAGATAAACACATCCTGGGAATAATCCTGCTCTCCATGTTAGTCAACAGGACATACCACCTACATACTTGTTGAGCTTACCGGCCTCAAAAAAGCCAAGGAAGAATCGACACGCAACCAAAGCTGGATAGTCGTGAACGAAGCCCTAGCAGGAACGTTATCAATCTTCACGCCCATTTTCATATCTAGACCTAGAAGCGCCTACCGATGCCAGCATAATCGACCCCCAGGCAAGTGAAATACCGGCCAGCCATGTGGCGCTGCCAACTTTTCGCAAAAGCAGATTTGACGGGAGCTATATTCACATCGTCAGTGAAAGCCTTCAGTTAAAGTGCAGGGTGGTTATTGGCGTACCTCAAAGATGAAATACGGAATGAAAAACACTAGCAGAACGACGGAGTACCGTGAATCAATATACAGTTTCAACTCTTTGTCCAACCCCGCTATACGGGCGCTCGAAATCTAGTGAATTGTGTGAGCTTTGCTTCCTGGATTCACATTTGGACAAGAGGGAGGGTCGTACATTGGTTCTGTCAATGAGGGAGATGGCATACAGCGCACCAATGATAGGCAGCAATCGCCAATCTATCCGTCGAATAAGCTGCCTTTCTCGATGTTCACAATCTTCAAGGAACTCGATAGCATCATCGTCCACCACAAGCTCGCCCTCCGGCCTATGCTGCAAAACTCCCGGTTTTATATCCATAGTGCCTGAAAATGAAAGAAAAATTGAAAACGAATGTGGTACTGTCGAGGGCAACCAGTCACTCCTCAAAGACAGTTGGCGGGAGGGAGGGAGTTGAGAGATTTTAAACCGGTTGAGCTACAGCAACTGACCCGGCGTTCAATTGCCTGCGTTCAAGGTGCATTCCTTAACCCTGCAATTTTGTGCATGGACTCCGGGAAATCCCTCTGCTTGTGATCCACCTCCCTGCAAACGTGCTATAGGGGGCAGTGGATGGCAGCTTGCGCTCCCCTACGAATCCCCACTTCTTTGCATAACTACATATATATTCTATATATACGAAAATGCTGCCAGCGCTATCTGAATATAGAGCTACCATAAGCATTGCTGTAGCGTTTTCCGAACAAGTCTGATACTCGGGTGAGTCCTCCAAAAGCAGCCCAGATTGGGCATGATTCTTCACACGCCATTCCAATTAAGGTCATGATTGTCCGTTCTTCATATGATTTGACGCATGGATAAGACCGGGGTTACGGATCGCCGTGACTCTGGACCGTCTTGCTTCCTGGAGAGACGGGGGAAATCCCATGCATGGCGGTACTTGGCGCGGATATTGCTGCCTTTGTTTTCGCCCAGCCAGGGCTGTACGCCGGTCCTAAAGAACATTGCTACTATCTATTATCTACTATCTAGCACTCCATTGAGAGACGGCTAGGCCGTAAGTCAATTGCTGGGATAAACAGACAGAGTGCCCGTACATAACTACCGTCCAGCGCTGCCCCTCTCCATGGAGAATCTGTGTTACAGTAGATCACTTTTGCATTCCATACTCCCGACGAGCTTCCTGACTCCATTTGTTATCTGACACTACTATGTGTTGATTTCGATATCGAACAAAGACGGCACTTAGGCGTTGGGCTCTTCGAACCGTAGTCTTTTCAGCTACGTGGGCCGTAAGTTTTAACCTCCCCTTGACAGACAGCTCTCCCGTTGAAGCGGTGACTGGCATCGGGCGTTTTAGCCGCTGTCCTTGACATCCGATACACGATAAACAGTTTTCCATTCCTTGAATCCCCATTCGACCAGATGGTGTGCAGAAGACTGGCTGTTTACATGCGGCTATTGTGGAATCCGGTCCTTAATAGAACGAACGTGCCACGTTTGTAGTGGGTATCGGAAATCGGGAACCAAATGTGAAACGCCCGATTGGAGACTTTGAGAATAAGCTGGACCAGAGGAGACAGTTTGATTCTTACCTAGGTACTTATCTCTATATGCACTCCGAAGATATCGATCAGTCAACAGTTTCACGCACCGACGGGTATGCAGAATGCTCCAACCTCCCGCAACTTCAGCTACAAATAAGGTTGCTACTCCCTTCTGCCGTCAAGAATCGCATGGTTTGCTTAGCCTCAACATAATTCTGGACCATTTCTCTGATAACTTCGTGTTCCCCGGTAGTAGCGTAAGTCAAAACCGTAGCCCCGTTTGCATCCTGTATGTCAACGTCGATGTCGGCTCTCCTCAGTAAGCAATCAACGTTACGTCTCTGCCCGGCTTCCACCGCGAGCATGAGAGCCGTCCGGCCTCGACTGTCTCTTATATTGACGTCGGTGTCTTCCCGTGCCAGTAGAACTTCCGCGGCATTGTCAGAGGTTGTATAGCCCATGTCGTCACGCGCTGCGAACATAAGAGCCGTTCGACCACGGTGGTCTTGTATATTGATGTCAGCATCTGGCCGGTTAAGCAAGACGTAGACGAGGTCACCAAATCCCGTTCGTGCGGCGTGCATGAGAGCTGTGCCATCATGGACTTGGAAGTTCATATCAAGCTCTTTTCGTTCCATTAGCAAGGAAGCTATGCGGTTAAACCCGCGAAACGATGCAATAATCAAAGCGGTGTCCCCAGCATTGTCTGCGGCATTGACATTGAGATCATCTCGCTCCAGAAGTAATTTGACTACTTCGAAATGTCCGAATTCCACTGCCTGCATGAGCATTGTCCTGCCGGTTTCAGTCGTGCAGTTGATATCAATCTCCTTGCGGTCAAGTAGGAGCCTCAAACGAGATGCATCGGGATGGTATATTGCACGAAATGCAGGCCGGTGGCCGGGGAAGCTGGCGTCAAGGTCTTCCCTAGCAAGAAGAGCCCTGGCTATGCTGCTGTTGTCCTTTCCTATCGCAATCACAAGCGCAGTGTCTCCCTTCTCGCTCCGTACGTTGAAATCTATATCTTCTCTCTGCAGGAGAAGGTCGACTATACCGGTATACCCCTTATGCACGGCAACCATCAACGCTGTGAAGCCTTGGTTATCTACGGCGTTAACATCGAGCTGCTTGCACCCTAGGAACAGCTTGACCATGTCTTCGTACCCCAGATTGACGGCAAGGCTGAACGCAGTGGCCCTCTCTCCGTCCGGCACATTCGGATCAATGGAGCTTGTAACAATTATGCTTGCAATCTGGATGTCTCGCTCTGACACAACAAGGTGTAGCAGAGAAGAGCCATCACGGTCCCGGCGGTTGATTTGCTTCTTCGTCAGGAGATGAGCTATCGAAGGAATCGCACGTATATAGCTGAGAAGGTCCTTCGGGCCAAGATGGTCGGCGATGATATACATGATGTCATCATGGAGATACGTTCTCTTCTCTGAACTCCGACTCCTCCCCGCCGGTCTCAGGGGAAGTCTGCATTGTCTCTGGTGACCTGTCGAGTCAAGTATGGAAGCCATTTGATGGAGTGTTACGGAAAACTCCGTATGCTGCTATGCGATCCACGGGAAGCCGTGAGCGGTTAGGGACAGGATGAAGCTGTATAGCCTGCTGACAGCTCGACTTTTTGAGGCAGGAGAAATAGTTAGTTAGGGGGCCTGGCCTCTCTTGCCTGTCACTTTCATCCCTGATGCAGTCATTACACAGGTATTGGCAGCAGCTAGTCAGACAAGCAACTCGCCAGTCTGGTTTATCATCGAATCACCCCTTTTGGTCTGACTCTTGCAGCTGGCGATGTCTGCCGTTAGTTATTTGAACAGCCAGAGAGCAAGCCAACTCCACGTGATGAGAGGCCGCATGAGACGATGCGAGACGCTGCAATATAAGAAGGACATCTTTCTAAGCGAAGCAGAGGCATGGAGGGGATGGTTAAGTTCTACAGCCTACTCGGTTCGTCGCTGGTTAGTTTATTGGTTAGTTACGTGGGTGATACAGAGACAGCCGGAGGTGAGACGGGGGAGTATTCGAGCCAAAGGAGCCGGCATTGGCACCTCAGGAACAGATTTCGCTGCTGCTCGAGGCCTTCTGTTTAACCATATTTTGATGATATTTTGAATCAGTCTTTTTGTTCAATAATTGATAGCCAGATGTAGCTCATAACTAGTTAGTTGGTGCAACTTTTGGATTTCTGGGCTGGACTTGAACATGGCATTTGCAGTATAACATTTTGATGCAATATTGGTTCAATATTCGCATGTATTTGCCGGTCTTGGAACTCCCGACAGGATCGCAAGTGTTCTTAGATGTCGAGTGGCTGCTGGGGCTCTACAGCTGGTTCCTGGTACGTTCAGCCGCTGCAGTTTGGTTCCGTCGGTCCGTTTCCACAGTTACCTTGCGAACTTGGTTGGACAGAGCCGTTCGAACCAGTTTCCCAGGACAGCCGTATATATAGACGAGTCCACTAGAGCCCGCTTCTTCACCTTGTCGATATTTGGCTTCTTTTGCACTGTGGCTCGTTGATGCTCTGATGAGCCACTTCGAAGCCTCTTTCGCTGGCTGTCTTGGTCACAAATATTCTAGAGAATCGATCGAAAGGATTGACTGCATTGGAATGGAACATCGTTGACATTCAAAGGCGGGAGTGGCTGCTCGATCATCCTGTGCCTGTGTTTCATTAGGGGGGAATAACGACCAAGATATGAGGACGGTCTTCTGTTGGATAACAAACTATCGGGCGAGAGGTTTCTCTGCGAAATCAAGGTCGTTTTCCCTTTGGATAGCAGGAATTTTGCCTGCGTATAAAATTAAGACTGGCAGGCATGGCTCGTATAGTTATACAGCAGCGAGCCAACCGATATTCCCCCAAAAAAGTGACAAGGAGCGTTACGTGCCACAGTGGATGGGCTGCGGTGAGACCCTGACAGATGGACGGCCTGGCTTAAAGGTGCTACCAGTGGTACGTTTGAGGAATCAAACTCGCATATAACTAAGGCAGGTTGAGGTTTCATGGTCCTCGGGATGTCAAAGTGTCCAATCGATACTCCATGCTGTGGCACATCGGCCAATACGGGGTCTGCCGTGACGATGAATAAGGGGCTCAGACATGAATCTCCGACCCCGGCTGCCGTCGTTTCGTAAAGGAGGCAGCCCGATTTCCTGGGGTTCTTTTTTGGCTTGATGGGTACGGCTAACCGAGACGCCGCCAGCCATGTATGTATGTAAGTATGTGCTTGTCCAAGTCACAGTGCATGAGGCATGAGAAGGGAAGCCAGCACAGCCATCTGCCAGCGAGCCAGCCCCGTCAGCCCATCGCTGGATCCTCCACAATGACAAGAACCATGGAGCCCCCATGTGGTGTTCGAGAAATATCAAGGTTCACAGGCTCTTGCAAGGCCTGAAACCGGGCGCTAAATTTTCTGCTTGACCTCGTTCCAATTAATCCAGGCCGTGGTTCGTTTGTCAGCCTGGAAATGATTCCAACGCCTGCTTTAGCCTCCTGCTGGCTCCTTTGAGACCCCGTTGGTTCAGAGGCAGGCCGGATGCCTGTTGGTGATTCGGCTGTCCGCAGAGCTTACGCATGCTCTCTCTATTTGACTTTGGCTATCCATCTTCTCCTCGCTTGCTGGTCTATCAAATGCGCAGTTAAGGTTGGCTGAAGAACTGCATGGAGTGCCTTGACTGTCCCTCGTACCCCAGACTTTACTTTCGTTAAGCACTGGTGCTGGGACAGCAGCGCCAGCAGGCCCCTTACGTTGTCGATCCCCAGGCCCTGTAAAACCAAGCGTCGATCTGGGATAGCCAGCCCCCCTCTCTGCAAGGGAGAGGCAGTCAGGCAGCGCCTGTAACATGTCTGCTGAGTCGAGGAGCTTGTAACTGGGAAGATGCAGCGCTCGTCAGTTCGAAATGTCTGCGAAACCATCCAGGGGGGAGAGCTTGATATTGGATGACATATCCTCCGGCTAGAGCATATCAAAGGTAAAGATGGGACAGGAGCCAATGCAGCAAGGATGGCCCATGTCTGCTCTTGATTGCGCCCTTCCTAACCGCCCTGTACCGATCCAGACGGGCTGTTTTGCGAGATGCTGTCCCTGTCCGATGCGTGAGATCACTGGTCGATAACGAATAATGGAAGAGGAGGCTTGCTTGCTTGTTTGTCCACAATATCCACACCCGATGCTGGTCTGTCTGGGGACATCCCATAGGCTTCTCTCCAGCTCCTCTGCCCGCAGCTCTCGCCTTCTTTCTTCCCATTTGCCCGTTTTTCTATCTAGCGAGCTAGGGGCCAGCCGGTGAACTTTGACCCCGGCTTAGTATTATTGGGCCCTGGAGAGGAAAATACGTATACTCCGTACACGGCGTTAGAAAAGAAAAGAAAACTTGCGGCAGCATGGGTTTCACAGTCACTTTCTTGTATTTGGGGAAGTGAATAGGCATATTCCACTACATAATAGAAAAGGAACTAATATAGGGGGCCAGCTGTGGAAGGCAGAAGGAAAAAAAAGTAAATTAAGGTCGTGGCTCTTCTATATAAAGAGAAGCTCCCTCGGCCGCGGCGACTGTTCCTCCAAAGACATCTTAGCTACCTAGCATTTGCAGCTATACACTTACCTGCACGCCTCTCAAAGCACTTCACGGTCCCGGATTCCGTACAGATATCATCACAATGGTTGCTACCAAGTCTGTCCTGAGCGCTGTCGCTCTCGCCGGCGTTGCTGCCGCCGAAACTATCGACGTCATGGTCGGCCAGGGCGGCCTCAAGTTCGTCCCAGACAACATCAAGGCCAAGGCTGGAGATGAGGTCGTCTTCCACTTCGTCATGGGCCACCACGACGTTACCTTGGGCAGATACGACAGCCCATGCATGCCAATTCAGGGAGAGAGCATCTGGTCCGGTGTTGTCGACACCGTCGAGAAGGGCAAGGGCGTCACCTTCACCGTCCCAATCCACGATGACAAGACCAAATGGATCTACTGCTCCGTTGCTAAGCACTGCCAGAACGGAATGAGTCTCGTCATCAACGAGCCGTAAGTTTCACCTTCATCATATAAATTGAAAGGCATGGAAATAATGGGTATCCGGCTAATATGTTGCAATATCAGGTCCTCTGGAGACAACCAGGCCGACTACAAGGACCGAGCCAAGATCGTTCCCCAGAGCGGTTCGCCAACCCAGGTCAAGGGAGGCACCCTCGGTGGCTCTGGTGGCTCTGGTGGCTCTTCTTCTTCTTCTGCCTCTTCCTCTGGCTCCTCCTCCGGCACTACCTCCGCTCCAACTCCCACTGGCGGCCACTCCAGCTCCCACCCCAGCTCTACCTCCGGCTCTGACTCCAGCAACACCCAGAGTACCCCAGATGCCACCCTCATTCCCAGCGGAAGCATCCCCAGCGCCACCGGCTCTGGCAGCCATAGCAGCACCCCAACTGCCTCCCCCGGTGCTGCTGCCGGCCTCAAGGGCAGTGCTGTTCTCGCTGGCGTGGTTGCTCTCGGTGCCTGGATTGGCCTCTTGTAAACTGAATATGGTGATAAAACGATGATTCCCCTTCTTGTATATTGACCTTGCTGTTTGTTATGATGTTGCTTTTCCTGTCTTCGTTCCGATATCCTGCTTTAACCCGTTGTCCTTGATGGCCAAAGAATAAAAAGGAATTAATTAGAGTGCAATGAAATCTTAAACTCTGTGCATCAACCCGGCTCTTGGAGTAACATAAGAAACCATCTCGTGTCTTCCATCCGGATATTGGTTCAAGGTAAACAGATCTGCTTTATTCGTGGATAATCGAATCATACGAGCAGAGGGATAATCTGGGTATGTACCGTTGATCTCAACTTTAGATAAGGAGAAGCCACCATATTGAGCCGAGAGTCCTCAAATTGTGTTTAGGCATGATTTACCAACCGCCTCGTCTACTCATAGTTCTCGCTTTCAGGCTTTACGGACAAACCATGATGCCCGTCCATTGTCTTTGCCGTGTTGGAGGTTCCACGAAGCACCCTGACTCTTTGGAAATGCAACTTTATAGATTCCACGCCTTAACAAAGGGTGTCTCTAGGCTTTCAGCCCTTGTAGTGTTGGAATTCTCATTATCCCCCAAATATTGGCTGTGTTGTCTGTCTTCTGAGCGGGGATGTTTGGAGTTGAAGTTGTGTTTTAGTTGTTTTTTACTTTTCGAGCGGTGGAACCTTGATCTTCAGACATCGTTTTTCCGCTCCTCGCTCAATCAACAGCCCTGTACAAATTTCACAGTAATTATATTATTTCCAAACGAACGCTCTCGTTCCCCAAAAGAGAACAATTTCGTCTTTCCTATACTTAGGGATTTCTTGCTCCTAAGTGATTAAAAATTGTCAGCGATCTGAACAGCTTTTGCCACTGTTGGTTACCAACTGGCGCCAGAAATCAACGCCGTGGTCAAAAAAAATACCCAAAAGCCGTATGAAGACAAGTACCAGCTACCGGAAATAATAAACGACGCGAGAAAGGCACTCAGGGAAAATACTCTACAAGCCAGGGACCATGGCTCAAGTACATATGGCACACCAGCTCCTGGAACGAGCCCATCCACCGGAGACCGCAGAGCAGCTTTTCGCGGACAAGGTCAAACATCGGCCTCTCTTCTTGCGCCCAACGTCTCCTACTCCATCCGATAATCGATCACGGCGCCGGATGCAGCGTATACGGAAGAAGGAATATTTTTTACGCAAGCAAAAGCCAAAACCTCTTTCCGCGCGTGAGAAGAGAGACCTAGAAGTCCACAAATTACCCAAAGAAGAAATGAAATATGAGATATTCAAGGGCTTGAATCAGCTGTGGACTGAGTATATGTGGCAAGTCCTAGATCTGGTTCCGCGGTCAACTTCAGATTCAACAGGAAAAACGCCAACTCCGGCCATGGAGAAAAGCAATCGAATAAGCGCTGCGAGCCACGGAAGCAAACTGGCAAGTGCTGATTTCCATGGCGCAGACATCCAAGTGGTGCGTAGCCGGTGCGTGAGCCGCGTTGGCCTGAGGGGGATTGTTGTCAGAGATACGAAATTTGCGTTTGTACTGATTACGGAGAAAAATGAAGTGAAGAGTATAGTCCCTCTATCCTTCTGCCCGCCCATTGTATGCTGAAGGTGGAATTTAGCTAACTTGGTTTTACCGCGATTTAGCTATTCCAAAGGAACATACAATATTCAGATTTGAGATACCTCCCCCCTCTGATCCTAATACAGAGGCTCGGACGGGCTTTGAGGCGAAAAATTTTGTTTTCGAGATACATGGGAACCAATTTGAAAACCGTGCTCCGGAACGAGCCAACAAGAAGTTTAAATGGAAGAACCTGGACTATCTGTGAAATTATCGAGATGCCACCTATGACGATACCTTGAGACAGATGGCTTATATTCGAAGCCTAGCTAGCTTGCATAGCGGGCAGCAGAATCTCATCAGGCGTTGGAGGCCGTATCTGAATGCAGCTTCGGCCACTAGGCCATTGCAAAGAACCTCTTGCGGCCTTGCCTCTATCAATATATTCACGCCTATGATAATACTGAAATGGGAAACGCTAAAGAATAGAAGAGCTACGGAGACGACCTGAGGGAATGGGACATGCAGCACTTTAAGCTACAGATATTTCATGATTGATTTCCATTTCTGTATATGGTTATATGTTTCTGCCTGTTGGTATGTATAGTAGGCCAGAGGGGCTAGTCTGACGTGACATGAGCACAGTGACTCTCTCTTGGATTTGAGTCTTGCTTTGATCATGTGCCATAGAAAAAGCTGGGTAATCAGTATTGAAACATTGAAGATACAACTCCCAATACGACTGGAATATTATGCAAACTGAATAACGCTTCCGACGAACCAATACCCTGACATCGTTGGGGTAATGGTAAATGGTCACTGCGGACTGCCGCAATCGAGTCAAACGCTGGTATATGGAATGGGAACAGACAAATGAAGAGGTTATCATCACATTCCGGCCCATTCAAGACTGAACGTCCTAATTACTTGTTCAGAGCCCTCATCATCGGACTTTTCAGTACCACCGATAAGGTAGCCCTTTTTGACACCAGTTCCCAGTCGTCCGCCGGCAACAAGGTCCATAAGATCGAACTCTTCTTCCCATTTGGTGGAGACCACCAGAAAGTGAGAGTGGAAGCGTAATGGGTCACCAGGATAAGCCATATACTGGCAGCCAAAACGCAATCCAGGGGAGAGAAAGTATCCCTTTGAGTGCAAGTGAGCAAAGAGTGGGTAGGACGAAGGAGCTTCTGGGAGATATGCGGGAGCTCGGGGTGCCGCTCTAGGTAACAGTCCATTGGATGTAGCGGGGGTGACTTCTAATATCTGTTCTCCGCAGTCCCTAGAAGCAGTATCCCCTGCCACGGCTGGCTTCTTGGGCGGTGCGAATAGAAGCTCGTCATTACCATCGCCATCATCAATTTCAGTCTCTGGTTCGACGTGTGATGGCGTGTCTCCTTCTACTACCTCTGGCTTTTCACCTCCGGCTTTTCTTTTGGATTTCTTTACCTCTTTATCTTTCTGCCTTTTCAACGCTATTTCTCGCCTTTCTGCTTTTTTATCAGCTAGAATAAGGGTGGCCTGGAGTCCTTTTTGTTTTAGTTCATTGAGATAGCGTCGTTTATCTTCCTCCTGTAGGCTTGTGATACCCTGGGTATGAGCCTGTGTGTCGTCCACAACATATGCCACATCCTTTTCTACCAATAGCCTAGCCTCCTCAGGCATTAACTCCAGTGGCAGCCCTAGGAAAACATTTTGTTGCGGAACTTGAGGTAGAGTTCCTACTAGTACGCCACAAATGTGATGTTCACGACGTAGATATGTTACTGCGTCGATGGAGAAGAGAAAATAGCGGCCTGATATCAAGGAGATGGGGATTGGTAGCTCTGGTTCTTCCCCTGCAGCCACACCAGGCTTCAAGTCCATGTTACCTGCTGATAAATAACTAGTTAGTTACTGCTGTGCGCTGAAGAGTCATTAGAAGTTGCAAGGACAGCAAAGGCAGAATCGAGTCATATTATATGAATACTGTTCTCAATCATGTATTCCCATTTTGGGATTCAGGGGATTGACAGATTAAGTAATTGGAATAATCATATAACGATTGTAAATAAAGAAAACCTATCGATAGAGAAATCCTTCACTTACCAGGCAGCTCTGACCCTCTAACGAGGGATGTTTGAATATTCCCATCGTCTTCGTCGGTTTTGATTTTTTTGTTGTGGAAGAAAAAAAGAAGAGAAAGCTCGGGCCAAAAATAAGTCACATGACATAGGTGTTATTCTGATTAGTCATCATATAAGCTTCTCGTTGTCTTCCTTTAACAAGGTCAACATTGAACGTGAAGACGATGAAGCTGTTTGACGGTTAATTAATGTCATTTAACGATGGATTTACTATCGCTTCTCGGTTTAATAGTATTTTCGCTGCTTCTATTGCTACTTTGTAAGTCTGGCTATTCCATTTTCCCCCTTCAAGATCGGGGTCTAACTCCTCTGAATAGCTCTTTGGACTATTCGCTTCTGTCTGAGAGCAGCGTTTGGAACCCGGGATGTCGACTTTAGATTGGATCCTCGGGACGGAGTATTTGATCGTAACTATCTACGAACAATGGGCGGCAGCGGCAGCTCGGCCCTATCAGAGCAAATCGAACTGGACGAGATGCTGAGTGACCCTGTCACATACGAACAGGACAACCACGACCAAATGGGTTATAAACGGAGTTGACTGCGATGTGCCGCCGTATTGTTTAAGGCTTAGAACTCCAGATCTTCCTTTTTAGGCGCAGAAGAGGCATCCTGTTGCTGAGCATCATTGTCTCCGTCTATAGGAGGCAATGAGAAGGGTTTGATCGCAAACTTCCTTCTGCTTAGCGTGAATGCCCAGTCCTCGCCTACATTTTTGTCCATGCCGCCACCACGTTCGTGCAGGACCGGGAGACGGTGCACCTTGAGCATCCCTTGTGGTGGCTCTTCTTGGCTAGTTGCTGCCCCGGAGCTTGCCAATGAGCTTGGATCGAGAGTATGTGGGAACGGGGCCAGTTCCATCACTCCATCAGAGAGCAGCTCCATCCACCGGACCAGCCCTGAGGATCGAGGATAGAGTGATATTGGAAGTGTTATCATTGCCGTTAGTCGGCTTGAATAGGTGGATAGAAGGGCGCGGATGCCGTGTAGGAATTGCAGGACATGTTCAGGTTGGCTCGCGTGGGTTGTGTATAGAGCGGGTGATAGCAGCGACGGTACAATTAACCTGTGAATGGTATTGGGTGAGGAGCTTTCTATGGCTTCGGCCAGCTGTTTGATTATAGAGGAATAGGGCGAATCCGTACTGGCATTTGGCTTGGCGAGTGGTATGAAATTCATAGTCTGTATAGATGGGTGTGTGAGGCGCTTCGTGAGGTCGAATGCATGGCAAAAGACATTTGGCGCATTGCCCTGAGATGCCTGCTGGGCATCACCAGCGGTTTCGGTAGTCGCCGCTGGTACTATGGAGAAATTAGCCTATCGCTTTCCTCCTATGTCTTCGTCTTCACCTTTCTCAGGGTAAAGGGCCATACCTCTGGAGCCAGCAATCCCAAGCCCGAAGCCCCCTAACCGTTCATACCTCCAGGCAATCTTCATTTTATCCTCTTTATTCCTGCTGGGGCTACTCTCCGATGCTTCTGCAGCTCCGATAAGTCCAGGAAGGGTTGCTGCCCACTGTCTCTCAAACCCCACGACGTGAACTCGATGTTCCTGGACAACTCCCTCCGCGGCATAATATCTCAGCAACGCTCCAGCGAAATCAGTTGTGCCACTCTCCTCAATCAGTAGCGAGCTTCCCAGAGCTAAGCCCGCATGGCCGGCTAGCAAGCTATCCAGCGTAGGGGTGCCTGTGGACGTGGTCTGGCGGCCGTCGATGGGGGAGGGGCGCAGTCCGGGGGTAGATTCTGCTGGCTTGACCTGCTGAGCTGGCTGTTGCGCATTAGCAGAAGGGTCGCGGGGACCACCAGACGAGAGCCCTATATTCCTCCTACGGAATGACATCTCTAATCGGCCTGTATGATGTCCCCCTTCAGCGTCTCGTCTCTTGGATCTTGGATATTTCTCTTTCACCTTCACCTCAAAAGCCAAAAAGTAACTTGGACTCTTAAAAGCGGCCCCACACAAAAATCTAAAAGCAGCAACAACTTTGTTTCTTCGTCTTCAAAGAATATTTCGAGCAAAAGAGAAAAGAAAACGACCGGGAAAAGTCGCTGAGAGCTGCATTAAAACCCGCTAGATACCAAGATAGCTAGCTAGCAGGCTGCTAGAAGACGTGGAAGACAGAGAGACCTGAAAGAAGAGGGCAAAAAGTACTTCAAGATGTCGGATCCGATCCTGTTCGAAGACACCTTCAGCATCACCTCGATCAACGCTCAGAAATATGACCGTGTCTCGCGCATCAGCTGTACATCTACAGACCATCTGATCACCTTCACCCTGGATGTGAACACGGAAATCTATCCATGCGCCCCCGGAGAGTCGCTGTCGCTGGCTCTGGCGTCGACATTGGCACTGGATGGCAAGGAAGAAGCAACCGGTGAGAGAGCTGTATGGAGAGATGTAGGCATGGGGGAGAACACTCTGGCAAATGACTACGACTATGTCTGCTATGGAAAAGTTTACAGATTTGAGGAGAGCAGCACGGCGGGCAATATGTGAGTTTTCTTGGACTGGGTAACTGAATGATTGCAGCTGCTAATCGTGGTGGGTATTCAGGGCTGTCTTCGTCTCCTTCGGCGGTCTTTTGCTATATCTTGATGGGCCATACAACAAGCTCAGCCCACTTAAAATTGACTACGTCTATCTTCTCATGAAGAAGTAGATGTACCCGGATGGAAATAATATTTTTTCGCCCCCATTTGTCGGATCTCGTCATAATAACCGTCGTGTGTTTTCTTGGGCTCGCGGAGTCACAAGATAACTATCAAAGGGAACAGCAACATGGATGGAAATGCTTGGACTTGATGATTTGGTTCTGGTCTGGTTTGCATTAAGCGCTGGCGTCTGAGTTAGAAAAGGATACGAACTGGTCAGTCCCTTTGTAAAAGAAAATGCGGTCTTTGGATATATATCTTGTCTACCAAAAAAGGCTGAAAAAAGAAGAAAACAAAAGAACAGGGTCCAAACAGCAGAGTCAGGAAAGCAAAAGCACAACACAGAAGAAGCCTCCTGTTATATACACGCAGGCTAGACCGTCGGGAATTCGTGACGACGATGTATCCTGGCGAGAATTTCTAGATAGTCCTTTTCGTTCTCCGGCGTGAGGAAACCATGTCTGATAAAGAAATCTATGAGAACAAGGGCACAATTAGGCTTGAATTCGCCATTTGACATTGCTTTCTTCACTTCGTCAACACTCCATAGTCGGAAGTCCTCCACTTCGGAATCGCATGGCTTCGGTACAACGCTGGGGTCGAGCTGCAGGTCGTAAACGTACTCACATTCTGGCTGCAGCAACCCCGTTTCCCCACCGGCTCGCTCGTCGCGAACATAGGTATACGTTATGCATCCACAGGATTTGGCGTCTCGTCGAACAATGTCTTCAGGCAACGAGGCTTCCTCCATGGCTTCACGTACTAGGCTCTCAAACGGCGGTTCGCCTGTAGCTATGCCTCCGCCAACTGTATTGTCCAACATACCAGGGTAAGTCTGCTTCGTCCTGGCTCGTCTGGGCACCCATATCATGGTACCCTTCTTCTCGTCCTTGGTGTAGACGGTCATATGGACTCCATAGCTTAAGATACCGAATAGACTACTGCCCGCCCGCTCCACGCTGGCAACCAGCTCTTTCTTGGGGCCATAAATGGGGTATAGCTCGTTCCTCCAGCCCTTGAGGACATCGATTTTTCCGCTCTTTGCTCCAATCTCCAGCGTCTGCGCTAGGAGGGCGCTTCGTTGTCGTTCTGTAGCACCCTCTGGCGCAAGCAGAGTTATTGACTTTGTCTCGCTGTCAATCTTCCAGCTGTCTTTTGGCCATGGGAACTTGTCCACTATGGAATTGAGGACGAGGCCAAAGGTCTGCTCGTAGCCTGTGATCTTGAATTCATGGTACTTTTCTCTGTATCTCTTGTATGCCGCGGGGTCATCCTGATAGTACGGAAATCTGTAGTAACGTTGTTAGCAACTAGTTATCCTCCTTTGGCCCACTGGCTAGACTCACACATCGCACTCATTGATGAGATCCAGAATACTCTTCCCCATCCTGCCAGCGCCTTCAGCCTCGGGATGTCGATGTCAATAACGCTGTCTCTTTCTTCGTTTCTTTCAGCGTCGACCTCGCCCTCAACCTCTCACGTGACTGGTGATCTCATTGTGCATCTTCTTGCTCTTATCGATAACCAACAAACTAACTAATTAGCCAGAAAACATCCCAGTCGCTTCCACTTTTTGTGTGTTTTTGGTCGTTCAGTTTCTTTGGCCTTCGATGCGGACGGAGGACAGGAAGGAAAGCTAGCTGGTGGTGAGCTGCGGCGGGCTGTGTTACACCCTCTATACCCTGCACTCACCTTGACGTGAGTACTACAGCTGTCCAGAATTAGCTAGCTACCTCTCCTATAGTTAACTACAGATGGCGATGTTCTCCGTCGTCCTGCCGGGACGGCCATGCCTGACCGAAGCTGTGCCTATACAGCCAGACCCAAACACGCCGCCGACAAACTTCGCATTCACCTTTCCCGCCGCCCCCAAGTTCTCTCATATCGTCGTCTTCCTCCTACCGGGTGTTACTCTGCCCCCAGATGTCGCAGCAGCAGTATACATACAGTTCCCAAACCTGCCGGGAAACGGCCAGCCACAGCAACAGCAGCCCGAATTCCGGTTCCTGGGCGCAATAGCAAACGAGAAACCCTCAGCAATATTCAAGGTCAACCTGCCCGGCTCGCAGAAACCGATGACAGAGGCAGAGCAAGAGAACGAGATGATGGATGAAGGGGCTGCGGCCGTTGATCCGAACGCTATAATCACACTAGGGATAGCAATTGAGTCTACGCAGGTTGTCCGGGAGAAACTAGCTACATTACAGCAACCATCGACGGGCATGGAACTAGTAAAGAGGACTGGACAGCCGGGCATGACGACAAAGGTGTTGGCACAGAGGATTATTGGGAATGCTTTCAACTTCCTTGCGAGCTTTGCTGCTTCGGATCCTCGGGCTCAGGGTGAAGAGGTTGTGCCCTTGAAGAGTTTTAGAGACTGGTGGGCCAAGTTTGAGAGGAGGATAGAGGCTGATCCGGGGTTCCTAGAAAGAGAGGGCAGTTGAATCAATGCTGGCCATGGAGACTCCAGCTATATATATAATATATACCGCTCCCCGTTACTTGCATTACCTTAATATTTATAACTCTAGCGGTTTTTGCTTAAAAAAAAGATCTAGATCTATTCATTCTGGCATACTCTATCATAGACATATTATGTACGTTTCGTAACTCATTTACTGGTCGTGGATGGCACGTACATTGACGTACTTTGATATAGGACGATCACTCCTCAGCCAAGAACTTCAGGAAGGCCTCGCCGATGAGGACGCCGTCCTGCTTGTTGTCGATGACCTTCATAGCTTCGTCAAAGACATCTGAAGGATAATTGGCCTTTCTAGTTTGCATAATCTCCATGACAATGTCCCTGTTAAACTCGGGATGGCCTTGGACGGAGATGAATCTGCGGGGATTGTACATTCCTTGGATGGAGCACTTGGGCGTATGGCCGAGCGCAACGGTGTTGGCTGGAAGCTCATACACGACATCACGGTGCATCTCCATGATGTTCTATCTTGTCAGTTAGCCCACTGTTCCTTCTAAGCAAACCAGCCATGTAGATAGACACTCTTGACGTACCAGCTTCTCAGCGCCAAAGACCTCTTTGCCCTGGTCCGTCAAGGTAAGTTCGTGCACCGAGGCCTCCCAGCCGTTAGCGCTACGGCCGACTCTCGCTCCCAGCGCTCGCCCGATGATCTGGTGGCCGAAGCAGACTCCAATCAGCCTGACGCGATCCTGGGCCAGCACCTGCTTGGTAAACTCGACCAGCCTGTTTATCCAGGGCGTCGTCGTATCAAAGGAATCGAACTCTAGCCAGGCGCAATAACTAGTTAATCTACTAGTTCCGAGCAAAAAAAAAAAAAGGAAAAGCAGAGCAAAGGGGGTAGAGTAGGTAGCACACGCACTTGATCCGGAGATGAGGACGGCGTCGATGTCCTCGAGAGCCGGGAATTCATCGCCCCCCACGATATCGTACTCTGAGATGTCCAGCCCGGCCTCTGGATCGACGATGTCAGGCCTGTTCAGCGTCTTTGCCGACTGTCCCAGCAGCGCCTTGAAGACCCCTCCAAAGCGCCCGCCGTACTTTGCTGCGGTCTGCGGCAGGGGGTGGTCGCACTCGAGGACGGCGAGGCGGATAGGGCGTCTCATGGTGTCGTGTCTTGTGCTTCAGCTGGCGGTCTGGCCGGTGGTCGAGGGCGTCTCCTTGTCTCAGCGATGGCTCTCGCAGTCGCAGTCACAGTCGCAGTCGCTAGTTCGGTTAAAGACGAGCGTTGAAGCCGGCGATGGCGCCCTTCCTTGTCATCCCCGGCCGGCGATGAATAACGCGGGCGCTTAAGTAACGAAGTCACCACTGGAGCCAACGAAGTAACTAGTTAGGATCCACCGCAACTCCACCAGCTCCAACCTCATAGCTGCTGCTGCTGCTGCTGCTACGACAACGACGACGACGACGACGACGATAACAACGCATCTATACTGCTTCATTAAGTGACACAGAGAAGCAGTCCTGGCCAGAATGCTTTGGTGGAGCTCGTCGTACACAAGACTAACTATCTCGATGTCGACCATAATAATACCCACGATCAACAGGGGCCGGAGGCTGAAATATCAACTCTAACCTGACGCCTCCAAAAGAAAAGAACCAGATAGTGGCTTAATAGTTACTGCAGGAACTTCAGCAGGTTGGTCTCAGGGAAGAGGAACAAGACGAGAGGCGCTGTCAAGATGGTTCGTTTCGAGCTTTTTGCAGCCTCAGCCAGGGATTCCCTTTTTTTAAGGTCCCACATCCTACCAGGCAGCGAGCAATCAGCATTTCTATCACAAAAAACTTGGGCTAGAGATTTCAGTCCTGTGTTACGAGGGCTGCTTTTATCATCATGTCTACAATAACCCTTGCAAGCATGGTATATATAAGGAGGCTGCTGGCATAGAGCAGGTAGGTCGACTTTGCAGGGATTGTCAGTTGCGGTCTTGTCTGGCCTAAACCTCGGGGGAGAAGAACATCGAGTTACAGGACAGTGAACGCGAAGATATTTGACTCCATTGCGGAAAGCCACGACCAATATATCGATACTCCGTACGCGGCCTGGGCTTTCTAAAAAGGCAAATGGCTCCGGCAACAGCTCAGAGTGTGGACGAAGAGACGCCTCTGCTTCGTTCAGATGGAGGTGACGAATTCCCAGGTTACGACATAGCCAGAGTTCAGTCGGTTATCAGTGCAGATGGAATTGAGCCCACGTTCCAGGCCGTTATGACTCCGGAAGACGACAGATCCTCCTGCGCCAACCATGGAGCAGCAGCAGACAGCCAAAAGAAAGAGGCCCATCCTCACTTCATTAACGTTACCCAAAGAGAATTCTGGGCCGTCTTCTCCGGAATTTTGTTCGCCTGGCTGATAGCCATGTTTGACTCTACGTTGATGGCCTCCATTCATCCTGCGATTACCTCACATTTCAACGCCGCGAACTCTGCAGCATGGCTCTCTACCGTCTTCCTGTTGACTTCGACTGCCTTTCAACCTGTGTTCGGCCGCATTTCCGATGTCTTCGGCAGACGGCCGGTCTACCTGTTTGCCGTTGCTGTTTTCTTCATCACAACAGCCTGGTGTGCTACTGCTCAGAGCATCACCAGCTTCATTGCTGCTCGTGCCTTTTGCGGATTGGGTGCCGGAGGGGTCGTCTCGGCGGGGATGATAATTAGCTCTGATCTCATCCGGATAGAGTACAGGGGCATGTATCAATCATATATCAACCTGTGTAATGGCATCGGTTCGTCATTGGGCGTGGCCTGCGGTGGCTATATAGCAGATACTCTTGGATGGAGGGCCGCGTTTGGCATTCAGCTGCCCTTCATCTTTGTTTACTTGATAATATCATATTTTGTTGTCCCAACTTCCCTGGGGCCAGAACTCGCTCGCAATGAAGGCTGGACGCTCACGCAAGCAGCCAAAACCCTCGATATAAAGGGCTCGTTCCTGCTCGTCACCGGAGTCACCTCATTATTGCTTACTTTGAATCTGGGAGGAAACGTCCTGCCTTGGTCTCACCCAGTCATCATTGTGTCTCTTCTCGTGTTCTGCGTCTGTCTGATCCCATTCCTGAAGATCGAAGCAAGGGCCAAACGACCGGTCATGCCGTTGCCCCTGTTGTCCACCTTCCCTCAGGCAAACCTGATCCTGTCGAATTTCTTCGGAACAATGGTTATCAACACCATCCTGTTCAACATGCCCTTGTTCTTTCAAGCGGTCAAGCTGGAGTCTCTAACCAGCTCTGGACTGAGAATCCTTGCTTCTTCGCTGGCTATCATGGCGTCTAGCGTTTTCACGGGCTTCTTCATCACCTGGAGCGGACGATTGAAACCCATGCTCATAATAGGGTTCGTCTTTTTCATCATCGGCTGTGCCGTCACTAGCTCCATGAACAGAGATACTCCCGGGTGGCTTGCTATGCTCTTTCTCTTACCATCAGGCTTCGGCCAGGGCTTCGCTATGCCAGCCACTCTGGTGTCGACTCTTGCAGTCAGCCCCCAGGCTGAACAGGCCGTCACCACCACCACTCTCAGCCTTTTCCGTAATCTGGGATCGGTCTTTGGTGTTTCGGTAAGTAGCTGGACACTGCAGAATGCTCTAATCTATTACTTGACGCAAAGTGTCACCGGGAACGACAGACAAGACATCATCAAGCGGGTTCGCCAGTCTATTACGGAAATACATCTGCTGGACCCGATACATCAAGGTGAAGGTGCGTTGAAACCGTTACATTTGCCCCTTGTACTCCGTCCACTTCTTGTGCCTCAGCTGCCGGGCTGACCAGTTCTGACACCCTGTAGTTATCCAAGGTTATGAGCAGGCGCTTCACCTGACATTTATCGTCGGTGTTGCATGGGCGACAATGTCCCTGCTACTCGTACTGCCCGTCAGGCTAGCTCGGCTAAGCCGAAAAGCGTGATGGTGATGTCCCAACATGGCTATCATGTCGATAAGCTATTTCGACATGTCACAGAAGCGTTGTCGGGACGCCATTGTAAAACCTGTGTAAGTGCACACAGGGCCTACCTATTACCAGTTTCACGGACTCACTCCCTTCTCCAGCATGCTGACCACCATTCCTACTAGAAATTAATAATATCTTCATCTTTCCATAGAATAATAAGCTATATGACCAGCCTGGGTTATCTGAACTGCAGTCAGTATAAAAGGCCGAATTCCCTCGATTCCTCCAGACATCCTCTCTATCTCCTCTCTACGGCCCCCTTTTGACCAATTATTAAATCTCTTCTTAGTAGCACAAGAACCCTGGGCCGAAAACAGCAAATAGAAGCAAAAAAGAAAGGAAAGAAAAAGGATAACTGGGACGATGGCCAAGCTGGTTTTGTCCTCCCTAGGCCAGATGCAAATATGATCTCTGGATTGCATTTCCATATTCATCTTCCAATTAAGTCATCTTTATCGAGATTTTCATAAATAATTGGAATATCAGAAACTCTGGCTCCCGAGAACCGCAACCCTGGGTTGCCTGGTCGTATAATTACGAGGCGTAGTTAGGCTCGATGATGTGCATAGTTACATGGTCCTCAGCTAGCTATGTACATGCCGGCCGGCCTAGTGGCCCATCAAGACGAAGCAGAGGAAGACGATGAAGCTGAAGCCTTGTCTATAATTCCCGGCACTTAAGGCCTCGTTGTTGGTTGGATGGGCCACAATTCTATTTCATATCGCTTTAACTAACTAGCTAACTAGAGTAACTAGTTTTTTTCTTTGGCTAAGCACTTTTCTCCAGGCGAAACAACCAACTCCCACCGATGGACGCTGGCCCTGAGCTCTCCTACACCATCGCCTTCCCGCAGTAAGCTCTCTGATTGACCGTGCATGATACACGATGCCACCAGGAATGCGCATTAACCAGCATGTCTCCTAGATCGGTCGATACGAAGCCTGCGCAGCGCGAGTGACCTACCAGCGACCTACCAAGCAGCCGTCCAACCCCAGGGCAAGCTGCAAGTACGACATCAAGTGCTTAGCCCTATGGGCCATCCCGTGCTGGCCAGTCATCATTGAGCTGGATCACTGCAATCCTCCAGCAGTCGACAGGCGACTGGCTTCCTGACTTCCCGCCGGGCACAGAGAAATGCGTAGGTGCTGACGGCTCGAACACCAAACGGGGAGAAATCCACAACTTCCGCTCCCACCTTGTCTCCCCTCCCCCGGCCCTCTTGCCTGCCTGCGTACCTGTCTCCTGGTTCCTGGCTCCCATCTATCCCTCTATACTCGCAGTCGCTTGGTCGAGGTAGCTTTATAGGGCCATTCTTACGGCACTCGGGACGACTCTTATGAGGTTAGGATATCCATGGCATCTAGTGTTGGTCAGCAATTGATGCAGGAAAACGAATTCGATACTTCTCTGGCGTTGTCGTCTGCGAATCCTATACCTTCGCTGTCAGAAAGTAGTGAGGTCAGAGGCTCTTACCAGCTTCTACCTGCTGCGCAAGGGCCTGGTCAGGCAGCTGAACGGCGGAAAAGCATCGGGAAGAAAGACGCTGGCGAAAGAGACGAGGCTTCTGCCCCTGTCGGCATACAGCCAACTGCCGGTACCGCCAGCAGTCCAGGTGCAGCAAAGGGTGCAGCGACATCGAAGCCGAAGCGAGTGAGGACAGGATGTTTGACATGCAGGGAAAGGCATCTCAAGTGTGATGAGGCTGTTCCGCGCTGCCTCAATTGCCAGAAATCAGACAGGCAATGCAAGCGTGGAATTAGGTTGAATTTCATCGATACGCAGGTCGCTGCACCGCCGTATGCTGCGCCATCTCCGCAGACATGGCAGATCAACTTTCGAGACGAGTCGAGGGAGATAGCTTCCGAATACCTGGGCGGATCTGAGAGATATCGCCCCATAAAGAATGAGGAGTTTACCAAGCCCATTGGATTTGGGTTTGCCAATATAATGGGGTTTTCCATGCCCTCTCATCAGACTCTAGCCAGTGCACCGGCCTTACTGACATTTCCTGATGCCCCGTCTGCTGAAGGGTACGAATCTATGTTTCAAACGACTCAGCAGCCGCCCTCTTCTAATCATGTAGTTCAAGATCAACCTATTCCACAGCCACCAGTGCTTACTCTAGCACCTCCAAGGGATCCGAAACCATATCTAAATACTCCGGAAGAGGTGCTTCTCATGCAAGTGTTTGTCGAAGAGGTCGGCCTATGGATGGACTCAATGGATGCCATGAAACACGTACGTATTTGTTCTCCATGTTCCAAAACTTCCAGGTTAAAACCGCCTGCTCACCTGTCCAGTTTACTCGTATAATACCATTCTATGCTCTTGGAGAGCCAATGCTTTTGAATGCGCTGCTAGCATGTGGTGCCCGCCATTTACATCTTGTGAATGTGACGTACAAGGAGGAGAAAGCCTTGTTCTACTACAACTCTGCCACCCAGGATCTTCTCAGATACCTTCAAAATCCTAACCGAGACTCTGCTCTGTCTGCCACAACTGCCGTGGTCCTCAATGTCTACGAGGTCATGTCTACAAAGGCAACTCAGCGGATGAACCACATAGCAGGAGCCCGGGCTCTTATCAAGGAATGCCGCTGGGACGGCAGATCGACCGGAGTAGGAGGTGCCTGTTTCTGGCTAAACGTCGGTATGGAGCTATTAAGCTGTCTTCATTACAATTGGAAACTAGCCTGGGATCCGGATACCTGGGGAGTGGATATGAATATGGTTCCGGCTGAGTCTAGTATTGTCGGGAACGAGGAATTATGGACGCATAGGATAGTGTACATCTGTGCAAAAGTCGCTAATTATCGAACAACAAAGCATCAACCTTTAGTTCATGAAAGACAGAGCCACGAGCCCGATGTAAGTCGACAAAGCGACGAATGGAATAAAATGAAAGCCTGGTGTGATGAATGGGAGAGATGCATACCTCGGTCGATGCGGCCGCTCGGGTACCTGCAGCCGTGGCAGTCGAAGACAAAGTCTTCATTCCCCGAAGTTTGGTAAGTTCCCACTGTTATCGGAGCAGAGGAATATGCATCTGCCTATATGCTAATTGCTTTCATACTGACATAAGGATTAGGCTTATCAAGAGATCTTCCGTGGTTGCCCGACTGTTCTACCACACTACATGTGTTCTTTTGGCAAAGTCCCATCCAACCGAGTCCCAGTTTAGCGAAAATATGCTAGCTATCCAGCAGAGCCACGCAAATGACATCTGTGGCATCGTAGCACATGTCAAAGATCGGTACGTTTTATCCGGCATGCCCCTTTCCCGCCATCCATCTATCTCGCGCCATACTAACATAGCTATTCTAGTGGTGTTGCTAGCGTCTCCATTCGGTGTCTGATAATAGCGGCTGAATGCCTTGTCAACAGGGTCTCACAAGAGCAGGTTCTAGATATCATGGATAAAATTCTCAAGGAGACCGGCTGGAAAATCGGACCTCTTCAGCAAGAGCTAGTGCAAAAATGGGGATGGAATGTCAAAACCGAAGGCCAGCCAATGCCACAGGACCAGCACCAACACCAACATTCTCACCAACAACATCAACAGCCTGCCATGACCTCCATCCCTACAACCTCAACAGCTGCGGGCCCTATGAACATGAACCCTTCCTTGCTACCTCCCGAAGTGGGCCTTGTCCCTCCTCGCCCTGCTATTCCACAAGGGATCGTTAATCCAATGATGGCGGCTGCTGATTTTAACGCAGCCAACCACCCATATCAGAATCATTACGTCGCACCACAAAACACTCCGCAGGGCAGTTATCAATACGGCAATTACTAGTTTTTCACACGATAGCAAAGCTGGATAGATGTCGCATAGCTTTTGACATGGCATGGCGCATGGACTTTCAAACTGCATGGGGGGAGCTCGTACTTGTTTCTTTTCTCGGCATCGGTATATTTTCAGGTTGACTACCATTCTCCGGCGTCTGTTTGGTGGGCTCAAAACAACATACATAATTCCCTTGTCGCTATATTGATTCTTATCTTGTTGAAATATGGGCTCAATAGGCCGGAAATGATCTAAAATGTCAGTTAGATCGTAGCCGACGGCCCGGAAGAGGACTGGATTTTAGCATATCATCGCTGTTGCAAGTATTTAATGGAGGAAAATTGCATATAAATGGAGTACTAGTTACCGGCTTTTATTCTTTTATCATCTATCAAGTTGGTGGTTCTTTTTAACTAGTTACTCTAGCTATAAAACTTGGTAGTTTATTTAGTTGCTAATTGATAACTTCCCAGAGGCCAAGAACTAGTTTCTTTCCACCAAGCTTCGCCTTCTTGAGACCACACACTTTGTACCAAACCATCCAGAGGAGGACTACAATAATCCCGTCCAAATATACCCAGAAAAGAATATCTACGTTATATAGCCGAAAATTCCAGTGGCATAGCCAATATGGCGGCTTCTGACCTATACCAACAAGGCCCTTCAGACCCAAGCCAAAAACACCCTCCGGCAACGCCTACTTATGTTCTTAGAGGACACGCAAGCCCAATACACTCTCTCAATTTCTATGGCTCCAACTCAAGACTTATTTCTGGGGATGCCGATGGATGGGTTGTTGTATGGGATGTGACTAGTAAACGGGCGGTAGCCACCTGGAAGGCTCACGAAGGATCTATCTTAGCCGTTGTGGGAATTGAAGTCAACTTAGAAACAGGTGTGGAAAGGAGAATACTGACGTGAGATTCCTGCTATATCTCACCGACTGGGTGTATCGACTAACAAGCTATAGACACGGAAGAGACCATAAGCTATGCGCCTGGAGGTTAAATGAGAAGGACGAAGACATCGTGGGCAAGATACTTCCCTTGGACACGCAAAATAACCCACAAGCTGGAAACAAGCCGTGGATGTTACATTCTCTATCCGTTAACGCTCTGAATTTTTGTGGCTTTGCGTATTGTTTTCTCCCACACAGGGGTGAGATTCAGTCTGAGGACACGATCAACGCAGAAAACCAAATGCTTCTCGCAGTACCAAATGCTTTGAATACTGGTGGTCTTGATATCTTCCACCTGCCGTCTGAAAAGCGGCTATGTGTTATCTCACCAGAAAAGGAGATTAACACTGGTATGGTGATGGCATTAGAAATGTTCATACCTCCTGAAGGAGAAGACCTTTATATCGTTTCTGGCTACGAGGATGGAAGTGCCATGGTCCACGCCTGTCGAGGGGCCATTAACCGGTTACTTATTGCGGAGGAGGATAATTCTAACTCTTCATGGAACTGGGAGTTACTATATACAAACCGCCCACATTCACAGCCAATTTTATCACTTGATATCTCACCCTGCTTGGAACGAAAGTGCTTTATCACTTCATCTGCAGATGCAATGATCGTGAAACACGCTATTCCAAGGCTGCCGCCAACCCTGGAACCTGATGTTACCAATATTAGAAGCGCAGTAGAGTCAGCGCATTTGAAAGCTGTGAACACTAAACATTCTGGACAGCAAGGCTTGAGAATTCGATCGGATGACAAAATATTCGCTACCGCAGGATGGGACAATAGAATCCGAGTTTACAGCTGCAAGTCAATGAAGGAGCTAGCAGTTCTGAAATGGCACAAGGAAGGGTGCTATTCTATTGCATTTGCCCAGGTCAATATGGACACTGGAGACATAGGGACGACTAGAGGTGCAATAGGTCCCAATACAATGCAGGAGGATAAAAGTACGGATCTTACGATTAGGAATGAACCCCGTTCTTTGGCAGAAATCAAGCAGCAGAGAAGCATCAAAGCACAGTTAACACATTGGATTGCCGCCGGGTCAAAGGACGGAAAGGTCTCGCTATGGGATATATACTGAGTGTGCACAACGCTGTCAAACATGAAAGGAGGAGAGGGAAAAAAAAGTAGTATCGCTCAACTGCATCATCCCGGACTCATCCTTAGGCGATATTGAACTCATTTGCCGCGGCCATATGTTCTCTCATCTTCTTCCGCATTTTATCAGCCGCACTATCATTTTTGGGACCGGAATCATTCTTCTTGTCACTGGAATCTACCGTCCTGTTTGCTTTGAACGCCTTCTTTGTCTCCTCCTTGCCGGTTCGAAGTCCAGGAACATTGATCTTCGTTGGCCTGTCTCGCAAGCCGAAACCTTTGGCCAGATGGCCTAGATGCAGATCCTTTATGTTGAAGTACTCCCTCTCGCTTGCAATATGTGTAGCGTAGGCACGAATATGAGATTGAAAAGCTCGACGGGCCATTTCCAGGATACTGGGGTTGTCCAGGGTCCAACGTTCTATATCTAGCTGGAACTCAGTGGCTGCCTCTTCCCAACCCTTGCCATTAGTCCGTCCAAATCCTCGCTTCAAGATGTCGCTTTCATCACTGCGGGTCACAGCCTTGGTGTTGTTGTCGCGATACCCGCGTTTTAGAACATTGATATATCCTTCTTCACTTCCCGGAAGAAGGAAGATCATAGCACGACCATCACGACCCAATCGAGCTGTACGACCGATACGGTGAAGGTGGTCATCAGCGGAGAACGCAGGGTCGTACTCGATGACAAAGTCAACATTCGGTAGATCGAGACCCCGAGACGCAACGTCTGTACATATTAAAACCGAGGTGTCCTTTTGTTTGGCAAATGCAGAAAGCGTGGCTGTTCGAACATGTTGAGGGAGCGATCCATGGAGTTTATGCAGTATTACCGAGTTGTTCGGGTTTGATAATGTTGGAGATTCGGCTACTGTTCCTTGGGTAGATGAGTTAGTTGTAATTGCCGCTTCAGCATTCGAGTCTTTCTCCTCCTTTTCTTCTTCCTCTCTTTCCTTCTCTCCCTTTCCAACGCTTTCAGTACTCTTATCCGACTTTCTAGTGAAAACCTCGAAATGGTAATCCACTGAATCCGCGCAAGAAACAAAAACGATAGCTTTCATAACGGTTCCCTTGCGTATAAAGGTACTTTTGAGAAGGGCTGTCAAGGTAACAAGCCGAAGCTTTGATGCAACAATTGCGAACGACTGCTTCAGCTGAGCTGGTGCTGAGAATTCCAGAGACTTTTGCGCATCTCCAGCCTGGGAAGAGGTATCTTCAATTTCATCCGCCGGATCAGCCTGTATATGAACCGCATCCTTCAAACTCATCTCTCCTAGACGCTGCACGTTCATCTTCAGCGTGGCAGAACATAGTACCGTTAACCTCCTTGGAGGAAGATTTTCAATCTTTGATGTCGGTCGCCTTTTAGAGTCCAACTTTTTAATAATATTCTGAATCTCTTCTTCGAATCCTAACTCCATCAATCGGTCGCCTTCGTCTAGCACAAGCCATCTAACAAGGCCCACGTCAAGAACTTTGGTATTATCTAGATGATCCGCAAGCCGTCCAGGAGTAGCCACGAGGATATTCAACCCCTTCCGTAATCTTGCTTTTTCTGATTTCTTCTTCTCTCCACCGATAACTGTGCCAGCAACAAGCCAATGAGCACAGTTAAGCAAACTATCAAGTACCACAGATATCTGCTTGCAAAGTTCTCGAGTTGGTGCAAGGATAATAGCAAATAAACCCGAGTCTCGGTGAATCGGCGTGGCTTGACCTTGGCCTTCCTCTGTGCTTTTTCGGCCAGATAGGTTCATCAGCCGTTGTACCAGGGGTAGGAGGTATGCAAGTGTTTTTCCAGATCCAGTCTCTGCCTGTATAAACCCATCGCAATTCTCTTTTAGCAACTGTGTAATTGAGCTCTTTTGAATCGCGGTAGGATTTTTCAACTTTAATTTGGTCAGCAGGTGTGCTGCGAGCTCTGGCGATAGCCCGAGGGACGTAAACGTATCGATACCGTCGACGAGAGGGGCATTGGAAGCTTTCGTGGCTTCAGCATCATCATGCGCTGTAGATTCTTCCGCCGTAGGTACAGTCTTCGCAACGGGATTATACGAGAAAAGCGACGAGATAACCTCTCTTTGCGGGCCAGTGGCATATTTGCTGCTGGAGTTATTGGAAACTCCTGTTATGGTAGCAGTGCTTGGTTGAAAATCTCCATTATTGAGTCTCTGTCGCTTCGGTGGGCGGCTGGATACACCTCCATGGTCCGCTTCTCCCCCTCTTTCACCCCGTCTACTGTCATCTGTGGTAAATGGTTGCTTCGATTTCTTGTGCCGGTGGTCTGCGATTTTTTTGGCGACGAGACGATCCTTCCACTTGCCGCCTTTAAATTTCTGTTGCGAGCTGATAATCCCGTCTCCCACGTCAAAATTCATAAGCATGCCATCGTCCGCCATGATGATGACCAAAGTAAGAGCGGAGCACTTTGGTATTGTTTCGTTGATTTCTCTCTTTTGCTCTCTCCGGCGTTGCAGCTGGAGGGTGAAGATTGAAGTTTTGAGTTTTGCGGCGGGAGAAAAAAAAAAAAAAAAAAAAAAGGTTGCTCGACCCTAAAGTTGAGCCCTAAATTCCCGATTCTGCAGTATGAAAACCGTGGATGCAAAGTTATATAGCAAAGTAAAGCAAAGGTGTTTGGTAGACGTTTTAACTAATAATTATATAACATTCTAATAGTAGAATCCAAGTTCCCTCTCTGACTTATAGCTGTATATCCGCAGAGCCACAGAATATATATGGAGGGCCGATGATCTAGATTAGTATAGAATAAGGAGCTTTCAAGATAAAGGCTGTAGGACGATATTATCGATCAGTCTCACAGGCACTTTTCCTCCTCCAAGCCCGCAGTCTTCGCCTTCTTGGGGTTCTTCCAGCGGAAACATCTTCACAGCACCGCTTAAGACCGCACCCTTTGATTCATCGACATGGTCCAGCTCCTCTAATGACTCGGGGTCTGCTAGAGAAATATAGTCCACTTCAAATCTTGCACGTTTATATGCAGGGAGGAGCTCCTGCTCAGCCAATGTGGATTGTGCTAAGGAATTGGCAGCGCCGAGTATTTCCTTTCGCGACTTCTTTCCGGTTAGGTAGACAGACTCAGCTGCTCTCAAGGCACGGGACAGAACCAAGCCAACATTCCGTCGTCTAGCGCCGAGATATGCATTACGCGAACTCATCGCAAGACCATCTGGTTCTCTTGAAGTCGGACCAACCCTGACCTCAGTGTCTATATGGAAATCCTGCACCATGCGTTTGATGATAATAGACTGCTGTACGTCTTTTTGACCAAAGTAGACACGGTCCGGAGTCACCATGTTGAATAACTTTGTACACACAGTAGCAACCCCGCGGAAGAACACTGGTCTAGAAGCTCCCTCGAGCTTGGTCGCCAGTGGTGTTATGGTCACGAAGCTTCCGTTTCCATTCAGCTCGGATGTGGGAGGTAGCGTAGGGTACACTACTTTGGTAGTGGGAGCAAAAATTGCCGTAACACGGCCAGATCCAGTCGATGACTTGCTTTCAAATTCTGTATTGAGAGCTTGTATCTTCTCCAAATCTTCGTTCCATGTCCGCGGGTAGCTGTCCAAGTCCTCGTTGACTCCAAACTGTGTTGGGTTCACATATATGCTAACAACGACATCAGTGTTTTCCTGGGCAGCTTGTCGGATTAGAGACATGTGGCCATCATGTAGGGCACCCATTGTAGGCACAAATCCCACGGTTCGACCTGAGAGAAGGAGGCCTCTCCTATATTGCCGAAGTGGTGGTACATCCCTGAAGACGGCGATTGCTGACTGGGATAGATATCGGCGATGACCGGTAAGCCTTATGGGCAAAGCTTAACAGAGAATCGTTAGTTATATGACATTACTCTGCGGTAAAGGGCACTCAATGGCTTACTTGAGACTCTTCTGGTCCACATCATTAGACTAAACCGATGTTAATGATAGTGTCAAGTTGTGTGATATCCAGCAAGGAAAAAGCGAGGGAAAAGACGGCGGGTATGCCAGATGAGCTTTGACTCTACATTCTATGTCAACGCGAAAAGGTTTATTTCACTTGCACGTCCCCCAAGGCAGCCTTTGGGCTCACGATCGTGCTACCTTCTTCAGCGTTGCTTGCAGTCTTCTTTTTTCCCTTCGCTTTACTGGTTTCTTTTCTTTTTATTTATATCTTTTTTAGCCGCCCTCGGCTCTTTTTTCGTTGGGAGTGTCAGGTGATCGCCGGGCCGAGATTAGTCAGCAACAACGACAAGGAAAGAAAGTCGACAACAAGTAGGAGAATACGAAGACTCGAGGGACGAAAGGAAGACAAGGATAGCTCTGGTATGCAGTGATCGGGTGTGAAGGGGAGTGAGCTGGGCCTTTTTCTCTTTTTCTTACCCCCTAATTCACTGTGCAGCTGTCTTCACATTGATGGATATGCCGATGGAGTTGTAATTGGTGGCTTTTCGTCTGATATATAACTATACAGCTCTTCTTTTTGTTATATCGGCTGTGTGCTCATGACAATGGCTTCGAAAGAGGGACCTCCGGAGGTCCCAAAGCTGGCGCCAGACCTTGAGATTGTGGGAGATCAGGTCAGAATTCAGCCTACCGGATTTACAGCCGGGATCGAGGAAACAGATGGCATTACCGAACGCCGGTTGATGCACCAGATGGGCAGATTTCGAGAGAACCCTTTTGATTTCTTACGAGAAATCAGCCTCTTTGTGTCAGGTACAGGGTGGCGTGCATACGATGATTTTATTGGTCAGCCCATCTTCTACTCTGGCTTCTCTGAGAAGATGAAGTCATCTGTAGCAAGCCACTCGCTGCTAGTCGGCAAGATTGAAGAGCTGGCAGAATCGCGGGTTAAGACTGAGGAGGTCGAAGGGCTCCTGAGTGTTACTGCGCCGGCGAGTTCTAATGGCGAACCCAGGATTGATGCACGGGCTAGGAGAAAGGAAGAGATTGCGGCTAATCTGCGAGAGGTCGTTGATACCATGATGGATAATATGATTTGCAAGATGGAGAGCAAGTCATTTATCCGAGGAGCATACTATATTACTACTCAGATCCTAACTAGAGCGTATCATCAAGGTAGGTCAAATGGTTATTGTTTCATGCATGAAAATACCCATCATTGCTGAATGCATAGATTGACTGGTATGTCTTAGGCATCCATGTTTCTAGCGAAGAGGTGCTGCGGCTTAGGAAAGTCGCTGAAGAGGCAGCCAAAAAGAAACAATCCATTGTATTCTTACCTTGTCACAAGTCTCATGTCGACTATGCATCCCTTCAAGTTATCTGCTATCGGCTAGGGATAGCGCTCCCGGTTGTGGTTGCTGGAGACAACTTAAACATTCCTTTACTCGGGAGCTTCTTGCAGCATGCTGGTATGTTCTAATATCCGCCCTATCAAGCTGAAGTAAACTTATACCAAAATATAGGTGCTATGTGGATTCGACGCAAGTTCGGGAATGATCCATTGTACCATGCTCTTGTTCAAGCATACATTGATACCCTGTTGAGCAACGGCCATAACTTTGAATGTTTTGTTGAAGGCGGCAGATCTAGAACCGGAAAACTCTTACCGCCCAAATATGGCATTCTTAGATATGTTTTGGACAGTGTTGGCTCTGGCCGTGTGGAGGATGCGCTTATATGCCCTGTCAGCACTCAGTACGACAAAGTTATCGAAACCGAGTCATATATCAGTGAGCTTCTCGGTCAACCGAAACAAAAAGAAAATCTACGGGACTTTATATCCGCTTCCTCTGTTCTTTCACTGAAGCTAGGCCGAATTGATGTTCGGTTCCATGAACCATGGAGCTTAAAGCAATTCATTACCCAGCAGACTACCAAAATACACCATATGCCCACTAATGAGAGGAATCTGATGGCAACTATCAGTCAGGAGGAGCGATCAAGGATCCTACGCACTTTTGGCTACCGTGTCCTTTCCCAGATCAATGACGCTTCGGTTATCATGCCCACCGCTCTCGTGGGCACTGTCCTTTTAACGCTAAGAGGTCGAGGTGTTGGTAAAGCTGAACTATCCCGAAGAGTGGATTGGCTATGTCATCGTGTCAAGGAAAAAGGTGGACGGGTTGCACATTTCTACAGAGCACCAACAGCACATGTTGTAGAGCGTGCCCTAGAGGTATTGGGTCCAAAACTTGTGGGGAAAACGGCTGGACTGGCGGAAGAGACCTATCATGTCGTTGATCGGTTCCAATTGTCCTTCTACCGGAACATGACCATTCATCTATTCATTCCTGAAGCTCTGGTATCTGTCGCCCTGTACAGCCGAGTAAAGAAAGGCGGTGAACCATCTAACCAGCAGATAACTTATGATGAGCTTCTTACTCGTGTATCTTTCCTATCGCAGGTTCGTATCACTATTATTTTTTCACGACAAGGAATATGATGCTAAGTAGATATGATAGCTATTCCGAGGGGAGTTTATCTTCCCTCCAGAGGGCCTAACGGCAAACTTGGAGAAGACACTACATGGGCTGGAAAGAGGAAATGTGCTCAAGGTTACCAAAGACGCATCAAACGTTCCACAGATGATTGAGCTCAGTGAGCATGAGAGAAACTGTGGCCGTGAAAACTACGACTTCTACTGTTTCCTGTTGTGGCCATTTATTGAAGCGTGCTGGCTGGGAACTGTATCTCTGATAGGCCTAACACCGCCGCTTACAGACCCGACAAATGTCTGGGTTGACATGAATAAGGCCCAAAGCAATGCTCAGCTGGTAAGTTTATGCTTGGAATTCTTGAGTCCTGTCTTCACTGTATTATTAACAAGCGATTACAGCTCGGGAAAACATTATACTACCAAGGTGATCTCTCTTACATCGAAGCTGTCAACAAGGAGATATTAAAGAACTCCTACCAACGATTTGAGGAAGAAGGCATAATTATCACCGCTAAGAGCAAGGAATCTCCTCAGCCACCAACGATGCGAGTTTCGCCTGAATGGGCGCCCGAAAGAGATCCCGAGACAGGCAAACTACTTCCACAGGGGAAACTATGGGAATTTATTCGCATGATTGCGCAATCCCGTCGTGAAGGGTATGTCGAGGATTCCATGCATACCAACGAGCTCGGCTAACGTGCACATACAGGAAAAACCGTCGTGATGGAGAGACTATCTCCACCCGCGTACTAGAGCTCAGCGAGGCTATGGGAAGAACGCTCTTCCAGGCAGCACACCCAGTCAAACCTGCATCTGCCGGCGGGGAAGTTGAGCTGTCTTCGCAGATACAACGGCGACGAGCAATTGATACCGCATCGAAGCTGTAGTACCCACTCCATGACCCTTGGCCATGTAGAATGTAATATGCCGAGATCGAGATATGCCAACAAAATATGTATATATACACAACGCCCTACACAACATATGTTACATACCCCTCTTTTATCCTTGTAATATGGTGCGATGGAGTTGAGATAGATACCTGTGGAATCCTAGTTAATATAATGCATATGACATCCCAAGACACGTTTACGCTCGGTTTACGTTTGCATAAAAAAAAGGCCCTACTCGCCGAACCACGCGCTTGTCTGTATGTACGAGCCCGCTTCCCCTACTCTGAAAGCATCACTGTCATCGCTCGCACTCAAATTAAAGGCTATATGTATCATTACTGCACTTGTACCATGGCCGGATGGTAAGGTCACCTCGTTGTCGCATCAGTGTGTACACTCAGCGCACTATGTGCGACCTTGGGGCCTACCAGGACGGATAGTCTAGGCATGCATATCCTATCAAAAGCTGCAAGGTTAGCATATGAACGGGTTCATCCGAGCATCGAGGTCGATCATCTTCCAAGGGACTTTTGCCCATGCCACTGTCCAAGTTTTCCTTTCATCCGCCAATCCTGCTGATTATTGGATAGTTAAATGAATACACACGTACTCAAACCGTCTCTCATCAGGCAACCGAAAAAACAAGGCACCAGTGACGTACCAACTACAAATCGAGCTATCATCTCGGTCTCGTCTTCGCCTTTACCTCTCATCGTCGCCGTCTTTCATCTTATCTCTCATCTATCAGTTCCATCTTATCGCTATCTTATCGCCATCTTTCCCTGACTATCACCACGTGACTGATTAATCATCCGCCTTACGCGCGTCCAAAAAAAGAAGCCCGGACTTGGCATTTTGCTTTTTCTCGAGTTGTTTCTTTCTTCCTTCTTGGTCTGTCTCACATTTCCAACTCCAACTCCAGCCTGCAACCCCCCCGACATTCTCTCTTATCAGGATCGATTGGCTCTCTTAGATGCCTCCTGGCCCTCTGTTTCGCTCCGCCTGCACAGCGCAGTTATCAATCTTCGACTTCCCGCCACTCGCTCATCAGCAGACATAATAGCTATCGCATGATTTTCTACAGCTCAGAGGACACGAGTGCGCAACGCAGATCTCGTTTCAGCTTTCCTCGAGGATAGCCAGCAGACTTTCATACTCGCATAATTAATATATTCCTCCGATGAATGCGGATGCCGCGAAAGCCAGTCTCATTAATATTCCCTCCACTATATTAAACCAGCTTTAATTCCCCCCTATTCGACTCTTCAGAGGAGACGGCCGTGATGTTATAGTGATTAAGTGTTGTATTGACATTTACCTGATAATTCAAGAAATGGGGAGATGTATGTATAACTGCCAGTGCGGCAGGCCTATACAGTTCACAGGAATAACGTTGCTAACGGATGCGCGGTTCAATTTATTTAGGGAAGTATGCAGTTGTTCTGGACGCTGGATCGTCCGTGAGTACTACCTGCTGCGCTCGCAACGCCAGTTTTTACTCCAGGAACTTGGAAGGAGAACTCATAGCTAAGAGTATGCGCTTCGTAATTCGATAGGGAACGAGAGCACATATCTACAGATGGCCCAAAAAAGCACATAAGGATGCTGGTAGCAAGGACCTGGCAAAGTTGCCACATATCGAAACTACCAAGGAATGGACGAAGAAGATAAAACCGGGTATGAGAAGCACATGGCGCATGCATCACCGCGTACTCGCTCGATTTACTGACCTGAGTTCCTAGGTGTTTCGTCCTTCGCCAAAAACCCAGAAAACGTCGGCCCAGACCACCTCCACAAGCTTCTCAAACATGTACACTCCGTAATACCTCGCAAAGAGGTCGAGGACACGCCGATATTCCTTCTTGCGACTGCTGGTATGCGGTTATTGTCAGACAACGAACAGAAAGAGATCCTCAAAAATGTATGCTCCTACATTAGTGACAACTCTGGGTTTCTTTTACCAGATTGTGATGCCCATATAAAAGTTATCGATGGAAAAACGGAGGGACTCTACGGTTGGATTGCAACAAACTATCTTCTGGGCGGTTTTGATGAGCCAAAGGCCCATGATCATGGCAAGGGTCATCACACCTACGGTTTTCTAGACATGGGCGGTGCTTCTGCGCAGTTAGCATTCGCGCCAAATTCCACGGAGGCCAAAAAGCATGCGAATGACTTGACACTATTGCGTCTGAGGACTCTTAACGGGCAGTCAAATGAGTACGGCGTTTTCGTTACATCCTGGCTAGGATTTGGTGTTCGACAGGCAAGATCCCGTTATGTACAAGCTCTTCTGAAAGGAGCGCCTGCCGGCGCAGTCAACAGAAAATTCCCGGACCCTTGTCTCCCTGACGGTCTGCGAACAACACTAGAAGGAACCATTCTCCCTCCAGACGGCCCAGTACCCGGCACAGACTCGTACTTGGTAGGGAACGGAAAGTTTGAGGAGTGTTTGCGCGAAACAATCCCCTTGCTTGCCAAAGACACTCCGTGCGAGGATGAACCCTGTCTGTTGAACGGAGTGCACGTCCCTGCGATTGACTTTGATGTCAATCACTTCGTTGGCATAAGCGAGTATTGGCATACCACCCACGAAATATTTGAGATGGGCCATCAGGACAAGGCTTATGACTTCAAAACCTACCAGATGCGTGTCAATGAGTTTTGCTCAACGCCCTGGAGCGCTATCAATGACGGCATTGAGCAAAAGAAATGGGGTAAGGTTGACCAGGAAACTGCCTACGAGGTCTGCTTCAAGGCAGCCTGGATAATCAACATCCTCCATGAGGGCATCGGTATACCTCGTGTTGGACTCGAGGCTTCCACCAACAACACTAACAGCGCTACTAAAGAACTCGGTGGCCACGGCAAAAATGGCCAAGACAAAACCTACCTAGATCCGTTCCAAGCTGTGGATAAGATCAATGCCACTGAAGTGAGCTGGACTCTTGGAAAGGCTGTCCTATTTGCATCATCTCAAGTCCCTGCGTCTAAGGCAAGCTTACCTGTTGGGTTTGGTAGCAACACTCCTGGCAAGGTCCCGGATGACTTCGAATACCCAAGTTCGAACCAACCTCATATCCCCTCACCACCCAGCAACTCTGATAAAAACGGGACAAGCGAGAATTGGCATGACACATTATTCGACGGAGACTCACCTCGCCGTATCCCTGGTTTATTTATCTTCGCCCTTATAGTTTTAATCGTTATCTTTTTCCTTCTTGGCCGGGAACGTCGTTCCCGCATCTATCATAAACTAGGCATGCGATTCGGACGTGGCGGTAACAACGGAGGCAACTTGAGAAGAAGATCCCCTTTCTTCAGGGGGAAGATACCCTTCCTCTCTAGACGAGGCCCCGGAATTTCCTATGAACGCGTGTTGGAGGAAGGTGACCATCGAGACTTTGAGCTTGGCAGCATAGACTCGGACGAAGATTCCCAAGGATCTTCTTCCTCATCACCACCTTCAAGCGCCGCTGGAGCCCGACCTCTGGCCCGGACACCTCACAGCCAAAGCCCCAAATATAACCTCGACAATTCGTCTTTGCTCAGCGTTGCGAGCCTTAATAATTCCCTGGATAGGCGCGGGCTTGTTATCAGAACCGAGAGTAGGGACAGACTATATGCTCCGGCCCTTGCGCCGACGACTGTCGGTCGAAAATCCCGTGCCACCAGCCCTATCCGACTTTCTACGCCCATTACGAACCCTTAAAAATGATACCAATATCCTTTACCGCTCATCATTGCAGAGTTGTTACTTGTATATAATATAACGGTGTTATGATCCGGCGTTTTCCTACAGATGTTGTTCGGTTTGTGCAATCGGTTCTTTCCTGGCGCGCGGCGCAATATGTATATCCCCCCTTGCATGACGTTACATGTGTATATCATCTACCTTTTATAATATCTAGACAAGCCGGTTCCAACACCAATATTTCAGTTCATGGCATCTCTATTGGTTATCCATTAAAAGAAACAGTCTACAAGTGCAATTGAGGATAAGATTAGACCTTGCTCCAGATTGTATTTTATAGAACAGCCCTTGTAGAACACCGGTTGAGAAGAATAGAAGATTAACAAGTTAACATCCCGCACGTAAAAGAAACCCAACCCAATAACCAACAGTTTGCATTAGGTCATCTCAACGTCCTTATCGCCATCTGCATCAGCAGCACCACGAGGTATCCGTCCTTCATTCAACTCCTTCTCCAACCTGGTGATCTCCTGAAGACTCTTGGCTTCTCGTATCATCTTCTCGACTCGTTTCCTTTCCTCAGGCGTCAGCTTGACGCGTAACGGTTTCTCACTTCCCGCACCTCCCGGCGAGGAAGTAGATGATGCTGCGCCCAGAGCTGCAGAGACATCGAACGCGCGGGACTTTATGCCTAGTATTTTCGACGCTAGGGCTGTGGGCTGTTTCGTCGACGGTCCGAAAAGTTCCTTTGCCTTTTCACGTTCGGCGTCTTTTACTTTTTGGTAGTCTAGGAAGCGTATCGTCGGAGCAAGCCATATGATCCAATATCGGTAATGCTAAGATGCACCATTAGCAATTTTCGACAACCAGCTCTGAGGGCTGAGGGGATGTACCTCTTTCCTGGTCACTGGGTTTTCCAGTAGACTCAAATGCGTTAATCTGGGAAACGTCTTGAGCGGCTCCAGGTCCGCTAGTTCGGCAAAATTGTTTGCTGTCAGGACTAGGGTTGTCAGGTTTGGAAGTGAGGTCGCGAGGGTTGGTTGGATATGCGAGACGCGATTGCGGGCGAGAAGGAGAGATCGTAATCGAGGCGAGAAAGGGAAGTTAGATATCGAGGATATGCTGTTGTCCGTGAAATCGATTGCATCGTGGTCCTATCCAACACGTTAGATTTCAAGGTCCTGCATTGGTGTCGCGGATGTGTAGCGGGATGCTCACCTTTGCCGCGCCGAAGTTCTCTATAACGGGAATTTTGTGCCCTATATGGTCCGTCCCCGGAAGGAGGTAACGATAGTATCAACGCAGCTCCATTTTTGTAGGGTATGTATATGTGGTGTGGCTTCACCGAGGATGGGAAAGAAAAAGTGTAGTATCTGCTGCTTTTCAGACTAACTAGGGTGCTTTCTCTGTCATTACGCACCTCGAAGATCTAGCTCGCGCTCTTTGAGAGGATTGAGATACGAGAGGGAGTTCTGGATCAACTCAACCGTGAGACGCATCTTTGCCGGCTCTGTTCTGCTCTGCTTTGCTCCCCCTGGTTCGTCCGGAGGGTTGATATCTTGACTTTTGCTGCTTTTTTGTTATCGAAAGCTCGAAAAAGTAGAGTTGACGTTCTCTGTCACGTGTTCCTTATCTAGATCAGGCACGGCGAGACGAGAGACGAGAGACGAGAGACGAGAGACGGCGGCCTGGAGATTGGCGATGATGCCACGGACACCTGCGCAGTTCCAGGGGAAACAGCATGCATGGTTCTGTGATGAAGCATTAGTATTACCAAGCTCTTTTCATCTGTTTGTCCATGTATCCATATATCCTACCAAGACGGCGGTCCTCGCAGTGTATAGGGGGGGTCTCTGCTTAGTCATCAGTTAGATCGCACACAGAAAAAACGCACAACTCAGTTAGTCAGGGCAGACGAAGCTCGCTTTGATATCAGGCGTGGGAATCATCAACATCCCGCAAAACCGACTGCCTCGTAACTGTAGACCAGACCCTTGAAGCCGCCTGGACTTATTGCCCGCCTCACACCAGCCGAACTCGACAAAAAGGAGCTTTTTTCGCCCATTTGCGGCCCCTTCTGCGCTCAACACAGTGATAGTGGCCTTTGGGAGGCCCGACACCAACAATCAAGTCTCTGTGGCGTAATTGGCTAGCGCGTACGACTGTTAAGAACGATTCAACAAGAAGAAGTTCGGTCATCGTAAGGTTGGAAGTTCGAGCCTTCCCAGGGACGGATTCTCTTTTTTTATTTGTGTTTTTACTGGCTTCATTGAGGCCGGGGACGGTGGGTGGACGGGGAAGTCGAGTGGACTGAAATTATACCCACTCGCAGCCGCTCAAAACCCTGGTAAGGCCCAGGGAACTCCGGAAAAGATACCACAATATAAAAACTGTACGACATATCTTTTTGGCATATTGGTAACTACATATCTGCCAAAGGGTAGTTCCGGGCATTGAATTATTATATCAGACACAATGGAGTCGGCACCATGGCGCCCCTTGTTCGAAGAGCATGTTCAAGCCGCAGGCAGCCCACTGCTATCGCTGGCAACTGTATTCAAGGGCATAAACGGCAATCCATTCCCTCGGGTAAGGACCTGTGTTCTCCGGGGCTTCTTTGCTGGCCTGCAGCTACATCCCAATGCAAAGCGTGACCTGAAGTTGGCTTCAGGGCGTTCAGCTAATGACGAAAGTGACGACGAAGATGCCTCGTATCTGAATCCGAGGAAGTATGAAAGTGACCTATTGAGTATTACCACCGATGCTCGATCTGGGAAGGTCAAGCATATCCTATCTGGCAACGAAGTTGGTGGACCGGTGGAATGTCTCCTTTGGTCACCCAAGGCCTTTGCACAGTGGAGAATCAAGGGGAAGGCATACGTTGTGGGCGGAAGTTGCTCTGATACGATGGAGCTGAAGGCCAGACAAGAGGTTGAACAATATTTGCGGCTAAAAGAAGATACGGACAAGCCGTGGAGTTGGGAAAAGGAGATGACCACTCAGTTTGCCAACCTGTCTCCTGCCATGAGAGGTACGCTTATGATAAACAGGGAAAGCTGTGTATATTGGCCTTGGCTAACAGTGTGATAGACACATTCAGACAAGCTCTTCCCGGCTTACCAAAGTCAGGGCCGGCACCAGAGCTACAGGATAGCGGAAAGGGGCTCGTCGACCTGACCGACCCCGTGGCAAGGAAGAACTTCAGGGTTGTGGTTATCAAGCCAGAAGAGGTCGAATATATCCACGATGAAGGCCCCGGGAATATAAGGAATGAGAGATTCAGATGGAAGCTGGTACCGTCAGATAGCCAATACACATGGCGTTGGGTGGAAGAGCAGCTCTGGCCTTGATCTAACCCCCTTGTGCCCTTGAGATATAGCAAGCAATGTATCTGTCCTGAGCAAAATAAGCTACTCTCTCCATTGACTTAGCTCTATCAATCTGCTGTGTGAGCACCAGCAGGACAGTCAGCTGTACCTGGTCAATGTCGACATGTCCTGCTCTTTGGAGTCTCCTTTCCCCCCTTTAGTGCATGTCAAAGCAACAACACAGCAACACAGCTCGCTTAATGCCCAGCCTCCCTCACACAGATATCTTCTCCTTCTTCTAACTCTTCTTCCTCTCTCTCCTTCTCTCCTCTCCTCTCTGAGCAGTCTTTCAGTCCAGATCACAGCCTACAGCCCGGGTGTCAACGCAGCATTTGATTGTCTTGTCTGACCAGCAGCCTTTCATACTGCATCTACTTCTACCAGCCAGCAATCTGAAAGAAGAGAGCCTGCGCAGAAGCAGAGAACATCACACCCGCCTGCCATCTTGCCTGTCTAGCAGTCTGTCCGTGAAGCAAGCTTGACAAAAGAGTGACAAGGCCTTTGTCTCTACTCTGCCAGACCAGCATTGTGTGGACTGTCTCTTCAGGACAGCCTGCTGCTATCGTCTATCCTCTATCCTCTATCCTCCCGCCAGCGTAAGTTGTTGACTTCTCCTTTCACACCCGCAAGAAGTGCGCTTTCTGCTCAAAGACTTTTTCCCCTTCCTTTTTGTTTTGTTTTCTCTTCTTCTTTTACTTCTTCCTTTCTGTCCCTGTTTGACATCTCCCCTCCGCTGCTCCCGGGCAAGCAGTATTCATTATGCCCTTTTTTTATATCCTTTAGCTGGATATAGCTAAAAGAATATAGGAAAAAGAAGTGCCGGACTCCCAGGTAAGCCGTCCACCTCCTTGCTCTGCTCAGGTCTCCAGCTACGCGTTGAGATATATATCTCAGGTCGGCAGAGTTGAAGCCTGGGTCCAGAGCGAGATCTATTTTTTTTACACGAAAAGACACGCACTCTTCTCTCTCCCTCTTTCTGTTTCTCTCTCAAGATGGGACACTCAATAACATGGGAATATAGTGAGGAGTCCGAAGCCGAGGAGATGGTCTCCCGCTGCTCGTACTGCGGGCGATTCTGCAACAAAAGGGCCATTCATGGCAAGACAGGTCTCTGCTACCCATGCAGAGAGACCCTCCGCAAGGAGGGTGACAAGAGAGCCCTGGAAACGGACTCTGATACTGAGAGCGCCTCCTCCGGTCGCGGGGCCGAGGAGTGCGAGCCCGTCAAGGGCCATCCTGCTGCCACGGCTGAGGCAGAGGATGACTCTCAGTCAGCCAAGTCAGAGGAAGGGACCGCTCGCAGCAACGTCTGCTCGAGATGCTGGGCCGCAGAGGCGACGGGGACGTTATACAACTCCCCTGTCTGTGACGACTGCTACCACCTCGCACAGGCTAATCGCGTAAGTAGATAGCCATGGCCCTCCCTTTGTGTGGTATGCTTGCTACGTGTGAGATTCGCTGACATGGTCCCGAAACACTGGAAGGAATGGATGAAGGGTACCAAAGTAAGTCTTCTCCCTTACTTTTTCTATGTCCATACAATGGCATTTTCCAAAAAAAAAAAAAAAAAAAAAAAAAAAAAAAAAAAAAAAAAAAAAGCCAGAGAAATTGACTAATATGGAATCTTCATTGTGACAGAAGCGATTCCAACCGCCGAACCCGCACTTACAAGCGGGTAAACGGTTGACAAGGGTCTGCGATTCCTGCCGTCAGAAGAGGAAGCGCTGCGAGCACCGCAGAGTTGTCGATGCCACTGATCGTAAGTTGGCCCATCATTTCTTCATAGAAGAATCAAACTAGGTATTGAAAAGAGAGTGAGCATATTCTAACCTGTCCCAACTTTCTAGCGGAAGCCCACTGCCGCAAGAGAGGGAGAAAGAGAAAATGCGAAGAGATCAGTGAAGACAAGAAAGAAAGTGAAAGCAACAACGCCCCTACAAGGAGGGAGGAAGAACAAGGTAAGCTCATCCCTTTTATTTCCTTGTCATTAATGATCCAACAAATTCAAACAAAGCAGACGTGCTAATTGATATCCTTTCTTTTTTTTTTATTGCATTTTATCCAGCAGAAATCATTGTTGTCGACGATCCTGCAGAAGAACCTGGCTGTTCCGATGAGAGCATGAATCACGCCATCAAGGAGTCTCTGGACACCGTGTACAAAAGAGAACTGCTGAAACTCGAGGCCATAGCGAACGAGAAGGTCGATGAAGCCAACAAGGCCCTGGATGCCGTCCGTGACTATCTGCGCAGCTGGCTCGAACATGTCAGAAGAGGCAACTCTCTCGGCAAACAGCAACTGCCAGAGCAACCAGAGAAATTGGATCCGTTAGAGCAACAAGATCAACCACCACAGCCACTGCAACCACCAGAGCCAACTGCTCAAGAGGAGTGTGTTTGATACCTCATCCCTTTCTCCCGCAAACACACAAAGACAGAACCACCACCAGCAAAAAAGGGAGAGCCAAGCTAGAATGCCGGCGATTCAACCTGGGCCACAGGGAGGTGTATGATATTTGGTTTCGTGCTTTTTGATTTCGTTTTTTATTTTTTATTTTTTTTTTTTTTTTTCTCCTGCTTATCCTGGTGTTTTATTTTCCCTTCAGGCTATGATATATCAGGCAATGATAATGATGGGGGTTCGATTCATGTTGATTAGTTAGTTATGAGATTGCGCTAGCCTGCACATATGAAGGCATCCGGCATAGAAAGCCATTGGCAGAAGAACGCAGTGCATAGCAAAGCAAATACTCCGTATGAAGTGAAAAAACAAGCGACTGACAAGATGATTTTGCTCTTTCTTTCTTCCTCCTTTTCTCTTTCTTCGTCTTTGATGAGCGAAGGGAGGCTTAGTCATTGCATAGCTTAGTCATCTATTTACTTCCACGTGATAATCGAGCATGGGGATGTCCGAAAGAGGAAAAAGTCAACATCTCGCGACGTTGGCATTTTGAAGTTTTGCAGTTCAAGCTCGTATTCAACAGCAGCTTAACGAAGGATTTTCTCCAGGAGCTGATGCTTGACTGACGCTCGGGTGACGGGAGATGAATGTTTGCAGGACGCTGACACTCGGACATCAGACACCTCTCTCCAACCCCGAAACCCGCCGCATTCCATGTAAGATATCTGGATCTGGGACCCCCCCACGTCCACCCCAAACAGGCGCTGGGAGATCGAAGATATCAGGGCCGACAACCTCCTTAACATCACCGGCATCATTCAAAGAAATGACACCTCTGCCAAGTGTGGTCCCGTCTCCAAGTCGAAGAGCGGAAGGAAACCCGCCGAGCCTTAGACTCCATAGTTAACAACCTGAGCTCCTTGGAAGAAGTTGGATTGAGAAGGTTATGCCCTTGACTATTAGCTAATTAACATAACCATTTCCTAGTTGTCGTCATGCATGCAGGGCGAGGATCGAAGAAAGAGACACGCCGGGATATTTCCCCCTTATCTAACGGCTTTCTTTGCTTACGTTTGTTTTGCAAGACACAGAGTCCAATCGCGAGGATCTAGAAAGAACCTTAAAAAAACGAATCCTCATAATAGAAAGGACGAGAAAGCAAGAGGCGGTAGAAGGCCCACGCGGCTATCAATTAAAAGGGGCAGGATGATTTGCATGGTGAAACAGACGATGATAGGGGTGGTGGAGAGAAACAGCCCCAGCGGCGAACTGAAAAAGAACGGCCAACAAGCTGAGATTACGCCTTGGGCGAGAAAGACTTGGATCAAGGAAGATGGAAACAAGGAAGACAGGAAGAAAGCGGCCAGAGAGCCCTCGAGATGACATTCGCTTTTCGATATAGTTGCTCAACTAAGTAATAATGCCGGGGACAAGCAGCGGGGACCCCTTTTCAACGAATCTAGTCTCTGGACGGAGAAGCGAACGGAGTTCTCAGGACGGAGTACAACCTCTTGTGCCGTTATGCGAGGCATCCCGGGGTCGACTTCTCCACCGCTAGTTCTTCGGCCTATCCCGCGACGGGAACGACTGGCCGACAAGCACAAGTGATGCTTGTTCTTCCAGGGTAGTTGATGATAATAATGGGGTGCACGATATTATACGTGCCGCAAAAGAGCTTTTTGCGACGCTACACAGGTGAGGCCATTGACAAAGACATTTTGCCCACCAACGCGGACATTATACTCGGTTAACATGTCTAGTTACTAGTTATCGAGTTATCCAACCTTTTTTTTTTTTTTTTTTTTTTTTCGCCTTCCGTCTGAGAGGCCGGTCCGTATGGATTATTATACTACTGCCAAATGACTGGCTCGGTCGTTATAGATATACGCCTTGAGAGGGAGTAACTTGGCATTAAGCATCAGGAAGAGCCTAAGCGGCCAACCGGGTAGAGAAACAGAAGCAGAGCGCGCAACTTGTTGCATGAACGTCGAACGCCTGCCTGTCTGTACGGAGTACATCCCCGTACTTAAAGTCCGCACCTGTATGACCTGTATCTACGTCTGTGGCGGCCAGGGTAAAGAAGGCCTTGTCTCCATGTTGCATCGGCTCCCTTACAACTGTCTGTAAGTGCTTCGTACTCTATGAACGAACAAGCCCAAATAGAAGCCGGCCGTTGGCGCATATGTAGACTGACAAATATATATAGGTTGGTAGGGGCTTGTCACTCGAGAGTTTAGCTGGCGAACCTAACTTCACTACTGCTGGCTTCCTGTCGCTCCCGCCCGCCGCCCCGTCGCCTTTTTTTCTTCTTCCTTCGATTTCGACCTTCGATTTGGACTTCGACTGCTCAACTCTTCTCTCTCCCTTCGACTTCTTCCTGCTTCCACCTTTTTTTTTCACTTCTCCTTATCGCTCTGCTTCTCTGTCACTCGACTAGACGAGAACGCAATTGCAGCATGGCCACTTTCCTTTGACTTCCTTCGCCGGCCTGCCGACTCCCGTTTGCCTCCCTGGGGTTTTTCTTTTCTTCGACCTGCTCCATTCTTGCGCATAAAGGCTGGCCATCGCTTGAGCACCGAATCTACGCAAACCCAGCACCAGTTTTTCGCCATTCGTAGCCTTTACGACCTGTTCTACGAGGCTTCCCAGCGACGAGTTCCCCGTCTCTTTCCCCTTCCTCTCGATTTAAATCAAATCTCTAGGGCTCGAATTGCTCAGCGGAGCCTCACCTACATACAGTTATACACCCAAACTCGTCCCGAAGAAGCAAGGGAAAACAAACTGCCGGACCAAGAAGGGCCACGCCCATCAGCAAGATGAACGGCGCTCTCGTCGACCCGGCCCAATGCTTCTCCCACCTCGTCGAACACATTCCCATATGGTTGACTCGAGTCACGGAGCTGGCCTCTCATACAGCAGCCAAACACGCCGAGTTTGCTGCGGAATACACCCGCTTATCCAAGCTGAAGCCTCGACAGCGAAGACGGCGAAACAGCTCCCTCAATACCAACAAAGGAGAAGAGGACCAGCGCTCAGTAAACTCGAGAAACAGACCTTCCTCCGGTTCTACTTACAGACACTTCGACGCACAAGATCCGTTCCGGGATTCCTTGATATTCAAACGGCTCACCCGTCAGAATAACCAAGACGCCATAAACAAGAAAAGAAAACAGCAGGACAGCGCTTCTTCTGCACCTTCGGACGCTGACAGCTGTCTAGCCCGCCGGGTTCGCCAGCAGGTTGTTATACACTATGATTCTCAGACACAGACAGTGCTTGAACGCCTCGTTCGTGACATAGGTGGTGCTCGCAACCAGATCCGAAAAGGACGCATGAACTACATGATGAAAGTCGACTTCAGCCGTCGAGCTTTACCTTCCCACTTATTCCCAGCCGGAGGCCCGGACGATGACGAAAACACCCTCACCTTACCGCCGCATCGATCCTTTAGGAGGTCTCGAAGTACACATTTTGATCCAAAACCTGGTACCAACGGAACAGACACTAAAAGTACGACACCCGCGAAACAGACAGCTTCCGCCTTTGACACGACAGACAAACAGCTAGAGGTTGCCCAGAGTTTATGCGAGACGGCAGCGCACCAATTCCTACGAAACGGAGACTGCTCTAGAGAGCTAAACAAGACAGTAGAGCGACTTAACGCCGCGCTGGAACTGGCCCAGGCCGAAGGGACCCGACTCAAGGCTGAGAAGGAAGCGGAGAAGCTACGCCAGCAGGCTGAAGAGGAGGAACAGGAAAGCAAAAGTGACCGCACGGTCGTTGAAACGGTTGGACCTGCAGGTTCCGATGCACACATGCAGGCCGACACCCTCCAACCTGTGAAGATGAAGATGGACATGAATGTGAACGGAGATGCAAAAGCGCCGCCGGAGATGATGGGGGCTATCGAGGTGGACGACGGGTCATCGACATCGTCTATATCCATCGACCTCGCTGCATTTCGGCGACGGAGGTTCAAAGCGTAATTTATTTACCCTTGACTGTGAGCCGGTGAGCCGGTGAGCAACGACAACGGAAATTGAGATGTATTGGAATTCTTCTTTCTCGACTTCTGCGAACTCGTCACCTACAGTGCGTGAACTCAGCGAGACAGGACGTACCAAAGGTTCCACACTCTGCAGGTATGTGTTGTTTGCCTGCTTGGGATTGGCGACACCGGCAACAACTGCAAGCCCATGCCAGTTGATTCGAAAGTCACGAAAGGCAGAATGTATCAAATGCTCCTCGAAATTTCCGGGGAGGCCCACTGTCACAACCTCCTCTATCTTCGTTTTTTCATTTACCTCCAGCATAAATCGGCGTTTTTACTCTGCATTTAGCCCAGCGACGCTGCTCTGTTCCAGCTAACTAACTACCTCCAAATTTCCTCTTATCTAATTGTTGCTCCTTGTCCTTTTGCCTTATACCTCTCTCTAGCAAAATTTAAAAGGAAGCCAACCATGGTTACGGTGATGATAGCGTTGCATTCCCTTTCTTTTCCTCTGCTCCTCATTTGTCTGTTGTTTTAGCCTGTCATTTCATTTCCTTTTACCATCATCAGCACTGGGACATGGATATACTTAGCATGGAGTCTCTAAAATGGGGAAATTCATACTATTTTCTGCTCTATTAATTTTTTTTTCGAAAAATATGAATACCACAGATATTATATACCACTAGCCTCCTGTTTATTTTTCTCTTTCCTTTCTTTTTCTTACTTTCTGTTGTTCAATAATGATATGCCACCACCGCCAGCATATTCGCAAAGTCAGTCCAACCTCGTACGGGAACCCATCACCATCAAACCAAGAACAAGATATCTCTTCACCAGGAAGCCTCTTGTTTAACCTTCCGTGCGGACTTCGCGGGCTTTCCCGTCAATAAATCAGAGCCGAGAAAGAACAAAGTGACACTTCGGGGGCATGCAGCGGCCGGTTGGCAGTAACAGTGGTACGAATGCAGGTGTGTCATCCTCGCCCCCTTCTCCCTCCCTTCCTCGCTCCCTCGCGCTGCCTGTCTTTTCTTGTCCGCCCGTTGAAGAGTACAGCTCATTCTCCCTGTTCTCTGCACAAGCTGTTGGCGGTCCGCCTCCCCCCATCGGTTCGTATTCATGAAACGAGGCCATCCCTGCAGTTCTGACAGGCTTCAACGCTGTTGTTTGTTGGCTTTTGCTGAAATGGCACAAGGAAAAGCCAAGTAATAGATTAGGTGCATAATAGCGCTTGATATATGTAGGGTGCCAGGGACATGTATGTATCAAGCCGATTCCATCCCCGATCGCCTAGTGATATTAATCGTCATTGACTGATAGCTGGCCTGCTAACGACATGGTGACTGTATCATTATGCAGCTAAGTAACGCCCCGTCAAGGAGAAGGGTGTGGATGATACTCCCTCCGTACGGATCCTTCGTTATTATTATCATTACTTGCGTTTGGCTCCAGCAAAAAGACGAAAATCAGGCGAACGGGAAGTGGCAGATCAGTTGATGGCAAAGCTACATGATAGGAAAGTATACCCTTTCGCTAATCGTATTATAGTTAGTAATAATTTCACTTGGTAATTTTAGTAGTCTTGTCTTCTCCCGCAGTGCAGGCAACTAAACGCACAGGAGGAAAAGAAAAGAAGAAAAAGTGAGCTGTCGGGCCATCCGAGGCCTTGTTCAGCTGATGTATATCCTGTCTGTTCTCCTCATGTAAATATGCGAGCAAGGAGGTACGGGTACATATACGATGTTGTGTTCACCCTTGTCCATGCCGCAGCGGCACAAGAGATGTTGACATCCATAGGAGCAGGTTGAGAATAGCAGTTGACAGGGAAAACAGGCGAGATTAACTTGATAGGGAAAGTGATGGCATCCGATTCCCTTGAACGGCGGGCTCGAATTAGGCAATACCGCAAGTATGTATGGAGTACGGTCCGCTCCCCTCCCTCGCCGAGGAATGAATGACCCAGAATGGAGATGGGGGGTGCATGCAAATACGCAAGTGGACAGGTGATTTACGCTGTCCAATGCAGACTTTAGCTCATTGTGGTTGCATAAGTATTTTCCCGGAGAGCTTCTGGTAGGATGGGATGGAGAGACATAATCAGATTGTTGCAGGGCTATCCCTCCGTTTCTGCTTGTCAATTCCCATCCGTCCTATCCGCCAGTTTACTTCACGGCTGCAGAATCGACACTCTTAAACTTGAAGAAGATGCGGGTGCGAAATCAGAAAGTTATGCTTCGGAGTCTGTCCCCATTCGTTAGCTTCGGTGGATTGTTGGATTGATACAAACGCAATTTCTCACACTGCAACTCATCTTTTAGTGTGCCCTGTTTAACAAGTGGTTGGCACTATATAAGTTCGAGTTTGCCATGCGATACTTCAAGTTGTCCGCAATCTAAACGCCACTCAAACAGGAATGGAAAATCACCTAGGGCAGGGTTAATGCCTGCGATATGTTATAATAAGTAGGCCTCCTCTTTAGAGCCATGACTTGTGTCATCATACCCACTCCCTTGTCTACACTGGATGAGCTGTTCTCGCCAAGCTGGTGCATCTTTGAAGCTCATTTCAATTGCCAGGCTGAGTTCGGTCAGTCAATTAGCCAGTCAATATCCGCCGAAGAGCCACCACGCAGACAGGCCCTCCGTATGGAGTATGAACATGAAGATTGTTAGAGACCAAGAGTTTTTCCAACCCCTTTACACTTCAAAACCTGCATATACGCTGGCATTGCCAATAGTGCCTCCATACGTAATGCCTGTCTGAATGAGCAAATGGGCGTTTAAAAAAGTGTCGACTGCAAGAAGCGATATCGTCGATCAAAGCTAACGGTGCAGCAAGCTAGGCGAGCCTGATGCAGGCAATAACAGTCCAAGTTTGTTCTTTTCTGCAGTTCTCCCATTTTTGTCCTTCCTTCGTGGCAATCGAGTGCAGTGCCGAGCTGTATTGGCCCAGATAGCCATGGTGGCAGGCTGGCAGCTAGCACTTTTTGGATGTGTCGACTACTCCACAGGTCCTGGATGGTGAGGGTGAGATGCAAAATATGTGGATGACCCCGGTTCAGATATCGCTCTCCGTGCAAGGGGCAGGGATACTGATGCATCTCACGATCGAAGATGGAACAACGCAGCGTCGCGTCCTTTGAATCGTCGTCGAGATGTCAAACGTCGTCGTCCCTTTTCTATTGATGCCGCGAGGAACTGGATGCGTTCACGTGATGTGGCTTAGTCATCAAAACAACAACCTTGCAAACGGCTGGAGATGCAACAGATGGGCAGAACAGACGCACATCCCATCGACGCCATGCATGGCACGGAGGACGCAATGGCTTCAGACGATAAGCCATGGCCTTTGATTGCGACCCGAGCGAGGGCTCTCAGCTGACAGGCTCTGGGTGAAGGCTGTTTCATGTAGAGAGTGGCTTGCGGATTCTACCTGCAAGATGACAGACAGACAGCCTTGTGAGAAACCCAACCTTATGCCATCAGATATTGACCGGTTTTTAATTACAGATCATGCCGGGAGTTCTGACCCCCTCTTTCGGCTTCTGTGGCCTCTCTATCGACCAATCTGACCTCTAGTCTCTTCATGTCTACAGAATAATTCTCCCTGGATGATATGGCCGACAGCGTGAAAACTGCTCTAGCCAAAAGCCCAGAATGTTTCGGCCAATACCAAACAGGACAATCATGCATTATCGTTAACATGTGCTTTGCAGATGTAAATGTACCCTCAACAGGACAGAGATGAGTTCGCCAACCTATTAAACCACTCCTCTGGTTTCCTAGCTCTTCTCAGGCCCTCTAAAATCGAAAACTGCCCGGCCAGAGATACGCACGGGTACGGAGTAACGACGGAGTAGTTGGGTCTTGACGAAGGACGCACCAAGACCAAACTCTTTCTTATTTTGTTTCTGGGCCCGTCCGGAACAGTAGCGTCACTTCACTCGTAGGGTGCAGACCATTCCACAGCATCTGCCGTCTGCAGCTCGAACTTCCCCATCTTTCTGCTCTTGTTTTGGTGACAATATCAGCGCTACCTGTCAGCGTGGAGTAATTGACTGCTTGGGCGTGGGGGTATGCTAGTTAGAAGTATGGGGATGGCAGCTCAGCTACCTTTTATGCTGTTGTACAGTAGATGATATTACCACTTTATGGTCATACCTTCAGCGTATTGTCCCTTCTACTCTACCCTATAACCAACTACCTAACGTAAATTATTTTTGGCCAACCAGTTGTCGTTGATAGTGACTTCAGTGATGACTTCAGGCTGGTTTCTGGAAGGTTTAGTTACCGCCGGAGCGAGCCGAGGTTCAGCATCCTTCCTTGGCACCTGGACCTCAGCTACTTCAGAGCCGACGAAACCTTTCTCCATCGAACTCTGATATTAGGAATTCAATGCCAATATTGAATACTTAGTCTATTGGGATTCCCAGCTATACCTCGAAAATGAGCTCTGTCAAGCCGTTCAAGATCTCCGTTCCTGATTCACAGCTTGAAATACTGCGCAAGAAGCTTGAAGTTACCACCTTTCCGGATGAACTAGATGAGTCCAAATGGGACTTGGGCGCACCGTTGGATGATATAAAGCGCCTAACAGAGTACTGGAAGGAAAAATTCGACTGGCGCGAAAAGGAGAGATGGCTTAATGAGCAGATGTCTCACTTTACGACCGATGTTGAGGTAGCAGGATTCGACAAGCTAAACATACACTTTGTTCACCACAGAAGCAATGTAGCCGGTGCAATTCCTCTACTATTTCTCCATGGCTGTAAGTTTCCAGATATACAGCTCACGTCTTTCCAAGCGCAAACTAATACATTTCTAGGGCCAGGGAGTTTCCTTGAAGTCTCAAAGCTGTTGCCTCTGTTGACGGCTGGAAGTGAGAGCCATCCTGCCTTCCACGTAGTGGCACCATCTCTCCCCAACTTTGGTTTCTCAGAGGGAGTTAAGAAGGTATTACCCCCTTAGCTTGGCTGTTAAGGCTCTAGAATTTCCCTCTAATGGTCAAGCAGAGAGGTTTTGGCCTTGCACAGTACGCGGAAGCAATGAATGCGGTGATGATGGCATTGGGGTATGAGGAATATGGTAGGCTACCCCTATTAATAAGATCTATTGCCTCAAGAGTACAAGCTTATATTCTTCTCTGCCATATAGTGGTTCAAGGAGGAGACTGGGGTGGTGTCATTTCACGTATCATGGCGAAGCGTTATCCTTCACATGTGAGAGCAGTGCATGTAAACTTTGTTATCCTTTCACTCCCGTATCCATGGAAAAGCCCAATACTCTTCCTTAAATCCCTTCTTACAATTCCCTTCTCGCGCAAGGACCAAGCCAAACTCGCTGTATCCCAGAATTACGCCACGCAGGGCAATGGGTATATGGCTCAACAAGGCTCTCGTCCTCAAACACTCGGGTATAGTCTCCATGACAGTCCAGTAGGCCTGTTAGCTTGGATATACGAGAAATTACATGCCTGGACAGACTCTTATGCCTGGACGGAAGATGAAGTCTTGACATGGGCTTCAATATACCTCTTCTCTCGTGCAGGGCCTGCAGCATCAACTCGAATCTACTACGAATTCAACAATGCTCCTCCCGGGCCCGGAAACTTTTCTAGTCAAGAGGTAGTCAGCTGCTATTCTCCCGATGTGAAATTCGCTATTGCACATTTCCCTCGTGAGATTCTTGCATTTCCCATGCTATGGTGCCGTTCAATTGGAGACGTAGTGAGAGAGTCTGAATTTGATAAAGGTGGCCATTTTGCTGCCTGGGAGGTTCCAGATGTTTTGGCAGCAGATATCCAGGGGTTCCTTGGGAAGGAAGGCCAGGCATACGGTATAGTTTCTAGAGCAGATGGATATTAAGTCCGCTGATTGCAATACTTGCATTCACTTCTTGGTTTTTGAGTTAACTGGTCGTTGGGTATACGCGGATCTCAAAGTATAGTATATAGTATACCAATTTCAAACATCCTACCTAAAGGTAGCAGTTTTCTATTCAGAATGCATTGATATGAAGTGAGATACCCAATGCATTATCAAATGCATATTCCACAGTGTCCATGGATAAGGTGAGAGTAGCTGGCATCACGCGAGGTGACGCGCTCTTTCTTCTACAACCACCACTACCCGTCGACTTCAACCCCTCGTTTGGTTCAGGCGTACCAACAACCATCCGCTTTACTGGGTGCTCTTCAACATCCAACACATCTCTGTTGATAATCAAGAAGGGTATACTGTCTCCTGGACGTACACCGGCGGTGACGTGCGGGATAGACTATAGGCGGATCCCTTGCACGCGAAGCATCAAAAACAGCTGACTTGCCCTCCAGGCTCCAAGAATAACGGCAAAAATTACTTACTGCAAGCCTATAGCTCAACCAGAAGAATTGTTGCAATGGCTCAACCAATTTCGTATCGGAGGGGGTTTGATAGATTCGCTCTAGAACCCGAACTCGGACCTGTGGAGTTCGAGATGGCTCTGGATATCGAAGAGCAGGTACGTATTATTCGGGTATCAAGGGATATCATTCATAACATATATAAGTAACTAACCGTGTTGGCCCCTTTATCGAGGACAGGCGCGAGCATCAGAGCAGAACAAGCGCCAACTGCAAGGTAGCTGGGAGGAGATGGATGACAACTCCAACGATCAAGAGGTTAGCATTGCTTCTCCACTGGTATTGATATATAGATCTCTAATACCGCAGATATACCAGGTAGGAGGGAATTGGGGAAGTATACCGGCATTGGAAAGTAATGCTGAGCCCCATTTACCGAAGAGACTCGGCCATCTATCCTCAAATCCCGAATTCAGATTTCCTCCAGAGTCAGACTTAAGGGGAGCTGATAACATGGATCCCATAAAGAAATCCCCTCAACTATTCCAGGAGAAGTTCGACAATCGTAGTCAACCACAGACACCGTCTCCTCGATATACCAACAAAGCCGACCAGCAATACTCTAATCACCGTTATATATCAGAGGCAGAAAGCTACACGGCACATTGGGAGAATAGTATTCTCTATGACAAGGATATAAATACGCGGGTATCCTCACCAGGTTTCTTCCGGCTGCGGTCAGAGTATAGGTCACCGTACTTGGGTCCTGTTGGTTGGACAATACCGTCCAAATATTATAGTACAACTAGAAGAAGCCCACGAAGGCCTCTGGATTCATATGAGGCTAGCACTGATGAAAATCACGTCTCTACTGTTGACCCAAGAACCGGTTCGCCCAGAGAGAGGGTTAGAAATAGGAACACAGTATCGGCATACAGTTGTCGTGCTTCGAGGCCGTTCCTAATCTACCAGGATCCCGAATGGGTAGTTCCACCTCAAGGAGTCACGGACGTGTATTTCGATAGTACTGCAAGCGACGATAAGGAAAACAGTGCACCTGAGGAGGTGGAAGCTCCCACTGACAATGAAGAACTTTCCAGAGAACAGAACACGGGAATTCAAGTTGGGAGACCAGCACAGGAAAACGCCGGCGACATTGATGGACACGATGAGATGGATATCGACAGAGACGAATCGAGAATCATCTTAACTCAACCGTCAAGGCGAGAGATGCCACAATATCAACATCGAAGAGACACAAGCTCCATGTCATCCTCTTCGATTATCTGATTTAACCGTGTCTGCTTGAGGGTATCGAGCTTAACAGTCACAGAAAGGAGTATATATATCACAGTGCGTATGCAGGGGCAGTTATGTCAAGAAAAGCAAGCGAGGTGTACATTGCATATCGGGCTGAATATCCATATTCCACTAAGATGGTTGTTCAGGACTGGCTGGGGTACGGAGTATCACACGGCTTGATGGCCATTGCGCCTCCAGCTCTGAAGATCGCAATCGGCTCCATCTGATCCATAATTATTATAATATAATAGCCATGACACAGAAGAACGTGAGAAACTGGCAGCCACGAAAGCAATATTCTATGAAATATCCGTACCGTTTTGATACGTTGTAGGAAAAATTGTGTGGATTCGTCCCACGAGAGGACGGCTGTGATTTTCTGTGGCGGATCGATCACCCACCTAGTTAGCCTGGCGGTTTGGTTGCAAATAGCCAGCCTCACCTGCAGGCCCCATTGCCCGTGTTGAATACGTTGCAGCTTGGGAGATGGGTAATTCAAAGTCAGTGAGAGTACGTGAGGGTATGGAGTATCCAGACAGCCTTCAGACAAAGGAAGTTCCCTCCTTATACATAACCCTAAGTTACGGAGCTTTTCCCGTAAAGTTTGCCGTAACTTGCAGAACATCGACAGCTTGTGCGACCTTGCTGCACTCCAGGGCCCCTTATTGGAGCTCGCTTTCATTCAACATTTCCTGGAATATTATTTGTTTCTTCCCTCCCTGAACAGCGCTGAATGGCAAGTCACTGTGCTAACAAACTAGGGCAGAAATGATACACTGGCAGCTAGAGAACGGGTCCGACATTTGTCAACCCCCTTAAAATTGACGTTGCATGACAGCTTGGTGTACTCTGTAGGAGCCTCTCTACTTATTTAGTCCCAAATCAAGGAAATGCTTGTTAACAACGATAGGACTGTTCATGCGAGCTAGCAGGCTGCTGGTGATGCATCTCATCCAAGCTCCGGAATACGAGCCAGGCAAGTCGATAACCACAGCAAGGGATCGTCAGCTAGCTGTTGGACGAACCGGGACCATGCACCTGGAATTTCCCTTACCCCCTACTTTTCGTTCTGATAACTACCCGCCAGGCTGAATTCAATCACATTATTGGCCGACCTGACTACCAGTCGAGCAGCCGGTTGAACAGCCGATCCTAAGCAGAAAATATCCCACACCCAGCGCTTGAGAGGTGCAAAGTGGGTACAGAGCCAGTCTTTCTCTGTCTGGCTGCTTGAATTAATTTGGAATGGTTGATTGGCTGATAGTCTATCTCATCTCAGACGTTAAACTGAATTGCAAGCCGTAGCTCCCAAAAGACGTGTTGAAACCGAGTATCCCGGACATACAACGATAGACGGGATTTTTTTTTTTTTTTTTTTAAAAAAAAAATATGTACAGTTCCTTATCATCTTGATCAAAACCGTAAAAACAACAACAACAACGACAACAATAAGGTACGATTGATTATGTTCAGTGGGAAGTTAATCCCAAGAGTCTTGATATTCTTCATTCAAAAGAGTTCTATGTAGTCCATTGTCATAAACGCAGAATTTCGCACACATGTAAACGTGAAGGCTGTCACATTTGCCAAGTCAAGCCTGGCACATGAAGACAACTGTATTCCACTCCTGTATCTATAAACTAGGATGGGTAGCGTTCCATGCCATGATACACCGTATCCATGTAGTATAGCGTTGGATATACGGAGTAATGCGTATGTGTATATTCGGGTATAAGGAGACGAAAGCCGACCTTGCAAGTCTTTGCTACAGTAGCATGGAGGCCAACTGATAATAGAAACCCGAGAAGAGAGAAAGAAAATGAGAGAAGGAGAGATATGGAGACCGGCACAATGGGTATATTACCACCGCAAATTCATTAATTGTTGTCGGTGCAAGAAGAGTGGCATAGCATGATAGCATGATCTCCCCTGCAAGGATGGTGGTCAAGGAAGTCATGACAGAGGGGGAAAATATGAATGGAAAGCAAACTGCATATGCATGTACTCACCATGTCCGGTTCACCTAGGATCTAGCAGGGCGAGCGGCTTGCTGCCTTTCCCGGACGAGGGAGGCGGAGATGCTTCGAGGTTGACCGCTATCATTCCGATCCGACAAGCCAGCAGCAGGACGAGCGAGGGAGGAGAAGAGGGAACTTCCCTGACATTTTCTTCTCAATTCTAGCAACAAGCAGCCCGTCTCACCTCCATTTGGCCATCAGGGCGGGCTCGCTTCCAGATCCCGCTGCACGAGCGGAGATAGATACGTCGTCCGGTCAACGCTGGGCCTGGCTTCTCTGTCCCACCGTCACTAATGCACGCCGCGGCGGCCCCTGCTCAAACAGCGTACCTAGTTAGTTAACTCGCTGGCTCATCGACGACGCACAACCGAAGGTCTCGGTAGAGAAGAAAGACATATAAGACACATGACTAGGAACAGCCAGTCTCGTCTCTGCCGATGCTACGGAGTCCTTGTGGGTGCTGCTGGAGAGGCTGGGACGAAGATCTGCACACGGAGATGCTAAGGGCGGAGGTGATCTGGCAAGCAAGCAAGTGGCCGTGGATTGCGCTGGGAGAGGGCACTGCCGCATTTCCCGATGCGCTGTGGCGGCAACCCGGGGACATCCTGAGCGCGGTAATAATAATAATAATACTGGAATAGCTGCTGGCGCCCCCGGGAAGCCATTGTGATTGTTATATTATTGTGCTGCTAATGGGCATGTCCACGTCGTTTCAACGTGTTTCAAGATGACGTAAGAGGCCTGCGCCTGGCGCGATGCAGCAGGCATGCGGCAGCTATGCAGCGGTACTTCTGCTGCCCGCCCAAATCCGGTGTGGCAGGCAAGTCACTGCGCATCACGTCACCATCGCCGCGGCATAGCAGGGAAAGCTCCCTGTGGACTGTTGGTGTGGCTGGTGACTGCTTACCTCAGCACCCCTGGCCCGCCCTAATTTGCCACAGCCTGCCAGATCGGGACTAGCGCTCTCCCTGAAGAACGCGATCTTGCATGCTCGTTGCTCGACACGGGATGGATGGGCTCGACAGCGCAGGCCAGCGCCGTGACACTCAGCTCAGTCCTGCAGGCCGTGGACGGCGAGCGCAGAAGGGTTTGTCGTGGGTGCTTCTGTATAGGAGTACGGAATATAGTAGTATTTAGAGTAAGCCACCAGCAGCAGCAGCAGCAGCGTCGCCCGGCTCCTCAGGAAAATCAACAAATAAATAATCCGAAAAAGCAAAAATAAAAGTAAATCGGGGAGCTCGTCCGAAACAGGAAAGCTCGACTGCAGCTCCCTCACTAGTCCCAAACGAGGAAGCTACGCAAGATCCAGGATGGCCCAAAGTGCGACCGCCCTCCCTTTTTACTCTTCTTCTGCCGCCGCCTCGCCTCTTCTGTCTTCTCCTCTTCCTCTTCTCCCGACCCCAACTCGACCTCGCTCGACTCCCATCTCCCTCCCACCACCACAGTCGACCATCGCATCGACACAGGAGAAGAAGAAGAAGCACCGCCTGCCGTTCTCTCTCCCACCACCACTCGCTCGCTCGAGTGTCGTCTCAAGCCCTCGCCGCAATGGACGCTCTCAATGTCTTCGCGAAGCGCGTTCGTCTTCCCTCTCTCTCTCTCTCTCTCTCTCCCTCTCCCGTTGCCCTGACCCAGGCAAGACCCTCGCAAACGACCTGCAGATGGAGCTAACAGAGCGCCTATAGGATGAGCCAGAGAAGCCCAGCGAGGCATCTAACTCGCTGTCGGGGTTTCTCTCGACTCTCGTGCCCACCGCCATCATCTCTGCTATCATGGTGGTGCTCTTTTTGATCTTGCGCCAGAGCCAGCGTCGCCAGTACGTTCCCAGAACATACATCGGAGCTCTGCGCCAGCATGAGCGCACTCCCGCACCAAAGCCCGGCCTCTTTGGCTGGGTCAGCTCCATGTGGAGCCTGCCAGATACCTACGTCCTGCGCCATCAGTCCATGGATGCCTACCTGCTGCTGCGCTACCTCAAGATCGCAACGGCTCTCTGCTTCTTTGGATGTCTTATCACTTGGCCCGTGCTTTTCCCAGTCAACATCACCGGTCATGGCGGCCGCCAGCAGCTTGATATGCTGGCCATTGGCAACGTGGACGCCAAGCGTCCCGGCAATCTGTACAGATACTTTGCCCATTGTTTCGTTGCTTGGGCTTTCGTCGGTAAGTCTTGACGGTCCTGCTCCAAGGTTATAAAGCTGGGGGTGTATAAAAGTGGACTAACAATGGATGGATAGGATTCGTATTCTGGATGGTTACTCGTGAACTGCTTTACTTTATCAACCTGCGACAGGCTTACTTCATGTCTCCGTTGTATGCGGAGCGCATCTCCTCCAAGACTGTGCTCTTCACCTCGGTGCCGGAGGAGTACTGCGACGAGGCCAAGATGCGCGCCATGTACGGAAACGACAAGGTCAAGAATGTCTGGCTCGTCACTGATGTCAAGGAGCTCGAGAAACTCGTCGAGGAGCGTGATAAGGCTGCCTTCCTACTTGAGGGTGCCGAGACCAAGCTCATCAAGATGGCCAACGTTGCTCGAGGCAAGGCCCTCCAGAAGGGAGGCGAAGTTGATGACCCAGCTGCACATGGAAATATCGGCGAAGCTGAGTCTGGCTCTGTTGCCGCACGCTGGGTTAAGCCAAACCAGCGACCAACCCACCGTCTCCTGCCCATCATTGGCAAGAAGGTCGACAGCATCAACTGGGCCCGTGAGGAAATCGGACGTTTGACCCCTGATATCGATAACCTGCAGCGTAGCCACCTCAACGGGCAAGCCAAACGCATCTCTGCCGTTTTCGTTGAATTCATCAACCAGAATGAGGCTCAGGCTGCTTACCAAATGTGTATGTACTACTCTCAAGGTTTTGGTACCTGAGCGAAGGATTTTTTTTTTCTTTGCCGACGACTAACCTTAACTCTCTTTAGTGGCTCATAACCTTCCGCTTCACATGGCTCCTCGCTACATCGGTATCAACCCAAGTGACATCATCTGGTCTAACCTGCGCATCAAATGGTGGGAGCTCATCATCCGTTATTCTGTCACTATCGCTGCCGTTACTGCACTCATCGTCTTCTGGGCTATTCCCGTTGCCGCTGTTGGTGCCATCTCAAACATCGACTATCTGATGGCGAAGGTTCCATTCTTGAGATTCATTGGCAAAATCCCACCTGTGATTCTCGGTGTTGTCACTGGATTGCTCCCTACTATCTTGCTTGCTGTCCTCATGGCCCTGTTGCCAATTGTTCTTAGGCGTAAGTCGAAAACTGTGTGTACCCATGTTTTTCAATTTTTACTAACATCATATTTTTACTAGTCCTTGCTAAGCTTGGAGGATGCCCTACCAAGGCTGCCGTCGAGCTGCGCACTCAGAACTTCTATTTTGGATTCCAAGTCGTTCAGGTTTTCCTGGTTGTCACTTTGTCGTCCGCTGCTTCTAGCGCTGTCAGTGATATCATCAAGAACCCTTCCTCCGCCCCTGGCTTGCTCGCTAGAAGCATTCCAACTGCCTCCAACTTCTACATCTCCTATATCATTCTTCAGGGCTTGACCTTCAGCGCTGGCGCTCTTCTTCAGATTGCTGGTTTGATCATCTCCAAGCTCCTCGGCATGATTCTGGACAACACTCCTCGCAAGATGTACACCCGTTGGGCTACCCTTTCTGGTATGGGATGGGGCACCATATTGCCTGTTCTCACTAACCTCGTTGTCATTGGTACGTCAATATTCTCTTGTATCCCTAATTCATCCAGGCTCGTTCAGCTAACATCTACCCAGCTATCACTTATGGAGCCATTGCCCCCTTGGTTCTTGGATTTGCTACCGTCGGCATGTTGCTCTTCTACCTCTCTTTCCGCTACAACGTCTTGTACGTCAACGACACCGACATCGACACCAAGGGCATGATCTATCCACGCGCCCTCAAACAGACCCTCGTTGGCTGCTACCTCCTTATTATCTGTTTGATCGGCCTTTTTGCCATTGGTACTGCCTCTGACAGATCCGCTACTGCCCCTATGATCCTTATGATTGTCTTCTTGGTGTTCACCATCCTTTACCATATCTCCCTGGTCAATGCTGTGAACCCACTTCTCAATTATCTGCCAAAGAATCTCGAAGCCGTCGAACAGCAGCACCAGGCTCTTCTCGCCCAGAACAACAATGGCCAGCCTGCTGCCCACAATGGTGATGTCGAGAAGGGTGATGTTCGTGGTGCCACTAATCAACCAAACATGATCGCTAAATTCCTTGGACTCAACAAGTATGAGGGCTACGAGCAGCTTCGCGAACTCGTCCCCCACGGTGCCTATGACACTGACTACCCAGCCGAAGTGGAGAGAAACGCATACTATCATCCCTCCATCACTTCTACTGCACCTCTTCTCTGGATTCCCCGTGATGCTGCCGGCGTCTCTCGCCAGGAAGTCATTCACACCAGCCGTTACATTGGTATCACTGACGAAGACGCCACCATTAACGACCAGGGCAAGATTGCCTGGGATGAAGAAAGCGGCGCTCCTCCTATCCAAGAGGAGAAGATCTACTACTAGTCGTTCTCCGTTTTGGTTCAACCTAGATAAACGTCACAAACCTTTTCTTCCCCTTTTTGCTTATTTTCCTTTGTTTGGGTCTTGATTCCTAGTCTCTAACGGCTGCGGTTTTCTGGACGAAGTATGACGCTAATGTTTATGGCGATCCCCGATGTGGCTTGAATGAGTGTTTCTCCTTGATACCCTATACCCCCCCGAAAACCAAAAGTAACAAAATTGATATAATTGGAGATGGAAGCTTGTGAGGGTTCAGCCTAGCCTGGTTGCGTGCAACTGCATCTGCGAGCGAAGCTGTATGTTTAGGTAGCTGTGTTTTTTCGTTGTTGACCTGTTAAGTAACGTAATAGTTAATATACTTATTATCATTCTCGACTCTGGGAGCAGCACCTACAATAGCACGTCTATCCATCACAAAACAATAAATAATTATCATGCGCACTCTGGAGGTATATACCATCGCATTAAACGAGAAACATTACTCCGTAGAGAAAAACGGAAAGTCGAAAAAAAAGAAGGAAAAGTCTTAACTTGAACCCGGTGCGAATTGAACGCACAACCTTCAGATCTGGAATCTGCTGCGCTACCATTGCGCCACGGGTCCGCTTTTCATGTCTAGTTTCTCGGCCACAATGCTAATTATCACCCGTTTAAGTTAGAATAAGTCACGTGTAGATTAGGTAATAATTTCATTATATCATCATAGCTCGAGGCTTAAAAAAGGTAAAAAAGAAATAAAAAAAAATCCCGGAAAAAGCACAACTTCCAATTTTTTTTTTCGACGCCAACCACAAGCTACACCGAACAAGCTTACCTCGCGCACCGAAAGCACCACGACAAGTAGCGCTTACGAGCCGCTACATGTGAAGAAACAGGACTCCGGGCCTCGAGAAAACTGATTGCGACGCATCCCTTTTTTAACACGGACATTTAAACACGGGAACAAGTTCAAAATGGCGAATGAACAATCAGCAGGTAAGCAGTCACAAGCAGCCCTGCTTCTTCTCTCAGTGAAGAAACCTGAATCGCTAACCGATACCGTACATATAGCCTGGCCCATCGCAGATGAAGCTTTGACTACTGAACTGCTCGACCTCGTCCAGCAGGCCTCTCACTACCGCCAGCTCAAGAAGGGTGCTAACGAAGGTACGCACAAAATGCAAAAACCCTTTGTCATTTATTATCTCCATATCTAACGTATTCCTCTCGCAGCAACTAAAACTCTTAACCGTGGAACTTCGGAGCTAGTTATCCTCGCCGCTGACACCAGTCCTCTGGCCATCTTGTTGCATCTCCCGCTTTTGTGCGAGGACAAGAACACCCCTTACGTGTATGTGCCTAGCAAGGTTGCATTGGGCCGCGCGTGTGGTGTCAGCCGTTCTGTGATCAGTGCCAGCATTACTACCAACGAGGCCAGTGATTTGCAGGCGCAGATCCTCAACATCAGACAGAAGGTTGAGAGACTGATGATTTGAGAGGTGGATTTGAAGGAATTGGAAAGGAGATATCTGGTTATTCTAGTTTTGGTCTAGCTGGAGAGAAGTTTTATGCGGTGAAGATTTTTGAAGATGTCTGGTCGGTGCATTGTAGACTACTAGTTGCGATATCTACTTGGACCTACGAATACAGAATCATCATTGGACAAAGTAATTTTGATATGGAATAATAATAAATTGTTGAAATAATATACAACTGGAAAATGGTCCATGGGTGTATATGGCGGGACGTACCATGTCGAGAATCATTTATATCACACTGCATATCAACATTATATATCAATCAATATATTAAAACAGTATGTTTATAAGAAAGCCCTAGACACATATTTCCTTAAATCCCCACCAGGATTTGGCAAGACGTGTCCACCAAGCTAAGGGGTCATAGAGAGCGTCCGGGGTAAAGAACGTTTTACATTCAGCAGGCTCGTTCACAAATTGTCGAGGGGTACGGGCCTTGTCTTCGTTCCAGATGGCATTGCGAAAGTTGACAGCAGCATCCTTGCCCCTTGTTGCCATTCGACCCAAAACATATAACCCAATATGGTACATCTTGCCAACTCGAGTCTTTTCCAGTAAAGCCCGCTCTTCAACTGTAGATAGCTTCTCGTAGAGAAGCCATATAACGTAATATAGGTATCTGTACGTGAGGACGTTGGCACCCTTGACACCCCCCACGGCTTGCATCGGGCCAGGTTGAGGCCGACCACCAACGGCAATAAACTTCGAGCCATGACGTCTCATAAGATCAGCAAAGATGGAGCAGGTAGATGCACAAATACCATCGGTGACGATGACCATATCCCTCATTGAAAAAGGAGATGGAGGGATTTTAGTACGATTTCCATAGCCAGAAACTATAAAAGGGCCGGTGGCCAAAGTCATTTCGATGTTGCTGAGGTCCCATTTGGTGGGATGGGTGTAGTTGTCTTGTGGCAGAATCTCTGGTCCGTAGAGGTCGGGCCAGGATGGGAATTTGGTGCCATCGACAGTGATGTAGGTATCAAGATCGAAGCCAGAGTATCTCAAATTTTCTGCCTCGGCAGCCCTGGGATCAAGGGGTTTATTAAGGAGCTCGTTGGCTCTGGTGCCAACGGCGTTTAATTGCTCAGTGGCACGCATGTTGGAAGGGGTCAATATCTTCCCATTTGGAACGAGCTAGATACGATTGTTAACATATGGCTATATGAAAATACGCTTCTGACTCCAAAGGTGATTGACACTTACCTGCTTGAAGAGGTCATAGCCGAGGAAGACCAGACCACCTCCGTTTCCGCTGACATCAATGATAAGTTTCTTCATCTTCATTTTTCTGCACTGCTCCAGGAAATCCGCAATCGTATAGCTGAGGTCCATCTCAGTGGTGTTGCCCTTGGCCATGAACTCTTTGACAACAAGGACAGCAGTACGGGGGAACTTGTTCTTCAGGAAGTAGCCTTCAACGATGCCGTCTGTGGAATTCACGTCTGGCTTAACATACGGAGGAAGTTCGCGGGCGGCTAAACGGGATGGTGGTTGTGGGTTCGAGATAGGGCTGCTAATCAATCGGGGAGTTTTCCTATCCGATTCCTTAAAATAGTAATCAAGGCCGCCCATTCGATTAACACCTGATTCATCATCTCTGCCGGTGCAGAACTTGTCGTAGAAGGTTTCACCGTCCTTGATGCCAGTAAAGGAAACCTCGAAAAAGGCCCAGTTTGAAAAGTCTCTCACAGTCCCGTTGTAGAAACCAAGAGTAGTTTTGTCACCAGGGTAGACACTCCCTGGGTAGCGGAAACCACCACGTCTGCGGTGCCGGACTCGAGGGAGGCCGGCAAGCATTTGGTTGTAAAGGGCATCGCGGTCCTGGGAACCCCCATTGAGGGACCAGTCCTTCATCCATTTCACGGAATCTTCACCATCAATGGTTTTGACGGCAGATTTGGGATCAATGGCGTGTTTGTTGCCAATGACTGATGGCTTGCTTGACTTTTTTAAATCATCTATAATGGTGGGTGAGACAGGGAATTCCAAGCGAAGGAGAGACGGAGGGCCTAGTGCGACCTACCCAGTACATAGAGCCTTGGGAAATCCCTTCCTTTCAATGAAAGAGAAACCAAAGAGCCGACGTCGTAGCGAAGGAAGGAGAAGACAGAGAGCAGGTCCGTGTCCATGTAGAAGTGGCTGTCGTGGACAGATGTAACCAGGGTGTGCAAGTCTAACTGAAACATGTACTCGCCCGTGTAGCCACCGCTGAGCGCCTTCTGGCGAATCTTCTCCAGACCTGCGTCGAGATCCGTGGGAGGCAGATCATACCCCTTTGGTGGGTGAGGCAACCAGCCCTTGGTCGACTGGGAATCCCAGAAGTAGCTCAGCCCATCAAGCAGGCGTAGACTGTTGTTTACGTTGAAAGGGACAGATAGGAGACATGCATGAGCGAGGTTTGCCGGGATTTTGAATTCGGTAACTATAGTTAAATAAAACCAGCCGTCAGCGAATGATATTAAATCATTCATTGGGTATTATATCTGGACAGACCATCTGGGGCCTCCTTCTTCCGCTCTCGTTGGTACTCAGCAACCTGTCCACATGGCTCTACGGCGCTAGCTATGCCAGCAACACAGATCAAAAGGCCAGCAATGGCCTGGTGAAATCGCACCATATCCCGTGCCTACAGCTCTAGTAAGCAGTTAGGACGAAGGGAAAGAGGTTGGAAATTTGGCCTACACAAAAGGAGTGGGTGTAGGTTGGGTGGAATAAAAAGGAACGGAACGCCAATCTACACAAAAGAGTGAGTGTAGATTGACAAAAAGAATGAAATGATAGCAGGCGAACACAAAAGAACGAGTGTGTGATTTGAAAGCAACCGGCAAGAGCACCTCTAGAGAAGGGAGAGGGTCGCCTTGGAAGATGGGGGATTTAACGGCTTATTTAACTATCCATATTCCCCAGGCCTTGCACGAACAGGTGGTATTACATTGTCCAACTTCTCCTATTAGGGCGCCTGGCATATCACCTGGGGCGAAAGGAGATAGATATTTCCCTTCCTCCGGGATATATTCCAGGGGAGCACATATATCTTTATCCTAGGGGTATAGTACCAAAGAGATGGCAACAGCGTGTGGTATTATTCAATATTCAAATTTATGCAAGAAGAAGAAGTTCAATTCCCGCATGAGTATCAGTGCACTGGTTGGGTTGTTGCATGATTGCAAAGATCTCTTGGAGCGAGCGTTCGATCATCTCATGCTAAAACCTCTCGGGGAGTTAAATGATGCTAACGCCAGGGGGATCTCCCTCTGACCCACAGAGAAATGAGCCAGTGCGGACTCTCGTCTCCATACCCATGTGGTGACCCGGTAATATTATTATTATTGGGAGTGCCTGCTCCCAGTTATGAAGGCGTAGAAAACCGCCAGTTGGTATATTTGGTTGGCCTGCAACAGGGAGAAGCGTCTTTCATACACTTCCACCGCCGCCCAGCTTCGTTGTCTGGTTCAAGAGATTTCTGTAGCACCACCGGCCCAAACGGCAGCTCTACCAGCATAGGCTAGTTTGTCCCATGAAGTATGCCCTCGACTTGACTCTTTGTCCTTTCCTGCGCCACGGGAAATTAGGGAGTGGTGATACTCCATGTTGGCGTTATAATCGCCTTGCGACAATTATTAAAAAAGCATAAGCTGCGTCTACCCCGCGAGCCAGGCAGAGATTGTGTGGTGCATAGACACGCCAGATAGTTAAATCACAGCTTTCTCCGTACTTGAATCAGCCTGGAAAGGGAAGCGGAAAGTCCACCGCAGCGCTGATCCCACGGAAGTTCCGGGCTGTCTGTGGCATTCGTCATCCTGACGCCGCTGCCCGTTGGCGAGTTGATACATAACTACAGGGTATATTAGCTCGTGGATAGGCCCACATAACTATCCAGCGCCCCGGCGGTCAGAGGGAGGAGAACTGCTGAGATGAAATCACTGTGCATAGGGCGTTCTGCGTGTCGAGGTCGACATCGCACAATGCCCGAAATGAAAAAGGACCTGCCTGCGGGCTGCAGAGTCCCTGGCCTCTTGATGGTGCTGTCTGTCGTCCCGTACGGAGTACGCTAGTTATGTTAGTTAGATTGCCTGGTGCTCTGGAGGTAGACATGATAATATCCGGCAAGGGGCCGGAAACAGGCACCTTGGATATTTGTCCCAGTCCACACAGCCGAGGACAGACAAGCAAAGAAGCGAAGACAAGGGCGCTAGTTAGCTAGCTAGTTAGCTAGTTAGTTAATTCATATTAGTTCTTTTTGTTTTTTTTTTTTCGGATGCCATGAACGGAGCAGACTTCCCGTAGACTTCCCAACGCCAGAGGGCCCGAGACATCCTGTGTGGACGGCGGCGGTTGGATCAGTCTTTTGGCAGCTCAAGACAGCGCTTGGCCGTTAGCTGCGAGCCTGGAGAGGACATCCAGCTAGTCAGTTTAGTTAACTGGGCAGTTAGTTAAAGGACGGCGACCTGAAGCGCCTTAACTAGGGGGGGAGTTCAATTTCGTCAACATCGCCAGCGACAACGCCTCAACCGAATCCTGGACATTTGAAAGACAGAACCTCAACTCACATATCATGGTGGCATTAGATCATACCGTCCTATCTCGATATATTGATTGGCCTTTTTCCTGTGGACAGACAATCGAAATGCAGACGACAACAAAGGGCGTTGGCCAACGAGTTAGTTATACGGCTGTGGCTTCTGCCCTGTGCGACGATAAACCAGGTTGGCTTAACTAGTTATCTACCACCGCACAGCGCTGCAATTAACGACCCTGATGATATGTTCTATCCTGCCGCTCTTCCTCTTCTCTAACCACTTCTCCTTGCTGTCATGACTATACCACATGCTTCTGCTAGCCTGCAGCACCGGGAAGCCATGACATTACTCCCTGAAGGGCCAGAGGAAACGCCTGCCGAGCAACCTCCAGGGCTGTCCGATGAATATCTAATTGCCAATCTTGCCCATCGTCCCCTTCATCAGCTGGCAGGGAGAATCTCCATCTCAAATCCTGCAAAGTTTTCAGCTCTTCCGCCCTGCGAAGGTCCTTCGTCCATGGGGTACCTGGACTGTCTCCCCCTCGAGATTCTCCAGGCCGTCCTGAATTTATTGGACTTCCAGGACCTCTCTCGCCTGTCATGCACCTCCCACCGAGCTCGAAGAGCCGTCGAATATCTACCAGCGTACCGAGAGCTTATGGAACATGCCCCTGATACCCTTACGGCTCTCGGAAAATCCTGTCTTATCACGGCACATTCCGCCGCAAAACTGCGTGCTGTCCTCAGGACAGAATCCTGCGTCTGGTGCGGCGAATACGGTCCCTTCTTGTTTCTCCCAACGTGTGAAAGGTGCTGCTATGAATGCCAGCGCTCAAACCCTTCTCTGTGGGTGATGACGGCCGATCTGGCCAAATACTGTTTCAGAATCACCGCCGCCAAGCTGCGGGAGATCCCCATAATGCGAAGTATCTATGGGGTTTACGACGTTTCCCACGAGCTCTCTCGCCGTCGGCGCCTGAAGCTGGTCAGCGTCAGGGCCGCAAAGGAGCTCTCGTTGACGGTCAATGCAGGCTCTGCTCCTTCGAACATGCGAAGTAACGCGCACCTTATACATCTAGCACATTTTCTAAACGCTCCTCTCGCGCCAGAAGGGCAGAACAATGGGTCTGGAGTGACATCCCGTATTCGTTACTGCACTCTGACTGACGAATGCTGTGGCATGGGGTCTATCTGCTTCCCTTCTCTACAGCCAGACAACACTGTAGAACGCGGCCTTTGGTGCCGAGGATGTTTCCGAGCTTCTGAGCAGTATCGCTTTTCAAGCCCAACTGCCGACCTCACTACACGAAACGTTTACCCACTTCGTGCATTGATTGGCACCAACTTATGTGCCCGATCAAAGACGCAATTTCTCGAACATATCAAACACTGTGACGGGTCCCTGGAACTGCAGGCGAATTTAAGGAAGGGACTGCAGAATTAATATTGTCACACTCAACAAAGCATTGAAGTCTCGGCCAAAATACATATCTTTACCGATGTCGAATATATATCTTCAGCCTGCTGAACCAGTAGCGTCGACTCGCTCGTTGGCCCAATCGGTGTGACAGCGTGCCAACTTTGAACTGAGGAGGGAAGATGGTACATGACTTTCTTTTCTCTGGTTTGTGGGATTGCAGGTAGATGTTAGTGATGGGAGGACAGCAGAGTAGATAATTGTCGGCTCTCTCAAGTGTGTCAACAGTGTATAATGCTATAATACAAGGTTTCTGTAGCCAATGGTCCCCATCGAGACTCCTGTTGCTTGCCTTATGCTCGTTGCTGTGACAAAATGGCCGAGTGGTTAAGGCGCCAGGCTGGGGGATACCAGGGCATCACGTGATGATTATATAATCGCTTATTTCGCTACGATGGGGAACGGAAGTATCGAAGTTCGCTAACTATCGAGACGAAACGACGAGAAGACGACAAGCTACCTTCGCCCGTTGCCGCTTAACCTTGTGCCTTCGATCTCTGATAGCCTCACGTTCACTGGACGGTTGCCTTCCAAGAGACGCCCACAAAGGCGGCTATTTGATGCGGCTATTTATAGTTCGAGATGTTTAGTTACTTCGCACTGAAGAATTGAGGTCACGATTCCACGATGTCTCGATAGCTTCACCACCCACACCCGAATGAAATCGCTCGAGGCCGTTTGTCTCCGGACTGCGCAGGGAAACGTCCAGCCGGTTTAATAATAATACCGTGTTTGTGTCACGCGGCGCAAGGGAACCGGGGTTCTCCACAACGGCCACTCATGCCTACGTACTTGAATATGTGCCATTGGAAACAAGGCACGATGTGCAGGCTACTACCGGAGCTGGTAGGGAAGTCAAAGCCGAGAAATGCTGGAGCCTAGCTGGGCAGGGCCAGCCCAGCCAGGGCTGTTTGTGAGGTCATGGCCGTTAAAACATGGACCCAACCCCTGCTGCTTCCAGAGGCCTTCTGGAACTCTGTCTGTGCTTCACGGACGGTCGGCACTCCTGGCCGCACATGCGCACACAAAATTGTGGAGGGAGCCCATCGACTCGCCTCTCTATTATCAGCTTTCCATCAGCATCTACGAGCTTCGCTGCTCAGTTTGCAGCCTCGACCTGTTCGTCTTACTCGTCATATACGGCCTTTGACTGATCCTCTGGACGAAAATAAGCCGGAAAGGCCATGACTCAGCGGCACAGCCCTAAAGCTCGCCTACCCCCTAACGACGCTAACACGAGCTCATCGGCTCCGAAAGTTCCGACAGCTCCGACGATTGTCTGGCCCGGCTGCCTTGGTCGTGTAATCGTACCAAGTAATTTCGCGTATCTTCCCCTTCTGCAAGCGCTGGAGCCCTCTGCCTTGGGATAGAAGGCCCGCAAACAGCATCAAACGAGGTCAGCATCTTCAGCGCCCATCCACGCACTCTCCAGACGTCTCTCTTGCTCTTCTCTGCCGCGATCTATATCTTTCCCCCTGTAACGATCCGCGGCTTCTCGGTAACGGGTCACGAGACCGGCTCGGGTGATCCCACCAATCAGGATCATCCCTCGTGGCCCTGGATCCACTTTCCCGATCGGGCGAGCTAGGCAAGAAAAAGACACGGAAAATGTGAGCTTGCTTAGTCAGAATATGAGTTATAACACTTCTTCGTCTTCCTGCGAAAGGCTTTTTTTCAACCTCGAAAGGTCAATCTCAGGTTTCAGCTTCACGAGCCATCCATCTTTCTCTCGCTCGCTGTCAATCTGCTCTCTTCTCTCATTTATAGAGGTAGAGAAGTCTGCTGGGCGTAGACACTACGCTCCTTTATCCAGCCATCCGCCTTATCTACTCCATTATCGATCTATACAATCAAGGGTCACGGGTAGATTCGAAAGATCTCCCCTTTTTTGCCCTCCCTCCTTTGTCAACCTGATATATACCCTTACATTTAGCGCGTTCATTGACGGCTGTAAGTCGTCAGATGAACCTGCATCCTCTTAATCATCCCAGTGCTAGAGTAGGTAAGCTGTTTGGTCGACCGTTGAAGGCCAAATTAAATCACTGTACTGACTCATCTCCCTCCTGTCTAGTATTCCCTCTTCGCATTGAAGAGGCTCTCAATAACGTAAATGGTTTTTAAGCCATTCACTCACCTCGCGCGCCAGACCTTCTCCAAGACTTTTGTCCACGGCTACGCCCAGTCTGTCGTTGCCGCCTCTCAATCTTCATATGCTCCCTCCGCATCCTCCCTAAACCAGATCACTTCGATCCCACAGACTGTAAAGTACACTCGAACTGCACAACTCCAGAGTGCTTTCCAACATGCCTCTGGTTCTTCAAGCGCCAGCGGTGCAAAGGCAGGCCACTCTGCTACTAGCGGTAGCACCGGTGATTCCGGTCTAGCCGCTTACTATGCTGCCTGGCAGCATGCTCAGCAGACTGGTGATGATAGTGACTGGAAGCAATTCCAGTTCACCAAACGTATTGGCTGGAAGCCGGCCAAGGAAGAGAAAGACTCCCTAGAGGAGTCTGACGTGGACCAGCTTGCCGCCTCTGTTTCAAGGGTACGAAGCCGCAGTGAAGTGCGAGCTTCAAGAAATGTTGAGAGTGCTCCTGTGGATAAGGATGTGAGCGCAAGAGTCGATGAGGCCGTTGCCAGAGAGATCCAAGAGATTCAGGAGGCACATGCTCTTGCTGAGTCTGAGTACGGTACTTCGGCTGCTGAGTCTGGAAGTGAAGTTTTCGACGCCCAGAGCGGTGAACAATCACACCAGACCCCAGCTTCCTCCATCCAAGAATCTATCGTCTCTCCAAGAACCCCTGTCAACGATACCACCCCCTACGAGAAGAAACAGGCTGAGTCTCGATCCAACGCCATTGTCGAGTTGGCCAAGGATGGGGCTCACGCGCAGGTTCCAGCTGCTTTCGAGAGTCTCTTAAGGGACGGGATCAAGCCCACTGCCTCTGCTTACAATGCTCTTCTCGAAGCTGCAATCCGCCTTCACCCTGAGGCGCATAATGCTGTCCCCAAGGCTCTTGATGTCTACTCCGATATGCTCCGCCGGAGCGTCATGCCCAATGAAGACACCTACAAAATCATCGTTCAGCTCTTGTCCACCCGCTCTTTGGATTGCCTTCGCATGGCTAAGGATTTGGAGCAATCTCGAGTACGGTTCGGTGGCATGGAAGAGCCTGGCAAATTCATTTTTCAATCCAGCGAAGTCGAGCATGAGCTCTTGACCGAGGACCATTCTCTCCCAATTGCCCTTAAACTGTTCAACATTGCTACTACTCGACATCCGGAAATTGCCTTCCCACTTACCGTCTATCGCTCCCTCCTGACTGCTTGTGCGATGCAGGGGAATGTTGACCAGATGATTGAGATCTTTGCTCACATGGAGGCCAACAAGGTCGCCCCTCATGCTGCCATGTTCCCACCAATGGTTGACACCTTTTCAATGAAGGGCGACTTCAAGAGCGCGGTTGAATGTTACAATGAATACAAGACCCTCGCCATTGCTGACAACAACGGAGTTTTTGGAATTGTCGAACGTCAAGATGCTGAAGTCTACGCTTCCGTCATCAAGGCTTACCTCTCCTGCGGAAACACTGAGGGAGCCCATCGCTTCTTTAACAAGATCCGTGCCTCCTTTGACGGCGTTGAAAATCAGGCAGAGCGCCTCCGTGTCGTTGAGCAGGTAATCATTAAGGATGGGTTTGTCCAACATTCCCTTGACACCCGCAACTTCGCTTCGGCCTTGCACATTGCCCAGACCCAACTGCATGGCCAGCCCTTGACAGATGCAGCTTTGAACATCTGCGTTGCCGCAGCCGATGCCAATGATATTCCCACCGCTACAGGTGCCTACCGTCTCCTGACCACGGATGCTGCCACCTCCGTTGAGCCTGCTATCGCCATGCTTGCTCTCCACATCCGCCAAGGTAGCCTTGAAATGGCCAAGCCATTCTGGGATGTCCTGTCTTCTTCGTCCCGTGTCAATGCAAGCTTTATTCAGCCTGTAGCTATGTACACTATCGCCTTGCTGAAGAGCGGTCAAATTGAGGAAGGTCTCATGGAAGCCCGAAGCATGTTTGCCCGTATTCGAAGTGCGAGCTCAAGCGCCACTGCAAATGAGCAAAAGCAGCGTGTGAGGGAGGAGATTGACGAGGCCATTGATTTGCTTGGCCGTATTCTCATTCAGGCTGCAGCACCACTCTCACCTCATTCGGCTATGACCCTGATGTGGTGTATGGTCGAGAACGGTGGTCTTGTTTCCCCTGTTGCCGAGTATGTTGTAGCTAGCCTTGGCCCCATGGGAATTTCTCACTTGACGGCTAGGGACCTTACCCTTGCAATGCAGGCGCAGGCTGGTATGTTGGTCAATGGCTCCACCTTGTTCGATGCAGCACACCCTCTCCGCTTTGCTCACATGCTGGATGTTGCAATGAACGCTGGTATCCGCCTCGACGACTACACCAAGCAACTTCTTGAACGGGGAATCGCAAAGCTGGGAGATGTCCGTCCCGACCTTGCACAGAAATGGCACCACTATATCCATGGAAGTACCCCTGTTTTCACCACGCCCTCTTACAATACTCCATCGCCAGCTGCTCCACAGCCGCAGCCATCACCAGGACTTAAGCCTGCTCGCCCTGACGATTCGTTTGATCCCTATGCGCACTCCACAGACTTCCGAGGGTCGTCAATAATTGCCGAGATGCTCGAGAGCTCGCGCGGCCGTATCGAGGACCACCTCAACAATGCCATGACCAAGTTCAAGAACATGCGCCGAATTGGCAGACATCCCCGCTACATTACCTATGCTAAACTAATTACTGCCGCTGCTAAATGCGGGAATATGAATATGGTACATGAGATCCTGGGTATGGCCAAACATGATGTCCCGCTTCTTCCACAATACAACGCTGTCAAGTATGGCTGGACTTCTATTCTTGATGCCATGGTTGCTGCTTGTCTCACCACTGGTGAGCGTAGCCTCGCAGCCAAGTACCACCAGGAACTGTTGAATATGGGATCTGCTCCATCTGCCAATACCTTCGGCCTTTACATCACCACTCTCAAGGAATCAACCAAGACTTTTGACGAAGCCACTGAAGCTGTCAAGGTGTTCCACCGTGCTACCTCCGAGGGCGTTGAACCGACTTCATTCCTCTATAATGCTCTCATTGGAAAACTAGGTAAAGCTCGTCGCATTGACGACTGCCTGCTCTACTTCGCTGAGATGCGTGCCAATAATGTTCGACCTACTAGCGTTACCTATGGCACCATTGTCAACGCCCTGTGCCGTGTAAGCGACGAACGCTTTGCCGAAGAAATGTTTGATGAAATGGAGTCGATGCCGAACTACAAACCTCGTCCTGCACCTTACAACTCCATTATCCAGTACTTCCTCAACACCAAGCGTGACCGCTCTAAGGTTCTTGCGTACTATGAGCGCATGAAGTCCAAGGACATTCAGCCCACGATGCACACTTATAAACTTCTTATTGATGCCTACGCTTCTCTCGAGCCTGTCAATATGGCTGCTGCCACCGAGGTTTTAGATACCATCCGTGCTTCTGGCCAGCTTCCTGAGGCTGTACACTACGCCTCTCTTATTCATGCTCGAGGATGTGTCCTGCATGATATGGCCGGAGCCCGCGAAACCTTCGACTCTGCTCTTGCTGAACCGCACCTTCGCCCACAAGCATGTCTTTATCAAGCTCTGTTTGAATCCATGGTGGCCAACCATCAGGTCTCTGATACTCCTGCCGTGCTAGCTGATATGGCTGCCAATAAGGTTGCCATGACTGCTTATATCGCAAACACCCTCATCCACGGTTGGGCTACGACTGGAAATGTCAGTAACGCCAAGGCAGTGTATGATGGAGTGGGGATCGACAAGCGAGAGCCCAGCACATATGAGGCGATGACTCGAGCTTTCCTGGCTGCTGAAGACCACGCAGGCGCCGACGGCGTTGTGCGTGAGATGCTTTCTCGCGGCTATCCTTGTGCTGTCACAGGAAAGGTGCTGGATTTGGTCAATGGTGGACAGCCAGCATAGGCTCACACCAAATGACACCAGCCATGTGCGATGCAACACAACATATACCCTATACACAAAACCCGTTGCTCTCACATTATCAATTTTTTCTTTTGTCTACCCCCTAAAAAAAATCCATAAAACACGTCGAGTGAGTGTTTCAATAGCACTTACTCGATATGAAATCTTTTTATGTTTTTTCATCACAAAACAGATATGCATTTTGTTCTACGTGTTATTTTTTGTTGATTAATGCATTCCCCTGTACCATACACAGCGGTCGGCGTTTGCTCTTTATTATCGGGGGTCGTTTCCAAGAATTATTCCCGCGCTTACTTCTCTTACCATTCCTCGGCTGAAGATGTTCGAACGGATCTTTATTAATCTAATACGGCTTGTTGGGCTGGTCTTCCCACATTTATTACCCTTGAGACGGCGGTTTTTTTTCTAAAGCGATCAGTCTCGGGTTATATTTACATTTTACTTGACATTTGAGCTTTGATATTCGACTTCATTTGGCTCTTTTGCACTACTGTGGGAAGGGAGGATATCTGGCATGCGAATTGAACAGCAACCGAGGGTCTGGTGGGAATGGTGTTTTCCTTTTACTTTCCTGTTCTTTTCCTATGTCTTTTGATACTCAAAAAAGTGCGGCGTTGGTTGGTTGAGCGCAGGCCGCGGTGGTTGTTGATGTTATTCATTTTTTGCGTCCGGCTCAGAAGGATGTGGCCTTGAACTGCGGATGAATAGACAAATCCCTACTCTATATAGATCTTGACAAGAGAAAAATATCAAAAAAAATATTGTATAACATCAACTTTCGCGCCTTTTAACACGTCAGTAGCATACAGGGGCCACCCGGAGGCCGCCAGAGGCATCGCCGAGCTTCGCCGAGATAGCCTGACAGACATCACGTCACTAAGTGACTAGTTAGCCGGGCAGATGACCGCAAAAACGAGTCAGAACTTCCGTATTTTTCCTGACAGCGGTTTCTCTCTCTCTCTTTCTCTCTCTCTCTCTCTGCCTTTCTGCCTCTGCTGATGAAATTTACCTCTGCTACTCTTCTTATCATCGCCTAGTTATAAGCATTGACATTGTCTGGGTAAGTAAATGCGCCCTGGCCACTCCCCATCGCGGGGTGAGAAGCAACCCAACCCGCTAATTGCGAGAGCAGAACAGATAGAACTGTGCCTATAACTTATGCGCAGTGCTGTCCCTCGAGGGAGAAGCGTATTCCAGCGATTATACAATTCAAAGCAACCAATCTGTTATCCGCTGCTTCCTGGTGGCAGAACAATGACGCTGAACCAAGCAGGCGAAGGGGAGCCAGCTTCCGCAGCGCAATACCACCGACACCCGAAGAGACTGATATGTACGCTACGCCCTGCCCGAGTAGTTGCTTTGACATGCAAATCTGATAATTGATAGTTGCACCGGGTGATATTGCCGCTCCTCTATCGGAGGGCGCAGGATCAATACAGAAAATAGCCGCCATGCCGGAAGACTTAGCCGCCACCCCTCTACCAAAACACTTATTGACAGTCGACGAACCAATTACCTCTGGTACTTCCACGCCAATTGCCAATGCAGCAGTTGTGTCAAGTCCGTCTCGAGCACACCAATTCGGCACCAACCCCCCACTACTTTACTCCCATCTTCATCTGAACCCGCTGCACCAGTTTCACACCTGGTTCAAAGACACCAGACTACCTGCATCCAGTGCACCAGAGACTTGTACGTTAGCTACTGTCAGTATGCCCGCTGGCCGCCCCAGCGCACGTATCGTGTATTTGAAAGAACTTGATGAGCGAGGATGGGTTGTCTACAGTAACTGGGGCAGTCGAGCCGGTAAGGGCGGACAGGTATTTGGGAATGATAGGGATGGGGACGGCGAAGCCATGTCTCTTTTTGATGGATCCGATCCCCAGCTCAAGGAAGGAAATAAATGGGCGGCATTAACGTTCCATTGGCAGAGCGTCGAACGCCAGGTTCGGATTGAAGGCCTAATTGAGCCGCTTTCGAAGGAAGAGAGTGAGACTTACTGGCGTGTGCGTGAAAGAGGAAGTCAGATCGGTGCCTGGGCAAGCCAACAGAGTAAACGGCTCTGGTCAAACGATCAACCAGGTGCTGAAGAAGGAGACGATGGACGGTCTGTCCTCGAGAATCGAGTGAAGGAGATGGAAGCCCGGTTCGCGGACGTCAAGGAGATTCCGCTGCCGCCATTCTGGGGCGGAGTCCGGCTTGTTCCAGAGTCCGTAGAGTTCTGGCAAGGTAGAAAGAGCAGGTTGCACGACCGCTTCAGGTACGTCAGGCAACACAGTGCCGATGAGTCGGATGGCAATGAGAAAACCTTCAAGTGGAAAGTAGAACGACTCTCTCCATGAGACCTGATAGACAGTAAAACCAGAGAGACGAAGGTATCATTGCTTAGAGATATAAAATATATTATACTTAGCTCCAATTGGGAGTAATATTAAATTCAATATTATAACGTTCATTGTTGCGGTTTACACATATGTATTCTTGTACCGACCACTTGGGGTAGGATGTTAAGCTCCTATCCAGATAAAGCACACGCTCGCCACCTTCTGAGGCTACCCACACCCTCTCTGCTGCACTGTATAGCACACTGCTGGACAAACTTATCCAAAGCCCCGCGATACTCCTCATCCGGCATCGCGGGTACATGTTTGAGTATGTTCTCGGGCCAAAGGTATTGAAAAGGAATGCCGTTCCTAGATTGAGTGACAGCTTACTGCCCTAGGTTATGCCAGTACTAGCGGACTTCGTGGAGATCGTCATCAAGGTAGCCTTGCCTCGACTGAAGGCAATGTCTTCCCCTGGTGCTTGTCACAACCAGCTTACAGTCTGGAGTCTGGACGGCAAAAAGAGACGAACGTGATCATGCGTCGAGCAGCTTATTCCCCGGCAATCAAAGGTTAGTTGCTGCATTCGCAAGGGGTGGGCTGGCTCACTGCTGGTTTCAGCTTAAAAATAGAAGTATCCAAGTGTTTTTGCTTTGAAGCTGAAGAAACTAAAACCAGCCAGTCACGTAGCTAATTATCACAGGGGTTTAAAAGCCGGTGAAGAAATAAATACTGGAGGAATCTTATCATGTTCGCTTTTCTGTGCCCTGTGCGACCTTCTTCCTGTGCTGTCAAAGAGAGGCTGGCTGGCTGACCACCTGCTTGACTGTTACCTGCTCGGTGGTTTTAGTTATCTGATCGGCGGAGATAAGATTATCAATCAGATAAGATTGGCCTCGACCCCCTTTTTCGACTTCTTCCCCGTCCGTCACACATATTGCAGCCTCCGACATCTTGTCTATACGAGACGGAGGACAGAGGGCACATTCCTACTGGCCAGAAATTTCATTCCGCCGTTTCAATTGCTTCTTTCCCGAGTTATCAGATCAACCTTGTGGGGGGAATGGTTAACTAGTTAGTCACATACACGTCTCGGACTTTACAGCAAAGGCGCGCCCAGCAGGCCGACTCGATTTCGGCCGAACATATATAATTTGGCTAGGCAACTATCTACAGGATACCACTATTTGCTTCTCTTGAGGCTTCAATTTCTCTATGTTTATTAATTAATTTCTACCATCCCAACTGCCTATCGACTGGACAATGGCAAGAACACGGGCAGTTCAGACATGCGAAGCGTGTCGGAAGGCAAAGGTGCGCTGCGACAGAGGGAAACCACAGTGCTCGCGGTGCTCCAAGACAAGCCGCGAATGTTCATATCTTATAGAGGAACCAGGCCTCTCTCACGAATCTTCGTCTGCGTCTTACACTGCATTATCTGATCCCGCTAGTCCCAATCAGGGCAATCCATGGAGAGTGGACCGGAAGAGCGCCGCCTCGTCTTCAGCATCTGATGTGAGCGAGCCTCTCGATTGCACTGAAGCATCGAATGTATGGATAAGTCAACCCCCTGTTAGCCTTAATTACTCTTACCCGCTAAGACTATACCTTCTAACATACTCTCTGGGGGAGTGTCGAAGGGACATGAGCCCCCATGCAACGGCTTGCATTCTCTCACAGAGGCCGGGCCACAGCACTGGGTATCACGCAGGAGAAAGCGAAATACTATATCTTGTGTTCGCTGCCGACGTATGAAGGTACGCTGTGATCGTCGGTTACCTTGCGGTCGTTGTTCAAAGATAAATAGGGGTGACGAGTGCGTTTACGCAAAACCCGAAAGGACTGCCGACGATGATGGCCTGCTTTCCCGACCTTCTAGTGATATCCCCCAAGCACCGGTCACACATCGAATATGGAGATCCAAATTCCGCACAGGGGCCCATTGGGCCATTCTAATCCAAGATGTATAGCTATCGTCTTCTAGCTCCTACCCCTTCTGATGCATCCTAGTGCTAACAACACATAGATGGAGAGTCTATATACCCCGTCTTGTTCTCAGGACAAGAAACTAATTCCTGATGATGATACTAAAAATGTCCTTGAGAGCTCATGGTCACCAAATTATCCTTTTGGTGAAAAACCTCGTCGTTCCAAGTCAACAAGAAAGGCAATGTTAGCTTCCATACCTAGCCGAGACGTAGCAGACAAATTCGTCCAATCTTATCTTGATGTTATTGAAACATCACACCGCATACTTCATGTTCCAACTTTCCAGCTCCAAGTCCAAGCATTTTGGGATCAGCCTAATGCGGCCGACGATAGCTGGCTTGCACAATATTTTACTATTCTCGCCCTAGGATGTGATGCTGCTAGAGCTGAAGACCCTGAATCAACAGAGCATTACAGCGAGCTACGTAATACACTGTTGACTGCTGCAGAAACCTGTCTCAGGCTCACTCCATTCTTGTATCGACCGACATTGGCTAATCTCAGAACGCTATGTCTCATTGTCCTTGCAAAACAGATACATACTATGTCATGCTCTGAACATGAAGCATGCTGGCCACTCACTGGCCTTACGGTCCGGCTAGCAATGCTGACGGGTCTCCATTCGAGCAATAGCAATAAGTTCTATTCGCCCTTTCATGCCGAGATGAGGAATCGACTATGGGCTGTGATATGCTTTATGGATCTCAAGCAGTCGTTGCTCTCAGGGATGCCACTTCAGATGACGATAGAGACATTTACTTGCGTCCAACCTGCGAATATAAATGAAGAGGAAATAAACGAGTGGTTCAGTGGCGAGATACCAAGTCGACTGCTTCCAGAAAGAACAGATGCTACTGTGCTAGTCATTTTACACGATGTTTTCCCACTGGTTGCTGAAATTCTGAGAGCAGTAAATTCAGCGGATTCATCTTTTCAGTATGAAGATGCACTGGAATACGATCGACAGCTAAGGTTCAAGATGAAAGAATATGAAACCATTCTTCAGTCACCTCCAAGACGCCTGGTGGAACCTACAGAATGCACACCCATTGATATTGACTTTGAAAAGATCCTTCTTAATGTCTATTTTCGTCGAGTACTGCTCACATTGCACGGTCGTTTTGCCCGGCTACCTCAAGCATTTATTGAATACTCGGTTGCGTACTGGTCTTCTTTAGAGTGCTCTCTTGCACTTCTTGTGCAGCAGAGAGAACTAGGTGATCAGGCAGCAGATAACCGCGGCGTCTCGACATGGTTCTCTGGTATCTTCAAGCAAGATTTCTTCACGGCTGCAATGACTTTATGTTTCCACCTCATTAAAAATGACTCTCCATTAGAATTACCCACGGAACATCTCTGCCAGATTCAAGCCCGGGAGACAGTTCTCGAGACTCTGAGATCATGCAGGGATCTCTGGGAGAAAGAAAAGGATTTGTCAGGGTGCCACGGCCGAGCGTGTGATCTCGTTACCAAGTTGGTAAATTTTCTGGAAGAAGCGGCCTAAGTAACTGCGTTCTAGCATATTGGACGCTCAGCTAACAGGAGGTCGCTTTATATATAACCCTACAACCCACATGTACAATATCACTAACACCCCTTTCCCCTTGTTTTACTCTTCGCGGAGCACTTTCATCCCTCAATAAATAATACGTAACAAGCTTCCGGATATACCTAGCGGCTCCTGCTGCCCCAGAGCCTATTAATTATCTTACATGTCAAGGAAATACTGCAGGCTTTCTTTGGCTGTTGGAACAACCCGGCCCTTGTTAGTTAGGTTATCCACCTTGCAGTTAGATAAACCGTGAAGCCGAGCCTCTCTGAGAGTTCTCAATGGCCACCTTCGCCGCTTTGCGAAGGGCGCTGAAAGGGAGGCATGATCCATGTTAGACAAGTATCAGGTGTTGGCGCCCCCGCAAAGAAAAACGGGATCAGCGGGTAATATAAAAAGGCCCAAGGCCTTCTGTAGAGGGTGAAGCTTCTACTTGCATGAGACTTCACTCAACTCTTGCCCATCTGATTGGATAGATACTGGAAAGCCGACAATGCTGTCATCTCGAGGCAAAAAGATCACTGCGGTGATCGATGAGCCGTGGAGGGCACTTTTTGGGAAACCCGCATATGATGCGAAATCAAACCCGTCTGGATTGATATCACTTAACGTAGCGGAAAATGTGAGTGTCTGATTGGCAATCCCTCTTTTCTCCTCTTTCTACTTTTTGTAATATTAGAATGCTGATAATCATTAGCCGCTTGCTTTCGAGGAATTAACGACATACATCAATAGCAAGGTAAGCCGCATCTATTCGATAACGAGTCCTCAGGCCACAAAGTATTCATTGGAATACGCTCCTAGATCCAATTCGACAAGTCAGTGTTGTCCTATAGTTCCAGTGCAGGTGGCGGTCCAAAATTCCCAGCTGCAATGGCAGCTTTCATCAATAGATACTTTGATCCATATGTCCCTTTGAAGAGTAGCGAGATACTTGCAACCAACTCCATTCCATCACTGAGTGAGCAACTTGCGTTCGCACTCGCAGAAGCTGGCGATGGAATGCTGGTTAGCCGGCCTATTTATGGCAGGTTCAGAATGGATTGGGGAAACAGAGCCGGTGTTGAAATGGTCTACGCTGATACAGGTGCGCTTGAGGGCTTCACTCCGGCATGCGTGAAGAAATATGAGGAAGCAATAGTTACCGCTGAAGCCAGGGGTGTCAAGATTCGAGGACTGATAATCGTGAATCCTCACAACCCACTTGGTAAGTCTCGATTTATGTTTATAATTATTAAAGTCTCCCAGAATATAGATGTTAGACGCTGATGGGAAGCAGGACGCTGTTATCCCCGCGAAACTCTTGTAGAGTTATTCAAGTTATGTCAGAAGTATCAAATTCACTTGATCAGTGACGAGATATATGCACTCTCTGTTTTCGATACTCAGGAAAGCGGAGCGATGCCGTTTGTTTCCACTTTGAGTATCAACACTGAGGGGCTAATGGATGAAAAACTTCTCCATGTTATATATGGGATGAGCAAGGTGAGCATGATACTATTCGCAATAGCTTGCCTGATAACCGCTGACGATAATGCCCAAAAGGACTTCTGTGCTCCAGGACTCCGAGTAGGCTGTCTGATTACCAGAAATCCATTGGTAGTAAAGGCCGTCCGTTCCACTTCGTAAGTTTGGACTCATATGAAGGATATGTATTTCTAAAAACCTGACAGCAACTTTGGATTTTAGACGACAGATTAACCCGTCAGGAATCTCTCTAGACATTTCAGCCACCATTTTGAATGATGAAAAATTCGCGGCAACTTACCTTCAGAATACCCAAAATCGGGTACTCAAAGCCTACCGCTTTGTTACCGGACTTCTCCGACAGCATGGTATTCCGTATTTGCAAGGAACGTGAGTTAAAGCCTTCCTCCGGCTGGTGATATATTATGAGATTAAAAAGGATTGGGCTAAAATAAAATTTGCTGGATAGGAATGCTGGATGTTTCGTTTGGTTGGACTTATCGAAATATCTACCACCTAGCACCCCTTCTCAGCCATTGACACAGAAAGATAAGGAATTCGCTCTGGCGGAGAAGTTCTCTGAAGGCGGCTTATTCCTCCATCCAAGCGAAGAAAATGGGATGGAGCCAGGTTGGTTCCGGCTTGTATACACCAATGAGGAAGAACTGATAGTTGAGGGTATAAGAAGGTATGGCATCATTAACCGCCCGTATTGAATGAGGATAAACTGGCTAAATGGTTGACATTGCAGGCTTAACCGCATCCTCAAGTCCCTGCCTTGGATGACAGTAAGGATTGAAGCAGGGAAGTTATAATCAGACACTAATTAACAGGTATTGTGTTAGTGTGTAGGAATCGATGCGAGGTAATAAATGATGCCCTGAACAGTTAGATAGGCACCTGAAGTCCTTGGAATATATAAATAAGACAGAGTTGATCGAAGGGAAGGAAAGAGACTTCTTCTTGCTCTGACATCTTCATATTGTTAGAGTAAAATTAAAGCGTCAGTACACTATAATTGGTTCTTTTATTAAATTTCCTGCACTAAAATTAGCCAATGAACTGTTTCAAGACATACAATTGACTAACTGTATTTTAATTACATAATCCTAAATAGTGACGACCGACCACAGGCTCAACAGCATCAACAACTTGCGATGTCTTTGTGAGACCACAAGCCGTCCTCAAAACGCTGTCTGAGATGCCGGGCATGCGGTCTACACCGTTTTCCTTATTCAGGAAGACTCTTCGGCCCAGGTCACTCACTCAATCGAGGTCTTTCCGTGCGCCTAGTCCACTACAAAGCTTTCCGTCCCAACCCATTCATCGCCCGCCCGGCCAGCAACTATGGCCTGGGAACAATGCATTCGTTTGCTTAATATGTCAATTGCGCGCACATTCGAGGTTTTATTCCACTCATAATGACAAAGATACCCAGGAAGGGGTTAAAAAGGCAACAGCCAAGGATGGCAAGGAGGATGGGGCGGTAGCAGATGTTCCTAGCCCGGTAAAACCACCGGCCTTCAACCAAAGTGAACTTCCTTCTCAGGAGGAGCATCTACGGTCAAATCTCTCGAAGAAATTCGGAGAATTAATGGATAATTTGCAATCCAACATCTTTGTTGCCGGACAGCATCTAAACGATCTTACTGGGTACACTGTTATTGAGAAACTGAAGCAGGACATTCGGGCCCAAGGTGTGTGCTAGTATTCCGGCATTACTGTTTAGTGGAATGTGCTCTAACTGCATTTAATATATAGAGGAACTAGTGCGCCGTACTCGTGAGAAAGTTCGTCAAGCAAAGGAAGCCTACTCCTCAGCTATACACTGCCGTTCCGCCTCCCAGCGTGAAGTCAATGAACTTCTGCAGAGGAAACATGCTTGGACGCCGACAGATCTTGAACGATTTACCTCTCTTTACCGATCCGATCATGCCAATGAGCGGGCAGAGATAGAAACACAAGAAGCGCTCTCGAATGCCGAGCGTGAAGCCGAGGAAGCAACTGCCGAGTTAAGCAAAAATATCCTGACACGCTATCATGAAGAGCAGGTTTGGTCCGATAAAATCAGGCGCATGAGTACGTGGGGTACGTGGGGCCTGATGGGTGTCAATGTACTGCTTTTCTTAGTCTTTCAGATTGCCGTTGAGCCTTGGAGGCGGCGGAGACTGGTCAAAGGGTTTGAGGAAAAAGTCGCGGAGGCATTGGAGAAAGAGAATAGCCGGCATGCTAAAGAAATTTCCGCGGCTGTTGCACAAGAGAAGCCAACGTCTGAGCCTGAGAAAGATGCTGGTGTTGTAGCATCAGATACGTCAGATTTACCAGAAGCGACGGATAAATCTGAATCCGCTACTGAGAGACCTGCGGAGGGAAAGCATACGCAGCCCTCTGTAGAGGCTGAATCAACGATACCAGAATTACCACCTCTGACACCCATGCTTCCGCCGGATCTCGACCTAGCACCTGAGGCCTGGAGGAAGACATCTCAGGCTTTCTTTACTGAACGACGTGTTACTATCCTACAACGAGACTTGACCACCGTGGTGTTGGAAAGTGCAGCGATAGGTGCTGCAGTAATGGGCGGCGTCCTGTTTGCCATTTCCCGGATAGGCTAAGTGATGAATACCTATGTTGCCTGGTTATGGGACTTGATGATGAGTTTGGGTAAAGAAAATAGGATGGAAGTGTGAGAAAGCGAAGATCCCACATAGACTGTATACCATTTGTACATAGAGCGGCCTTTTGACACATTATCTAGACATGTAGAATAATATAAACAACCACAAATTTCCCTATCTTTAGTTTTTGAAGTTTGTCTAACCTTCCATGCTCATTATTTCTATCAATAGATTCCTGTATATTTTAGTTCGAGAGAGGGAAGAGAAATACATGAAAGCGGAGGAGGGCTTTATATATGGAGAATAATACAAGGGAAACTGGAGATGCAGACAAGGAAACAAAGAGGCTAAAAAGCCCTGAAATAGAGCAGGTAGGTAAGACATAGGGAAAAAAACGGGGGAAGTAATACAGGTATGGACAGACTTCCAAGCAAAATCAAAAAGTCGGAGTAGCCCAGAGATGAGTTGTACAATTCCGTCTAGAACAGAGAAATCACTACATCCCGCGAGTAATAGGAGGACCGGGTGACGAGTAGAAATGAGGCCATAGTGATGCTAGCGCATTTTTTTTTTTGTATTGTGACGTCTATTTTCTTGGGTCTGCTTTCCCAGGGCCGAAACATAACCAACTCGGTGATTGCTGAAAGTTAAGATGTATCGGTTGGTTAGAATTGAAAACGGTCCGCTTAGCCAATGACGAGGGTGTCATCGCTTGGGAAGTCGTAGATTGGAACCTCCAAGTTCAATGGAGCCGGACCCTTTCGGATACGGCCAGAGATATCGTAGTGAGAGCCGTGGCAGGGGCAGAACCAGCCGCCAAAGTCGCCAGCTTCGCCAATTGGGACGCATCCAAGGTGGGTGCAGACGCCTATGTATACGTTAGACAAGATAACTTCAAACTCCGGGCCGAGTCACAGATAATCGGGCTACTTACCCAACATGATAAGCCATTCGGGGTTCTTGACACGGTCAGAATCTGGCTGGGGGTCTCGAAGATTTTCCCACTTGGTCTCTTGGGCTTCCTGGATTTCACTGGCAGTTCGGTGACGGATGAAAACGGGCTTTCCTCGCCATTTGATGATGACCTAACGTTGTGGCGTGAGTATAAAGGAGCATAATAATAATATGTGCGGAGGTGTGTAGGTATATGGGTAGTAACGCACGTTCTTGCCCTCTGGGATCGAGTTAAGGGCGATTTCGACCTTGGCCTGGGCCAAAACGTCGGCAGAGGCAGACATGTTGAGAAGGAAATCTGTAATAAGCCCGGACATGTCAGCCGAAGTCACAAAGTCCACACCCGGTCTATTCATCCACCACTACTTTCCCATCCCCCAATTGACGGCCAGCATCAGCCAACGTAAAGACGGAACGCACCTTGGACAGTAGCCTTAGCGCCAACAGCGGTCATCATGCCCATGGAACCAACAACAAAGTAGGAGAAGGTCTTGTTTGTGCTCTCACGACGAGGGCTCGCATATTTGCCGAAGCTAGGAATCTTGTAGGTCGAGGTAGAGCCGCTGCTTTTGGCGAACGGGCTGTCGAACGAAGCACTCGCGGAGGCATCTGAGGCTCCTCCTCGTCGCTGCTGGGCGATGGAAGAGGCAGCGAGGGCGCGAGGGACAACGCTGGCATGTCGGGCACACGCCCGGAGCGAGCTGGCGGAAGAGGCGGCGAGAGGCGACATGGCGAGCCTGGAGACGAGCAATTGAGCGCAACCGGTAGACTTGCACGCAGACGTCGGTCGGTCTGGGGGCGGTGGTGGTGGCTTGGATGGTCGAGCTGGTCGAGAGGTTGAGGTTGGAGTTTCGATGAAGTTGCGTCGGTTTTGGGTTTTTTTCTGTCGAAGGGCCGGAATCATCCGCGCACTGATTGGCTGGCCGGGACTGCACCACATCAGACCGACAAATACACTAATAAATGTTCCTGCTCGACGACCGCAATGCGCAAGTGATATATTACGAAGGATTGCTACGAGACTAGAGGGGCAAAGGCGAGGGAAATGACGGTGTTATTATGTATCATTTATGCCTGCTCCATGCACCAGCCAATGGGTAATGAGTCGAATATATAACAAGCCAGACGCCGCCCCACGCCCGACCCGGAGAGAAGAAAGGGAAAGGAAAAGGAAAAAATGCATGCATGTGGTTAGAGTGCCATCTCGACGTCGTCGTCGTTGTCCTTGCTCGGCCGTTGCTGGGCTGAGCCTTCGTCGACCAGCCTGCTCCGGGATCGCGAGGCGTGTATGACCATCGGCGGACGGGGAGACAGCTCGTTCACGTTCTGCTCGCCTACGTCGACCATTGATTCTTCCCGCGAGTGCTCTGGCGTCCCGTTCTGGCGTACTTGCATCTCCTTTAGCGTTCGCTGGTTCGCAACTTGGCCGTCTTCCTTTGCCTTTTCCTTTGCCCGCTTCTCTTTGAATTTCCCGTACGTGGTCGTCTTCGGTATCACGTCCGATAGGAATTCGAGGTTATCGATACGCGAAACAGCAGTGGCTAAGCATAGGCTATCAGCATACATCACACAGTAGAGACATTTGCGAGGGGCGTACCTATATCTGCGTATCGTAGGTTCTTCAGGTTGTTGGATTTGACCACATTATACCCTTGCTCCGTGAGATACTGAACGAACATCTCCTACACAGTGCGCCAGTAAAGTGTTAGCCCTCACATCATGACCGAATCCTTCTTTTCCCGCTCCCTGCTCCTCCTCCTCGTCCTCATGGGAGTTCTTACTGTCGCCACAGCGATAAGGAAGGTCGCGTTCGTAGAGCATTGTACTATATCCTCGTCCGCTCGAATGATCCGTTTTATCCTTGCCACTGTAGATGTCTCCTGTTAGCTGTAGGTACCTTGACCCGTAGAACGCATTGTACATACACGGCAGGGATGTGTGGCCAGTTGCTTCGCCTGAAGACTCCCGGCTGGCTTTGGCGGGCGGCATCCTCGACTCAACTGCGGCTGCGGGGAGGAGCAGAAAGTAATTATAACGAAGCAAAACAGCTTCAAGGGTCTATCACTGCGTCGCTGCCCTCGAATTGCTTGTCCGCCCCCCCGTGTGGATGTGTTCAGAGTGTACTTAGTTGGTTATTCAGCCAGACGACGGCTAGCATTTTAACAAGCGACAGGCGCCCTTTTTGCGCTTTCTTGGCCAAGCACGGCTACGGCAGCGACAGCCAGCAAGAAAGAAACGAAACAACCACCGACTGCGGCCTTGCGACGCCTTCAGCTCCAGCCCTGCGCCTGCACCAAGCTTGCATCTCTCGACAGTGTTGCTCGTTTCTCCCCGGCCGGCCTTGGACCGATCCTCGACGAAGTGAATAGCTACTCCGTTCCCGCCGCCGGTCTTTGGCTTTTGGTTGCTAGATTGCGTCGGCAGGCGTATGGTCATAGTGATGATACCCAGCATATAGATCGGTGTCATGAACCCGAGACACCGCTCCTCGTCCTCGTCCGCCGGTCCCAGATCGCAGGACCGTCCCTCGAATCCCCCTATACCGTCCAATCTCCAGGCACGACGGGCGTCGAGCTACTCCCTTCCCACCCACGAACATGCCCAGACGGCTGGCGGAGCTGCTACCTCCACGGGCGTAGACGTCAGGCAGACAGAAATAACGGAGGAAATCAGCGAGATAAAACGATATGAGGACTTCACTACAATTGACTGGGTCCAGGATGCTGTCCAGGAGCAGGCTCGTCGACGCATATGGAGGACCGAGGGGGCTCGGTTCTGGGACCAGGAGGGCGCCTATGGCTGGAGACGGAAGCTCGACGAAGCTTACGATGCAGGCCAGGCATGGCTAGTGATGACGATCGTGGGTGTAGCCATCGGCCTCAATGCCGGGTTTCTGAATATTGTCACCGAATGGCTGGCAGACGTAAAGCTTGGATACTGTACTACTGGATTCTACCTAAACGAAGCCTTTTGCTGTTGGGGTGCAGATGACGGTAGGCATCCCCTTTTGATATATGTGATACTTGTATACCATTAACTGACCATATATACGTCAAGGTTGCCCTGAGTGGAAGCGGTGGAGTACTTTCTCTCTCATCAATTACTTTGTCTACTTCATGTTTGCTGTAGGATCTCACCCTACCGGCTTGCTAATGTGCTTCGGATAACGGCCTAACTTTTCTTTAGATTCTTTTTGCTTTCTGCTCGGCCAAACTCGTGAATGCATTTGCTCCGTATGCTGCGGGTTCCGGTATATCTGAAATCAAAGTCATCATTGCCGGCTTCATCATGAAAGGATTCCTTGGTGCCAGAACTCTCGTGATAAAGTCACTTGCTCTACCTTTGTCTATTGGCTCTGGCCTTGCAATTGGTAAAGAAGGCCCCAGTGTCCACTTTGCAGTCTGCACAGGCAATGTCATATCTCGTTGGTTTGGCAAATATAAACGGAATGCTGCTAAAACCAGAGAGATATTGACTGTAACCTCTGCTGCGGGCGTTGCAGTTGCTTTCGGAAGTCCCATCGGCGGAGTGCTGTTCTCTCTTGAGGTGTGTCAATGATTAATCACGTATTACTTCGTAACTAACCAGAGCTACAGGAAATGGCATCATACTTCCCGTTGAAGACCCTTTGGAGAAGTTACTTCTGTGCTTTGGTAGCAACCGGCGTCCTTGCTGTACGTCATACGCAATATCGACTTATATGTCAGTGCTAACATTATCTAGATAATAAATCCATTCAGAACGGGGCAGCTCGTCATGTTCCAGGTTCAATATGATAGATCATGGCACTCATTCGAGATTATATTCTTTATTATTCTAGGGGTTTTTGGTGGTTTGTATGGCGCGTTTGTCATGAAGTGGAATCTGCGAGCACAGGCATTCAGGAAGAAATATCTCTCAAAGCATCCAATTATCGAGGCTACAGCCCTAGCAGGCCTTACAGCTCTGGTTTGCTATCCAAATATGTTCTTGAGGATCAACATGACCGAGATGATGGAAATACTCTTCAGGGAGTGCGAGGGGCCACATGATTATAATGGAATTTGCCAGTCAGTATTTTCCTAGCATCCTGATTGAAGGCCATACTAACTCAGTTAATAGGGCCAAGAACCGCTGGTCAATGGTCCTTTCTCTCCTAGGAGCCACTGTTCTGCGCATATTCTTTGTTATCATATCCTACGGGTGCAAGGTTCCTGCCGGTATCTTCGTGCCTTCTATGGCTATTGGTGCCTCGTTCGGAAGAATGGTTGGGATCCTTGTTCAAGCCCTCCACCAACGATTTCCAGACTCCCAGTTTTTCGCATCTTGTGAACCCGATGTTCCGTGTATTACCCCAGGGACTTATGCGCTTCTCGGTGCCGGCGCTGCCCTAAGTGGGATAATGCATTTAACCATATCAGTGACGGTTATCATGTATGAGCTAACAGGTGCATTGACTTATATTCTCCCTACAATGGTAAGGCTTCAATATGATGAACCATTTGATCAATTATTTATCATATTAGGGGGATTGCTGATAATGAACTTGCTAACGTATAATTGACTTTTGAACAGATTGTTGTTGGAGTCACAAAAGCTGTTAGCGACCACTGTGGCAAAGGAGGTATTGCTGATCGCATGATTTGGTTCAATGGGTTCCCATTCCTTGATAGCAAGGAAGAGCATATTTTCAACGTCCCAGTTTCACATGCCATGACAAGCAACCCTGTTGTGTTCACCGAGGCAGGCCTGTCGATAAACAAGGCCGAACAGATGCTTCAAAAGCACAAATTTCAGGGCTTTCCTATTGTCCAAGATCTTGACTCGATGACCTTAGTCGGTTACATTGGCCGCACGGAACTTCAATTTGCAATCAGGCGTGCAAAACGGGAGGGGCTGTTGGCGCCCAATGCCAGATGCCAGTTTGTCCGCCAGCAAAGTTCAACCAGCGGTGGCCCTGCATCAAGCTCCCCGACCAACGACCTATTCGGGCCCTCTACAGCCTCGTCTTCCTCTCATCTGGAAAATGAGTGGCGCACAGGGGCAGCACCCGTTACATTCGATGATATAGCATCATCTTCAGGTATTAAAGTGATCGATTTGAGCCCGTACGTTGATATGGCTCCGATTACCGTTCATCCTCGTCTCGCCCTCGAGACAGTGATGGAAATATTCAAAAAGATGGGCCCGAGAGTTATACTGGTTGAGCACCGTGGTCACTTATCGGGCCTTGTTACCGTGAAGGATTGCTTAAAGTATCAATTTAAGGTGGAACACCAAGAGCATGCAGATGCCAACGCTGCCACGTCCGGTGATGCTAATGCTGGTATCCATGCTGGTCCTGAGGAAGGTATAGTAGAAAAAAAGGCATGGCAGCTTATCTTGTGGGCTTCCGGGCTCGCGAAGAAGATTTTTATAGGAAAAGGAACTACTTCCGGGACAGGAGGCTATACCCAGGTTTCCCAGGAGGAACAGCGAAGACATGAATCCGTGGAGATAATTGACGGCACAGAGGATGTGGATACCCATTTTGAATTGGAGGAACGGGATCATTAGGGCTGCTATTTTTAATTTTTTGGATTTTCATTTCTGTAATGGTAGTTATGTATGACACGATAGATATATATTGCATGCCACCCACTTTATAACATCCTATAACGAAAGAACCGACCAAGCAGTATCAATCTCCTATATACAAAAGTATCTTAATCCTGCTCAAGGGCTATTAGATCATCATCCTCATCTAATTTTCTATTTCCAGCAAGTCCTATATCTTCTCCTTCATTCACCCCAGCGCTGGTCCTGGGGGATTCTTCTTTCTGCTTCTCTCGCATGCCAACGATAATACACCCAGCAGCCATCAGAGTAGCACCAATTAACCATTGGGCATTTACCTTCTCCCTAAAGACAAGCATACCTAGTACACCTGTGACCAGGAAATTTGCAGTGGTATTGGTGATGGTCACCTTGGTGGTTGATGGGGATGCAGTCAGGGCACGAGTAAAAAGCGTCCACATAATGAAATTAGAGAATAGATTCAACCCAAAGAAGGCCTGAAAGGGCTAATCAGCATGCAAACTAGGTAATCCCAGCATTACATGTTCGGAATGGTATACGTACAGCTCGAACAAGGTATTCCACTATTACATCAAGTGTAGTGGTCTCGTTTGATGACGAGAAGATGTGCGAGATTGCCCGCGAGATGCTAGTGGTGAGCTCGGTCGTAGTTCTATAACATTATCAGCAGGGAATCATACATAGCAGCTTCGAAAAACAGTCATAACTAGATAATTGTATATCGATTTCCCTGAGGTATCACCACAGGCAAATATCAAATACTATAAAGTAACAACCGAAGACCTACAATTTGGCAAACAGCCCATTCATAGCAGCAAATGCACCACTAGCAAGCGCCAGCATCAGCCATTTCGAATGCTGGCTCATTTTCTTGTCCTTGTGAAGTTCGTGAAGCTCTGGTGCTCCCTTTTCCGCCTTTTCAGAGCGGCCTTCTGTCGATTGCGGTCAGCGTCCCACGCTTCAAAGATGGATGTTCGATGGTTTCATACCCTTGAGGCCCTGAACATTCCTTCGCCTCGCCATTTCTCGGCCTGTTTCCACTGCGGATCTGTTTCTGTTGGCTGGCAGTGGTTATCCTGGCAGTTCTGCTTAGTCAAAAAATGATACGCGCTTTTGTGTTTGAGGAATCTCGAGCGAGAGATGCGCCAAGTGGTCGTAATGCAAGAGGTGATTAGCTAGTAATTTATGTCTTGCCGCAGCGGCTCGTTGATCATGGGTGTTTCGATGCCCTTGATCTTTAAGCATGATGGGAGGTGTTTGGTCGTTGAACAGCCTGGGAGACGATTGTCTTGGCGTTCTACCCCTGGCTTGCGAGGGTACAATACTTCGGCATAGAAAGTTGTAGCAAGGCGAAATGTTTTACGATTAAATCCAGAGTATTATTTACTAGAAGTCATGGCTGCATGGCAATGGTTAGGGTATATAGATCTTTGACATTAGTTAACGCTACGTTTACCGTCATCCAGACATCAAATTGCAACGTAAATGCCACACGCTTTGCTGCATTGTGTCACCGGCATATTCATTCTTCATATCATAAATTGTCGTTGATCCAAAGAGGATGAAGACTGCTATAGTCATGGAAAAGAGATGGGAGATTAAAACGCAAATCCAAAATGGGCCAGTCGTTTACATCTCCTCCACTGCACAGTTCGGGTGCAGGACATATACCACTTTAGGTTCCTCCGCAGGCTGTTCTCCGCCATCAGTCTCCATCAGCCCATCTCCACGTATTTGCATAAGGATGTTATCCTATTTGGTGATGTCATGTTAGCTAATGTATACCGAATGTTCATCAAATGCAATATTAAACTTACCTTGACCATCCTCCTCAATATCTTCGTCACCAAAGATCGCTCTTGCTCTAGCTCTTCTTCATTGTTCAGCTCGGACTCGACTTGCTCAAGATAATGAAGGATGAGATCCTCTTCTTCAACACCTTCTCCGCTCCGGTTCTCGTCATCATTAACACGGCGAACAAGAACATTTAGGACACGCATGTATTTATCGTAAGTTATCTTCACCTTCTGAGATCGATTCTCACCGTTGGCTTGTGGGGCATCGGCGTTTTGTTGCGTATTCTCATCCTCATCCATCATGTTGTGGTCCTCAGTATCGGGTTGGTTGGCTGCCGCAGGAGGTACCTCCTCATCGTCAACGTCAACATCGTCTTTCTCCACGGTAACGATACTCTGCCTCAGCAAGTCGTATGCTTCCTTCACAAAGCTGGGAATGACCTCTTCCACACAATTGGCTTTAGCCACAGCCTCAGATAATCGAATCAAACTCTCTAGTTGTCGCACAGTGATCCTGTAGCTGCTTCTGCCCATGCCTCCTTGTGCATCGTCCGCTCGGAGCTCTTTATATTTCTCCACAACCAGAGCTCTAGCCTCTTCGGTAAAGACTGGACGGAATGTTCGCGCAAACCGGATATACCTCTGTAGCTGCTCTGTGGATAATTCAGGTTTAACAGCATCATCTCGGTTCATATGGACATTTACAATGTGATCTGCAAGGTTTCTGTCCACTGCCTCATTAGGGTCATCTCGAATAACAAAGAAAAGGTCGAATCGACTCATGATAGGAGCGCTGAAATTAAGATTTCCTCGGAGAGTAGTCTTGGGATTATATCTTCCTCCTATAGGGTTTGCGGCAGCCAGGATACTTGCTCGCGCATTAAGAGTAGTGTGAATTCCGGCTTTGGCGATTGAAATAGTTTGCTGTTCCATGGCTTCGTGGATAGCAACCTGGTCGCTTATATCCATCTTGTCGAACTCATCGATAGCGCAAATTCCACCGCCGTTCTATACATGTATTAGAGAATCCTTGTTATAGGGATGGCGGTGTTGGGTTCAACTTACTGCAAGCATCAGGGCACCAGCTTCAATCGTAAATTCTCCAGTTTCGGGATCTTTAACGACAGCAGCAGTAAGACCGGCGGCAGATGATGCTTTACCACTGGTATAAACTGCACGCGGATGTAGCTTACAAATGTATCTATAGGGACGAGTTAATTCAAAGAAATGCTGCGTTACCGAATTAGAGAGTCTTGGAATAGACTTACTTCAAAAATTGACTTTTGCTGGTAGATGGGTCACCAACAATACAGATATTTATATCACCTCGAAGCTGCATCGATTCCTCTACTGTTCGTTTGCTTACTCCGCCGACTAATTGCAAGAGTAAGCCCTTTTTGATCTGATGATGACCATAAATCATAGGAGCGATTGAATCAATTAGTCGGGCATATATGTAGTCAGAATGCACCATCTGCTTTAGGTCCTGGACTTCATAAGGGGTTAACGAGTGAAGCAGAGCAGTTTGTGCCTCCTCTTCAACATCATCTGGAGCCTCAACCTGGTTCAATGAAGACAGGATATTTGGAGCCTGGCCAGTTAAGTTCTGGTTTGACGACTGGCCAGGGGTAGACAAATCAGGTGTCACCATGCATGCAAGGAACGCAAGGCGATATGTGAGATCTCTCACACCAAGTGATTTCAGACCGCTGACGCCATTGCCGCCAACGTCACCGCCTCGGAAATTTCCGTAGTCTCTAGTTGCTTCGGGCCGAACGCCAGGTAGGCCTGATTGGCTGATATCTGGAATCACAACAAGCATCCCGGTAAAGATACACCTTTCACCGGCCTTTGCACGGTCAACCATCTCTCCGCGTAAGATTACATCCATCGTCCTGGGCATACTGCCAGTGGGTATCTCATGTGCTGACTCTTGCAGCTTGACCTTCTGCCAGTCAACGAAAGTGCTTTTCCTTATATCCAGGCGCCATCCGATACGGTTACCACATGTAGCACTTGTACACTGGGTAGGCTCTGTAAATTTGAAACTTTGTTCGATATCCGGGCACACATTGTTACAGTTCCCACAAATGAATGTTCCCAGTGCAAGTTCTGGACGTACTTCAGACGTCCTTGTGACCGTTCCTGATATGGAGGAAAGCGTTCCAATCTGTGCCGTTCGCAGTTGTCGAAGTCGCGAGACGAGTGGAAGATTATAGAACGCCAGGGTAAACACTTTATCAGTTTGCTGGTACCTGGTCTTCCCGGCTAGAGAGTCCGGTTCTGTGCTATCGAGAGCTACAGTTGAAGTCCCGGCCTGCGACGAATGACTTCCAAGCTGTTTATGCGCACGGAAATACTGAGGCTCGTATTTTGCAATCAAATTATGTAGCGCCTTTGTGAGATAAGGCTGAAATCTGTAGTATTGATTTACAATTGCATCGGCCAGTACTTGGTTCGAGCTGAGGTGGGTAAAGTCGACGTAGAGGGTAGAGAGCTGTAGTTTTTGCATTCCGTGAATCTGGGAGATATAGTATTTATCACTGAGCATCTCCGATGATGTGGGAGGAGCGCCGGATGACATGGGGTCTTCAACGTGCGTTTCTAGCAATTCTTCAAAGGCCTGCTGCACCTTTTCACCGGCTACATCGCGAACGGGGGGTGGTCCTGCACCGTACATAGGGTGTCGAGGACGCCGGGACGACCTGCTCCCAGCACCGACAACCTGATCATCGGCAAATTCTGGTGCCTCGCTCATGGGTGCATTGCTCTCCGAGGCCAGCGGGAGGCGGGAGCTCGTTGGCGGGGCGTCAGACCGCTGAGAGCTACCCAGCATGGGGCCGCCATCTGCCTCGGAGGTCATAAGCTGATCTAGAATTGACGACATCACGAAGTTCTCATTAGTATTAACATGTAGCAAAAAGGAAAAGAAAACAGCTGCAACAACAACTGGCGGCGGCGTCGATATCTCTTGTCGTTCGCTTCTGCTCGTCTTTTGGGTCGAAAGTTGAAGTTTTGATAAGCAAAAGAAAAAAAAAAAAAGTCGCGTCAAGCTCGCGTCTACGCGTAAAGTGGTTTTTCTCACGTGATATAAAATTGGCTCCAGCTCTGCAGGCAACAAGCAACAACAGCAATGGACAACAACTATTCATTCAAGTAAACATTAAAACAATGCTCGACACAAGAAGTAGAAACACCCTCGATTACTGGTCTAGTTACTCCGGTACGTAGTCGTTGACTCGTGATCGTAAACTGCATAAGAGGCGTCATGGCATGGTCGGCGAGACCGGGACTGGCATGCTATATCCATCCGCTATACCGGACCGGCAGCTCGTTCAGGATGCCCTCAGAACCATAACCGACCCCAAGAAGGCGGACTCTTTCGATCTTGCCACCAAAGTCATCCTCGACGGTACTATGCCAGTCCTTAAGGTGCGCGCGGACCTCATTGTAGACCTCCGGGTCATCTATCATGAGAAGGGCAATAGCGTCGTAGCCCCCCGCACCCGGGACAACACCGCCAATAACACCATCCAGTTTACCAAGTGAATCCAATAGCTCTGTCTGTACCATTGGCTCAACGGGGACTTCGCTCTTCTTTGTCATTGTTTTAATCCACATCCTCGACTTGAGCAGCAGGTTACGCAGCTCGTTGAAATCTGCTCCCGGACTGTGGAGCAATTTCCTCAGTTCAAACCGTATCTTCTCGTTGTTTAGTTGCAGATTAGCCCATATGATATCCGCTTCTTCACGGTTTTCGTCTCGCCAGCGAAGGAGCTTTTTCACCATGCCTGGAGTCTGGGAGCCGCAGTCAACGTCGCAGAGGACCATTCGTATACCCATGGGTAGCTTGAATCCAACATCATGGCACTCGGTGTCCCATGGAGCACCTGCGTTGACATCTTCCACGACGGCAAACAGGCGGTCTTCAAACCCGGCCGAGCCAGGTTCACCCAGGCCAGCAAGTACAGACGGAGAGAACCGTCTGTAGTAGCACGACCCGTAAACAGCGGCAGCAACATCGAAACCAGAGCCTATCTTCCCCTGTGCGGCGCAGTGTGCAGCTTGAGCCAAGTTATGTAATTTTGCTTTGTTCTGGGAGAGCTTTTCGGGCTGAACGGTCCGATGAACGACCAGGGCAGATACTAAAGCGGTTACCAGTGCGGCGGACGAGCCTAGGCCTGTCTTATGCGCATCCTGCAGCCGTACTCCAAATTTTTTGAATCCTGCATACCCGCTATTGGAAGAACCGCTCGCAGTGGTTTCAGAGTAATAGTCATCGTCCGCGAGTATGGTCACGACAAGGGAACCAATATTATGAGAGGCAGAAACATAGCTCACGTATGTCAGCGCGTAGTTCAGAGAAGTCTCGACGAATGGATTTCGGGGCCTGTTTACTCAGGAGCTGATTAGCTATATTGATTCGTCGGCCGTATTAAGGTAAACGACACCAGGTTTATGAAACAGCCATGCAGACAAGGGAACGAGGGAAACAAAAAACAAAAAAGGGGGGATAAGAGCATAACGAACCCGTCGTCACATTGGACGGCCCTGACACCGCCTCCGTTGTCAGATCGTTGGATCTTGTACTTCCATACGGCATCAACAAACTGCGGTGACCTGACGGTGACCGTATCCTGCACCGCTTCCTCCTGCGCCCCGCCGTTGACGATAGCAGCAGGCGGGATTTCAGCTGTTCCCACGGCTCCTTCTCCCGCTGCCTGGCCGCTGTTCAGCTGTGAATGGCCCTCTGTCTGTGTCTCCGCCGCAGACGGCCGTCTCTTGACGCTCTGTTGTTGCACCACCACATGGATCCTGGCATCCAGGGCACAAACAGTCCCCGTGTAGTCCCTGTCCAGGACCAGGTAGCCGCCCGCAAGCAGCACCTTTCCAGGCGCCGATACGGCCGTCTCTGTCGCAGCCTGTCGTTGCTCTATCATCTTTGCTGTGTGCGCAGCCCTGTTGCTCTTGGCTCTTTGGTTTACCACTCTCTGGAGGGCGAGCTCGAGGTGGCGGGACGCAGCTTCGGCGGGTGGGATGGAGACGGATCGGCTGTGGCTGGGGGCTGATCCAGCATCGTCCATCTAAGCTTCTTGGGCGTCTCTGCACTGCTTAGGCTCACCCTCGCGCTGCAGGGCTGCGGTGGCTCGAATACGGGCGATGTGGCTGAACGCTGTTAGAGCGCCTAGCGGAGCGCTGGTTCAGGGGGGGCGCAATTCCTGGTTCCTGACTCGCTGGCGGTGCAGGCAGAAATACGGGGGAGGTCAGTGGGAACGGCTCGGATTGGGCCCCTTTTCCTTCATCGTGAGACCGTGACGGAGATGAGCATGGCTGGTGTCCCTGGTCAAGCTGGAATTAATGTGAGCTAGTTTAGTCTCGCTGGGACGAGGGCGGCTGTTCGTTTGCGGGCGCGATGCAGCGAAATAAAAGGGACGTCGAAGTTTTCCCCTTTTGGCGATTCTGACGACGTTTCTCTTCACCTCTATATACAACAGCATATTCTACACACAGCACAACCAGCCAACTAGTTAGCTAACCAGTCAGCTGTTACGGGACTGCGCAGACCGTTTTGGCCCAGAATGCGTAAGAAGCTTGTCGTTCCTTGGAAAAAGTCTTGTCGTTGCTTGTCGCCGTCCAGCATGCTAACGGGATGGCAGATCACTATCGCAGCCAAGCAAGGTCGCTGGCCTGGTATGACGCCGAAGGAGAGGCCCCGAGCCACAATCCGTTTGGCAGAACGAGATCTCGCCCGGAGAGGACGCTGTCGTCGAGCCTGGAGGCGGGCGGCAGCAACAATTACACGATGACCGACATGGAGCGGGTCAAGGAGCCAGAGACTATGCATGGCGCTGTGCCTTCGACTGCCGGGACCGACGGCGTCCAGGGAGGAACCGAGTCCGTTACGAGCACCGCACCTCTTACTCGCGCTGCCGGAGATATCAAGGCCGATGAGCAGGACGTCCACAGAAAATCGGGAGGCTCAGAGTCGGTGGACAAGCAGCAGGAGACCACCCCTAGAGAAGATGCGCCAGCTGCTGGACACGCAAAACAATTTACCGTTGCTGGCCAGTTGAGAGCTACCCTATTCAGCTCATGGATCAATATTCTCTTGGTTGCGGCACCCGCTGGAAGTACGTTCGCCCAATTCTTGACCAGGGCTGCCAAAAAGTGATAGATATGTGCTGACAGTCTGAAGTTATTATGTACTACCTCAAGGTCAACTCAGTCGCCGTCTTCGTGGTCAATTTCATTGCCATTGTGTAAGAATTGGGCTCATTAGAGGTTGAAGGAAACCGGAGACCAAAAATGCTGACCCATTGGATAGACCCCTTGCTGCAATGCTTGGATATGGAACTGAAGAAATCGCTATGAGGTATGTTTCCCTCCGGGATTGATTCAATTTGCGCTGTTCCGCTGTACCGCCCCTAACAATTGCCTTGCAGAACTGGAGAGACTGTTGGCGGTCTTCTTAATGCCACATTTGGGTAAGTGGTCCTCTCAGATGAACGTTACTCGATTGCTCGCTCACGATAAATTTTAGCAACGCCGTTGAGCTGATTGTGTCTATCCTTGCGTTGTTCAAGAATGAGATTGTCATTGTACAGACCTCGCTAATCGGAAGCATACTGTCTAACCTGCTGCTGGTCATGGGCATGTCCTTCTTCGTTGGAGGAGTGACCCGTATGGAGCAGAATTTCAACGTGACGGTAGCTCAAACTGCATCCAGTCTTCTCGCATTGGCCGTCGGCAGTCTGATCATCCCAACAGCCTTCCACACCTGGTCAGGAAGTATGTTTAGGACATCTCCCCTGTATAAATGTTTAGGTCTGCTAACTGTATCAACTAGATGGCGAGGCCGGCATTGCAGAAATTTCCAGAGGTCAGTGTATAGATATCGTGCTTAGAGAGGTGAACTAACGATCATGCAGGTACCAGCGTCATCTTGCTAGTCGTGTATGGGGCCTATCTATTCTTCCAGCTCAAGTCCCATGCTTCCATCTTCAACACGCCCAGTGAGAAAGTAGAAAAGAGATCAAAGTCCAAGAAGGTCGAGGATGGTGATGCTTCCAAAGGCATTGCCCAGATTGGAGCTGGTTTCTCTGCTTCCATGGGTGGACAGAATGCCCAGCATATCCCGGTGGTCGTCCCCGAGGAAGAAGAGGAACCCCAGCTTAGTATATACGTTGCCGTGTTTACTCTTTGCGCTTCTACTGCTCTGGTCGCTCTCTGCGCAGAGGCAATGGTACGTACTATACCTGCTTCATGCTGCAAGCACCTTACCTTCTTCCCTGAATGCTAGTATTGTGTTCTCTTGCTCATCAGGTTTGAAATACATAGGTTTCCTCGATCGACGCAATCACGACTTCTGGTGGCATTTCGGAAACGTTTGTTGGTTTGATCCTGCTTCCTATCGTTGGAAACGCGGCAGAGCACGCTACTGCCGTGACCGTGGCAGCGAAGGATAAGATGGATCTCTCTATCGGAGTTGCTGTCGGCTCGAGCATGCAAATTGCCCTTCTTGTGCTACCGCTTCTTGTAGTCATAGGCTGGATTGCTGGTATGTCTGTACTCACTTGGTTCTTTTTACACTCCGCGTCTCCGTTTATGAAGCTCTAGGCTAACGATAGGCTACTCCATTATAGGAAAGGATGACATGGTAATTGACGCCTAGTCCTGTAGATGCGGGTTTTTGCATCTCGCATATTCATATGATCGATACTAACATCAGACTAGACCCTTTACTTTGACGGATTCCAGGTCACAGTGCTCTTCGTCACCGTGCTTTTGGTATGTATCATACCCCATCTCTCAAAAAATAAAAATAAAAAAGTACCCCAGGTATATGACCGGCGTCTGACTGAAGAACCCCTGTAACAGGTCAACTACCTTATCCAGGACGGAAAGTCACATTGGCTGGAGGGAGTCCAACTCATGACCCTCTACATCATCATCTCAGTTGCTGCATGGTGAGTAACACCCCTTGTCCATGTCTCCCGCTGTCGACCCTTGCTGGTGTGTGTGTGTACGTGCGTACGTTGCTGACACTCGACTCACCCTGCAGGTTCTACCCATCCCGCAGCGAAAAGATGCACGGAATGTCATAGACGTCGTCGTCTCTGTCACCAACTGCCGGTTCATGTCCTGTTTGCCTTAGCTTCTTTCAACCCGGTACGTTATCAAACCCGCAACGTCACACCATGTTGCGGCTGGTAGCTCGCCTCCCTTTTTTCCTTCGCTTCCTTTCTTGTGATTGATACCCTTATGATGTTTTACCTTTTTACCCTTTATTTTCCTGCCTTTCTCTATAGAGTCAGTGTAACTTCATCTAATCAACCTACGCAATGTAACAAAGAGATAGAGAGGGAGAGAGAGAGACAGAGACAGCAACAATGCGTGTAATAAAAAAGAAACCGCCGACGCCTCGAGGCGCCTGTAACTTGCAAAACCCGCCGGCCCGCATCTCATCGTCAACTGACAACGAAAAAGCAAGAGATAAAAAGAAAAAAAAGAAAGAAAATAAGCAAAATAAAGCAAAGGTAGCAAACCAGCCTGGCCATCGACGCTTGACTCTGCTGTATTTTTCAACCTTCCCGTCTGTGGGACATCATCCCCCCCGCGCGCGCTGAAATCCCGCCGCAGTCCGCATAGGCTATCCAGCCAGCAAGACTATCCACGACCTGATCCGCCCGGCCGAAGCCACTGGGCAGGCCAGCAGCCAGCGTCGGCATAAGCATAAGCATAATCAAGCATACGCAGGGCAGATCAGATCGACACTCGAGCAGTCAAGCGGCTTGGATCTCCAGACTCGGCCAACGCTTCCCCGGAGCACGCAAGCAACTAACTCGCTAGCTAGCTAGCTTAACCGACGAGACCGCCAGACAGCCAAAACGTCACCCAGACGGGCTCAAAACACGAAGCCAGCGACGCAAGCGATGCCGAAAGCCCAGGCCGAGCCCGAGTTTCCCTCCCTTCCAGGTCGACTTGCCAGGGAGATAAACTAGCTTAGGTAGTTAGTTGGTTCGACGGTGGGTTTGCGTTAGCCTCCCGACTGGTTCCTGACCGACTCCTGCCCGGCGACGGCGACGGCGACGGCGGCGGCGGCGGCGGCGATGGATGCCTGCCTGTCTGCCTGTCTAGGAATACGGACGGCTGCGCCCCGAGACAGGTTATCAGGCCCTGCCAGCCTGCCCGCCCGCCTGCCCTGCTGGCCTGGCAGGTCCCGAGGCGCTCGCTGCCTTGGAAGAGCGATTTATACGTGAGTGGACGGCGGACGGGCCGAGGGACTTGATCGCGGCCTCAGGGGGGAGAGTTATCAGACAAAGATCAAAGATCAAAGCGCAGGACAGGCAGAGAGGATGCGGCCTGGCGAAGTGCCGCGAATATCTCTCTCCTCTCCTTGCATGGATGCCCGCCAGCTGCCTGATGGTTCGTCGTCTCTCGGCCATAAGTAGGGTTGCTAGCTGGCTATCTTGTTCGTTATCCTACGAGAGGATGCGGTGAAGATGATTGACATGTTTTTAATATAGTGTTTTTATTTTCAATTTCATTCTTCTTTCTCTGTAATCTTTCTTTCTTTCTTTCTTTCTTTTTTTTTTTTTATTTTATTTTGTAATTCTGGAGTTACCGTGCTCCGCTACCGTGCGAGTGATGTGTTACTCGCATGTTCGGAGTAAGGCATGAGACATGAGACAGAAACGTAATAGAAACACTCAGGCCATCCAGCTGCTGGAAAGGCCGGGAGGAAAAAGAAACGACGAAGCATGACAAGAATAATAATGAGATCCGATAGCATCATACAGTGGGTTTCGTTGTTCCCTTTGAGTTGAAAAAATACACCAAGAACAGCCAACATTAGAAGCCATATCCATGCCCGTACAAATGCCTGAGTGAGAGAGGTGAAAATAAATGTGGAAAAAAAGAAAAAAAAAAAAATTTACCAGTCCAGATCCATATCCAGCTCCTTGCCTGATCCAGTTCCTTGTTCCGATTTCATATAATGTAGCTCTGTTGAGAAGATGAGGTGGTTGTATGTGAAAAAGAGAAATGTAGAAGATAGCAGATGCGATGCAATGGCGATGAATAAATATATGGGAATAAAGCAGGGAGAGAAGGCAGAGAATGACGAAGGAGACGAGAGGAGCTGTAGTGTATGGAGAGATGGGGAGATTAATGGGTACATTCGCTCCAGATAAGAGCTAGCCATCCGTTTGCGTTGGTGCTGGCGTTTGCACCGGTGTTGGTGGTAGAGCTGTAGCCGTTGCTGGCTTGATACTGGCCATTCATGTTTGATAGCGACGCCGGAGACGGAGGACCGTTGGGCGTAGGGACCATGGTAGACCACTTATCGAAGCTATCTGTCTCGATAAAGGCAAGGACGTCTTCTCCATTTAGGCTGCTCATCCACAGCGGATTGGCATTGACCGCATCATATGAGCTGTACGGTGAAACATGCCGAGACGGCGCCTGGTGTTGGTGTTGATGTTGATGGTGTGATGCTTGCTGCTGTTGCTGCTGCTGTTGCTGTTGGGTAGGTGGTGGCGCCAGGAACGAGCCTAGGTCCAGCCTGGTCTGGGAAAGTGGAGGAGTCCTGTTGCTTGAGCCATGCGATACATTATGACTATGCTGCGCTGGTCCAGACCCGGGACCATGCCCATGACCATGCGCTCCGAGTGCTTGGCCGCTGTGGGTTAGACTCGGCTGGAGAGGAGGTAAGGGGAAGTTCTGCTGGGCAGCCAGATTCAGTGAGGGAAGAGACTGAGAGTATGGTGGCGGGGGAGGAGGAGGCTGGCGGGATGTTGGCCAGGGCTGGACAGCTTGCAGACGATGGTTTGAGTTCGAGTTGGATGGCGAAGGAGTCGCAGGGAAGTATGGCGAAGAGGCTGCTGTGGTGGGTGCAGTCGCAGCGGACGAAGATGGGACTGGCGGCGGGAGAGTTGTCCCTGCTGAGCTGGGAGGGCTGGCTGGCAGTCCCGTAGAGGGAGTATCACGATATGCGCCCTGGAAGGGAGGCAGGCTGTACGGCGAACCGGAGGGTGGACCAGCCTGCTGCTGAGGGGCTGGGAGGATGGGCCATCTATCGCAATCAGAGGACTGTTTCTCGCCATTCTCCTTGCATCCGTTGGCCATTATAACCATGGTAGATGCAGCAGCGCCGCCTGAAGTAGTTGCCGTCGCTGCGTTTGAGATGGGGGCCAGCGAGTGAGACGCCGGGCTGCCGCTGCTGTTGACCGGTACCCATGAGTCTCGGTGCAGGCTGCCAGCATGTCCCTCGCCGCCATGGGGACCTGTAGCAGTAACAGAGTTATCTGGACCCTCGCCTGGCTCACTCTTGACAATGTTGCTCTGCGCCTCGCTGCTGTGCTCCGTCGGATTCGCAAGAAGCATCGCAGCCATGTCGTCGTCCGACCCGCTCATCTCAGGCGTTTGGTCCTCTGTACTACCCAAATCTGTGAGCACCTTGTCCAGCTGTCTAAGTTCCTCGTATAGATTGTTCTGGACAATCTGCGAGGCGGAAGTATGGTGGTTATGGTTATGGTTATGGCTATGGCTGCTGTGCCGCTGAGCATCGCCAACTACCCTATTGCCATTTCCATATGGTGATGGATGCTGCTGCTGCCCGTCGACACCGTTCATCTCCATCTTCCTCCAGAGACGCTTCTGGTCTCTCTTGACCTTGCAGAAATATCCGTGTAGACGATGGACAGTTCGGAACCAGCCGACTGCCATCTTCAACCGAGGTCTCATCTCACCGAGGACCTCAATGGATTTCCTTACATCGGCCTGCGCCAGACTGCCTGCGCCCATCATTGTTACTGCAGTGCGACCGGGAGAGCCAGCGGCACCACCGTCGCTTGAGTGTGGCTTCAAACACAGGTAGCCATCCTGATCCATGTGGTTGAAGTGAGCAGCGTACACGCCCATGAAGGTAGCGTTGTAGATTGCGAAGGCGACCAGGGGCGTCTCCATCAGCACACCACGTTCATGACAGGTGCGAACAAGTTCCACCATCTGCCTGGCTGCGCGAAATAGTTCGCGAGCGCTGTCCTTCCAGAAGCTGTCGGGCACGCTGTACCTCTCGGACGGGTATGATGGCTCGTCCAGGGGCCCCTGTGGATCCATGGGCCGGAGCGGAAGGAAAGGTAGGTATGCGCGATGTAAGACAATGACTGAAAGAAAGTAGATGATGTGCATGAGTGCATATGGAGCGAGCGAGTTTTTATACATGATGTGGGTGTCGGTGTTGCGAGCGCTGTACTGCAGGTTTCTGTACAGTCCGTCCTGGAATTCATGTAGTTGGTCCCTGAGCTGGTTGAACCGAGACTCATGGTGCCACGGGGGGCATTGATCAGACCTATAGTTATCCGTTAGCATGCATAGATAGATGGATAGAAGCAGAAGAGGCAGTATTATAATAGGGACAGACATACCTCCTGCCTCCTTCGCAAGCCCATTTCGCAACGCTGCCCCATATTCGGATAATCCGAACAAGTCGGCCCAGGACGCACTCCTCGACACCGACTTCCCACCTATCGATCCGGTCTCCTATTCCATCGCTTCTGTGGCTGGAAACTGGAGGCCAGGGTTTGGATTTGACGTCGTCTGCATATCCGATCGACTGTCTGAGACTGGGTATCTGTACTCCGTTTGTGGTCGTGGTGGCCGACCCGTTACGAGAATCATAACTCTGTGACCGCCTACTGGGTCCGTTGCGGCCGGTGTTTCCGTCACTTAGCAGGGAGGTCCGTACCCGCTCACCAAACGCGAAGGCGTTCTCGCTGGGGAGCTGGATGCCGATCTCACGCACCCTGAGCATCCTTGGACGCAGCCTGCCGTTACTCAGACACCTGTCGAGGATAAAACAGCTCCAGAAGGTCCGTCTCCGGGTCTCCTGCTCGATGACGTCGTCTGAGTTGAGCTGGTCCCTGTGCTGGCTCTGCTGGTCGAATTCGGCATGCATTGATGGCCGGCGGGATGAGTAAGGGTGAGAAGACGTAGATATAGAGAGAGAATGGGATGGATAAGGCCCGTCGTCCTCTGTGGGCTCAAAGGAGAGACCCATGGTCTGGGATATCCGGACAGCCATGCCCAGGTAGATCCATGCATTTTTCCCACGACACATCCCCCATTCGTGCAAGGAGAGCATGAGAAGGGCCTGGACACGGCTGAGGTCGGTGATGGTGATATCGGAGCCATCAGTGCCGGCCAGCCGCGCCCTGAGGACATTGGCGTAGAACTCTGAGGCGGCAGTTGGGTTGCACGGGCTCACTGGCGACGCAGGAGAATGATGCTGAGCCAGCTGAGGGTGAAACCTGGCTGTCAGGGTCAAGACTCCGAGCAGAATCAGGGGAGACACCTCTGTCCGTGGTGCTGGGCTCTGGGATGGATCAGTAGCATGCTGTCCATCTGTGGTGGTGGTGGTGGTAGTAGTAGTAGTAGTTGTTGTTGTGGCAGCCCCAGTGGTAGTAGAGGCACTGCCGCCGCCACCGGAAAGATGACGGATCTGCGCCAGAGAGGTAGCTGGATGCAAGAAGGGCAAAATGGTAGCAAAATGCTGCTGGAAGAGGTCGAAGAGCGTCTCCCATACCTTGGGAGTGAGGATAGCCGAGTCCAGGGCCAGCATGTAATTCTGCTTCATCAGGGCGTCCTTGGAGGAGACCGAGGCGTTGACATGTTTCCTGTGTCTCTGTCTTTTGGGATTGTCCCATTCACTGTTACTGTTATTATGACTATTGGCGTTGTTGTTGTTGTTATTGTTGTTGCTGCTGTGGTTGTGGCTGCTGTTGGTATCGTCGATGCCGGACGAGGCTGTGATATCCCGCTTGACGCCGGCCGAGGGGTGACAGCCGGCCGCCGCTGGAGTTGGATAGGAGCACTCTCTGCCGGAGGACTCGCAAGCTCGACAGGTGGTGTCTATGCCAGCATTAACACACTTGATCTTGCTCCGGCGGCAGCGGGAACAGGCGATGCTGGAGCGCATCGTGGGCGGCAGCTCTTTGCTGGGGGGGCCAGATCCGGAGGAAGTAGGTATCTAGACCATGCAAGAGAGCAGTTGACGGTGAACAATAGCTAGCACGCGAGTGAGAAGTCAAGACGCAACAAGAGCAGGCGACCAGCGAAGAGAAGAAGCAGAGACGACGGGTATTAAGTCTGGGGGAGCCAGGCCGGCGGCGCGGTGGTGGTGCCGGTGCATGTATATAAGTAAGTAGGCAGGTGTACGGAGTACACTAAGTACTCTCTGGATGCGCTACCTTATTTTCCGCCGTCGAACGAGCAAGACGACGAGGGCGTATTAAGTTCGGTTGACTCCGAGAGCCTGGAAGAGCGGCCAGTCGGCTTCTTCTTCGTCCTTTTCTTTTTCTTTTTTTTTTTTTGTAAGTGAAGTGTGAGTACTTGAAGTCTATCAGGTATCGTCTTCTTTGCTTTTTTCCCTAGCACATCATGTACTGTAAGTAGTATACTTAGTTCGTCCCTTTGTACGGAGCAGCCTGCTGTCTCTGTTTGAAGCTCGAGGGTCCATGAGGGCGTTCGTTCGTCTTCCAGCCCAGCACTCTCTACCATCGCCATCCATCGCCGCTGCCTGCTTGTCCTCTCTCCTCCATCCCTTCTATCCCGTCTATCAACTTCGACTCTCAAGCGACTTTTTTCTTCGTCTCTCAAATTTGAAGCAACAAAAAATGGCGGAATTTTGCAAAAATAAAAAATAAAAAATAAAAAAAAAGAGACTAAAAGGCGGCGAAGGGCGGCAGAACAGGGGGCTTAAGGTTTGGAAATTACGTATTGCAAATACAGATATCTCGTATTGAAAACGGGCAGAAAGTTTGTATTTTTCAAAAGAAACTGCAAAAAAAAAAAAAAAAAAAACAAGAGAAAAACAAAAAGATGGAGAAAAAGCGAAGAAAGACGACGACGACGAGGACGAAGATGAAGATGAAGACGAGGATTCAAGCAGCAAAAAAGAAGGCCGGCGATGCGGAGTGAGGGGAGATGAGGGGACGGGGCCATGGTAGAGACAGCACAGGGAGCTGGGTAACCGCCGGAGCTGCCAGACGGCAGGCAGGCAGCAGATACCGCTACTACTACTGATACTACTACTGATACTACTACTGATACTACTACTGACACGGCAGACAGCAGACGGCATGAAGAAGAAGAAGAAGAAGAAGAAGACGACGAGTCCATGATGCTGCTAGTGGTGATGCCTGACAGATAGACAAGACTCCGAGTGGAACGACAAGAAGCCACCGGCTGCGTCATGTTTGATCTTGGACTCTGGGCCGCCTGCGGAGGGGCGTATCAGCATCACTTTCTTCTCAGGCACAGCACACGGCATAAAAAAAAAGAAGGGGAAAAGGGGGGAGTGTTAACTCCTATCTCAATTGCTCACAGGCTCGGGATGAGAGCAGCCATGCTGCCGAACTTGATTCTGACGGGACGCCCTTTTTGTTTCTTGTCTCCCTGACGTGAGCATTTCGGCTGGGATCCCAGGGGAAACGGTCAGTCTGATATCGGGGGCTTAACAATTAACAATGGCTAGTTATCCTTGGCTTGATGGCTGTCATGACGTCGTTTCCTCTCTCTCCCTCTCTCTCTGTCTGTCTGCATAATTATATTAATACATATTTTGCAGATGGGGATGGGATACCTGAGAACGCTCGCTTATGCTCCTGGCACGTCTTGCAGCCCAACACAACAAGACATCTTACGCCTTTCTGTGGGATGGATGGTGGATGGATGGATGGATGGATGGTAGGGACAAGGTCAGATCGGATCATATCAGGTCAGGCCAGGGCAAGACAGGACTGACTAGGACAGGTCAAATCAAGTCGAGCCCGGCCAGAGACAGAACCCCCATGAACCCGTCACCATCGCTACCTGCTGCACCAACCACTGCGGAAGGCGTTTCCCGGATGCCGATGCAGGCATGGGGAGCAGCAGAGAGAGTACCTACACATACATATACATAAATACATACATGCACCATCTGGGGAGATTTTGCAGAGCATGATATACTGCCATACACGCACCCGACAGGCAGCCAGGCAGCCGGCTGCGTGAAGGGATGACGCTAGTCACTTCTATCACATCGGTTCACACTCTCTCGCCTCCGTCATCAATCACTATCACATACGGCTCCTAGACGAGTCAGGCAGGCCGATATAGTCAACTCTAGATCCAGAACAATCGGGATATCGCCTCCAGGGGACGTAAAAGATGCATATACGACGAGCTCAAACCACGTGTGCACATTGTTACCACCGCCATCTTCCTTCCTGGAGGATGTCTGACAACGAAGGATGTTGCTGTCTTGCTTAATTACGTTTTTCTTGTGATGCGACCTATGTATATTCATTTCGATCTCAGCCATGGGGATGACCCTTTCTGGCTGCAACCTCGCCTATCGGATCGACGGCGATGTTCACGCACCTGAACAGACAAACGGACTGGCAGAGATAGCTGATCATGGTCTCTTAGAGCTTAGCTAGTTATAAGCTGGTTTACGCGCACATCAGGATCGCTGCTTAGCGCGGAGAGGGCAGGAAAAAGCATGTTGACAGCCAGACATTATCGTTTGTATGTCGACCTTTCTCTCTCGACCTGAATGTACGGAGTACGGGGTGCATCTCCAGAGTAAAAAAACTCATGACCAGGAGAGAAAAAGAAAGCAAAGCATCAGCCCATCGTCAGGCCAACGCCGTCATCAACTAGTTGGTGCATCCCGTCGAGCTCCGTTGGCCAAGTCGGAATTCGAAGGGAAAATAGGCAAGAAGCAACTAAATATCATGTCTGTCTGCTGTTTATCTCTGACCGTCTGTCTGAGATGGCCCGTCCTTTGGAGCCAGGACTCTTCTCGTTCCTCCCCCAGGTACTTGACTGCTAGACGCTCACCCCCTGGAGGCCATGGATACCGGCCGTGTTGTATATTTATTCGATTCACGACTGGCCACCACAGCGAAAAAAAGACTCCATTACTTCGACCTTCCGCTTGAGACTTAAAGCAGCTGGAGCTCGAGTTGGACGATGGTCCCCGGGGGGGGGGGGGGGGGACCAGCTGGGCCGCAGGGCCGTCGGACCGCTTCTCCTACGTACAGGCCGTGTACATCGAGCAAAGTACATACACAGCCATACAACACAGATCAGGTCGACTTCTGCCTTTTATGCACGGCGATTACACACCGAGGGAGCCACACCAGACGAAAGTGTCTTTTTTACCTTTCTGTCTTTTTCTTTTTATTATTCTTTTTTGCACTTGCATATCGTTCTCGGCCCTGACTTGGCCATGTCTTGCTGCTGTCCCTCGTCCCGTTCGGCGCACAGAAGCCGTTCGACTTGAACTAGTTGCGGTCCTGGCCTGCTCCGGCTTGTCCATCGCGTCCCGAGTCACTCCACACACTTGTCTCTCTCCTGTCTCTCGCCGGGTTTGAGCGTTGGGCTCTCTCGAGACCGAAGGGGGGAAAAAAACTTCCCGTCACACGCAGCAAACAAAAAAGAATCCTCCGTCTCTTTCGAAATATCCCGCATCCCGCAAGGAAGATAAGCTCGCCTCTGCTGCTCGGACTAAGAGGACGGCCAACTAACTGTAACGACTGTACAACTCTGCCTGCGCGGAAGGCCAGGGATTTGATATTAACTAGTAACCTCCCCTCCCCTTGCTCGATGCACTCTCCCGTATCATCCGCCGGTATGGTAAAGCTTCTAGAAAAAGAAAAAAAAAAAAAAAAAGGAGAGAGAGAGAGAGGAAGGAAGACAGATTCATCTGCTCACATCGATGATGGAAGTATACTTACATATCATTATTGTCGAAGCGCCGGTGTGGAACCCCCCAGGGACAAGGGAGGCTGCCGATACTCTTCCTTTTGCCCGGCCATCCGTCCGCTGGTTATGCTTCTACTACTCTCTACGACGACGACAAGCTGCTCAGGCACTCCCGTAAGCATTATCTAATTCCTGCCCAGCATGTGAGTTTGGTCGCTCTTGAACCCCCTTCTCCACGGCGGGAACTTCGCCAACGCTCGAGACTCCAGCAATAACATCTTCAGCCTGTGCCTCCTCGAACCCCCCCCTGGCCCTGCCCTGCAGCAAAGGGGACGAACGAGAGAGACTCCCACCCCTTCGGCAATCAAGCTGGGTATTATGTAAACTCTGCATTCCCGTTCCTGGTAGCTAGCTAAATAACGTCAGACAGGCAGGCAAGCAGGCAGGCAGAGCGGTTGACCAGCTTTAACCACCGTGGCGGTCCTATAATCTCCCTCTGCCTCTCGACTCTCCTCGACATATTGCGTATGCTCAGCCTGCGCTCAGATATAGATCAACACGATCTTCTCCCGCAGCGAAGACCTAATCTTCTTATCCGCCAAACGTCTCCTCGCCCTTGGTCAAACTGGCTGATTCGACTGCTCTCCGCATACAGTGTAGCATCTCCAACTGAACCAAACTACCCAACCTAACCAAGCAAGCGAGCCAGCAAGAGGAATAATAATAATAACTTCCTCCCGTCAGTTGCAGGCCTGTCCTCGCTGTCTGTTCCATATCCCCGAGTCTTGCCGGCTAGCCTCTCTCGTCTTTACAATAATGTTGCTGTAGTCGGCCAGCTGCTGGTTAACGGCTCGCCTGCGTGTCTGCTCGCCTCCAACCGTCCCAACCGTCTCTTCGGCGTACTAGGGAACGATAGCTATCCAATGTCCATCGCTGAATCGGACGAGTAAATTAAATCTCTGCTCTGCTGACGCCATGCTGCCTGCCGGCTAGTCTGCAACAGGATAGGAGGAGTACGCCAAATATTCGTATTCACCTTCGACTTTTTGCAAGTTTAATCAAGGTAAGTAACCAACCAAATGCTACTTACTACATACTACTATGACGAGCCGGTCAGTAAGCTAACCAGCTTAAGTTGATCAAGTTGACAAGCTAACCTCACATCTGGTTGATGGTAAAGTAACTAAACAAATATCCGGTCTTCTTCTTCGCTGGGACGGAGAGATATGGTCTGCCAGTCTGTCAATTCGCCGTGCCGACCCCATGTTGCCGACCAGCTAGGCCAGCTAGGCCAACTAGCTAGTCAATCCATCCCGTCCATCCTCGATCTGATGGCAGGGCGTTTTCTGCACCCTCTGGACTTATACTACACTGCTATTTTTAGGCTAGCATTGCCTGTAAATGGCGGAACCTACATACACTACTACTAACATAACACACTTGTCTGCTTAGCGCTGACGAACTCCTGACTGATGAACTCGACCTAACTATATGGTTCGGATCCCCTTCATTAACTGCTCCGGCCAGGCGGGTCGTTTGTTATCTTCATCTATGACCGGCGCCCTTGCCCGCACGGCAAGTTGCATGCTGCAGGCAACTTCGCCCTGGTGTCCCCGGCATCTCACACTAGCCAGTTAGCCATGTCGTTATATGTAACTATGCAGAGGGAGCGGACAGCAGGCTTAGTTAATCATGGCAGATTTCTCCTCCAACTCATCGGGGTAAGGTCTGACTGCCAGCCTGCAGGTCGTGATGTATATCTGCCCGTCTGCGTGTCAACGCTTGATATCCAGCCCTCCCGCACCCCTAGGGGATCTCAAAACAGGCGGAGAGTCGGCGAATAGGATCACAAGGCGGCCATGATCTCCTGCATTGGCACGAAGTCCTGCTGCTTTGCTTTTTCTCTGTCCTTTTTTTTTTTTTTTTTTTTTTTTTCAGTTCGTGACTTGGTTACATTAGCCAGTTACAAAGGGAACTGCAGTTTTCTTTCTTCCAGTGTCTTTGCTTTTTGCTGCCGAAGCCCGATCTGATTGAGATTCTGATACTCGATGTAACAGTGAGGAGGAGGTCGAATAATGAACGAACCACACCTCCAAAGGAAGGGAACAGGGAGAAAGAAAAGAAAAGAAAGGAACACCCTTCTGCTTCTCCCCTCCCAGTGACTCGATGCAAGGGAGCCGGCGGTCTCTCCCTTTCATCAAGACTGAAACACGCAGCCTCTGCTGCGTCTGCAAGGCTGCATCCAAATCCACCGCATCGTGCAGCACCTGAATGTGGAAGAGGGAAGATTCCACCCATCTGTCGAGCTTTCCATTCGTACTGCTAGTAAAATATTAACTTGTTAAGGGCTAAGGCAGGGATAGCTGCGTATTATGTTACAACGAGTTCTCCATATCGACAGCGTCAGCACTTAACTAATCAACTGGAGTTGAACATTGAGAAACTGTGGACGGACAC